AAAAGCAAAAAGCAAAAAGCAAAAAGCAAAAAGCAAAAAGCAAAAAGCAAAAAGCAAAAAGCAAAAAGCAAAAAGCAAAAAGCAAAAAGCAAAAACAGACAAACAAACAAACAAACAATCGACAGTTAGGATTCCCAGATCGTCACCGACTTTAGGGCCTGTTCCCCGTCAGCATTTCAAACCGCCAACTAGCAAGAAAACGCGTAAAATCGCCAGCTTCCCAACCGCGTTTTAAGAAGTAAATACCGCCAAGTTTATTAACGTACGCTACGGCTTTTTAGTGCGATTTTAATATCGAACCGCCAGTAGAAATCGATAAGATAAAACTACGTATTCGAGACGTAGTTAAGATATAGTTATCTAAACTTCTCGATACTCGTACCTCTCGATTTATACCTATTTTTAACGAAATTTCTATAACTCTATTCTAAACTACGTATATATACTGCTTTTTTAAGATATATAGATATAACTTCCTAATAGGATACTCTCGAGAATAATATATAGTCCTTAAAATCGGTAAAGATACCGCGTTATCCTTAGATAGATACGGCTATCGAGACGCTCTTAGTTAGATATATTAATATAGTACGTAAAGGTACTAACTAGATAACTAACGGTAACTTTAAGAAGCGTATTTATTAGAATATTACGGCTAAGTTTAAGAAGAATAAGCTTCTAATATCGACTAATTCTTAGATAAAGAGTAAATAAGAAGTAGTATATAAAATTAGCTCTTTTTTTAAGTATCTCTATATACCGTTTATTAACTAATTTAAGCGAGCGTAGTTACGAAACGATTTTCGATCCTAAACTTAAATCTAAGAGTAATCCGATATTATCGTTAATACGTACGATCGAATATAAGCGAGTAAGAAGAAATAGTATAAAATTATTACTATCGACCCTAAAAATATATATTAGTAGTATAATCTACTATCTTTTCGTAATTTATTAGTAGAGATCTTTATAGAAACTTACGCTAAAGGCGTATATTTATAGGGCGCTAATAACGATATAATATAGAAAGAGAATACTAATACGACTCCTAGCTAAAATTTAGTAAGAGATATATCTTAGACTATATTATAAGATATAGAAGATAAAGGCGCGAGTAACGAGAATAACGATAACGAGTCTATAGTAAGATATAATCTAATAACCGTTAAAGCGTAAATATATACTTACTACGATCTCTAGACTCCTATAACTCCTATTATAGATACTAATCCTATAACGCCCGCGAACTCCCATAAATACTCTATAATAAGCGTTTTAACGTAAGCTAAATTAAGAGGCGGAAGGGTATTTAATTATACGTAACTAGATATTCTAGATCGTATAGTAACTACTCTTAAATGCGTATAGCGGCTAAAACCCTCTATAAATATAGTAAAAGATTCCGCTAGAGCTATAGGTCTAAGATAAATACTAGAGAAGTACTATCTTAAAGGCGAAACTCGTATTATCGCTATTCGAGTACTAGTAGTCGATATTAATATTAAGATCTAGTCTAGACTCGATAAATAGCCTACTACGAGTCGTAAGAAATAGTTATAGTATAAGTTATTAAGACTATTAGATAACGATATCGTATTATAGTAGATAGATCTATCTTTTTATAGTAAGAACTCTATAGTAATCTATTCCCTAGCTCTTATAACTATTAAGTAGTCGTTCTATATTACCTATACTATCTTATCCCGTCTCTTATTTATCTCTTTACCGTCTATAGAGTATATCGAGATTAGATTCGTAGAAGAGAACTCGATTAATATATCGATAGAGATAAGACTAGTAAAATCGTTATTCTATATAGTATCGCTTAAATCGATATTAATATTATATACTGCCGTTAACGCTAGAATAAGATTTACTTAATATTAGAGAGTAAACTCTAGCGTCTATTATAGAAGATAAAATTTACGCTTAAATATATTAAATACTCTCTTAATATAATTTCTTAGTTACGAATATTATAAATTAAATAACTCTTTCTTATTTACTAGCCTTAGTTACGCGCTTTTCTACTTTTTAAGATAGTATTTTATTTGAGAATAGAGTACTAGAGCGAAGAAGAAGAAGAAGACGTAGTCTATATTAACTAGGAAGTATCGGTCGTAAGATAGTCTAAATCGACCTTTTTAAGTAATATTCTATAATACTCGAGTATTATAAGTAGAGCCTTTCTAATCTATATAAATAAAGATAAATCTAAGACTAAAATTATAGACGACTAGGATATTTTATAATAGAAAGCCTTTTCTATTACGCTAAGCCGATTACTCCTTAACTAGAATATAAGTATAAATTTAAGTACTATCGAAGGCGCTAATATAGTTCTTAAAGACTTTAAATTTACTATCGTTCTAGATCTTAGGCGATATAGAAGATATCTCTATTAATTATCTAATAATCTTATAGTATAAGTCGACGAGGGCGAGTAATATACTATTAAAAGAGTATAAGATTAAGAAGATAGAGTAATCGAAAAGAAGTTAAGTATTTCGATAACTACTACTAGATCGATAAATATTAAGAAATATTATTAATCGCTCTTCTACCGTAATAGTATAAATATCCTTTACTCTACTAGTCTCTCTTAGATACCGCGCGAATAATAGAAACGTCTTCTTCTAGAGCCTAGTATATAGATATAACTAAATAGAATATTCGAGCTATTTAGCTATCTTCTCTTAATTCTATAGAGAGTTTAGAAAGATTAATTACGGCGACTTTCGTATCGTTTTAGTATCGACGACGAGACTAATAATAAGATAGACGACTATATTCTATAATAACTTAAGCGACTCGTTAGTATTATCTAATTTAAGCGACTTATCGAAATCTATAATTACGCTATCTATAATTATATAGTATACTATTAATAATAATAATAATTCTATCGATTTATAATAGACGTAGTTTCGTATTCTATAGATATTAAGCGTATTATCGAGCGATTCTATTAAAGCGCGAAAAGGTAGAATCTAGGTGGATTTTAGTATAAAAATAGCGCGTAATTCGAACGGGGTATATCCCTATTAAAGTAGTTGAAAACGCGGTTATATTCTGGCGGTTCGAAATGCTGACCGGGAACAGGCCCTTAGTACTAACTGACCGGCATTAAGCTTAAGTACCCCTAAGCGAACGGAAAGCGCTATAGTCGACGTTACATAGGTATAAACTAGGCTTCTAAGTTCCCTTAGCGGTGTAGAATCGCCTAATTCAGCTAGGTAGAGGGTTATATCATAGGGTCTGTAACGTATACTATACTATATTAAACTATATATATCGCCGGGTATCTAATGGCGCAGCGCATAATAGATAAAGTCTAGTCGAATAGCTTACGGTATCTTATCGCGTATTATGGAACAAGCCTAGCAGTGGTTGCCTGACTAGTACGTGATCACCTACACGTGACTTGGATAACGAAAAGCCCTAATTGGTATTTAGATGTAGTGTATCCGCAAGCCTCGGTCTGGTACTTCTACTAACCTAGCTAGGCTGCGCAACAGGTTAGGTAGGGCGGGCCCGGCGGGGTTTCAGGCACTTACCGCCCGCCTAGTTAACCTAATAGGGTCTTTAAAAAAAAAGCACTACCCTACCCACGAGGGTTTCGGGTAGAGTAGGATACCCAACGGGTTTTATTAAGAACTCTACAATTCTTAAAAAAGCGAGTTTTTCGCTACAAATAGCGATATTTCTTACGTAATCCGACGCTTAATAAATTATAATACTATACCGTATTTTTAGATATTTTCTAGTAAAATTGCGTATTTTTCGTAAAATATAATAAAATTTTCGAAGAGCCTATATCCCGGCGATAGTATAATAAGATCTAGTTGAATCTACTAAATAACTATCTGGTTTCAACTTTCTACTAATATAGCTAGACGAGATTTTAACGAAGAGTTCGCTCAAGTAGTAATGTTTTTCTTCTATTAACGTATCGAGTTCTTTAGCTATATTATTATTTATAGTATCTAGATCGATAGAATATAGTCTAGAACGTCGAAGTAGTTATTACTACTATATCCTTAAGTTAGCTACTTCGTTAGCTATTATTTATAGCTAGAAGTACCTAAGGATAGTAAAACGAAAATTTTTAAAGAAAAAAGATACTATTTACTACTATAATTTGCCTTTCTTAATAAGAAATTTTTATTATCTCTCGCTATTTCAAGAGTATAACTCTTTAAAAGTCTTTATTACGAAACTAGAAGAAGTTTATTAAGTATAAAAGATAGACTTTAAGTTTAAGCTAAGAAACTCTTCTTATTAATTACTTCTACTATTTATTAAGACGACTTTATTTATCTTTAATTAACTTTAACTAGAAGAGTATTAATCTTCTTAATAATCGACTACGCTTTTTTTCTTTTCGAAACAGTATAGAAGTTTTTATTAACTTAAGTTTAAGGTAGAGAACTATCTTATCGCCGCTACTAGATATAATTTTTATAGAGAACTTATTCTATTCTAACGGGACCTAGGGCCTCATTAGACTATATAGTTTCTAGAGGTTATACGATAGCGTACGACGCTAGTCGAGACCGTCCTGATGGCTCTCGATGTCTTTATAATGCTTGGCACTTAAAGTGCCTCGTTCCGTCGCATCCTCCCCAAGTTCGGATCGCCACAGCTCAACAATCGCTTGCAGTCTCACAGGCAGTCAATCCGGTGAAAGCTTATGCGTAGGTACAGAAGAGGTCTGGCAGAGAGATCAGTGTCCGGAATGAATTCCGTGGCTCTGTACTCAACGAGGATCCAGCTCGACCGATGCCAGCCAGCGAAGATGGAAGAATCTGGCCATGCTCGACAACCGTCCGACACTGCAGGTACCCGGCAACTTTGACGATGGATTCCCACGTGAATTGCGGACAAACCATCATCCTTACTCATGATCATCGTGTCCATATGCTAATCCATTCCATCGATCGACCGAATGGATCTGACGACGTTCTGTACCCACGCTGGTAGCCGGCGGGCCAGGCGGAATGGGGAATTATTCCGGATGGAATAATATGCCCTGCGCGGCTTCCGACGCGCCTCTATCGACCCCACACACAGGCTGGGGAAAGGCCCCGTGGGGACCTTTTCGGCATCACGACAAGCACGGAAGATAGCTTACAGCGCTTCTGATCTACTTGCCCTTGAACATCATCCATGTTGACACGCCCCTGATCCACGGTCGGTCGCGGTCTGGCACCATCCATCAGTTGCCCTCATGGCCTACACAAGTATCTCAACCAGCAATGGCAAACAGATCAAAGGTGCGTTTATGCAGTATAGACGCCTCATGAGAACGATCGTGCGACTGACGATCCAGCCCAGTCCCTACGGGTCTTTTAATCAACAACGAATTTATCCCCAGCAGCACCGGGGCAACGATTGAAATCTTCAGCCCAGTTAATGAACGGCAAATCGCAAGAGTCGCCTCCGCGACCGCAGCAGATGTCGACCTGGCAGTGCAAAGTGGTCTAAAGGCTCTTCCCGCGTGGCGGTCAACACCTCCATCGTCCAGAAGCAAATTCCTGTCCAAGCTGGCCGACCTGATCGAGCGAGATGCCGACGACTTGGCCACCATCGAAGCCGTGGACGCAGGTATCCTGTTCGGCGAATCCAAGGCGCTTCACATCACGCAAGCAAGCGACACGTTGCGCTATTTTGCGACGCTTACAGATCGTCCGGGGGAGAGCCTCGAGATCCCGAATGGCTTTGCCTATACACGACGAGAGCCTTACGGTGTTTGCGCCGCAATTGTCCCCTGGAACGCGCCGTTGTAAGCACAGCCGCCTCGATAGTGGAAATATCTCAACAATATGCTGACTGTCTTGGCACTAGAATGATCACGATATGGAAGCTAGCTCCCGCAATAGCCGCCGGAAACGTCCTCATCATCAAAACGCCCGAATTGGCTCCTCTTTACGCTCAAAAACTAGGCCAGCTGATCGTGGAAGCGGGATTTCCTGCCGGGGTCATCAACATCCTCTGCGGCTTGGGCCAAGATGCCGGCAAAGCCATTGCCGAACACATGCTCATCAGGAAGCTCTCCTTTACCGGGAGCGGCCCGACGGGTCGCAGCATCCTCAACGCCGCAGCGGCTTCGAATTTGAAGAAGGTGACTCTGGAACTCGGCGGCAAGAGTCCCTCCATTGTCTTTGACGATGCGGACCTGGACAACGCGCTTTTCTGGACCGCGCTCGGCTCATCGGCCAACAATGGCCAAGTCTGCGCTCTGGGCTCGAGAATTTACGTCCAAGACACCATTTACGACCAATTTGTGAGCTCGTTCAAGGCTCGCGCTTCCGCCGGTCCCACCGCGCACGGGGATCCCTTGAGCGAGAAAACCACCAAAGGCCCGGTCATTTCCAGGCCACAACATGAAAAGATCATGCGATATATCCAAAAGGGCAAAGAGGAGGGCGCCAACGTTCTGTTCGGCGGCGATGCCCTTGGAGATGGGATATTTGTCCAGAATACGGTCTTCACCGAGGTGCGGGAAGACATGACCATCGTCAAGGAAGAAATCTTTGGGCCCGTTGCGGTAAGTCCATCCCCGTCCTTCTCGATGCCACCAAAGGCCCCGGGAAAATCCCACTGATCTTCCTGCAGACGATTGCGCGATTTTCTGCCGAAACCGAGGTCATTGCCAAAGCGAACGACTCGGAATATGGACTCAACGCGGCCATTTTCACCAAGGACATCGCGCGCGCACGTCGTGTTTCAGATGCCTTGGAAGTAGGGACGGTGACGGTGAATTCTTGGGGCTTGATCAATGCAAACACCCCCTTTGGAGGCGTCAAACAGAGTGGCTTCGGCCGTGATCTTGGACGAGAGGCTTTAGACGAGTGGACCACGGTCAAGACCGTGAAACATGTGCTGTTGCCGCCTGCGAAGCTGTGAGGCGATGGGAAAAGTTGGTGGTGCTTTCTTGGGGGGATTGGATGTATCGTCGAGGATCTGCTGGGAAGCTACAAAAGTGACTTTGTATCGGACGTCAAACTCCATATCTACAGCAGGTCCCAGCATTTGTGGCTCTCCAACACTTCTAGATCAGATAAATCCTGGCCTTGCCGGGTGCCGGCGGGCGGCTAAAATTTCTTTCGCGGATCCAAGCCTACCTCCAATACCCTGACGGTGATGAACAAGACCAAACTCACCGCATACGTGACACCCGCAAAGGTGATGAGACCCCAATATTCCCCCCTGGCGGCACTGATCAAGGCGCCGGCGACGGGGATGCCGGTCAACGCCCCGAAGCTGGAGACAGTATATGCGGCGGCGTAGAAGGTGCCAAATCTCTCCACCGGGCAGAGCTGGGCCAGGCAAACGGGCGTCAGGCTGATGTTGCTTCCGCTACCAAACCCGAACAGGACAGCGGTGGCAATGAGAAAGCCAGTGCGATGCCCGGCCAGCAACCACATGGCCAATATTGAGATGATGCAGAGCGACACCGCCATAATTTGCGTGTTGAACCGACCGACTTTGTCGCCCAGGTACCCCGGCACCCATCTGCCCAGAAGAGATCCGACGTTGAGGAACGTGAGCATGTTGTACGCCAACCGAGACTCGATGCCCTCTTTGAGCGCGTAGGAAGAGATATAACCCAGTGGGACAAAGAGCCCCCACTCCATGAAGAAGATGGCCGCAGTCATCAGCCCGACACGCCAATTCAGAAGCACGTTGAGGTCGGGGAACACAATGCGACGGGTGACCGCCGCGGAAAATCGCGCTTCCATGAGGAGGCAGCCTGCTGCCACGAAGGGAAGGAGCATCAAGGCTTTCGCTCGAGTCGTCCAGGCGAATCCGATCTGAGGGAAAAGGGCTTCGAGGATCAAAGGAAACAAGATCCCTCCGAGACTCCCGCCACTGACAGCCATTCCGGTGGCAAGGGCCCTTCGAGCATAAAACCAATGTTGCACCGTGCAGATCGCAGACGTGAAGAGCAGACTTGTGGCCAATCCGCCGAGGATTCCGATGCACAGGAAGAAGTGCCAGAACTTGACACACAGGCCCATGAGGCAATAGCTGGCCAGGAGGGCGACACTGCCCACCAAACTCAAAGGGCGTGGCCCATAAACGTCGAACCATGGCCCGAACTGCACGCCGGCGAAGAAGGCAATGAAGTTGTAGAAGCCGAAGATCCAGCCAATTCTATCAGGTGACTCGTGGCTGAGTTGGTGAGATGCAAGCCAAGCTTGATACGAGCCCAGCGAATTCATGAGAGCCAGCGAGGCGAAGAATGTGCAGAAGCAGCCGAACAGAGTCCACCACGCACGCCGACCACCGTCGGGATAGGTCTGGCCATAGGCGTCGACAGACCATGTTGGTGGGATATCTTCCGCGGCATCCTGTGTGGTCGGAGGCTCTTTTGATTCTTCATGGCCCTCAGCCCGGGCCGCTGGAGGTACGTCCTTGGAGGTCTTGACCGGTCGATGGGGGGCGGTTGAGGACTCGGTCATGGCTGTTCAGTCCCGTAACTCGGAGGATGAGAAGGTCGACACAGTATCCTGCGTGCCATGTGTGTGGGAGGTCTCTGCAGTAGCGACGGTGGGGAGAAGGAACCAACTTGACGAGCTCTTTGCGGCAAGTCGGGCAGGGCTCGAGTAGGTCCCGTTGCTGTCAAAGGCCGGTGCCGTGGGAGGCGACAGACGATGCAACCAGAAGTCTAAGGTGGAGAGCGGATAAATACCATCGTGGTCGACTTTTAATCCTGCTGCGTTCTCGTCTTATAGAGTGGTCCCGTATCATCCCTTTTCTCGTGTCAAAGAGCACACATAGTCTACACGGTTGGTGTTCCAGTCCCCGGACCCGTTGTCATTACTCACGGCTCTTGCCTCTACAGATCCTTGACGACTGCTTAGATTGCACGACGACGGAATGCTAGAGTGTGTGGAGCAGGAACTTATGTTCTTTTCTGTCCTCGGTGATCCTTGCTACGATCCTCATATCCGACTCTTCATTCGAGAACCATACGTGTCGGCGACCAATTTGGCAGCCTTCATTCCCTGCTGAGCGGCTCCATCGATCCAGCCACGCCAGCCTTCACCCCAGTCTCCGCTTGCGAGGATGACATTGCCATGAGGAGTCTGCATAATATCATTATATTTGCTTACCCACTCCGGAGGAAGATAAGCCCATGTGCCTTTGGAGAACTCGTCGTTGTACCAATCGTGGTAGACCTGAAGTTTTGTGATTAGCTGGCAACGGGATTTAGGGAGGAAACAAGCTTACAATGCGTTTGACCTCTTTCTTCTCCGGAAGCAGGTGGTCAAGTGCCTCTTTGATACCGGAGACGTTGTCCTTGAGCGTGAGTCCGACCGCGGTATCCGCTGACGGGCCAAAAGCAACCAGGTGAGTGTCATTTGTGGGAGTCAGGTTGTCTGCGAGAGCACAGATCAGACCCTTCCCAGGAGAGGCAAATGAGTTCCAAGACACCAACTCCGGGCCTGCCACGTCGAAATGGACCTTGTTGCACTTGTTCGTCTGTCCGATCGAGATTGCCTCGGCCATCTTCGTCGGCAGGGCGGGAGAAAACTCGATGTCGCGCAGGACGTTCAAGGGGATGGTGCAGATGACTTTGTGTGCCTTGTAGGTCTTGCCCGACCGCGTCGTCACCGTGCAGAAAGACGTGCCGTCCTCAATCTTGGCCACCGGACTGGAAAATGCATACGAGAGTCTTCGGGTCGACACTGCATGGTCGAAAATGTTCCGGGCCAGGGCGCTCTGTCCACTGCGCAGTCGAGTGCTGAGAGCAATGTCGTTCAACCCGGTGGGAAGATGGTTGCCAAGAGCCCACCACCGCAGACCGTCCAAGACGCCCATGGATTCCAGCGGCCCACCACCCATTTGCAGCAAGATGGCTTCCAACATGCCGATCTCCTCGGTGGAGAACTTGGATCGGATCTGCTCCAGGCGGTCTCTGCACGAAAGCTTGTCGTACCTGCTCATCTGCTCCTTGTTTCGCATCGAGTCGAAGGGGTAGGGCATACCCTCTTTCATGTATGCGCCGTCCAGATTGCAGAACTCGCCCCAGACTCTGCCGAACATATCCGCCTGGAACCTCGTCAGTACGATGAACAGCAGCGGCGATGATGATGGAGAGAGCCTACCTCTTGGTCATGGGTCAGATTGCGCTTGTCATGTGGCGTGGTCAATGTACAGAAGTCCAAAGGGCCACCGCCGATTTGGGTCACGATCCATTCGTCCTGCATGTTGTATAACGACATCTCGCGATAAATGTGAGGCATTTGCCAGTGGACCCAGGTGCCGCCCATCTCGTAGTTGAATCCATCAATCGTACTGTGCCAGGTCCGGCCACCAATGCGGTCACGACCCTCGAGAAGCAGAGTCCGAAATCCTGTCGAATCAGGTCAGACCCGGCACGAGAATGAAAAAAGCCCCAGGCTTCGATGCGTACCTTGTGTCGTCAGATCTCGTGCCGCCACAAGCCCAGAATACCCAGCACCGATCACGATGGCGTCCAGGACCTCTTTGGTGTCTGCAGCGACGTGCTGCTGAGGTTCAATGACGCTGATGGAGGGAATCCCTTCTTTTCCTCCGGCGCTGGGAGTCCACACGAATCCGTCTCGGGAAGTCATGTTGTTTCGAGCGGGCAACAATGCACTCTGTCGGGCGGTCGGGGACTGATAGTGATCTGAACAGAAAATTCAGCGGATATTCAGATTCGCTTCTTCGACATATATAGAGGCGCGCGCGTGCAAAACGATATGATGGGCCTGGGTGGCAAGGCTCCAATCCGCTCCGGAAGCGGATCTGGGAAATACATGGGCGAGACTGGATCCTACGACGACCTGGTACATCCGGAACTCGCCATAGGGTCATTCCACGGCTCTGGCCCTCAGTTATTCCAACCATGGAAGTCATTCGCAAGCTAGCATGCTTGACAGGAATACGAACGCTGGGGACAAACATGCTATTAGTAACCACGTGGGGACCGACAGCACCAATCACAGGTTAATCCGGCCTCAGGCCGGCGGGCCCCATGATGGATCGACCTTATCAACGGGTCGCTCTGGCTATAGCGGCTATCTGCGCAGCGTGGCCGGGTCGAGGCCTTTGCTCTTAAAGGCACAGAGCAACCAGGCATCGCTACACCACCCTGCAAGACACGGGCGCCTCATCTTCCACCATGTCGAGCATCGGTCTTCGAGTGATCATTGTTGGTGGCGGCTTTGGGGGGCTCTGCACCGCTATCGAGACACGGCTCCGGGGCATGCGTCCGGTCGTCCTGGAGACCTATCCGACGTCAGCTGCTTATGGAGATATCATCGACTTTTTCCCCAATGGAGGCAGAATTATCGAGAAATGGGACAATGGTCGAGTCGGCCGCGAGCTGATGCAGATCTGCATCAATCAGGGCGACCGGTTCCAGTGAGTTGAATTCCCCGAGAACCAACCACCAAAGCGATGGCTGATCATGGCGAACCCAGATACTACAAAGCAGACGGAACCCTAGTCTGGGATGAACCGTGGCTTCTGAAGCCCGAACATTATTGGAGACAGTATGCCGGGCATCGTGGCCAGATGCACGAGGTCGTCGTCAATTACGCCAAACGGATAGGGGTGGAACTCCGATTCGGCGACGGGGTGGTCCAATACATCGACGGCGACAAACCTGGAGTCCTCACCAGGAAGGGCCTCAAGTATTTTGGCGACGTCGTCATTGCGGCCGATGGGCCTCGGAGCATCGCTCGGCAACAAGTCCTTGGCCTGCCGGACACCAAGGTCAACAGTGGCTACGCCATCTACCGAGCATACTACACTCTCGGCGAGGAACACCGGAACAATCCCTATCTGAGAGAGTTCTGCGATCCGAATCGCGACGTCACCAAGATGTGGGTGGCCAAGGACCTACACATGATCATCTACACCTGGAATAAAGGCAGAGATTTGGGCTGGGTGTTGACCCATAAGGTTGGTGCTATCTGCTCCCTGGCTAGGGAGGGTGTCTAACGAGGTGCACAGGACGATGCAGACATTGGAGAATCGTGGTCGTTCCCCGGGCGAATTCAGGATGTTCTGCGATGCATCAAGGAAGGGGGCTTCGAGCGGAAGCTGGAGGAGGTGGTCAAAGCAACGCCACCCAAACAACTCGTCGATTACAAGTTGGTTTGGCGAGATCCTTTGCAAACCTGGCTGAGCAAGTCGGCCAGAATTGTGGTGATCGGGGACGCCGCTCATTGCCACCTGCCGACCTCCGCCCAAGGTGGCTCGCAGGCGCTGGAAGACGGCGTGGCCCTGGCCATCTGCCTTCATCGTGCCAAGGGCGACGTGCCATTGGCGCTGAAGGTCTTTGAGCGCATCCGGTTCAACAGGTCCCACGTCATCCATATGAGCAGTATTACGATGAGGGACGGGTACCACAACGTCGACTGGGAGGGGGAGTTTATCAGGGAGCACCCCGAAGTGGTGAACCTGCCGCGATGGACGTGGGTGATTGAGCATGACGCGGAAGAGAACGCCGAGCAACATTTCGAGCACCTGGCCCGGGATGTGAGGAACAATCGTCAAGGCACGATTGAGGAGCTGGCCCTTCCTGCGGGAGGCAATTTCGACATTACAAGCCGGGTAGCAGACAAACCCAAGCCGTTGCAGGCCAGGTTGTGATGGTCGGTGTCGGGGAGTTGTGAATGCAAGGTTAATTATTATTTTGTGTACCTACCCGTTGTAGATGCCCACCGATTGCCTTGAAAGGCGACCTGTGACAGTATGTATGGTGCCTACCAGATCCCCGGCTCGGGGGCCCCTAGGCCCGTCTATCACCCGCTGAGTGGGATACTGTGTTGGTAGGAGCAGAGAAGTAAGAGTATTGGTTTAGAGAGTGCGTAGTAGGTTATCTCCAGGTCTCAGAGAGTGCTCCCATGGATACCTACCCAGGTACAGATAAGCCTACCTAGCTAACTGCCAAAGCGCTAGTACGCAAAGGCGTCACAACGGTCCATGTGCCGGGATATCAAACCGCACCGCGACAGGGATGGCAGCAGCCAGCAGGGGCCGGAATAACTTCTCATCACTAATTCCGGCCACGATGTACCCACCATGGCGACAAGTCTCCGGGAAATGATGGACGGGACTAGCCAGTACTCGGGCAACCCGGGTTTCACGGCCTGATCGTGAGTTGCGCGATTCGCAGGGCATTGCGCCCGGCTGGCGGGGACGCTGCCCATGAAGGATCACCGTAGATACAATATAATAACATGGCTTTCATGTTCGAGAAATAACATCTCGACCTGTGAGAGAGACGCACGTCCCGCGAGAGAGTCCCGTCAAGATGCCTGTCCAACACGCTTCCAAAATCGCCCAATACAAAGTCCCAAACCTCCCAGAGGCTGGACCCAACGTCTTCTTTGGTGGGGATGCCCTCGCCCTTCAGCCTGACGTTCCTAACAGAGTGACCAGGCGATGTTCTCGGTAACAAGCGCTTGACGGGCTCTTACTTCCTGCTCGAAGGCCCTGACCCATCGACACCCCCGAAATATCCCTACGACGAATCTGGGGTTCTGGTCAAAGGTATACCAACAACGGCCCAAACTCTTGCTCTTGCTTGTAGGCCAGGAACGTACCACTGACATTACGCCAGGAGAGCTGTCCATCGAGGACGAAACAGGCCAGAAGGTGCACCTGACCGCAGGCGATGTGTTCTTCATCTCCGAGGGCAGCACCGTCACCTTCTCCACCCCCAAGTTTGCACTAGCATACAAAACCTCCAACAGGGCACATTCAAAGTTGTGAACGGCGCGGATGACAGGGAAGAGCAGGAAGGCAATGAAACGGCAAACAGGATCCCTGGTGCCGTCGTGTAGATAGATACCTGGTTTAGATGATCAAGCCAAACAGAGATGCCTGGAGGTTCGTCTACGTCGAACCTACAGACGATTGGTCGAGTTTTTCCGCCTTCGATTGGGTCCCACATCTTCCTCCCTTTCGCCGCTTCTTCAACTCCTCCAAATTGCCGCTTGTCATGTCCAGCGGATGGTTGCAGTCGTCCACTACCTTTGCCCAGACCCACGCGAGAGGCAAAAGAGGGATCTTCCTACCTCCGAGGATAGGCCCTCTCAACGCCTGAACGTCCGTCCAGACGAGAATACGCGAGAGGCGAGCCATCCATCCTCCATATCATACGTCGCTTCGATTGGCCCATCCGGGTGTGTCTTTTGAGTTTGATTCGAGACACTGCTTGCCACAATGGTCCAAAGCACCGGCCTTCCCCTCTGCCCGCCTTGCCATTCTCCACCGCAGATGCTGGGACTTATCGGTCGACACAAGGCCTCGCTTGGTCAATTCGAAGCCACGCACGGCAGCCAGTAGGATTTTTGTCTCTTCAAGGGCCTATTATGCCCTATCTACGACATTGATAGACTGTTCAGCCGCATACGGTGTAGACGACAAGCTCTTCAGTCCCAGATTGTCCCCTCAAATACTCGACAGTGCCGTCCCGCATCCCTCATGTATATCTATTTCTTTGCTATCTTCCTCAAGTCGGGACAGGAGGAACTCGAGCAGTCCTAGGCACAATGGCGGATACCGATATATCCGTGCCTATTCAGGCACCACCTGAACAGACAATGAAGAAGAAGTTCAATTTCTGGACAGCACTTGGTATTGCATTGTGCTGCAGTGGAGCAGTAAGTCCAGCCCTTTACCAATTCTCTTGCCGCAGCTGAGCAATATCAGTGGGAAGGTTGGGTCGCATCCATGGCACAAGGCATCGTGGCAGGAGGCTCCGTCGGGTTGTTTTGGGGTTGGATCTTTGTGTCCATCGGCATCACCTTCATGGCGTGCGCCCTAGCCGAGCTGGTGAGGTAAGCTTGGTCAACCGATATGACCCTTTTCGACGTGGAGAAGCTGATGATATGGTAGTATGTGGCCTTCTGCCGGTGGGCAATACGTTTGGGCAGCCGAGCTGGCCCCCAAGAAATACAAGGCCTTCATTGTGAGTTGACACGATTCTGGAAGATTCACCATCAGGTCGCTAACTCCCTTTTCAAAGAGCTGGTATGTAGCTTGGCTCAGTATCGCGGGTCTCTGGCTGGGAGCAGTGTCTTGCTCCATGGGGGTTGCCGTGCAGACGCAGTCTTATGTGGCCATTACACGTTCATACGACATGAAGCGATGGCACGCCTTTCTCGTATGCTCCAAAGCTCTTACCCGCTTATTTCAGCACATTGTCCCTAACTCAGCAGCAGATTAATGTCCTCGTCATCGTGATGTGGGTGGTGGTCAATATTTTCTATGTCAGAGCCATGCACTGGATGAACGAGTCCAGTAAGAAAAAGGCCCTGCTCCGCTTTCTCAAGGGCTACCGTGCTAATTTTCCTCTCCTAGTTCTATACATCCATGTCGTGGGCTACTTCGTGGTCATCATCACATTGGCCGTGTGCACGGACAACAAGCACGACGCCAAATATGTCTTCACCAACTTTGAGAACAACTCAGGCTGGGAACAGGATGGCGTTGCTTGGTGTGTCAGCCTGTTGCCTGCCTTGTACGCCTTCTTTTCCTTGGACACAGCTGCCCACTACAGCGAAGAAATCACCAACGCCGACGTGGCCGTTCCACGTGCCAGTAAGTACAATGCGTATTTGTGCGGGTTGCCGCCTCCTCGATGATCAAGGACTTACTGTTCCAGTGTACTTGCAGGCTGTGATCAACAGTCTCATGACCATTCCGTTCGTGATCACGGTATTGTTCTGTATCGGTGACCCGATCGATGTGCTGTTCAACTCCCAAATCGGCTTCACCAGTCCCTTTACCCAGATCGTACTGAAAAGCACCGGAAGTCCGGCAGCGGCCATCATCTTGAACGCCATCAGCACCTACATCGCATTTGCGGCGGGCTTGGATCTGTGGGGCGCCACTGCAAGAGCTATGTGGTCTCTTGCCAGAGACGGCGGGCTCCCACAGCTGTTCTCACGCATCCATCCCAAATACGACGTGCCGATCCCGGCGATTCTGGTCACGCTGCCCCCGTCGCTCATCATCATCATGCTTTATATCTTCAATAGCACGGCTTTTTATGTAAGGACCCTTGCGTCATACCACATCATCTCTCAACTTGATTGGCGCAATAAGCTGACGGATTGGAACTTGTCGTTGGCAGGGAATCATGGCCGGTGTTCTTGTGGCCTTCCAGCTGTCGTACGTGATTCCAATCGCCCTCCACCTCTTCCACGCGCGCAGAAAGTCCAGCCTCTCCCCCGGTCGGTGGTCAATGGGACGATTCGGGGTGGTATGCGACATAGTGGCCTTGACCTTTGGCTGTTTCATGATCATCGTCATGTCCTTCCCCACATATCAGCCGGTGACGGCATCTACCATGTGAGCGTCCCCTCCATTCTGAATAAGAAATCGCCAGCGATGAAACGCGCGACTAATCCAGCACTGTTTGATTCCAGGAATTACGCCGTCGCCATCATTGGTGCTATCGTCATCTTCGCCACGGTGCTCTATTTCGCCTACGCACGGGGTCGCTATGCCGGACCAGCCACTGTTTTGGATGCAGTGCGGGTGGTGAGCAACGCGGCCCTTGACATAGCCGTCGAGTCCGACGACACGTCCACCAAACTGAAGGTCGAACCGAAGATGGCGTGAGGAGCGGTCACAAGACAGAGACCCAGCACCGGCCGGATGTCAGAGGAATGGTATACGATAGATTGGACGGAACAAGTAGTGTTATGGCACCACATAGCGGTCCCAAAGATGAGGGATAAGGATGTAACAAATATCTAAGCACACAATCCCAGCTACAAGATCGAATGCTGTCTTGTATTATCGTACCGTGGATGATATGACCAACTATAGACTGTGCCTCCTTTTTCTCGTTTCTGTCTTTTCTGTTCCTCTTCTGTATGCCAGCTTATTTGTCCATCCGAGGCTGTCGAGACTCCGAGTTTCCCACGTGAGAAGAGTAAGGTGTGCAAATTAGGCGATTCGCATCGTCGTGGGCCATGCACAAGGAGGCAGCAGGCAGACAGACGACTGGAACCGAAGGACTGGCGGGCTGAGGCTGTGACAGAAGTTGGGCGAGGCTGTGTGTGGGGCTGTGCCTGTCAAACCGGTCATTGCCGCCCGATCGTGATTGATCCCTATAGTAGGTACTACTAACCCATTCGCATCATTGAATTATTGCCCAGCTCATCTCTACTAGAACGTAAACCGTCCCCAAAATACGCCCTCAGGCCCGTAGCTATTGTTACCTAAACTCCGCGTTTAGCGCGACTTAGCACACTTGGTACGTAAAAATACGCAAGATATATTCGTATATAGAAATAATACCTAGTAATTCTCAGATAGATATTCTTGGTATTATAATAGATAGCCCGTTATTATCGTTATTGTTACTTCTATCCTCTTCTTCGTCGTTTAACAGTATCATAGCTTATTTCGTACTATTTAGCATTAGTCTTATCCTACTATAGATCAATAAGTCTTACGAGACAATAGTATTATAGTAGATAAACTTAAAAAAGAGAGGAAGAAGCGTCTTGGTCCTATATAACGCTATAAGGTAATATAAGTAAAGGTATACGGTAGGACTAATACGGCGCTGGTCTACCCTAGGGATATCGTGAGTTTGGGCAGCAACGTCGTGCACCTCATAAAAGCTCCCCCGTCTTTTATCTCCGGGCCTCTGGCCGGCCGCACTATCAGAAGGCTCCGGATTATTTCCCTGGACCGACCTCGAAAGCGAACATCGCCGTTTGGTGGGGTTCGAGGGAATCGGGCTTGCCGCTCTACTATTCGACATGGCGGATTGCATGGGCCATCCATTGTCGCGCACGCATGGTACCGTAGGCAGGGAGATAGGTAGGCAGACGCGAGGGCAGAGTCACCCAGCAGAGGTGAGTGGAAAGTCTGGGCACGTAGGGCGACAGCCAGCGCAGGCGGACCTCCCATTTTCCCTCAGGACATCCGCGTCTAGCACCTGGACAGGTGCCGCTCGTTGGTTTGCACCAGCAGCCGCCACCATCGACTCAACACAGGCCAGTTTGTCCGGGGATTAATTCTGTTGTTTCACGGACATTGTGTCTCTAGCCCTTTGATAGGTACTGCAGGGACAATTATCCGCAAACGTTGCCTCAGTGCGCCATCAGGAGTTACTGTCGCATGCTCCCGCGATATGCCATAAGTCATATTGTGAGAATCAGATACCGCAAAAGCACTACTACAGGAGTCGGGAGATTTGGGTACCTGTTTCTCTCTGTCTCTCTCTCTCTGTCTTAGCCGGGGCGTGACCAGGCTCGTCTCTTCAAGGCCATCATCTTGATCTCTTTTATGCGTCTCGCAGGGTCGTCCACCTCCTTCTTCGGCCTCGCCTGAGTCGTTGCGCTCGAGGCTGTGTCGACCTCTCCCGATCGACACTCAATCATATTCGGTCCTCGAGAACGATCAGGCCTATCTCTGACCACTGCTATTCCCCGGGGATGGTCGTGGTGGCCGTGCCAGGCGGCCTGGGCGACTTTGGGCGTCTGATCGTGAACGCAATACTGGAGACCGGCAAACATGAAGTATATTCGATCACACGAAAGGTAGGTATTTGTCGGGAAGTCCTGTCAAGACGCCCAGGTCCCCATCCCGTGGACGAGCTATTCCTTCCCCGTTTGTTTCGAGCCTCCTCTTTTCTTACACTTTCGACTCGTACCAGATCCCCGACAATGTCAAGCCTATCCGGTCGCCGGTCAGCGGTGAAGAATACATTCCCGTCCTGCAGACCGACTACCAGGACATCCTGACCATGACATCCCTGCTGGAATCCAAGAACGTGCACACCGTCGTATCGGCGCTCAACGTCGACTTCCCATCCGTGTCCGACGCGCAGATACGTCTCATCGAAGCCGCCGCGGCGACTTCGTGCGTGCAACGGTTTGCCCCATCCGAGTACAACGTCGACTACGACCTGGACGACACGGTGCTGCCGTACCCGGAGAAGAGATTCCACGCCGCCGCTCGCCGGGCCGTGGAGAAGACGCGCCTCAACTACACGTACTTTTACCCGGGCATGTTCATGGACTATTTCGCCCTGCCGCGGATCGAGACGCACATGCGGCCCATCTACACCGTCCTGGATCTTGGCCACAACGAGGCCGCCATCCCCGGCGACGGCTCGGCCGTCATGGCCATGACCTACACCAAGGACGCCGCGAGGTACGTCGCGGCCGCGTTGGATCTGCCACGCTGGCCCCGAGTGTCCCTCATCATCGGATCGCAGCCGACCGTGGGAGAGCTGGTCCAGCTGGCCCAGACGATCAAGGGCGAGCCCCTGGACATCCGGTACGACTCGTTGGACGCGTTGAAGGCGCACACGGCAGAACCGCTCACCGGTAACCGGGCCGTGGGCGACCTCTTCGAGGGCGGCCCCGCGCAGCTCAACGCGCTTGTGTGCGACCTGGCGGCCGCCATCGCCTGCGGGGCCTACGATATTGCCAAAGCCCAAGATGGCGTGGACTTGGTCTCCTTGCTCGGTGACGAGGTAGAGAGGCCCGTGTCCATCGAATCTTTTCTACAGAGATACTGGGCCAAGAGCTGAAGGCATGGGGAGAAAGGTTCACAAGTTCATATCTTTATTCACACTAGAATCTGTCCTTCTCCCATGTTCTGCATAATGTCCTGCCACCGCGGTAACCCGCTGTAAAATCCTTGATGATACAAATCGCGACCCGTCCAGACTTGTTCCAGAACCTTCTCGGCCGAAGACGGGTTATTCATGCCCAGAAGTTTGATGCCCTTCAATCGTGACCGGATGTACTCGCGCTGATCGGGAATGTCCAATTCTGCCCCTAACACGGTCAAACACCAACCGAGATTGGATCCAGGTCCCAGCGCATCGGGCACGGTGGCTAGCAGCTCGAACATCTGATCCATGGATTCGCGGATCTCCGCCGAGGCAGGCTCCTCCGGGGGATGCGTGATGCGATAAATGTAGATGTGCATCGCGTGTCGGAACGTCTCTGCCGCCGCGACTATACGTCTGAAATACTCACGGTGATTGATGTCCTCGATTGCACTGAGAGCAATGCTCTTATCATGACACGAAACAGCCAGCGACGGTTCTGAACCCATATCAATGGCGCTCTCCTTGACCTGCTGCTGCAGATCAATGGCCATTGATTCGACTACCTCCTTGGAACCCGATTCGGCCTCGGCACATTCCTTGGACAGGTCACATAACTTGGCAGCAGCGGCCTATAGATCAGTCAGTTGAAGGTGCAAAGCTGGCGGAGTTGCCTACACAAGCGACGTACCATCAATCGGGGTAAACGGACTGAGCAGCCAAAGAATGGATCAATGCTGGCGTTCGCACCGTCCGTCCAGGTCGCGGAAGAGTCAATCCAGCTTTGCACTTCCGGGGTAGTACATCCCCCAATATTCAGGGCCTTTTGGGTCTCGATCATGGCGAACCAGGTTTTGATGAAGGGATTCAAGTCCGACGAGTTTCCTCTTGCACTAAGCCAGCCTCGAATACCCTGATAATGCGCTGCCCATCCCTTGGTGCCGTTAAAGATCTGCAGGCGCGTCAGAAATGATAGGTTAGGAGGCGCTGGGTGAGAAGGCATCATACCTCGTACGACAATAAAGAGAGCATTGCGACTACGGTGTTTTCTTCGTAGACCAGTTTCGAATACTTCAGTCGTGACTGCAATGAGGCGAATGCTTTCCGGAGATAGTGGCGGGACTCACGGTCCTCCCTTCTCTGCCATTTGCTGTAGTGTGAAGCTGCGACGGCGAGAATCGAGTTCAAGGTGCAGGGATCATTGATACTGGATTGCGTCAACGAACGATACCCGTTTTCGGCGTAATCGATCGCAATGGCTATCCGCGAAAGATTTTCTGGAAAGGCTGGTGAGCAAGCGTCCCGAAACCACAGCTAGGAGACGAACTCAAGTAGTGCTCCATCAGGAAATTCTCGGATTCTGGCAATCCTAGCGAGGAGAAGGCAACCGCTGCCACAGAAGTCTGGCCTACCGACGGCGGCATCGACGTGAGGTTGGGCTTCGACTTTGCTCTTTTCGGAGCTTTTCGAGTCCGTTTTTCTGCCAGCGACGTGGGCCACTGGATTTGAACGCCGTAGCCTGCACATTTGAGCCCAGCAGAGGAGCAGGTATTGCAATCTAGGCAGCGATCAGTCAACGCTGGACAAGGTAATCGCGGGACCTCCGACTTACGCGGCAGCCGACCGTCGCAGTCAGACCGACACTTGCGACATGTCCGACAGGCGCCGTCGAAGTGGTCAGGTTGAAGAGGAAGCCAGGCCATGGGCGTCAAGGCTGACTCGAGTTGCGATGTCTAGTGACTGCTTCAGCGGTGGTCCCAAAAATACTGCACTCCGCCGGGAGACGAACCATCGTGGCAGACATCGCCATTGCGGCAGAGATAAGGTGGACCAAGCAGAGCAGCCAACCTGTTCGTCAACCGAAACCGTCGGATTCTCGATGAGGAGCGGAAGATGGCAGCATGCAAAGGAACCACAAGGGTAATACCTAGAGACTCAACCCTGCAGAACACGACGACGATAAGTAAGGTAGCAGCTGCGAAAGTGGGAGGATGGCTAATAATGCCCTGGCGCAGGTGGTCTATCTCGCCCAAAGATAAGGCTGGGCTCCCCTCGTGCTCCTCTGGCTGCCCGGCAGTCCAGACCTAAAGAACGAGCAAGGGACGCCGGGATCCACCGGAAATCAAGCTACCGCTGGCACTTTCTAGCCAGCTAATACTGTAGGGTCTCTTAGGAGGAGCGCGGGGTAATCTCCACCCGCACAGCCCCTACGCCGCTACCACGGCCCCTAACATCGCCCCCCACCGCCCCCCATCGCCCCCGAACAAAGTACTGGCCGGGCTCGACTGCAGTGTAAGTACGCAATCTATTCCGCACCCTGATCTGGGTGGGGAGGTTCACCTGCGCCCGCCGCTTTTGGCCCTTCTTCCCAACACTAGGCCTGCATTATGCGACGTCTAGATGCAGTTCCTCTACCCATTGATCCATCCACGTCGGCCTCTGTCCTGCCATGTGAGTGTCCATCCATGTTTGGCCGCTTTCGAGGTGATCGAAAAGAATACTCTCGATGTCAGCCTGGTTGGAAAATGAGGGCACATGGGGTTGTATCCATCCTGTGCTTTGCGGCCCCTCGTCCATGCTTGGGAGAGACTGCAGGTTGTTGTCAACACCGGCCATATCTGGGACCGGTAGTGGAAGCCCTTCATTCGGCGCCATGTTGAACCTTGCCAAGGGCAGGTTTGAGGCCGAGTGGCCATTCGCCAACCCTGTCGTCTGGAAAACATCCTTCCCCAGTGGCGGGCGGTCTGCGTCGGACTCACCGTTCCGTTCTGCCGGACGCATGCCCACACTGCCATCCCCCTTCAACAGGTGGCCTCCGGCAGGAGAGTTGGATGCTACGCCAGGGGGTGGGTGCGACACCAGCGAATCTGGACTGGAGTGTTGAATAATATGAGACCGTTCTGAAGCGGCTAAAGAATGTAAACTGTCCGCGTTGGTGTCATAGTAGGCAGCCATTTGCTCTCCGAGACGGTTCTGGTACTCGTCAAGCCACGCCGGTTGCTGGAGACGGTCACAGGCTGGCTCGGCAGCGCTGGTGGCAACGGTCTCGTCAGCGTGGCCTGGGGATGAAGCCTCGCTACGAAATTCGGTCGCAGGTTTGATCACGGAGAGCGGAACCAAAGCAGGTTCCATCAAACCTTCAAAACGGCTGAAATAGTCTCTGAAGAGATGAGCACCGTCCAGCTCAGGTGGAGCGGCTCTTGACTGTTGGGTATTCAGAAGTGTATTAATCTGGAGAGAAGGTCAAGATGTGCGCCAGAAACAATGATCCCTTGAGTCCGAGCTCACCCACGACTCGGTCGGCAAATAGTATTTCTTCATTGCTCCGAGTATGGCGAAATTGATTTGCAAATGCTCCATGGCGTCGTTCCATTCCTGGGTTGTGCCGGCGTGCAGCCGATCAAGGAGCACAAGAGAGCTCTGGTAGCAAGCATATCCTATCAATGGTGTCTGATTTGCGTAAGGCTGAGAACCGAATGATGATTGGCACACTTACTGGAAAGAAGTAGCCAACCCTCATCACCTCGTTGCATATTGTTGATATCGTCGAAGCAGCGGCCTCGCATACATTTTTCCTCTCGACCAAGAAATGCTTAGGGGCCGCTGGATAGTGGATGACATCGGGCGATCCGTCGTCCGCATGCGGCCTTCGTCTCCGGATGGGTAGAAAGATTCTATTCAAGAGGATCGTACAGTAGTGCCATACCAGGGTGCAGTGGACGGGTTCAAGGGAGCCTTGCGCCAGCCATCCTCGAAGGATTTCTCGAGTCGCACAGAACTCACCCGGCTGTTGCAACAGATATTGGTCCAGTGCGCTTTGAAGTCTCCGGAACTCCGATTCTGAGTGCCAATGGTACGGCAATGCCTCCACCGAAGAACTCCTTTCAAACTCCTGAACTCGGACCGCCAACTGCAGCAGTTGGAAGAGCTGGGTTCGATCAGGGTCTCTGTTGTCCACTCCGCATATGAGGGCATGTGAGCTGAGGCCGTGGTTTCCCAACAGATGATACATTTTGGTGATCCGCAGGAAATCACCAACCATATGCTTTGATCGGCACGTTTCAGGGCAGGACTGTTGTTGGCTTTGTAAAAGCTGGATCAGACTTTCAGCGAGGCCTGCCGGGCGTCAGTACAGAGTCGAGCTATCTGGAAAACCGAATGGCGCACTCAAATCAGCCCATGCCTGGACCCCATTGCCGCGATGCATTTCATAAAGGGCGAGAACGCAGAGAGCTTGCCCACGACTCAGCAGGTCGTCATCATCAATAGCCATGAGGCGTGTGCGAGCTTTGTAAGCGAAGCCTGTTTCTTGACCGGGTCCCAACAACGCTTTGGCGGCTTTGTGATTTAGATATTTTGCGCTGACCGCTAACATAGCAAAGCACAAATAGTCTGGACAGTTCTTGGACTCGAGTTTGTTAAAGAAGTCCTCCCTGCACAAACAAGACGTCTGTTGCACATCAACATGTGTCCAGAACAACTCTATGAGATGGCAAATCGTCTCCATTCTGGCTTCCGACTGCCTGGTCACAGATTCAGTAGGAAGACGTCTAGAGCAGCGCCAAACTCACTCGGAGGTCACACTCGGCTCTGCACCGATGCAGATTTCAATGCTCTGCCGCCATTGGTGTAATGGAGGGATGTTTGGCGACGGCGGTGTCATGACCGGGGAAGATGAAGCTTCGGATGCCGCTATTTCGCTCAGCTCATCCCGTATAGGCGATTGTTCAGGTGGAAGCGCTGGGAACAGCAACGCGGTCGACCTCGTTGATTTCGCCCTCGGTCGTGGACCTCGTCTTTGGCGCTGGGTGTCGAATACGCAGTCCAGCTGATGCGCCTTGCAGTAGTCGCATGGTTGCGAACCACTACATCTGGCCTTGGTACCGGTCAATACAAGCATGCCTCAATGGGGGTTTGTGGTGGGAATCTTCACTCTTCGTTTCCGACAACACTCACAGGCCATGGTGGCCTTCCGTCGTCCAGACACATCGGCCGCGGCTTTTGGGTTTGCGGTCGGCATCTTGACATGTTCTTCGAATATGTGGTATTTTTGCCAGTTCTCCTTTATGGTTGACCAGCTTTGGCAAGGTACATCGAGATGACCGCTTCGCAATTGGTTCCATCTGTCACGTCAAACCAGACCTACAGTGTTGCTGCGCTAGGGCATTGTGGTAACTACAAGAACCCATCGAGTTGACAACGTAATGATCGCTCCCTGGAGCACGAGAATTTCGGTCAAAGAGCTTTGATGTAAAGCGCAAATTGGGTGCGAGAAAGTCACAGCATTCGCAGGGCATGTGCGGCGACAGTGGACAAAATGAGGCCTGGTCTGGGCGGGCGTGGGCAAGGAATCGCAACCTAATCTTCGGCGTTCTCTCTGCCCTAAGCAACTTGAAGCCTGGAGTCGCCCCGGTTTACAGTAGGTGGCGCCCAAGGCGTCGGGGTCAGTGTCCCGCCCGTCGACCGACTCGACCCCTCTGGCGCAGCTAGCCTAAGTAGGGCGGAGGAAAGACACTCGGAGTTGAGAATCACGGCTTTCTGGGGCCATCCGCTGCCACAATCGCCCATTTTTGAGACTTCAAAGTATTTTCTCTGCCATCGTGAAACCCCCCCCCCCCAAAACCCGCACGGACCGGGTCTTCTCGGTGGACGCAGGCGGATTCCCTTCAGCGCATATGAAGAGGGCGCTCAGCCGCCACAACTCCGGGTTCGCACCATTCCGCGGACCTGTCCCAGCCTTCGCAACTCGACCACAAGCTGGCCGTTCTCGCTGCCTCCCTCCATGACCGGCAGTTCTCATGGTCAGGGCTTGATAAGCCTGGCGCTACCAGATATTCCGCTCACATCGACCACTACCTTGACTCAACCTGCTCGGATGTCTACGACAGCCCCTACCGTCCATTCTGCCTTCAGCGTCCTTCCTCGCAAGACCTCCCAGACGCCACGCACAACCTCTGATTGCCGCAGCCTCTAGGCAATTATTCCGGCCATTGATAACGCAGGTTTGGGACCCATATCCTGACGAACCTCGAACTCGGCAGTGCCCATTGGCCGACTCCCAGCTAGCCTATCTTCTTGTTATGAACGCATAGATACTGTACTGTGTGCATAACGACCAGCGTGTCGAGCAGGATGGATTACAAAAATGCTGAGATCCTCTGCGGCCAACCTCTCTGGCAACCTGAGCAGAGGTCAACTCAACACCTCAGTTGCAGCCGTGGTCCTCAGTTGCAACCTTAAATACCTGACTCGTGATCACACCCCCGGGTTCCTGTCTCGTCACCGCAACCATGGCCGACGACGAAAGCGTGCAACTTGGCGGGATCTATTCCAACGATGATGCACTCCAGCTTGCCATGTTCGGCAAAAAGCAACAGATGAAACGTTACTTCAACGGCTGGTCTTTACTATTCATGTCCTTCTGCACCAGTGTGACTTGGGAGGCCCTAAGCTCGACCATGGCGCAGGCTCTGACTGCCGGTGGAAGCTCCAGTATGGTTTGGGGATTCCTCGCCTCCGCGGTCGGCACGCTTCTGATCGCATTGTCCATCAGCGAGTACGCCAGCATTATCCCCACTTCCGGCGGACAGTACGACTACGTGACGGAGATGTCGCCACCACGGTTCAGGAGGATATTCTCATGGACTGCTGGATGGATCACAATATGGGGTACGTTCTTGGCCCGACCCTGATGACATCTATAACTCACGTTGGCGTCAGGCTGGATTCTCTCTGGCACCTCAGGAATCTTTGCAAACGCCATGCAAATCCAGGCGTACGTTATCCTGTTCAAACCAGATTATGTCTACGAACGTTGGCATACCAGCTTGGTAAGAGCATTACGAGGGGGCGCAGCTTTTCCCGTTCGGACCTGACAGCGCCCAGATCCTCATCGGTCTCGCGACCGTCTTTGCGAGTGTCGGCATTTTTGGTATCAAGTGGCTGGCAAAGCTGCAGTACTTTGGCATCGCCCTTCATATTTCGGGTTATATCGCTACGATCGTATACCTTCTGGTCAAAGTCCATCCTAAGAACACGGCCGATTTTGTCTTCGCCGACTTTACGAACCTGAGCGGCTGGAAAAGCGATGGTGTGGCATGGTCGATTGGCTTGCTCAGCAGCGCTATCGGCTTCGTCAACTGGGATTCGTCGTCGCACATGGCAGAAGAGATGAAGCATGCCGCTCGAGACCTACCCCGGGCCAGTAAGGAACGCGAGCCGAGTTAGCGCGCCGTCACTAACATCTTTGGCAGTGTATGGGTGTGTCCTCGTCACCGGCGTCCTGACCTTCCCCTGGGTGATAGCCTTGATGTTCTGCATCACGGACCTCGACGGCGTCCTCAATGGACCAGTGGGGCTCATCTGCCCGTTAGTGCAGCTGATGTATAACGTCTCCGGTGGCGAGCTTGGAAGCACTCTCGGGATGACCATCTTTTTTCTTCTTCTGAGCAGCGTGGTCGCTGGGCCGAGTGTGATCACCGCCATCAGTCGGATCATCTGGTCCTTTGCCCGGGAAGGGGGAATGCCCAAATTCATGGCTCGGGTGGACGAGCGACAACACGTGCCTGTCAATGCATTGATCTTCACCTGGCTGTGCGTCTGCGCGCTGGCGTGCGTCTACATTGGAAATAGCACGGCTTTCTACGGGTAAGTGACGAGTCGCGCCAGGCCCCGCGGCTGGATGACTGACATGTTGCAGGCTGTCTTCGGGCACGACGGCGGTCCTCATAGTCTCGTATTGCATGCCCATTTTGATCCACGTCATCTGGGGTCTTGAACCGAGCGGCCTCAAGCCTGGACCGTTTACGCTGGGCAAATGGAGCAAACCGATCAATTACGGCGCTTTGGCGTGGTCAACATACTTGATCACATTCTTGTGCTTCCCCACCACTATGCCCACGACTGCGGCGACCATGAATTATTCATGCCTGGTGCTTGGCTTTGGCTTTGTGCTTGCCGGTGTGACCTGGTTTCTCTACGGCAAGAAGTTGTACCGCGCCAGTGCAGATGAAGTGGACTACGAGGAGACGGAAGTGGCTCTGGCGGTGCTCCAGAACGAGGGTCATGGGAAGCCCAAGTCGAAGGGCTTGGATTGAGAGGGAGTCCAGGGGCCTTGGAGGCCGCCCCGTAAATGAATCTTCGGTGTCTCGTTTAGTGATGGACAGGAATACGTGTATATCGCAACCGCTTAATCGAATATAGGCGTGCCCCAAGAGGCGTTGTTTTTGAGCTCGCTGGCCCCCTCACGTGGCACCTATCCTCAGCTCGTCGGCATCATGTAAATTGTAGCATGTGTGATGTCCGCGATAATTCAATGCGGGAAACGACGGGACTTCCTGCGCGGTGGCGGTGGGTGGTTGATATCCACGTGTTTTTAGGATCAATCCGTCTGGGACTGTGGTCGCGTAGTGGTACGTAGGACGTCGCCAGAGGAGAGAGATACCAGATCGTCTGTTCTGGGTCGATTGGGGGAGGGCGTGATGGCCGTGGTAGTAGTGGTGGGCGTAGGAGGCTTTCGAAAGCCCGGATTAATTCACCACTGGTTGAAGGCGCCAGGAAAAACATGCTGACCCGCAGCATCTCGGCTCGTCCAGGGTTGGATGTCCGTGCAAGGATCAATGGCGGCCGGGGGGCAACGTGGGCCTGGTCAAGACTGAGACCGATGCTGACCCTGGTCCCTGGTCCCGATCAGGCCTCCACAAAGGGTGGGCGTGTTATCTCTGCCGACAAGGAGTGAGGCGCGGGATGTCATTCGACTTCAACACAGACTCGGAGATGCTAGATAGTCGGGCGGCGTCTGGGGGAGGTGCTGGAGCGAGGCACCTGCAGCGGTCATATGTGGTGTGTTCGATCCTCCCAATACTAATATTCCTCCCGAATCTCACGACACACACACGCAGCATGCGTGAGCGTTTGTCGCCTCCAACATGCCCGTCTCAATCACCTATCTGCCCCTGCTGGGGCTTGCCCTGACTGTGCTGTATCTTCTCTCGAACCGCTACCAGAAGGGACTGTGGCGGATTCCCGGGCCCTGGCTGCGGTCCCTTTCGACCATCCCGCGCATGTGGGCGATATATCGCACCCACAGCCACAAGTACGACATCGAGCTGCACCGCAAGTACGGCAAGGTCGTGAGGGTGGCCCCCAACATCCTCTCCGTTTCGGACACGACCGAGATCAACCAACTGTACGGCATCACGACCAAGTTCGTCAAGTCGGGCTTTTACAGCCTGTCCGAGGTGTTTGACGAGAAGGGCGAGCTGATGCCCGACCCCTTCATCCTCAAGGACAAAACCGTGCACACGAGGATGAAGCGCAACGCGGCCAACGCGTATTCGCTGAACGCGCTGCTGCAGATGGAACCGTACGTGGACGAGGTCACCACCCATCTCCTGTCTATCCTCGACCGATACGCCGAGGCAGGCCAAGTGTGCAACATGGGCGACGTAGCGAAGAACTACGCCATGGATGCGATCACCTCCATCACCTTTGGCCGGAACTTCAACTATCTCGACAAAGGCGACACCTTGCGATTCTACAAGACCTTGGACATTTTCACCGACTACATGGCCATAGTAAGAGTTTGACTCCTTTCTCCCCATCCCCCGCCTCCCCTTTTGGCTTCCCTTCCCGCATTCCCCCCATCCGGCCAGGCTGACTTCCCGGGGGCCTCTAGTTTGGACAAATCCCCTGGATCCACCCCTACCTGCTGAAAAACCCGCGCATCGCACAGTGGTGGGTGGGCGAAGACTCGTCGCAGGCCGAGATGATCGCGCTGTCGTCGTCGGAGATCGAAAAGGGCCGGCAGCGCACGGCGGAAGACGGGCCCATGACGTTCCTGGAGCGGTTGCTGCTGAACCAAAAATCCAACCCCAAGTCCATCACGGACCATGAGATGCTGACGCACGCCTGGGGCAACCTGGCCGCGGGCAGCGACACGACGGGCACGGCGATCCGGAGCCTGATCTACTACGTGCTGAAGCACGAGCGCGTCTACAAGCAGCTGTGCGAAGAAGTGCGGACCAAACTAACCCTGCCCGTCCCCTTCGCCGACGCCAACGCCCTGCCCTACCTGACCGCGTGCATCAAGGAGTCGATGCGGATGCATCCGTCCGTCGGGCTGATCCTGGGCCGCACCACCCCCCCGGGCGGCGCGACCATCTCGGGCCACTACGTGCCCGCGGGCACCGAGGTCGGCATGAACCCCTACGTCCTGCATTACGACCCCGACGTCTTCCCGAACCCGGACACCTTCCGCCCGGAGCGGTGGCTGCCGGCCGAGTCGAGCGAAGACCACCTCCGGCAGATGAATCGGTCGTTCTTCGCCTTCGGCCACGGCGCACACACCTGCAGCGGCCGGCACATCAGCATGCTGGAGATCACCAAGTTGATGCCGACCCTGCTGCTGAGGTACGATCTGGAACTGGTCGACGGGGGCAAGGATTACAAGTTCAAGAATCGCTGGTTCACCCCGCAAGAGGGCCTTCTCGTCACCCTGACGCGGAGAGCGGAGACGGCCGCAGGGTCTGGAAGAAGCAGGTCTGGATAAGTCGAATATATTGGAATTGCGTGTCATCCATGTATTTACACCACCACCGAGACCACCTGGGTCATTCGGGGCCATTCCTAATAGAATTCGACCCATTTCATGTTTTGATGAGACCTGGGCAAGAACGTCTGAAAAGACAGTGCGTATAGAAATAAGGAACACGACAACAGCCACTCCGGGGACTACTACTGTGTGGTGGTGAGTGAGTCAGAGTGGCACCGGTAGAGCACAGCACCTGTCCGACCATATCTCTCTATTGCTGCCGGAATTGAGATGTTTAGGACCTCGCTGGGCCGGGCCCCGGACCAATTGGCGCCTTCGGAATAACCGGTGCTAGGCCGGGCCAAGGAGCCTAACCCGGCGGGCCAATCAGCTATTTATGCGGGTGCGGAATTGGCAAAAAACGCTGGCTCACAATTTCTTACCACCACCACACCTGACGGCCTCTCACTCCACCGCAACCGCAACCGCAAGGTGGCAGGCAGCCCATACCGTCACGGACCCCGGCGACGGGAGGCACGACGAAAATCGACGAGGCTCCTCCTGTCTGTCCACCGCATGATAGATAAAGGGCTTCGGAATGGGGGGGTTGGTTCTGTTGTCCAAGTATTTTATCTTGATTCAACGATCAGATCTATAGAGACTATTGCTCTCCCACCCACATCCCCCAACTGATGCCCTTTCCGTCCCGGTCACAATCGGCGTACTATTCAGAATATCGCCAGCTCGGACAACGCTCGCCCTCCGCGAAGACACAGGCTCTCCACAACATGACACACGCCGGCCTCCGAGTGGTGATTGTCGGCGCAGGCTTCTGCGGCTTGACAGCCGCGATCGAGTGCAAGCTGAAGGGCATGCATCCGATTCTGGGTAAGTCGTCTCATCGATGTCTCCGATTCTCCCTAGGAGCCGACGGCCCACGAGGTGCTATGACCGGCGGCTGACCGGAACCCCCTTGCACGACCTGCAGTCGAGACCTATCCGACAAGTCGCACGCAGGGTGATGCGCTGGACTTCCTCCCCAACGGCGGCCGCATCTTCAACTCGTGGGACAACGGCCGCGTCGGCAAACGGCTGTTGTCGATTTGTGTCAACACGTGCAAATATCTCGATTTCCTGAACCCCCAAGAGCAACTGCTCTGCAGAGAGCCCTGGAACAAGTATCCTCATCACTACGAGGCGCAATTTGCCGGGCATCGGGGTGAATTGCACGAGGTGATCAGCGACTACGCCAGAGAAATCGGCGTCGAGTTCCAGTTCGGAAAGACCGTGGTCCAGTATCTGGACACCGAGACGGAGCTGGGGGTTTTGACCAAGGACGGCGAGAAGATCCTGGGCGACGTCGTTCTCGCCTGCGACGGACCGCGCTCCTTGGCCAGAAGCCAGGTGTTGGGTCTGCCGGATAACAAAGTCAACTCCGGCTATGCCATCTATCGCGCGTACTACGAATTGAGCGAGGAGCAGCAGAAAAATCCGCTGATTGCCAAATACATCGATGTCAATGAAGACAAGGCGTTGATGCACGTCGGAAGGGACATGCACAGCTTCGTATATACCTGGAGACGCGGGACGTAAGTCGGCCATGTGTTTGCTTTTGATACGCTGGGAAGGCTGCCCATGCTGATGACCGTCTCAGCCATCTGGTTTGGGTCTTGACGCACAAGGTAAGGGAACACGGCGTACGGGTCTGTCCTGCCGGAGGGCTAATGTCAAGCAGGATGAAAACGACATTGGCGAGTCCTGGTCATTCCCCGGAAACAAAGCGGACGTCATGCATTACCTCGAGCAAGGCAATTTCAGCGAGAGTTTCAAAGAAATGGTTCGCAACACACCCGACGATCGCTTGGTCGACTATAAACTCGTCTGGCGAGACGCATTGCAGACGTGGCTTTCACCATCGAAAAGGATCATCCTCATGGGCGACGCGGCGCACTGTCATCTGCCAACTTCCGCTCAAGGAGCTTGTCAGGCTGTCGAGGATGCAGTTACTTTTGTAAGACCCCATGCTGACCATGTGAGCGCCAATGTCGTCACTAACACCGGCCAGGCGGTCTGCCTTGAAAAGGCGGCGGGTGACGTGCCATTGGCACTGCAAGTGGCAGAACGAGTCCGATTTAACCGGTCTCATACGATTCATCAGTCGTCACTTTCGAATAGAGACTCTTATCACAACTGGACTTGGACCCCTGAGCTGGCTGCAAGACACCCTGGAGCGCTGACGGTCCCTCGGCCAGATTGGATAGTGGAATTTGATGCAAGAAAGACAGCCGAAGAGAATTTTGATCAGCTGGCTTCGGACGTGAAGTCGGGCAAGCAAGGGACCATCGAAGAGTTGGCACTGCCGGCTGGCGGCTCCTTCGACATCTTCCAGGGGGACGTCGATTCTGAGAGTGCGGAGAAAGCTGCCCCTGAGCAGACCGCAAGACTATGACGAGGCTTTCATAGAAGAGATGTAAACGCATTCTAGATCTTTTTTCCGGTCCCATTCCAGGTGCATGGATCATCGACTCGCTGCACACGATGGGGGTGGTTCTGACCCCGGTAAATGTTCTCCACACGGCTCTCCCTAAGCAAAAAGACTCGCATGTGTCCTTGGGGAGAGTCCAACGACAGTTATCAGAATCCCAAGCGGGACTCGACCGCGATGACGAATATCGGTAGGCAAACTGGTTGGCAATGTCGTTGCCGGAATGTAGGTGGATTGTTCAATTTATCCGTGGGCGGAGGAATTCCAGAGTCCCATCGTCGAGTTTTGATCCGAAGAGTGAACGTGCCGGAGACCGATGCCGGTGCCACGATACATTTCAAGGTCGACACTTGATGGGCAGCATTTTCGGTCCCGCATATAGCAGTCGGCTGCTCTTCATTGCATATCACCGTCGCATAGGCTGCATTCCCCGGTTTCAGAAAGAACCTGACCATCAAAGAGCAATGGCATCAATTCTCGAAAAGCATGGCCTCAAATTCGTGAATCCGGCAGACGGTCAGGAGGTCGCCGACCAACTCCATTTCAGCCACGCGGTGATCCTGCCCCCCAACGCACGAACCGTGATCATATCAGGACAAGTGGGCATTTTGCCAGATGGGAGTGTGCCGCAGTCTCTCGAGGATGAATACGACGAAGCGTTCACGCACGTCGAGAACGTATTGCGCGCCATTGGTTTTGGAGAGGATGCATTGGAATACGTTTTCGATGTAAGTGCTACGGAGAAAATCGATCATGCGATGCTTAGGCTGACCGTTGCCGACGGCGTCTAGGCAACGTTTTTCCTCAAGGGTGGCATGGATCCAAGCCTGTTGGTCGAGGTAGCGAGGAGGAGGTTCAAAAGCACCAGGCCAGCCACTGTGGGGGTTGAGATTGCCCAGTTGCTCCATCCCGATCTGCATCTCGAGATCAAGGTGGTCGCCTATATGCCTGACTCGGTGGCAGCGTAGCTCGAGCAAAGCAAGCTTTGAGCCGAGGATGCTGTCACACGGCGATTTCTTCGGCCGGGATCGTGCAGCGCAGGAGAGGGAAAGGAGATTGGTCTCGTGTCTCCACCATCAAGAAACGGAGTAGTGTCCATCTCGCTGCAGAGGTCCAGCCCCGTCTGGATTTGGCCGATAGAGTGATGGATCACTTTAGCAAGGGTTGAGATGTAACTGGGGAAGCGCGTGCCTCAGCCGCGGTGATAGCAAGAGAACGATGCAGGTGGCCGGATATCTCAAAGACACACTTATTTAGAGGACTTTAAATAAAGCTACTACTTTAACTACAGCTATCTCTTCTTCTCTTCTTCTATACTAGTTAAGAGTTCGATATCTCTAACTTCCCGGGACTAACGGGAGCCGGAATACTAAGGGCTCTCGTCGTACTTCGTCCTACTAGTAGAAGGACTCTCGTTATACTTCGACCTAAGAGCTCTAAGAGTATCTAGAGTAAGATAAATATAGATTAGTCTTGTACTATACTAATATATACTAAATAAAATATTATCTTTTTCTATAAGCGTAAGTTTAAGCTCTAAACTAACGAGATTCTAAAACGTTTTCAAGTCCAAAAGCGTTTCGCTTTAAGAATTATAAATGATATCGATTACATCGGCAAAACTGCCAGCCCTGCCCAGGAAGCCCAGGCTAGCCCAGGGCCTCCTGGGCTAAACTGCCACAAATTGAGCCCATGGGTCCCCACAGCATCCTAGGTAGGCTGTGGGCCCTACTAGCGTAGCCTATATGCTGTGGGCTCTTCGCTATATTACGTAATTATCGTAACTTCTTTAATTTATAATTATAAGTACGATTTAAACTACTACTAGTACTAGGCTATAGCTAGCGTATAATAGGGTATTAGAGTACGTCTATATCGAAAATCTTAGGTTTATTAGCTAATATTAAATTATTAGTAAGCTAGCGTAGATAGTTAGCGCGCTATAATGTACCCGAAATACCCGCTTTTAGCGTCTTAGCAAAAAGTAAAAATTTTATAAAATTTTATAGTAATAAAATCACGTTATATTACGTAATAAATAGAGTAGCTAAACTACTCGCCCACGGCTAATATACTAAACTATAAGGCGCTCTATAGTAACTGTATAGTAACTGTATAGCGACTTACGGCTAATAAGTTATATTATAAGCCGCCGTGGGCTCCCTGGGCTCTTATAGCATTAGCTTTGGCTGTGGGCTAGTGGCAGTTTTGCCGATGTAGTTCCTAAATATAAGAATTATATAAGATCGAAAGTAACGTAAGTTATAGCTTATTTAGGACTCGTATATCGATAAACTGTTATTTAAATTTAGTATCGATTTATACGATAAGAAGCTACTATTGACTCCTCTCTCTATAGAGAATCTTATACTATATAATAGAGAAACTATTCTATAAGAGATCTATATATAATATCGGCAAAAGTGCCACTGGCCCACGGCTAAAGGTGCGGCTATCAGAGCCCAGGGAGCCCACGGCGGCTTATAACATAACTCGTTAGCCGTGCACTGGCAGGTGAGTCGCTATACTGTCGCTATACAGTCGCTACGTGGCGCCTTATAGCCTATTTAGTTAGCTACCAGCTATTATAGCACTAGTATACTAGCCGTGGGCTAGCTATTTAACTACTCTATTTATTACGTAATTAAACGTGATTTTATTACTATTAGATTTTTTAAAAATTCTAGTTTTTGCTAACTTAATAGCATATTAAATCTATTAATTTTATAATGATAACTATACGGCTAGATATTATAAGGGCGTATTTCGTACTCTCTTGATATCTATATAATCCTTTCAAGTTACTTAAGTACTTCGTAGCCGCTAATCGAGTACTAAAATACTTCAAAACTTGAAGAACTCGCTCCGAGTCTTTTACACTTAAATTCTCTATATCTATCGAAAAGACTTCTTAATATAACGAATATGAACTTAAAAGCGTTAATACTTTTAAAATATACTTAGACGCTATATTCGCTAATAATACTAATCGAAAAAGCTTAGACGAATATCTCGTTCTACTATATAGAGGCCTAATTAATTAGAAAGTCTTTTGCTAGTAGTAAGATATAGTAACTACTATATTCAGTACTAAAGCTAAACTATTAGTACTTACTTATATAGCTAAAGAGATACTTTAGTAAAGTTACTTCTTCTATTTAATCATGAATATAATTATATCTCGATTATTAACTTACTATTAAAGCCGATAATTTATAGACTATTCAACTACTACTAGTAACGAAAGATAACTTTTAGCTATTTACTAAGCTAAAGTATATAATATATATAAGTATTACTTAAGATACGAAGTATAATCTAGTAACTAGTAGTAAGATACGGCTAGAATAGGTAGTAATAGCTAATATAAGAGTAGATAGCTTTATAAAAGCGCTAATTATACTCGATTCGTTAACAAGTATCTTTATTAATTTATCTTATCGATATATAGACTATACTCGATAGTAAGGCGTCGGATATAGCCTAAAGAGGGTATATTATAAGTAGACGGCTTCGATACTCTACTACTAAGACTATTACGTTAACTATATTTACTACTTAAGATAGAAATCTCGCTATTAATCTAGAATAATACATAATAATAACGTTAATAATAGATTTACTATACTCTAGAATACTCTATATTATGATGCCGTAAAAGATACGGTGTCCTTTTGTCTATAGGGTATTTAGATGCGGCCTGTACACCACGAGGTTTGCAGTCGCTAGAGCACTAGAGCACAACAACTAGAGCAAATTCAATCATCGTTAGCGTCCCTAACAACAGCTTGATATCCACACCCACCAAAAGTGGACTCGGAGCGGGCAAAAACTAAAAGTGTGGGTAAGGTGGTCAGCCAATGAGAGAAGGCTTTGGTGAATTTCACTGCAGGTTCCACCGCTACACTGCTAGTGCATCGCTGCAACAACTACAATGTTGTATAATGTTGTAGGACCCCGAGCAGTACCATTATAATTTACTTACTCGGCTCTACTAGATCAAGGTAGCACCAACAAGCTACAGTATCTCCGGCACTAGTTCCGGTCTCTAGTTGTAGCTGTAATGGGGAGAAACAGCAATAGGTCCCCAACCACTCGGAGTTGGGAAAGAAGAAAGGAAGTAACGTTGTATATACGACAGGGCGGCATAAGCTGAGAGGAGAGCGATGCACCTACTAGTAACGGATATGTTGGCCCAGAATATACAACTACAAGTACACACCCACCGGCATATAACTGTACACATCGCTCACTTATCTCATCGCCTTGGCTGCGGCTATAATAATAATGATAATAATAAAATAACATCCACCGCAAGAGTCCTGCCTTGGAGGAATAGGCACCGGCACCGACACCACGACCACACCTTATACTGCCGCTCAGTATTCATTACCAGAGTGTTCATTTGCTTCCTCATATCCGCGAAAAATCAAAATTGCAATGTGTACTGCATGTTCCAAAAGCCTGTACCGAGGATGATTTAGGTGGCGTGCGTGGGCTTCAAGTCGGACCGGGACATGGCCAAACCCGATGATTGACCCATAACAGCACTCTCTGGGCGCAACAAGCACCGGAAATCCGTCCTTTTGTACTATCACACGGCTGTAAAGACTATGCTACGGCTACAGTACATGCTGCCGAGGTAGATGGATGCTGCGTAGTGAGCCTTTCTCACCGGTACGTCATGCAGAACACGAACGCAACAGAACAGAGCAGAACAGCCAACATAAGTGATTCAAGGCAAGAAATGAATTATTCTACAAAAGGACCCGGTCAAGATGTGTACAGTCAATTCGCATATGTCCAGGTTCCGACCCTTTCAGCCTCCGGGGTATCTATGAACGCGCCCGATGCGTCCGAAAAATCCTTTCATCATCTCGTTTCGTCAGTAAACTAGGTATGCAAGAGGCAGAGTTTGAACATCCAAACCCCTTCTTGCCTAACCCCTAATGCCTCTTTTGGCTCTCCACTGCTATGGCAAGAACGAATGCCCGCCGTCTTAGTAAACGACAAGCTTTTCTGAGTCCTACGCTCCCCTCACTTTTGTCGTAACAGAACACACCTCCTTCCTCGGAAAGACATCAATTATGAGACATCGAATAAGAAAAGCAAGCAGTTTGCTTGTGACTCCGAACAAAGCTATTGACAAGTAGGGGCAAAAGCAATCAGAATCAAGCACGTTGCCTCTTCCGGCCGTTGTCAGCTTCGTCTTCGTCTTCGACCGAGCTCAGCTTTCTTCCCTTGCTGCGCGTAGTTGGCCCATCTACCTTGGCGTCTTCGGCAGATTTGGGCGTCGTCATTTCGCTGCTTGGAACACTTTCGACGCGACCACCACCATCGCGCTCAAAGTCACTTGCAGTCTCGTACTTGAAGTTGCCGTACTGATCACGCACGCCATTGATTGCCGAAGCGCCGTCAACGTTGAAATCGTACTTGTTACCGCCAGCTCCGGCATTCTTTTGGTTCAGATTGCCAAAGAGCTCATCGTCATCCTTGTAGTCAACAAAGTTGAGGTCGTCGCCGGTTCCGGTGGCGTTGCCAGAGCCAAGCCCCGTGCTTCCAAATTCGTAATTGCCATTGGCATCGCTCGGGAAGTCAGCAAAGTAATCATTGTTGCTAAGGAAGTCGTCAATGTCCAGCGGAGGCGGGGGAAGAGACTGCCCATCTCCAATGCCTGGGATGGAACCGGTAGGACTTAGTGGCTGCAAAAGATTGGTCAGAGCCTGTACGTTTTTGTCTTGCTCGGCCTGAAGTTTTGCAAGTTGATCAAGCTCGGCTTGCGTGCTTTCTAGACGGCGATGGAAGTTGGCAGGACCAGAAGGAGGGGTTGAGTTGATCAAAGCATTGTCTTTCCCCGGTGGTTGATTCGTCGAATTGTTGATCATCTTCAGCACGTCAGCACGCTGTGACGTGGTAAGAGGCCCTGATCCAGTGGATGACTCGAGGCTATTGAGGACGTTCGAGAATTCCTGAGCCGGTGATGTTGGACCGCCGGAGGCACTGTTGGCGCCGCTGCGGGCATTGGCGTTTTGAATCAAAGACATCATCTCGCGCTGCGGCATGTCGCGACCCTGTGTCGAGGCGTTCGTGGCACCTGAGGGGTTCGGTTTCGTGACGCCCGTATCAAAGATTTCTTCCACGCTCGGAGAAAGCGTCGACTGCGGAGTATTACCCATGTTTTGTGCCTGTGGGGGAAATGGCGTATTGGACGAACGCGGGGACAATGTACTTGCCCGCCCTTGTCGTCCACCACCATTGGTGAGCAGTAAAGGTTGCTTTTTGAAGGGTTTTTGCAGATCGCCGTCGATGTTGAGACCATTGAAAGAATAGTCTCCCACGTCAACGATGTTGCCTTGGTTTGTGCCATCGACAGGGATGGCATTAGTGAACAGATTCGCAATGCCTTGAATGCCGTCGTGGCCTTGTAGACCACGGTTGTAGACCGTGGCAAGGAAGGTCAAGATCGCATTAATCGAGTTTTCATGACGGTTATGTTGTTCTTGGAACGTGGCGGCTTGCCCGTACAGTTGTTCGTGTTCGCGCTTGAGGGCTTGCATCATACGGGAAATCTGAGCTTGCTGGTGTCGAATAGTGGCAAGCTCACGTTGAACGTTCTTGAACTGTTCTTGTGTAAGGGCGGATTCGGGAGCCCTCAGGGCGAGTTGGCCGGGCCGGGCACGAACACGGTTTTCTCCATTGTGGCCTACATCGTCGGTGTATTCTTCGGCATCTTCCTCCGTCTGATCGTTCTCGGTCTTGCCCTTGCGCTTGGACGCCGGTCCACTGACATTCTTGGGCTTTTGAATCAACCACAACAGATCCGGATGGCCACGGCGGAAGTACGGATTAGAGTATTCGCTCGGGCTTTTGTTCTTTCTCTCGCTTGCTCTCATCGAGTTATCCGAAAGGCCGACCTTTTTATGAAACCCATACATGTTGAGTTGGCGAACAAAGGAGGCATAGTTGTTGTGTTTGAAGAGTTCGGGAATGAGCGTTTTGGCAAACTCATCTTCGTCTAGGACAATGAAGGAATTGCCATCGTCCGACCAACGGATAAGGTCAGTGTTCTTTCCGTCCTCGAGAAAACTGTGAAAAAGTCAATAACCTTGCACGTCCTCTGCCGTGTGGAAACCATACCTATTCAATTTCTGGACAAAAGGTGGTATCTGCTTCCTCTTTGCTTGTGCTTCGCGTTTCGCAATCTGTGCTCTAGCCTCCAATTCCGCGATATCATCGTCCGGCCAGTCTGCCTCGGTGGTATGTGGTATTCCGTTCAAAGTTTCACCCCAGGTAGTACTATCTTCGCTCAGCCTGCCTCGGGCGGCAAGCTGGTTTATGGGCCTGCGAGTGAGTTGATTCGACGGTTGCATTTGCGGCTGTGGCTGTGGCTGCTGTTGTGGAGGTTGAACCTGCGGGACTGGTTGAGACACAGGTTGAGGAAAAATGGTCCCATTGATGGCATATCCAGGATCATTGTAAGGGACTCCTGTTTGACCAGTCTGGCCCCATTGGAAGAACTCATCGTTAGAGAGATTGGGGCCTAGTCCGTCATTGAAGCCCGGAAGAGTGGCGGGGATAGGAGATGCAAACGGCACGGGGTCGGCGCCTGGAGCAGGGCGTTTTCGCGAGAAGCCCTGAGATGCCATGGTCAAATCGAGCGTAAAGAGTTCCTCAGATGTCGGTGTAGAATGATCCTTGTTCTGACTGAAAAGATTTCAAGCTGGTGGAAGTGATGCAGTGTCGACCTAACACTGCCAACAGATGAAACAGTCGTCGGCAGGTATTTGGTCTCGAAGCGGAGCAGCGAGGTCGAGAATTTGAAGGTTCGTGTATGTCTATGTCGATGATGGGAGGGGTGTCGGGAGGAGGAAGTGGGATGTAAGAAGAAGAGGTCGTCAATTGAGGCGGGCTCGGTAGATGACAATCTAACGCTTGAGTGAGCGAAATCTCAAGGTCGGGCGAGACGTCCGGATGGACCTGGTAGTGTTGTCAATCCAACGGAGGGGGAAGGAACATGGAGAGGCGTTAATTCGATAGAGGAGGCCACGGGCAGATACAACCACATGAACGATCACGATCGAGATGCGATCGCAGGCTGCATTGTGCAGTGCCAGGCGGTCGTGCAGTTTGTGTTTTGCGGGATTGGGAACTGGAGCGGGCTGAGGATAGTATGACATCGCTGGCCAATGGGCCGCCACCGTTCCGCCGTTTTTTCGACCGGGAGACGAGACGCAATACCAAGCCCGCTCCACCGTTGCACTTCGCTGCCACTGCCACTGCACTGCAGGCTGGACCTCACGTTCTCAGGCTTTGCTCGGTACTACGAAGTACTACCACTGAGGCTAGTTTGCTAGTAACCGGCCAATTCAACGCAGGTTTTCCTGCGTGGCCGTGTCAGGCCGCCGGGCTCGTATCTCCTCCATTCAATTGTCACACTATCCAGCTCGGCCAACAATCCTGCCAATGGCCGCCGTTCCCCAGTCCTTCCTACCCAGGCTAGCACTGCAGCATCTCACGCAGCTTAAGGCTTATACTACGCCAGCCTTGCGGAACAAGCCGGATGTACAACTACTGTGTCCGGTCCAGATGGCAGAGGATTTCCCATTTTCCTTGTGCACGCACAACATCACGTTCCTCGTCAACGATTCCCATCAAGATCTGGAATCTACAACTATACTGCATACAGCGCTTGCAACAGTCTACATGCTGTCAGGCCGTTGTCGGTCTCTATTCCCTTTCAAGTGGTTATTGCGCACAATCACACAATAGTCGGAGGCTTTCTTCAGTGATTCTGCCTTTCTCACTAGCACGTTTAACGCGTCCTGAGTGCGCTCTAGCAGGCCGCACAAACCTTCCTTCGTCTAAGCGAGCAGACCGGGTGGCAGGGTAGCCAACGAAGACCGAGCATTCAGGACTCGCTCGATGACCCGAGCTCCACCTGACTCCTAGCTCGCGGCTAGTGCTGTCTACCTGGGATCAGGCTTTTCCGCTCGAATCAACAGCTGCCCTCACCTTGGGGCTCTCCCGGCAGAAGCGGACAAGCCCATCTTGCAGTTCGGATCTGATGTCCGAACCTATATTTTGTTTTTACGGCCTAGGTTGGCCAATGAGTTTCCTGAAGTCGGCCACTATCTTCTGCCATTGAGCTGGGTGAGACTCGGCATATTCTTTGGCCTTTTGCACCGCTTTCCAGTCTTCTTGCATGTGCTGCGTCTTCTTGGTGCCGTTCAGTATAACTATATTACCCAGCCCAAGGACGAGACAGTATAGGGCCGATTGTGGACTGATCTTGAACAGTTCCGCCAGAGAGCCGGCCTCGTTTGACCAGACCAGGTTGGGGTTCGCGCTCAGCGTCCAGAAACTCTGGTAGATGATGTTTTTCTCCTTGCAGAACTGCCGCACTGCAATGTCAAACTTGGTATTCGGATAGAAGCGGTTCTGCACCACGCTTGGCTTGATGGTCGAACGTTCATAGATATCCATCAGCGTGAACAGGTTGCAATTCGAAATGCCCAGGTTTCGGATCTCATTGGGGACATATTGCTCAAGAGTCTGCCACACCTCCAAGGTGTCGTTCAATGACTCCATGGGAGAGTGTAGGACAAGGGTGTCGATGTACGGCTGTGCTTCATCATCGCCCTTGACGACATCTGCAAAATTGAAGTTTCCAAGAGATGAAATGACCGACGCATTCACTTGGTCCGCGATAGGGCTTTTAGCATCATAAGGAATGTTGTCGGGATCTTGTCCTCCAACGCTGGTAAACTTGGTCTGCAGGTACAGGTCTGATCTTCTGATCTTTCCATCTTTGATTGCTCTGGACACGCCAGCGCCAACAAGGTCTTCCCTATAATGCTTGGGCTGGGCAGCGGTGTCGATTGCGGTGAAGCCGTTGGATATAGCCTGGTAGACCAGCTCTGTGGTGGCCTCTTTCTTCCAAGCCGTCCCGTAGATGAAGGCTGGCAGGACTTGCCTGGTGGACAGGTGAGGTGCATGCAAGACCAAATTCTCGAAGAGCGCCGATGTCGCCATTGCTATCTCTTATAATCCGACAGTGGTGACTTGATCAAATTAGGAATTTGAGTAATCCCTGTATCACCGAAGGATAAAATACAGTACCTGTTGACTGCTACACCAACTGGGGTTCACAAGATCTACCTTGCAGCCACCCTCGTTTGCCGAGTAGCTTCGGTTCCCTCGAGATTGAGATCCGTAACGCTTTGCACTGTTGTGCTGAGCAGGTAGGTACCTAGGTATGTAAATGGCAGTTGACGCTGATCGATATTGACGTCTGTCGTCTGAAGTTGGCCACTCTTTTGAAACTGGAGTTGCTGAAGGCCAACGAGCGTCAGCCACATCTCGACCCCTGAGACTTTTCCTTGCACCGCAGGTTATCAGCCTTTGACGATGCGGGGCAAATGACATTTATTATTCTTGCCGTACCAGGCTCCTGGTGCAAGGTAAGCAGGGCTCGAGTTAATCAGCCTCCTCTGTAAACATTGCAACTTGAAGCTGTGCTACTAGTACCTGACAAGTATCCAGGAGGATGAAAACGCAATTGCTTCCTGATCTCACTCATGGCTGGATGGCAATGCCATGCACACCACTCTGCATATGTACCACTGAATGACAGGCTTCTGTTACATTCCCATGCGGGTTGAAGCCACACAGGGCTACAGTGTACACAATGTTTAATAATCTCGCCGAGAATGTTCTTACTGCGGCCCAGGTCTCCCTTCTACTATACTCATTAACGTTCACCCCAAGAGCCTCTTCGGCTCGCAGTTACTTGCGACATGACTGCCGCCTAGCTACTTTCCACCAGGCAGCGGTCTCACTAAACCGGATAATCCCAGACACTCTGGGTGCAAGCCAGGCAAAATCGCCGCAAAGGACGGTCTAGACACAGGGAAAATCTGTGACAGCGCTGTTTGCGGTTCGTAACGGCCGATCCCATTACGTCCCCGTGGGAGGGCGAGTACTTACCGTCAAATTGAGGAACGAGAATGGATCACACTAACACCGAGGACAGACAGAAGGCTTCACCCGCCAGCAGTCACTGATCTTCTTGCTAGCTAATCCAGGTAAAGGAGGCAGGTTGCGAATAGGGGGAAGCTATGAGGGCGTCAGCAGGTGGGAACGTAAGGCTCCGGTGGCTCGGAAACAGAGGCGGAGGGACGGGCGGAAGTGAGGGAACCGTATCGTGTGACGCAAACCGAGATTCTCTGGTGGCCGCACTGCCATTCTTGTGTAGAAACAGCGTGGCCGGTGGGTGCAGGTGGATAGACCTCAGGTGGATAGAGTGGGCAAGATGATAGCACATTATTTGTAGGCCAACAAGGGGCAGCAAAGTAAGAATTTCTGGATGGGCGAGTTTGATTGCACTTTGATGATTGTGGAGGAAGGTGGGATGTGCGCGACGGCGCGCGTGTGATAAATTAATATTGTGGGCGCAGGTGCCAGCGCCCTCAGGTGCCAGTCACGGTGGCCTCAAGCACCTTGCTTTAAACTTCAATGATAGTATCCTGACTGTCGCTAGTACTGGTAGTCGACAGTCGCATCTCAGCGAATACTAGTATTGCTCTCAGCATAATAGAATGAGAGCACGAGGTGCGGCGCAGTGTGCAAAGTATGCCAATGCCAATGCCAGCGGGGAGTCGTAGACGGTCGTACTAGTAGTGAATTTATAGGCTTCCCTGATGTGGCCGCGGGAAATTTTGCGCCTGTGGGCTCCAGGCTGTCAACAGGAAGCTGCGGTGCTGTTACGAAGAGGACGCCGCCCATCATCAAGTCAGGGCGCACAGTCGGCAGGGGAAATGGGGATTCTTAGGCACGCCCGGCACACGGCTTGGGAGGCCACACACGCTCTAGTTCACCCCTACTTCCTCTAGTCTTGCCAACGTCCATGTCCTAATTTCTTTGTTCTCAAAACTCCTTCGAACCTCATCACCTTTTCCCAATCCTCCCAGCTCCCTTCGCCAATCTCACACATAGTCGCAGTTGCTGGCCCTCATTTGCTTGCGACTGCCACCTTAATATTCGCGTCTCCATCGCCCCGTCTATCCTTACCATGCCTCGCGCTCACGGCTAGACGACTTCAACTGGAGACGTCAAGCGGTCACTTTTCCCCCTGTGCCCTGCCGGTCCTTTGACTCGACACACATCGTGGAAATTCTTCGCCTCTGAACTGCTATCCCCTAAATCCACCTACCTTGACTCCGTTGGCCGAGCGACTGAACTGCTCTCTTTCGAAAGTCGAAAATCTGTTCTGGATCAGGGGGTCCACATCCCTGTCTCCATCCTCTTTGCGACTTTCAGACGCCAGCCCTCCTGCGCAGTCTTGTGTCTCTGAAATACAGCCTTCTGCAGCCCACGCTCGTCAACTCCGCCTCCGACGGTCATCCGTTGCTTCTGCCACCGGCGGGAGATATAAAGCACTCGAAAATTAGGAATATAAAACTCGGTCGGACGGTTACAACAAGGTTGTCGCGGAGTGTTTGGGCTTGAAACAACGTCAAGATACACCCTTCAACAGTATCTGTTTGCAAAATGGCAACCTTCTCAAACGCTCCAGAAGGCTTCTACGATGACCTCTCTGGCACGTCGCCAAGAGCGTTTCGCAACCCACCGCTAAATCGCCAGAACAACAGGAATGATGGCTATGGAACAGTGGGCTCCTCTATGTTTGGAACTGAAGGTTCTGTGCCGACTATGCGATTCGATAACGTGCGAGATGGATTTGGTGGACCAATGCAGAACCAGGGGGTCGGGAATGTTCATTTCCCCTACGATCCAGGCGCGGCTCAAACCTGGGGCACTAACGGCGGCCCCTTGCAATCCTTCAGCGGCAATCTGGGAACCATGCCTCATAATTCGAACTACGGCCCAGCACGAAGTGTAAAACCGAGTCGAGGCCGCATGGGTCTTTCAAACGTGAGTGCCAAGTCTGTCACAGCTTGCTCTCCCATTGTACTAATTGTTATAGCAGCTTTGGGGCGAACAGCCTGCCCAAATGCAACAGCCGCATCCGACAATGGGCGGCCATCGGCCAGGAGTCCAAGCTCGAAACGACCATCATGAGGACGACGACGAGTTGATCCCTACAGCTATCGTCATCAAGAATATTCCTTTTGCTGTGAAGAAGGAGCAGCTTGTTCAACTCATGGTTGACATGAACCTGCCCCTCCCCTACGCATTCAATTATCACTTTGATAATGGGGTATTCCGCGGTCTTGCCTTTGCCAACTTCACCTCTCCGCAAGAGACCGAGCAAGTCATTCAAGCACTCAACCATATGGATCTCAGTGGCCGCAAATTGCGCGTGGAATATAAGAAAATGCTTCCCCTTGCGGAACGAGAGCGAATTGAGAGGGAGAAGCGTGAGCGGCGGGGCCAACTTGAGGAGCAACATCGCCCAATACCACAAGGTCAACTGCACAACCAAGTTTCATTGTCATCTATCTCGCGAAACACTCCGTCACCATTATCACACCGTGGTGCAAAGCCTGGTAAGTTCGAGTTGCCGATGTATGTCGGACGTGAAAGCTAACACTGACCCTAGATGTTGACATGAATGATCCCAAGACATTAGAGTTCTATACTGAGATGACTCTTTTTAAGCGCGACCCCTCGCGCGAAGTCCTTATCTTCCCACCAACCTTGGAACCTCACCACCGTCGTATTGTCCATACTCTCGCTCATCATATGGGCTTGATGCATACTTCCCGAGGCACTGGAGATCAGCGACAAGTCCACATCCATCGATCGGTCCCGGGCAACAACGTCAGTCCTCCTACTTTATCCGGGGGATTTGGTGCAAATGACAATTTGCGACAAAACCTGGGCAGATCATCTACAGCTGATTTCAGCGAGGGAAGACAGTATAACGGCCCGTCCTTCAACACTTTGCGAGGCCAGTCGTCTGTTGGTCTGCTGGACGTCATGGACTCAAATGCTTTCGGACGTGCAGCGGACAACAACCTCCGCAATGCAAAATCGTTTGCCGACCTCCGTTCCTGGAGCCCTTCGCCCGTCCCCTCGTCTGCCAGCTTCCCGGCCGCCCTGCAAACCAACGGCGCTCGTCTTCAGGCTCTCAATGATACAGCCAGTTCCACCACTCCGAATTTGCCATCCACCGGTGTGCCTTCGGCGCAATCTTCCAATAGAGACGAGCCATTCCTCATTTCCTCCTTCTCAAATCTGTCCATGAGCAACAACGGGGGCTCTCAGACCAGTCCCAGACGCCAACGAAGCTTTTTCGGAAACGGACCGGAATGGAGTGACAATCAGAACACATACCAGCCTACTGCTCCCATTGGCAGCAAGAGAACCGTCAGTATTGGACCGGAAAACTCAGCTCAGAATGCCAACCCGATGCGCCAGGCTCGGGGACCCAACCCAAGCAATACTGTTGGGTTTCGCAGACAGAATGGACGGGGTAGCGATGAGTTGAGGGCCGGGGCCTCAGCCATTGCCGAATAAAGAGAGACCAGATACCCCCACCCCTTTGATGACGCTCCTGCAGAGCAATGACGATTCAATGAACCACGAACGATACGAACCAGCCCCCCTTACCTGGAAACAAAAGTTAGACGCATAGGGCAGCTACATGACTGCATGATTGGACTACAGAAAAAGAATGTTGTAACGACCTGACAAGCCATGCATGTGGTGCGGCTTGCAGCATGTTTTTAATGAGTCCCAAGAAGAACGATTGAAAGTGGTTTGTACAATTTGAACTTTGAAGTCGGAGACGGCGGTGCATCCTGGGTGTTGTTGCGGAGGGTCTCCGTGGAGGCACTTCTGATGAGAGACATGGTCGTGTTAGTTGCTTTTCTCATTTATTGTGTGCATTTGATATGGTCTGGAGCTCAGGCTGCTGTTGTGATGGCCGGAGAGACTGGTGCTGATGTATGAGATACACTCGTTCTACTAGTAATAGCTGGCAGAGCTTTTAGGGGATCTGCACGTAATATCAAGGTATATGTCGTCTTTATCCAGGCATCTTCCACTTGGATCCAGTTCTTTTGGGATGCCTTTCACATTCCAATGCTACAACGTGGATGTTGTACAATCCACGGTACCCGGTAGGTATCACCCTTTGCCACTTGGATCTTATATAAGCGCCAAGAGAAGTCTCCATTTGCGGCTCGAGGTTCTCTTCTTGTTCTCAACATGCGCGTAGTTGCTTCCTTCGAGCATCAGGTACAATTGTAGGTGCCTATAATGACAACAGACCTTGTTCGTAAGTGGGGTTATCTCTTCCAATTCACCAGAATATGTGACAGTGTGGAACCAGCCTTATTTCTGCGCGAAGGCGAACAGGTGAACGCACGGCGAACTACAGTACTACAGGTTTAGGCGGCATTTCCCTCTACTATGGAGGGGCCTGGTTCCGCCGCTTCAATCAAGCTGCTGCCTAGCTATAGTGGCCACGGTGAGTCACCAGGCAGACTAATGTTCAGGATCTTCCCACCTCTACACAATGCCTGTTTGAGGTGAACATGGCAGCCGCTTCTGAACTGCCAGTGCCAGCCTGCCAGTGAGTGCCGTGTCACGACTGGCTACGATTCGCCTGCGAAGAGCTCCAGAAGAGCCAAGTGAACTAATCCCCAATCGGCTAGCGTGGTATCTGCAGTGTTTTCCCTTACGATCTGCGCCTGCTTTTCCCTGCCACCCACCTTGGACCTTTACCTTACCTTACTCACCCTCCCACTTGTATCATCAACTATCGACAGCCCGACGCGTCGCCAACTTCGACCATTCCATCACTTAGCCACCCAGGATCCATTGTCGCATTACCACGCCGACTCCTTACATTCATTCATCCGCGTATCTCTCACAATGGCAGGTGGTAAAGGCAAGAGCATCGGCGGGAAGGCCAGTGGCGCGAAGGATTCAACAACAAAGCCGCAGAAGTCGCATAGCGCGAAAGCTGGTTTGCAGGTGAGACCACCTTGTTCCTTAGACAATATACTTGCGCATTCTACACACGCTCTGTCGCGTCATACTTGTGTAGGACGCGACGAGCTCGCTGTCCTTGAAAGTGCCCTTTCACTAATGCCCACATCCTTATGATACGCGTTGCTTCCACATGGGGTCGCATTTACTTTGATATTTCTACATAAGAACTATGAGACTAATGCGCTTTGCTCACAGTTCCCCTGCGGTCGAGTGAAGCGGTTCCTCAAGAACAATACTCAGAACAAGATGCGAGTTGGCGCCAAAGGTACGTTCTTTGTCCAACCCTCCTTTCTGCCAACGAGACATATACAGCGTGTCAAATACTAACATTTTCAACAATAGCTGCCGTCTATGTCACCGCCGTTCTCGAGTATTTGACCGCCGAAGTGCTTGAGTTGGCTGGCAATGCCGCCAAGGATCTCAAAGTCAAGCGTATCACTCCTCGACATCTTCAACTTGCTATTCGTGGTGACGAAGAGTTGGACACCTTGATCCGGGCTACAATCGCATTCGGCGGTGTTCTTCCTCACATCAACAGAGCGCTGTTGTTGAAGGTCGAGCAAAAGAAGAAGAGCAAATCGGATGCATGATTGTGCGGGGAGCACGCTTTTCTGATTATCTCTGGGATCGGCGTCCTACGGGCATGCTGAAATGGACGGTGGCGTTGAGGACATGGAGGCTTGAGAGGAGTGCATGGCGAAGGATATCCCAGGGCAGCATCACAGGGATCACAAGTGGTTTTTGCTTTCTTCGATACTGTCAGACGTTAGATGGGTTTCGGTCCGTTGCTTGAATTTTGAGGTAACCTTTCCAATCAGGCACCCTCACCTTTTTCTTTTGCCTACCACGCTGAGTATTGCTCCATCTGATTCGTTGTGCGATTTCTGATACTTCTCAGTAGTTGCCGTTGTATCTTGAGGGCTCTTTTGACCTCATCTGAAGGCGAAAGTGTTGTTTGTTTGCCAGCATGCTCGTTTAGCCTAAAGTCCAATGAGGCCGGATATCTGCATGACGTGCCCGTGTCACCTTCACATCCCAGAGGACACTTTTCCATATCCCTTAGACCAGAAAGAGGACATCGAGTCCTGTCTGAGTCTTGTGTTCCAACACTGCTTCTATCAGTCATTCGCGGCGTCTGCTACCTATTACTTGTCGATCCATGTGATGGTGGCCTTCCTCATTTCCCCTTTTTGGTGCGAAGATGTTACACCGCGCCTCACAATCGGAAAGTTTCGTTTATAATTTGCCGATGTATGAGGGTCTCTTTATCTTCCAGGGCGGTCAAGGCGTTCCGAAAGGTAGTATGGCATTACACTCACACCGGGGCTTGTGTTGTTTGCTGCTGGTGTCGCTAATCCTCGAGCACATGCCTTTCCAGCCCTCAACTGGTCGCCTCAGCTGTGTATGATTGCCGCACCGGCCTCTTCCCAATCCTCATGCCTTGCTTGTCCCTTATTCTACTGTCCTTGACGATTCTTGAGCACGGTACTCTAAACTCATCCGACTCCAGGTCCGTCAAAAACTTTCCATGGTGAGATATCCTGCTCTGCCCTACTTTTCCTGTCATTGTCGGGACGCGTCGTCGCCCTGCCTGTCAGTGGTTCGACTAGGGCATTAAAAATTCCCTCCAGCGGCCTCGGACCTTGCCGTCATAACCCACCGGATTCAAGATCTGGACGATCGACGATCGTAAATTCGGATTTGATACGTGTCTGTCTGGCCATCTTGATTTCCTACCGGTATCAAGAAATATACATATAGCAGGTAGGTATGACCAAGGAAGCCGGGCCAGCGGTCCTCATTTATTTCAATGCTCACGCGCCTGCATCATCTAGATCTAGCGCCAGTGTCGGATTCGACCATCCTCCATCCTGTCCCATCACTTTCGTGAGACGAGACAAGAGAAATGCCTCACTCAAGGAGGCCAAGTCGACGACCACCGCGGAGCATCGCAACGATACGGAATTTTTACATCTATACTCCGGTCAAACGCGGTGAGAGATCTGGATCTGGCTATACTAGTAGCCGTCGCAATCGAGATACATCTGGTGGGCACTATCGTCGCTATCGCCATCATTCCAGGGGCAGGAATGTCAGGTCCGGCGCACGAACCCCGAACTCGAAAGGACATTCGGTGAGGTTTTCCAGGTCGACGACGGGAGGGAGCACAAGTTCAAGTCGAGGTCGAGGCCGAAATCGAAGTCGGAGCCGAGGTCGAAGCAGAAGAAGAAGAAGAAGCAGCACAAGTAGGGGGAGCAGCAGAGAAGATCGGGCCCTAGCCGCCCTCCTGGCGGGGGTATATCCTCACCAATTCCAACCTCGCAGCAATGACGACGACGATGATGATGACGATAATGAATTAGACGCCGATGGGATGGATGAATTTGATCGATACGGACACCACGACTTTCTTGCTGGGCCTGGTCTGGACGGAGATCAAGATTCCGTCTCAAGTTCTGGCACAGAGTTCCTCTCCAGTGGATCGTCACGTGGAAGACGACGAAGGAGCAGAGGTAGGAGCAGAAGTAGGGCTGGGGAAAGACACAAGAGAAATGAAAGTCCAGGGGGTAGGAGGAGAAGAAGGTGGTTGAGGAGGAGGAGGAGGAGGAGGAGGAGGAGGAGACGGAGCCGATCGAGAGACTATGGGTATTCGAGGCGACCTACTGGTAGAAGAAGGGTGAGATTCGTGCGAATGCCGCGAGGAGGTTCATATGTTGTTGACACAGACACTGACACTGACGACACGGACACGGATACGGATACGTACAGTGACAGTGATACAACTGATTCTGAACTCTGGGACGATGATGACTACTATTTGCGCGGGAGTGATTACGGCGATGGATACAGATATTATGCTGACTGGTACGACGGCGGCGGCAGATACTATGATTATGATTATGATTATGACGACGACGACTACGATGATGATGGGTACGGCCAGGACTATGACCGCAACTATGATTACGACTACAGGGTTGACAATGAAGACGAGAGTGGCCTATTCTCAGGATACAGACGCCGACGTTGGTATGAACACGATGAATATGATGATATGGATGACTTTCTCGACCACGACGCGGACGACTCCTATTACAATTCCGGTCACGACTACGGCTACCCTTATCACCGTCTGCGTGATGTCCATGACCATCTTGATAGAGCAGCTGAGAGGTACGCTAGAAGAAGAGAACGACATCACCGGAGAGACAGACGCCGGAACCGGACTTGGCATGTCGACAGGGGTAGAGGCAACAGCCCAGAGGCATGCACAGACAATTACAAGAACACATTTGATGATATGGCACAGGCACAAGCGAGGGCAGCAGAGCAGACACGATGGCTTTTCAGAAACTATGGGAGTTAAAGGACCCCGGGCTCCCTGGAGAGCTTTTGGGAAACAGAGCATCAGATGCATGACACTGGATATCGGGGCTCCAATAACCAGGATTGCGAAGTTTGATATCAATAACCTCCTCGGGTGAAAGTAATTTTCATCGCCATCCAAAGAAAGGGATAACCTCCTCACAGGACTTTCGTGCCGCAAAACAAAAGGCCTTGTAGAATCGAGAGCACCGAGAGTCGGATGAGTGATTGATTGCGGCAACGTTTCATAAAGGGGAGTCAGCGGTGGACCTACCCAACCCATTACGCCCGTCGGTCATCCTCTCGTGGTGTCGGTGTCGTCGAGTAGCTCGACACATATGCGTCGAAGGGGGGTAAGCCCGGCTTGGCCTGGCATGTTGAATTTCGGATACTGAGGTTGCTGCACGATCATAACCGTCCTGCCTGCTGACGATATCCACTCGTACAAGAGGCCCTTGTCTCTGGACAGTGAGAGAATCGAAAGAGCCCACAGCTGAGCATGACCACGCCCCCCATAAGACCCCAATCACCGACGCTTTCTTTCCCCGATGATTGAGGAAGATTCGGACGGTAAGGGGCCACTGACACTGAAGCACTGCTTTCATACTGTCCAGGGCGGCCGAGCTCAGCCTCAGATGGTCTTTCTCGACTTCTTCCGGCTCTTGTAGTTGCCGTCTTCTCTTCTCCGTTTTCCTCCACCGGACGGAGTTCCACCCCCGCCGCCTCCACCACGTGCTGGTGGCCCTCCGGTGCCTTGCATGTTCCTATGTTTCTGCTCCATAGCTCTTCGGACCTGGCGCATCTCTTCGTCCGAATCCGCTGCCTTGGAGGCCTTCGTTTTACCTCGTCGAGACGGCGTTCTATGGCGCGAACCATTGTGGTCTGTATCGTCCGAGTCGGAGTCTGTGTCCGAGGCTTCTGACCCTGGACTCAAGTCGCCATTGTCCTCGAGGTCTCCCTGTGCTGTCTTGGATCTGCGTTTGTGCTTGAACGACCCGTAGGTCTGTCTACCACTCGGCTGGTTTGACCATATGTCTTCGTCCTCGGACCCCTCAGAAGCCTGGCCTTGCCTGGTTGAGTTTCTCGAAGGGTTTCCTCCATTCATCTGTCCATTTGCCGATGGGTGTGATACGTCGACCTTCGCAGTGGCGGGGAATGTCATGTTCAGATCCAAAACCCATTCCGTATCAGCGCCATCGCCGCGGTTGAATGTGCTTAGCCCTCCCCTTGCTACTCCCAGGCTGGTGGTTTGTACGTCGGCTGAGGAATGCGGAGTGCCTGATGCGGAAGCAGGAGTACCAGGAGCTGATGCTGAAGGAGAAACGGTCGTGTCTTCAATGCGCCGGCGCTTGGAAGATGGTTCGGTGGATGGTGTCTGGGTGGTTGCTGCGCCGCTCGGAGATGCTGCCGCTGCCCTTTGCATGAACTACCAGGGCAATGTTAGCGTCGCTTGCCCGCAGCCGCGCGATGTGAGGTAGATAGTCGAAAGGATATTGCGAGAGAGTTTTACCTTCATGTTCAGCAATCGCGACGACATCTGCTTCGCAGGCTGCTGACCCCTAGTGCTCGGCGTGCTGAAACCTGCCATCTTGCCTGTTTCAAGTTTCTCACGTCTGTCGTTCCTCACTGGAGCGTGTCAAGTACAACAGGTATGCTGTACCTTTGTCGAACCCAATTACTCTGCGACTGGCAGAAAGATAATGAGGCTAGTCCAAGACGAAAACAAACTGTGAACGCTCAGTGCACCATTGCAGAGAGCCCAGCGAGTGCCCCAAGTGGCAATACAACTGTGAATTGGCCTTTCTTGAGAGGATGCAGGGCCAAACGAGCCAGCGCGGCGCTTGTTCTGTCGAAAAGGATATAAGTGACGTTCAGTTGAACTGCAGTGTACAAATAAAAAGTATCAATCGGCGCGGAGTGACTGTCCGCTGCGGCAGGAAAATAGTTTCGCCGGACAGTCACTCCACTTTATTTCTCCTCTCAATCCGCGCGCAAGGCTGCACTTTTGTCCCTCGCATCAGATGCAACAATTCACAATTGAAAACAGTACCAGGTAGGTATGGAGCGGTTGCAAGCTCCGCCATGCGGACACTACTTCAAGTTGGTCTATACATGTGCAGAAATAGGTGCGACTCACAAAATGGTAAGGCCTGGACCTAGATCGGGCGGGTGGAAACCACGTCTACGTAAGAGGTCTTTTGTCAGAGCGTTGTCGTGATCTTCACGTCAAATTTTCCAGCTACCAAGTACCCTCCTCTGGCACAACATACATTGTCCTGTACATACTACCCGACAACCTACAAAGTTACCTGCTATACATCTCAATGCAAAGACCTCAATCTCATCCGGAAAAGGATGGCGCCATGTCCGATTTTTTGGCATCAGATATGCCTTGGTCGAAAAGAATATACTCCAGGTTGACAGCCGATATTGACGCACGTTGGGCGGACACCATCCTTCTCGGCTGCTTCTTCGTCTCTGGCATAGTGGACAGTGTGGCATTCAGCACCTACACGTGCTTCGTGAGTATGCAAACGGTTATGTCTGTCAGGAACGTGATGTTCAAATTGTACCCCAGAGTCGAGGTCTGATACAGAGTCATGCATGCTTCCAGGAAACACCATTTTCGCCGCTCTTGGGGTGAGCGACCTACCTGCCGATATCCCGAAATACACTTGGGTGAAATCACTTGTTGCTATTCTATCCTTCTGCTTGGGGGCATTCTTTTTCGCCAAATATCACCGATTTTTTGGTCCCCTGAAACGCTGGGTCTTGATATCGTCATTCCTCATCCAGACGATCTTTATGGTCATCACTTGCAGTCTGATTTCAGGTGGCGTGGTGACGAAGACACCTCCGGCGACTCACGAGAAGAATGGCCGTGGGACCTTTGAGTGGGTGGAACTGTGTCCTATTGCATTACTGGCATTTCAAAGTGCAGGACAGATCGTTGCAAGTCGAGTCTTGAAATACAATGCCATCCCAACGGTGGTGTTGACCAGTTTATATTGCGACTTGATGAGCGATCCGCAGCTTTTCACGGCAGGACTATTTGAAGACCCGGACAGGAATCGGCGCGCTCTAGGGGCCGTGGCACTTTTTCTCGGCGCCACGATAGGCGGTGCGCTCGTCAAGCAGGACGTTGGATATGGTGTGGCTTTGTGGATAGCAACAGGCCTGAAGGGTCTGATGGTGATGGCATGGTTACTCTGGAAGCCGAAGAACCCACGAGCAGGGTGAAAAAAAGGCGTGTGAAATAGAAATAGCAAGTTCGTTTCCATTGCGCTACCAGCAGATTGATGGATTTTAACGTTTCTCGCCTTGTATGGTTGCCACCACTTTCCGCGAGTGCTTTGACGCCCGAAACTCTAGGTACCAGATCCCTTGCCAGGTACCCGTGTTCAGTTTGCCATCGGTGATGGGAATCGTGACACTTGCTCCTACCAACGCTGATTTGATATGTGCCTAACTCATCGTCAACAACCTAACGTATCCAACTGCTTAGCCTCTCCGATCTATGACTTACCGGCATATCGTCCAACCCCTCTGCTGAATGTCGGTAGAGGTTTCCTTTCCTGTCTTCCGGCGCGAGTCGATCTAGCGCATCGCTCATATCCTCTCGCACATCACTATCCCAGTTTTCATTCAACGACAGTGCGCATGAAGTATGTTGCACAAACAGGTTCAGCAACCCGACTTTGTACTCTTTCAACTCCGGTAGCGAGGAGACGACGTGGTCGGTTATGAGATAGGAGCCTCGGGACTTGGCCGGGAGCGTGAATGTCTTTTGAAACCACGAGGTGGACATATTAACGGCTCTCAAACACGGTAAGCTCTGTGGTTCGGGAATGGATATGCACCTTGCGGCACAGTTGTCAGTTGATGGAGTGGTCTCTGGTGGTGCCGGGAATATAAGTCGAAACGGTAATCCAAGAAGGAACTGCGGGAGTCCCGGGAAGAAGCCGATGAGGAGAACGAGAACACAAACGACGGTGAAGTATTTCGATCGAGTGATATTTGTCGCAGGCATGTAAGAATTCAGATACTGGATCGAATTTGAGCATATGATGCTTTCGCGAAACTTACTGTAGAAGTCATTGATCTAATACGTCATTTTTGACCTCGCAGCCTTGCACCACCATCACCAGTGGTAGCACTGCATCAATCATTCCATGTCTGATGCAAATGCACATATTAGACTATATTGTAATGGAATTGGACTGAAATATTGTACCTCGTGCCAGCATCTACTCCGAAGCGTCACAGTCTTCATGGCTTCCGGTTCGCAAAGTGTCATCTATCAAGCAATCAACCAAAATCTGTACTGAGGATCCTGGGCTCAAAATGGAGAACGTCGGCATATTTGACACATTTGCCATAGTCAGGCCTTAGAGATGATGCGCCTCTTTCCATCTCGATGTGCCAGGCCGGTCGTATTGAAGGACTTGTCGCAACGTGCTGCTGCAACATTGACCAATTCGAACGCTCCTTTCAAGGTGCGGCATGTGCAAATTAAGCTCAATACTGGGTTTCAGAGTCTCCATTCTATGTTAGACACAACCATATGCCAGAAAGCCTTGAAAGTGAATCAGGATTGTAATTGCGCCAGACTCGGATCCACGCTGAGTTACAAGGGAATATATACAAATTTCTTGCACCCTCTCATCTCTGCTGGAGCGGCTTGTTATCAACAGCCTCCGCTTCATGCTCACCCTTCAACAAAGGATAGTGGCCCTGCACTTCGCCCTTCATTGTGGGAGTTTTGGGCAATTCGACCTCGAACGGGTCACCCGTAGGTGCGAGAGGGTAAGATGTCGAAGGAAGCGATTCAAGATGCTCCTTGTGCTCCTTTTTGGCCTGTAACTGTCAGCTCGCTGTGATTCAATTTCTATGGGATACACTTACATATGGGATCCCACAGTATTCGCACCAGCAGATTTGCTGTTTGTCCAGGTTGATAAAGACCCTGGGATGACCCAAAGGACCACCACCGCCATCACAGGCAACGCTCTTCGCATCAACCCACCGCACGGGCTGTTTGTGGATAAGTTCAATGGCTGCCAGCGGTTGTGGCTACAATTCTATGTCAGCACAGATATTCCTTGACTTGTAAGGTGTTCCCACCTGAAGTTCGAAAATAGTCTGCTCAAATCTTGGTCCCGTCATTGCAAGCTCTCTCGGCATCTGGCTTCTTGACCAGGGCTTTTCTCTGTTAGGAGCCTGCATTTGTCTCTGTTGTTCTGCCGCGGTGGCCAGCTCTTGTAGGGGCGCATCACGGTTGCCCATTGCATCGACCGGTGTTTCGTTCGTCTTGGAGACATTGGGCGTCAACTTGCGGCCAGAAGGATCGTTGGCCTGTTCAAAGTTCTCGCCGGTTCCGGGTCCTGCGCGCAGCAGACGGGCCGACATGGATAGAGGCCTAGAGGGACCCCGTACCGCGCGAGCGGCGACGCCGTGGATACGCGTCCGCATTGTGGTTGTTAACGAGGCCATGATGAGCGACTTGTCCTGCAGGCCACTAACTCGGAGGGAGAGTTCGGTGTTGTGGATGAGGTTACTGAAGCTCAAGGACGAAGGCCAATCGCAAAGGCTCAATTGAAACGTTATCGCAGTCACGTGATAGTAATACGGCGCAGCAAGAAGACTACATACCTACATTGTAGGTAGTAAACGCGCTGCACGACGAGGCTGCTGCCCCTAGAGATCTATATAGAGGTACTACATACATGTACTATCACAACCTCATGTCTTAATATGTGCAATAATATGTGCAACTACAAAAATGAAACCTCATTGCCTTTACTGCGCCGGCGCGCTCTATGGTGAAGTTCAAAAGGCCAAGCAAAAAGCAAAAACTCATACTGAGAACCATGTGATGTGTTGGAAACATAAGACAGAATGAGAATGATCAGTGTACAAGGATGGGCGCTGGGGGAGAAGGAAAGCTTTGTCGTGCCGCCTTACTCCAGTATTCGTCGCGATTAGTAGCTGAGGTATGAGTTGACATGCTCGCACCTGAAGCTGGGCACAGTAGAGTTTCAGGCCTCGTCTTGGAACAAAATTGCATAAGACCACACTCCATATTAAGTACCCACCCGGTGTTGAGAAACTGATCGATTCGCATGACCGTCCCTTGCCCTCATTGCACCGACGCCAGCGTCAGGGTGCTGAGGTCGCACTTCTCCATGCTCGCTCAAACAGCTCCCTCAGTCTGGCAGCCTCGGCCTGATCACGTACCCTTTGCTCCAGAAACCCTTGCAAGTCAACCCAAAACTCCGTCGTCCGCAGTACATCCTGTCCACTGACCTCTCCAGGCTGGACTACTGCGGACGTGGTCGTTGAAGAGCTTTCCACACCCTCCATGGCGGTGGGCTCTGGCTTGTTGCGTTCTGCCTCGACCGCAGCCTTCTCTGACAATGGAGCAGCAGCTATTTCAGGCTCAGATATCGACACAGGAGCCTGGGGTGGAGGATCGGGAGCACCACCCATGACCATGACACCAAACTCGACATCCCCTTCCACCGTTTTCTGGTCCAATGCTTCTGCAACAGTCCTCTTGGACGGCGGCACCGGTTTCTTGTTCCACAACACCTTGATTTTGTCCAGATGCACAACGGTAGGGCCTCCCAGATAGGACTGTATTTGCTCTTTCAGCGCATGGATGGTCGTGGTCGTCGGGTCTACCGAGGGTACCACGAGTGTCATATTAGGATTTCGTGCGGATTTCAAGATGACCGTCACCGTGGGGGCCGCAGATTCGGAACCTGGAGCCGGTGCCGAGGGTGCCGTCTTTGGGGGAAGGGGATGTGGCGGATGTGAAAGCTTGGGGAGCGTGTACTATACACGGTCAGTTCATGCTGCGTCTGCCGTGATGCTGGAGGAATGGGTGGGTGTTCGTAGACTCACGGGTATCCTCATCTGAAACGTCTGGGGGTCGAAGGCATAATCAGATGGATATTTGTTGGGCTTATTATCCAACGTCGTCAGGAATTGTTTCGCGAATTGCAGGTCGCCCATGGTTCCTGATCGTGCCTGTCGCTCTTCTTCCAGCCGTCGAAGAGCGTGTTGTAGGGCGAAGGCGGCCAGATTGTCGATGAAGGTGTGCTACCACAGTATTTTGGGACGAGTCAATCTTGAACAACGGTACGAAGAATTAAAAGTCAACCTGAATAGGCCTAGGATAGAGAGGTGAGTGGTCAGTGTATCAGTGTCGCTTCTGTGATAGAGTGGAATTGGGAGACGATGAGATGGTTCTCGGCTCAAGACTGACATCACCGTAAGAAGGCCGCAGCCTTGCCTTGGCGCCGTTACGATGGTAGTCCCCTTACCAGCACTATATCGCCCCGTCAGTTGCGCTCATGTTTCGCTAGCATTATCAGTCCTGCACATGCACTACTAGTAAAGTCAGCGGATTCTTGTCGGTTCGTCAGTTACTGTAGGTGAAACATTTTGAACTCATGGATGCGGCGTCTGAATTGAACATTACAGTAAACCTGGAAAACTATGAAATTAACTAAAATTACGTGGTGTCATCAACCAAATCGTGATCATGAACGCATGCTATCAAGGGTGATCCATCTTTTCCGGTCAAAAAGCAGCAATAACATTATCACTTGTTGCGCCTTCAATTGCCATATCATTCCTGTACCAGTTGTGGTGAACGGTCTTCAGACTGCCGAGTCTCTTCAAACTAGTTGATCTGCTCACGGTGCTGTTCATCCTTGAGACGCCGCTTCTCAGACTCTTGAACCTCGTAATTTGCGGTCGCTGCTCCGCATCCTGGACGGACAAGTGCTGGCCATGGGGCTCCGCCGATTTTGATCTGGGAATAACATCGATAGTATCCTGCGGGATCGTAGTTTGATGATCGTCAAGAGGCATGACCGGCATGTCTTCTCTAACCTGTTCCAGGCTGTTCTTCTCGGAGAAGGAGCTTCTATCACGCAGGTCGACCATCTCAAACGCGTCTTGGTCATCTTTCCCACCCACGAAAGAAAAGGGAGTCGTGGGACGATCCGGCTGGGACACTGGGTCCAGCATGGAATATTGTGCACTGTGGTCATGTGGTGGAGTTTGCATCGCGTTGCTGATCATGTTGATGAGTCTCCCAGCACTGTGTTCCCCAGATGGATGCTCATCAGCAGCCAGTTGCTGGCTGGGAAGAGGAGCAGATACCGTCCTGTTCTTCCTGCTCAGACGCCGTGACAACGAGCGGGCCAGGGACGAGTTGCGGAAAAGTTTGAATTCCTGCTTCGTGGCGCTCCCGACCAAAGGTGATTCATCTCCATAGTTCGAAAGGGCCGAGTTCAATGGCCTGTAGCTCGACGCTGATGGCGGGATCACATCGATTTTGGGATACACTGGATTATGAATCCCATGCATATCTGGCTGTATAGATAGTCCGGCCGACTTCACCCTCGCAGAAGTATGGTCTGTGGCTCCGGTTTGTGCAGTAGTGGGACTCAACCTAGCACTGGGCGACTGCAACGTTGCATCTGAGGTCGGTCGTTTGTGTCTGCCACATTTGGTGCAGTACTTCTCAGATGGCGAACGTGGGGAGTTGACCGGGCTCGCGGTGCTAAACGAATGTTTGGACTGATGGGACGAACTTCCCTCGGATGGTTTGCGCCCATGAGCGCCGGGGGCAACAGAGGGACTTTGGGCAGATATCGCAGCGGGTGCACTAGCCTTTCGTTTCCCGCATTGTGTGCAGCTGTTGCCATGCATGGCATGCCCCTCGCTTCGCCTCTTTCCACATTTCCCACATTGATGCGTGCTCGACCTTGGAGCCGAATCGCTGCTAAAGCTGGTCGGCTGAGATGCTTCGCGCTTATACACAGGCGGAAGCGCGCCGTCAAACATATCTTTCGCGACCCTAACCGGCTTTACAGGCTTCTCTGGAGGCTGCGAGACAGAGCAGGACTTTGCATCCAGACGCCGCAGATCAACCGGGATTCTTTGGCCGACATCAGGTCTCTGTGGTCGTGGCGCGACGATTTGCGGCTGCTGTTCCCGTGTCATGGACGGCGACTCCACTAAGGGGGACACTGGCGAAAAGGGATTCGATTGCGCGTCCGATTGATGTTCTGGAGGGACATAGTGCGGAGAAAAAGGGTTGGTCGAGGGTAGTTCTTTGTATGTACTGGGTTTCACGGTGCTGGAGACGAGGACGGGCTGCCGGTCGGTCAATGGGAGCGTCTCGTAAGGGACCGCAGTGTGCAGCGGTGCCGGCGCATTGGGTTTGCCTGTGGAGGCAGGCGGTTGCTGCTTCTGCAGCCTGGTCATTGTTGAGACCGGGAACTAGACCACCCGAGTTTGCCAGAGAACGTGAAGCGACAAGACGTCTGAACTGTGTGTGACAGATGACCAACGGAGGACTGCTCGCAAAATAACAATGATTTTACAGAGGGCGTGGTGAGTCGATCAACGAGCGTCGCTATGCTCAGGTAGTTGAAGGCGATCCATCGTCGAGACACGACAACGTCAACATCCGGAACTTAAAGGGCAGCAGATGAGCTGGCCGACAGGGGTGATAGGGACCTGACAGTTAGGAGCCATGGGTCCGTCCGGTCCCTCGTGTGTGCGATTCGACCTCGTCCATATGAGGCGGGACCTGCAAAGCCCCCAACTACCAGGGCTAGCTCCCGTTTCGTCTATAAATTGTACATATCAAAATTCGCTGCGGTGGCATTGGAATGATATCAGCCACAAACTTGGGGTGCGCTGCGCCTACGGCCCCGGGTGGCAGAAGCAGCACACCCGCACGAGACGATGTTCAGACAGTCCTCCCGGGGAGTATCATCGTCGGCAGCTCAAACCACAGCAAGGAGCAAGTATGTTATGCGCAATATCGATTGCCGTGAGATGAGATGGAACTCTAGAATCCATAAAGGAGGCCTATCCTACTAGTAGTAGCACTCGGTCTGGAGCTTGCCTGCCAGTGCGCCCTTCCGGCCTCCTTTTTCCGGGGCCTAATTGTCTGGTATGGGTACCTAAAGTCTGGGGCCTTCGCCAAGCAGCCGTCTTCTTCACACCCACTCACCACTCACCCCTGACACCCTGACATGCTCACAGCCATCGCCATGTACCAAGCTGCTCAGCCGGCCCTAAGAATTCACATTTGCTGAAAGTTTATAATAGTCTCACCGCGTGGCTGTACGTTACTACTATCTTAGGCACCGGGAAGGGAATGCTCCTGCTTTCACGAGTCCGCCCTCCCATCGAACCGATGGCATAGAAATGGCATATACAAGGAAAGGTCATCGCGCAATACAAGGATACATGCACTGACACATGTCATGTAAACAAGTAGACAAACCGTCGTGGTGTCTAATCAATTTGACATGAACCTGATTTTCCAATTCCAAACCAATGACAGCATGGCGGACTTTGCAGCAGTCGTTAGTGTGCTCCTGTCCTATTTCCCGCTTCCGAGGAGCGGACATACGATAGTAGAGAGGACTGTAATAGGCGTAGATAGGCACAGATGCTTGCATCCACCCGAAGTATAGCCAAGAAGACTGAATCTCGACACTGGCATCAAGTACTAGTAGTGAACTAATCAGCGGGAGAGTACAAGTACTTGGTTGTACACCTGTCAAATAACGCTGCTTGCATTGATTGATGCTGGTCACTCCGAGTCTGCCAGTGTTGGACCCTGCCATAACTTCGCGAAGCAAAACAGGTTTCTTGCGGAGCTTGACCTAATAAACCTGAGCAGATGCTCTTGACGATGCACTACTACCAGGATGTGGCCGTTATCTCCACGGTTCTGTACAACACACACAATGTTGTATGAACGAACCGGAGTGGCGGATTTCTAGTCCAACAGGATCTGGCCCTTTGCCCACATCCATGGCCTCAATGCAACGATGAAAAAGCCCGTTGCTGAAAGCTGCAGGCCTATTGCAAATCGAGCCATGCCGGACATGGTCTGGATTCCTCGGACAGAAACAGCAGCGGCTTGCGCCTTGTTTTATTATTGATGGCACAAGGGGTGGTGTTGTTGGTGGGGGTTCAGCAAAGTGTGGTCTACCCTCTACTACATGCTTTTCAATGCTCTCGCAGTTGCAGACCATGACAATGAACCATTGTCGGGTAAACGCACAACTCTCTGAGCGCAAGTTGAGGGAAATTTGAGCGGTGATATCTAGCAAGTACAGGCTTGAGAAGCGCCTATCTTGTTCGATGTAAAGGGGTTTGCCTTGGAATTAGGTTCCATGGACATGTTGTCCATTTCATCAGATTGCTAAGGTAAGTTCGACCAGCTTAAAACGCCGCCAGTGAGCTGCATATGCACCGTCTGCTTTCGCTCTAGGCGGGGCCAACACTGTGCCGTTTCGAGGACCTGATGAGACAGTGGTCAATATGCCGGCGGCGAAGAGGCTGAACAGACTTTGTGAGACGCGGGTATCGTTCTACCAGCGTGACTTCATGCCACATCAAGGACAACGGCGAAGTCCTAGGTCAGGGCACAGCATGCGTGAAGTGGTATATCGCGGACATTCTGAAGCCAACGGCAAGGGCTTCTCGGCCCGGGAGGGAACAAAGTCTGTTATCAAATATTCGTCAAATTTGCGATGGACGTGGGTTGATCCCTCGGCGTCGATACCCGCTAATCTTCTTGGAAAGGCAGCAGTAGGCATCGGGTACGGCTCAATTCTTGAGCCCAGGCTTACTTGATCTCCCGGCACATATACCCGTGGCTCGGCGGATGAACAGCTCATTTTCTTCGTCGCTTCGAGCCCAGTCTATGTCGATGTTATCCGGGGCCAGGGTTCAGGTCGGAGGGTGTCCTACATCAATGCTGGCCGAGGATAAGTCAATGCGACTTCAAACGTTCAACTTGTCACGGTCAAGGGCGTGCTCAGCCGCAACGCATAATCTGCAGTCGCATCATTGTATACGGGTATGAATGCGTTTGGCAGCACCGAGCAGTATAGTAAGTGAGAGCCTAGGTTAGGTGAGCTTCCGCCTTGCTACACACTAAGCATTTCTATACCTAGGTATATATCTGCTTCCATGCTATGTGCTTGCGGCAAGATATCAGGCAACAATCTTGTCCAAAGTGCTTGATCTTGTCCTAAGACCTACTGTATGTTGCAGCAGGTCACCGCCAGGCCGGTGTTTCCATAACCAGGGACCAGTGGGCCCAAACAATGGGAATGCGGTATGCTACTGGGTCTCAGCATCCTCGCGAAAACCATTGTAGCGGGCAGTTTACATTTGGTCAGAAGAGTGCTTATTCTTCCCATGTTGATGCATTCGTTTCTGAGCATGAAGCAAGGGCCGCGATGAACTGTAAGCCTGGAAACCTACTACCTACCGACCAGGTATTGTACATCCATACCTGGATATGTCTACAGTACGCCTTGCGCTACTAGTAATATGTCTTTCTCGCCCGGCCTGACACTTTCCGCCCACTATTGATCAGTGATGATGCTACACTGCAGGCGAACTGCATTGGTACCTAGGTAGGTATGTACATTCGCTCTTAGCATTCATATTTCGGTATGAGAATTTGGATGCAAGTACTAGTGGTTCGGGGTTTGCCGATTTCGGTGATGGGCTTCGACCCACAAGCCACAAGGCGGACTCTGTAACAGATAGGTACCAAGCAATAGTACTGTGATACTACTAGTGGAGGCCGTGAAGTTCCACTGCCAGTAGTAGGACGATAACGACAGCACCATACTGTATCACTGTACCATTTGCAAACCCGCGGCTGTTGGCCCCTTTTGGTGCTTGGGCCTGCCTGTCTGTGATCGGATGACATCCTTGCCATATCGTCGGTAACTTGAACGACAGTCGGCCGGAAGCGCAGCCTTGTAGATGTGCCGCAGTTGCGTCATGCCGTGGACGACAAGGATGTCACGGCAGTGAAACAAGAATAGACATACTCGCACTGACTTCGGTTCGCTTGAGTTTGCTACACACCTACAATTACTTCCGTTCCAAAAGATGAAGTGCGCTGAGCACCTTGCCGCAGACTCCAATACCAGTTACAACTGGAATTTCCGATTCTTGCCTGGCAGATTGGACCATTTTCAAGCGAGTAGTCCCCTTACTATACTCTCCACTTTGAAAATACAGGTGTCTCTGCGATTTTTCAAGTTGTGCTGCACGTGTTAGCGCAGGTAGTTCAAGTTAGTTATCTCGGCCAGCACGGCAGCCCTACCTGGATATGGTCGTTTAACGGGGGGCTTTTTCATCCAGGTCTCATGCACCTCTTTCCACAGACATAACTCCTGTACCAATAATGGCCGGCAACTACTTGGCTACAATAATGGAGGGACTCAGCCACATACGAGGCGAAGAGCCACTACCAACTTGAAGTGAAGAAGCATCACCCGATAATGAAACTCTTGTGACGATAGCGGGGTGCCATGCTCCTTGCCAAGAAGGTGAATTGGGTCATCAGAGCCTTTTGTTTGGCGCACTCGGATAAGGGGCGGAATGGAATCTTTTGCCAGACAGCCGGCGTCACTTGTTGTTGCGAGTTGGTGGGGGGTGGTGGAAAATGGAGTGTTGCGGGCCTGATGGCTTGGAACAACGCTGTGCCCGAAGCGGCATGGTTTCAGGGCGTGACGCCAAATATAGAGCAGTCCACTGGCAGGAAACCCCCTTGGCGGATAATAGGAGTAATGTCGTAGTTCAGGTACGCTAAACGGACCTTGGTGGAGGAAAGGTGAAGCATGTTTGACTCAAGCCCACACGTCGGCTCGCCCTTGCGCACAGAGCCCAGGAGAATTTGGTGATCGTTCATTCGCCACAGAGTCCGCCTATGGCCCAAGGCCCCGGCGAAATTGCCAGGGCCGTGAGGATCCGCTCTATCGCTTCGCCTTTTAAGGGGAGCCAGACAAATCAAGAGCATGTTACTTAGCGAACCCCGTTGCCACAGCATATGGGTATCAAGCGTCTTGTCAGCCTGGGAGGGCCTAACAGAGGTACTGGGCACCATAGTACAACGTTGCACACACAGTACCTACAGTACAGTACCTAGGCATGTGCGAGATGCTGGCTCCATAGGTTGTAATCCATTGTACTCATCATGACCAGCTTTCATGCTCCTTGTACATCCTAGTCAGATGGCTCCGGAGCGTAGTTATTAGACATGTCATCGGCGGAGAACCAGCCCACGGCGAATATTATTATCACAATGAACAATCCATAGCCGAGGAATGAAAGACAACCCGTAAATGCATTCTGATTGTCATGCAGTCATCACCGTGTTCATGCGGATCTTAGGTCTCTTTTAACAGTGCTCTCCTCCAATCTCCTGGCCGCCACAAGAGCATCCATCCTCAGCCTCAGCCAAACGGACAGGGGTGTAACAATCGGTCTCGACGTATTGTCACCAATGTGCCTGTTTGTCTTTACAAACAGGACAGGGGTATATCGATAGGGCTCTAGTCGAAGTCCGCATTGCCGCTTCGGGGATCGCGCAGTGTCCGCTAACTTGGAAGCGCCTGGTGTCACTTCCTGCCACGGATACTGCAGACTCGCTTTGCAACTTGAACAGCAGCACAAGCTGCAACCGCCAGAACCAGAGGATTACACTACTAGTATCTGGGTTGATGTTACCTTGCGCCAGAAGGAAGGAAAGTCCGTCTGTGCCGTGTCTGCAGATTGGGCTGCGAGTGGCTGCACCGTCCGTTGTATGCCTTTGCTTTGCATTTGGGGTAGTGACACTGGGCGCTGGTGCCGATGGGGGCTGGGAATTGAAGGCAGGGCCGGGGGGTAAAACCAATAATGCAATAATGCTATGCTACTACTACTCTACTGCACTGCCAGTGCATCACAACAGCAGGGCGAGTTGGGCAACCGCTACCAGTAGCTAATCGCAGCCAAGAGAGTCTGCGCTACCAGTGCACTAACTGTAACTTGAGCTCGTATCCTTCACTCACCATCCGTCCCAGGGCCCTCTTCCAGTCAGCCCAGCATCCGTAGCCAACAACCCAATGCATCATTATCCTTTCCAGACCCAGCGTGCGGCTGAGCTTCCTGAGATCCTTTAGCCACACATCCTCAACTTAGCTACGAACGGCATCATTGCATTGACGAACAGTGTTGACGTCCGGTTAGGGCCTCGAGCTGGTTGGCCTGCGACAAGCCCACTTTACTGCTGGCCTGAAGGCGCAGGCGGCGGGTGCCATTATTATTATCTGACAGAGGCGGCGGTAACGGCTGTGTAAGATTACCACCAACCCTGGCCTTAGGGCCTTGTCTCATATGGATCTGCCCCTTCGCTTACTGTATTCGGGCCCCGAAAAAAGTGCTGACCAGGGTTAGGAGAGCACCCGCTACGGCCGGTGGAGCCTTACATGACCGCGACACTCGACCAAGCAGTCTCTCCAGATTTGGATGCTTGCCATGCTCTCTGATTTCCAACGCAGATCTCGTGCATGCCCTTGACCCACCAGGGGGCGCTGTTATTCACGACTGGGCCATTGAATCTATTTTCACCTGGCGTGCCTTGGGATCCGTCTCCTATATGATAGCCTACCACCCCGTCCACTCGCTCACACTCTCGTTAAGCAACGCTCGTTTGAAGTTCGTCGACTGATCACCAGCACCATGGAGGAGGTCTACGTCTTCGGCGACCAAACGGCTGACTGCCGGGCGTTCTTCACCAAGGTCTTTACCCGGAAGGACAATGTCCTCTTGCAGAGCTTCCTGGAAAGAGCTGGTGAAGCCGTCAGATTCGAAAACCAGAACCGATCACATCCCTCCAAAGCAGTCCCTAATTTCTCTACCATCCAAGAGCTTGTCGACCGTTATTACAGAGGTGACGCGAAGGATGCCGCGACCGAGAGTGCTCTCGTTTGCATTTCACAGTTTTGTCATTTCATTGGGTATGTTCTCTCGCCTTACCCCTGAATCTCGCTTGACCATGATCTGACATTCTGCGCAGTGCCTTTGAGGAGAGACGGCCTTCGTATATTCAACCTAATTCAGATGCTCGACTAGTCGGTCTGTGCACAGGTCTAATTGCTGCGACCGCAGTCGCTGCCTCAGATTCCCTGACAGCCCTTATTCCTTTGGCGGTCGAAGCGGTCCGGATAGCGTTCAGAGCTGGTGCCCACGTGGGAAAAGTTGCACAGCAGACAGAATGTGACTCCAAGACTCAATCGTGGTCCACCATCGTTGCTGCCGACGAGAAATCTGCGCAGGAGGCTCTGGATGCCTTTCACAAAGAGAAGGGTACATCACCCATCAACCAGTTGTGGATCAGTGCTTCTTCCGCCACCTCAGTCACCATTAGCGGTCCGCCATCGACCAAAGCCCGTCTTTTCGAAGAGTCAGAGTTCTTCCGCACACAAAAGAGTGCTCCAGTGTCAATATTCGCTCCCTATCACGCATCGCACCTACACTCGCAATCCGATTTGGACAAAATCTTACGACCGCAGACCAAGACAATCTTTGGCAATACCACAGTGCGGTTTCCCGTCTGCTCAAGCGTGACCGGCAAACCGTTCAACGCTGAAAATGGGTTTGAGCTTCTCCAGGCCGCGTTGAAAGAAATCATAATCGATCCCCTGCGATGGGACAAGGTGTTGAAATATTGTGCGGCAGGGAAGGCGTCGGAAGCCAAGGTATTCGCTGTTGGACCGACAAACCTGGCGAGCAGTGTGGTCTCCGCTCTCAAAGCCTCAACAACGAAGGTCACGCTGGAAGACCACTCCACCTGGAGTACAGTGCCACCGCAGGGAACGCGTCATTCAAAACGAGAGGCTGATATCGCTATTGTCGGCTTCTCTGGTCGCTTCCCCGACGCCGCAGATAATGAGCTTTTCTGGCAATTGTTGGAACGTGGCTTGGATGTTCACCGGCCGGTCCCTCCCGACAGGTTCCCTGTCGAGAGCCACACTGATCCAAGTGGAAAGAAGAAGAACACCTCTCACACACCGTTTGGCAATTTTATTGAGAAGCCAGGCTTGTTTGACGCGAGGTTCTTCAATATGTCACCAAGAGAAGCCGCACAAACTGACCCCATGCAGCGGCTGATGTTGACCACCGGCTATGAGGCTATGGAAATGGCTGGCATCGTCCCTGGCAGAACACCCTCGACGAAGCATGACAGAATTGGCACTTTCTACGGTCAAACCTCAGACGATTGGCGTGAGGTCAATGCCGCCCAGGATATTGATACATATTTCATTTCAGGTGGCGTGCGCGCCTTCGGACCTGGTCGGATCAACTACTTTTTTAAGTTTTCCGGACCTAGTTTCTCGGTCGACACTGCCTGCTCATCCAGCTTTGCCGCTATGAACGTCGCAATCACATCTCTCAGAGCAAATGAGTGCGATACTGTGTTCACGGGTGGTGCCAATGTGCTCACGAACTCTGACATTTTCTCTGGTCTCAGCAGAGGCCACTTCTTGTCCAAAACCGGGTCTTGCAAGACATGGGATAATGACGCTGATGGCTACTGCCGCGGCGATGGTGTTTGCACGGTCATCATGAAGCGTCTTGACGATGCCCTTGCGGATCGAGACCCTGTTCTGGGTGTTATCCGCGGTATTGGCACGAACCATTCAGCAGAAGCCGTTTCTATCACCCATCCCTGTGCGGAGAATCAGGCATTCTTGTTCGACAAGGTGCTCAAAGAGTGCAACGTTCACTGCAATGACGTCAACTACGTTGAGATGCACGGCACAGGCACGCAGGCAGGCGACGGCATCGAGATGGAATCTGTCTCATCTGTTTTTGCCCCACGACAGCCTCGAAGACGTCCTGACCAGCCTCTCTACGTTGGTGCAGTCAAGTCAAACATCGGTCACGGTGAGGCCGTTTCTGGCGTATCCGCTCTGATCAAGGTGCTCCTTATGCTGCAAAAGAACAAGATCCCGCCTCATACCGGCATCAAAAAACAGATCAACAAGAACTTTGCACCAGATCTCAAGGAGCGCAACGTCAATATTGCCTTCCAGACAACGCCTTTTCCACGCCCACCTGGTGGCAAGCGAACTGTGTTCATCAACAACTTTAGTGCAGCTGGTGGTAACACAGCGATGCTTTTGCAAGATGGCCCGGAGGTCCCAACGGAGCCCTCCTCTGACCCAAGATCGACCCATGTGGTGACACTCTCAGCGAAATCTTTGGCCGCTTTTAAGAGGACCCTTGCCAAATACGAAGCCTATTTGAATGCGCACCCGAATGTCGGCCTTCCCGACCTTGCATACACTGTCACGGCCCGCCGGGCGCATTACAGCTACCGCGCCGCCTTCCCAGTTCAGTCAATTTCTCAGTTGCAAGCTTCGTTGAGGGCCATTCAGGACCAGACCCACAACCCGATCCCCCTTGCCTCACCTCAGATTGCTATGGCTTTTACAGGGCAAGGTTCACAGTACACTGGGATGGGCCAGAAATTGTTTGAGACATCGAAGCAATTCCGACAAGACATCGAAGAGTTCAATGAGATCGCTCTTCGGCAGGGGCTCCCTTCTATTATGCCCTTGATCGATGGATCTGTGGAAGTTCAGCATCTACCGCCCACAGTCGTCCAACTCGGTATGTGCTGTATTCAAATGGCTCTTACTCATCTTTGGTCGACTTGGGGAATTCAGCCCAGTGTTGTTATCGGTCACTCCTTGGGAGAATACGCTGCTCTCCAAGCCGCTGGCGTTCTGTCCATTGCCGACACCATCTATCTGGTTGGTAAGCGAGCTCAGCTGCTGGAGCAGAAGTGCACAGCAGGCACTCATGCGATGCTTGCCGTGAGATCTCCTGTTGGTGGGCTCCAGGATGTGGTTGCCAATAGCCATGGCAAGATTGAAATTGCGTGCATCAACGGCGTGTCTGACACTGTTCTTTCCGGCACAATGGGCGATATTGATACCGTCGCTCAAAAACTGGCGGACGCTGGCCAGAAGTGCACCAAGTTGAAGTTGCCATTCGCATTTCATTCATCCCAAGTCGATCCCATTTTGGCAGACTTCGAAAAATTGGCCTCTTCGGTCAAGTACCACGCACCCCGTGTTCCTGTCATCTCGCCGCTGTTGAGCGATGTTGTCAGTGTCGGGGGCGTCTTCGATGCATTCTACCTCAGTAGACACTGCCGCAAGACAGTCGACTTTGTCGGTGGGTTGTCCGCTGGTATGTCAACCGCCACCATTAGCGATACTTCGCTTTGGCTCGAGGTTGGCGGTCACCCCCTCTGCGCCAGCATGATCAAATCTTGCTTGTCAGTCCCAACCCTGGCCACGATGCGCCGTGATGAAGACCCCTGGAAGATCATTTCTGCGTCCATGGCCGGCCTCTATACGGCCGGGAAGTCTTTGAACTGGGATGCATTCCACAAGGAGAACGAGTCCTTGCGCGTGCTCAACGACTTGCCATTCTATGGATTCGACGAGAAGAATTACTGGTTACAGTACACTGGAGATTGGCTTTTGTACAAGGGCGACTACCCCAAGGCGATTGCCCCAGCTCCAGCCGCCGCTGCAGCAGCAGGGCCTGCCAAAGCGAGGAAATATCTGTCAACCTCCGTTCAAGGTATTGTCTCCGAAGAGGTCAAGGGCAAGACTGTCACGATTGTCGCCGAGTCCGACTTTGCGCACCCGAAATTGTTCCCGGTCATTGCCGGTCACCTTGTCAACGGCAGTGGTCTCTGCCCGTCCACATTGTATGCCGACATGGCCTACACCCTGGTCAACTACGGCGTTGGCCTCCTGAAGCCGGGTGAGAAGGTGGACATCAATATTGGCACAATGGACAATCCGGCACCTCTTCTGCTCAAGAACATCAATCAGCCTGAAAGCCAAATTGTTCAAATGACAATGAAGATCGATCTCGATGCCAGGAAAGCGGACTTCGCTGTGACCAGCAACAATGGAAAGAAAGATGTCACTCATGCCAAGTGCGTGATCGTCTTCGAAGATGCTGCTGTTTGGAAAGAACAATGGAGCAAGACTTCTTACCTGATCCAGTCGAGAATCGACATGTTGAAACACAAGATGGAGAATGGTGAAGCCGACAAGGTTAGTCGCGCTATGGCTTACAAGCTCTTCGGCGCCCTCGTTGACTACGCCGATATATTCCAAGGCATGCAGAGCGTGGTCTTTGATGGACCGGAATTCGAGGCGACGAGCAACATCAGATTCCGCGCTGGGCCGAACGATGGCGACTTTTACTTCAGCCCCTATTTCATTGACAGCGCTTGCCACCTCTCAGGCTTCACCGTCAATGCTACCGTCAACCCACAAGATGAGTGCTACATTTCTCATGGTTGGTCCAGTCTCCGCTTCATTGAGCCGCTGCAGCATGACAAGCAATACTACGCATACGTCAAGATGCAGCCAGTTGCAGGAAGCAAGATGAGAGCTGGTGATGTTTATGTCTTCAACGCGGATAAGGAGGTCGTCGGTCTTGCGGGTGGTGTGCGATTCCAGTGCATTCCCCGCAAGCTCATGGATGTGATGATGCCCAAACCTAAGGCCAATGCAAAGGCTGCTTCCCCAGCATCTGCGACCCCGAAAGCAGCTCCAACTGTCAAAGCCTCCAGCAACCTCGCTGCTCCTGCTTCCGTGGAACTGCCCACTCCCAAGGTCAAGGCGAAGAAGCCGGTTAAGGCACAAAAGATCAAGGCACCAGCACCACCCAAGCAAGCCTCTTCTGGTAGTCTTGTCGTCCGGGCTTTCGAAATCATCGCAAAGGAGATTGATGTCGACCAATCTGAACTCAATGACGATATCCAATGGGCTGACATGGGTGTTGACAGCTTGATGTCGCTGACCATCTCTGGCAAGTTCAGGGAAGATCTTGACCTCGAGGTTGAGAGCACCCTCTTCACCGATTACGCCTCCGTGGGCGCCCTTCGGAAGCATCTCAGCGGCATGTCTGGTCCTGAGCCCATTGCTACTGGTGATGCAAGCTCGGTTGAATCTACGGACTCGGGTTCGGAGAGCGACGAGGATACCGTCGAGTCGGGCATCACCACCCCGGACACCGAAGACTTCCCAGCGAAGCCTCAGGAACAGGGGAAATCCGCTGCTGTCGAGGCGATGGCTCAACCACCTTCCGCCGAAGGGCAGGATATGATTGAGACCATTCGCGTAGTCATCGCCCAAGAAATGGAGATGGATCTGGCTGAAATCACGGACGCTACTGACCTCAGTAACCTCGGAATGGACTCCTTGATGGCCCTGACCGTTCTTGGGAAGCTTCGAGAGGATCATGACATTGATTTGGATCCGACCATCTTGGCGGACAATCCAACCCTGGCGCACCTCCGCAAAGCATTGGGTCTTGAGAAAGCCAAGCCGGCGCCTGCACCGAAACAAGAGGTCAGGACCAATGTCGTTGTCGCTCCTGCTGCGCCTCCGGTTGAGGTTGTCGTGCAGATGCCCCCCGCCACATCTGTGTTGCTTCAGGGCAATCCCAAGACAGCCACCAAGAATCTGTTCTTGTTCCCTGATGGCTCCGGGTCTGCCACATCCTATGTGTCTATCCCGGCCATTGACAGCAAGAACCTGGCTGTCTATGGGTTAAATTGTCCATTCATGAAAGATCCCACCAGCTATACTTGCGGGATCGAAGGTGTCTCCAAGCTGTATCTTGAAGAGGTCCTTCGCCGACAGCCTAATGGTCCATATATCCTCGGGGGCTGGTCAGCAGGTGGTGTCGTTGCTTACGAAGTCACCAGACAACTCAGTGACTTACAGAAGCTCCACCCTGACAAGAACTACACGGTTGAGAAGTTGATTCTTATCGACTCGCCATGCCCGATCCGTCTGGAGCCTCTACCTGCCCGCCTGCACCACTTCTTTGATGAAATTGGTCTTTTGGGGACAGGTACCGGCAAGACCCCGAACTGGCTGCTACCCCATTTCGAATACAGCATCAAGGCGTTGACTGCCTACCGCCCTGAGCTGAAGTCTACACGTGATTTCAATGCACCACCCACCTTGCTCATCTGGGCCACTGATGGTGTCTGCGGCAAGCCCGGTGACCCGAGACCGCCGCCACAAGCGGATGATCCGAAGAGCATGAAGTGGCTGCTGGAAAACCGCACGGACTTTGGACCCAATGGATGGGACAAGCTTTTGGGTGCTGAAGTCTGTAAAATGGTTACAGTGGTTGGTAACCATTTCACCATGATGAAACCACCGGTGGTAAGTTAATCTCCTTCCAATTGTGTGGCAATCTTTCGAGCTAACCATTTCTTCTAGGCTAAGGGTGTTGGTCAATACATCCGGGAGTCTCTCTCCATGTAGAGAGCTTGACCTCGACATCTGCAACTCTTCAGACTTGTTACGTATAGAGATCCTCGACACAGAGGGATGGGGTTTTGATGGACATAGAATTTTGCTCATTTCACGAACGACTCTTCGTCACTATGTTGGAAAATTGGGGTTTGGAGCGTCAGCGGCCGCATTTTTGCTGAGCATTTCTAGAGCGTTGGGGGACTTTGTTTCTTGGTTCACTGGGCAGTGAACTTACAGACTGATTGATTGATTGCATCGGGGGGTTTTGCATGCTTCCGCCGGACCAGCGGGTGGATAGGCGTTTGCTACTTCTTTTTGTCTCTCTCTAAGAGGATGTTTTTCCGCCTCTACAAGTTCCATCCATAGCCTAAGTTGTTACGATAAGCCAGATTTGCGGCTTTTAATGCACATCATCATTTTCCCAAACGTCCTGTGTTTCCTGGTCTTTCGTTTGTATACGAACCTTGGCTGGTGTATGGTCCTCTCCCTACCGACAATGTAGACGTCTGCTTCCCACGGTTTGATGCGTACTTGCATGTCACATGAAGGTATGCCACGTCGATCTTAGCCACATGCATGGTTCACCCGAGCATGTTGTCGACTTGGTTTGAAATACTTGTGGTCCCTGACGACCTCCACCCAGCGTGCCAAACAGCAAACCGGGGGGGATCCCAGGCCAAAAGCGATGCGACGCGATTCAGCCAGCCTCGGAGTGATTTTCATGTTGACTACCACTCCGAGCCGCGATCGTCTTGCGCCTCTCGCCTGTTCTGAGAATCACTTCTACTTTGGGCGCGTACCCAAGGGCGGGGAGTAACGGAGCCATGTCGGCAGCCCAACCCCACGAGTACCTACCCTAGCCAGCGGACCCGTAGCGACTACAGACTTGGAAGGACGAAGCATTGAATACGGTAGCTCTGGAGCATTATACAGTGGTAACAGGACATTTGACAGGTTCCACGTCTACAGTTAACCGTCGAGGACATTTAGGCCCAGCCGATTTAGGCCACAGTGTATCGGGCATGGTGCCCAAGGCAGTAGTAGTAGGTAAGGTACCTTACATGGGCTAACTTGGAAAGTCGCGCAGACTTTGAGAGCGAAAGCCAGGGCATTATTCACTATTGCACTGGCAGTGCAATTGGAACCTCGGTCGATGACGGTGACGTAGCAAACAAAGGTCGGAGAAAGCTTGCCATGAAGAGGTAAGGAAGGGTAGGTAAGGTAGGTGCTATACTAGCAGGTGGGGTTGCAGTTCCGAAGTGCGAATCTGGGTGGGTAAAAATAGCTTTTGGCTTGAACGTCGTGCCAGTGAACTTGGATGCAGTGTACCTAGGTAGTGACAGTGGTGGTAAGATAGGTAGGGTAGTTTCCTGTCTGTACTGTAGTAGTAGTAGTGTACATGCATGTCTCAGTTCGGCTCTCTCACACACAGTAGCAGCAGCTATCTCAGCGGGCGCTGTACTCGTAGAACAGAGTATCCAGCTGGTCAAAAGCCGTCATCGTCATCATCGCCAGAATATTGATTGCATTAGTTCGCGGGATTCATTTGTCTTACATTTTTCCATTCCGGATCTGGTCACAATCTTGTTCCGATGCTAACTGTTATCTTAAGTTCGTACCGCAACACCTAAAGACCATGGCGTTGAGGGGGTGGTTGCCCGTAACTCTCACTCTTGAACTGAAGAGCCGGTTGGAAGATGGCTGGCGGGGCGGTGCGGCAGGGGTGGTCGAAGGCTGCCTGAAATGCAGTAAAACATGCAGTGAGAGGACTAATGGGGCCAGCCTACTAGTGCTGAATTGTAGCTGTTGCGGTCGACTCCTTTACCTTAGGTATCTTGAAGCCTCCCGGAAAGATAAGGTAGGTACAATAATGTACCTAACTACGTAGGAGGCTGGCTGGGTCGGGGATGGATACCAAAAAGTCAAAAGGCGAAGAAACAGAAAATCAGGACTTGTCTGACGTGCGTAACAGGACTGAAGAAATGGTTTCGACTTTACATGGTCACAAATACCGTACGTGTGATACAGCCGGCCTTGATTTGATAACGGCAGCACCATTGCAGCAAGTGGCAATCTTGAAGTGACGTGCCGCAACCGTGGATACGGTACTTACCTCTGTTCAAGTTGTTTACTGTTGTTGTTTGTTTTACCTACTACTAGTAGGGAAGTACCTAGGCAATGTTTACGTTTTGTCCATAGGCGTGTGGAGACATTGGGGAGGTTATCCACACAGTGATCATGGTTGTGTCTCTCCCCCGTGCACAGACGCAGACACAGACACACATACACACGGACATCTGAGTCAGCATGACCTACGAGCCACCGAGGCAGCTGCCAATGCAATAATAACAATGGAGTAGGAAGCCTGATAGTGCTGGAAGGTCATATCGTATATGCCCAGCTATTGTATATTCATTCATTTTGACTAATAGTCCACTATATGTGTGGCCGGGCCAGTGGCTCTCAGGGAGGTCCATGATGATAGCACCGATGCAAACAGCACGTCGACCAAGCTCCAAAGGGCCGCCGACTCGACTCACCGCGCGGTGAAAGCCAAAGGTCTCACGAGTCCCTCGCTCGTTGAGACATTGTTCCATTGAGCCGCGTGCTTCGAGGTCGAACACTCATCAGCCTGCGATGATTGCAGGTTAACCCCCTGTCACGGCCCAGGCCGTTGTATACGAGGAGATCTGGAGTGTTCTGCTCCATCTTTCCTCGTTGATATAGGTAGCGTCGATACCGGTGGAGATTGTCGTGCCCGGATAACCGTCGAAGAACATGTACCACGGGGGTCGACGTGTCGTGCCTCTGGCGTCCACCGCCCGTAGGCCGATGGAGTCGTTAGCCTCCTCTTTTGTTCAAAATGGAGAACGGTCACCGAGAATCCACAGGCCGCACGCTTCTGTATTGAATTGAAATCAAACGGCGGCACGGTTTTCGAAAAGCGGTCTCAGAAATGCCCATGTTACTGAAGTTCCCCTGGATGGCGCGTTGACTACTTCTGGACGCGCGTCACGGCGACGCTGGATTGCGTCGACAGATGTACGCAATACAGGGGCCCCAATGCAGGCGTCAAGACCATAAACCCACAAGCTTCAACCACAGTCCTTGATCGGTCCACCATGACGATAAAATCGTGACCCGAGGTTGTGGAACGAGCTGACGTTGCCCAAATGACGGCCATGATGGAGTGGGTGCGAGAGGGTCAACGAGAACGATGAGACGTTTCCTGAAATGGCCGAGTGTGAGTGTGACAGCATCGTACAAGTATCTGTGCTCTATATCGCAATCGCCATATGTGGCCAAACCAATGGCGTCAAGTATTGTACACTGTACTTGCGACATGTGCCTGAATGTGGTAGGCCCTCGTCCACCCAGGGGCAGGATCCTTCCACCACGTTAGAGTTCTGCTGCAAGCATTCAATGCAAGCCCTCTGGACGATGCGTTTTGCCTCACATTCGTGTAAGGGTCTCTGCAAGCTCGCCTCAGTCAGAGATAGGAAGGACTGGTCGTCAAGTCCAGTCTACCTATGCTCGATTTTGATGCTATCCAAAAAGAAACCCGTGCTCTACACCTCGGGGAAAGACTTCTGTCCATGGAACCTCGATGGATTCCTCCAAAGTCTGGGAAGCATCAACGCTGTGCTCGAGATCATTGTCGGCATCGTTCAATCCATCTGTACCCATCTGGTCTATACTGCATCTGTGTCGTGGGGTAGACTTGATGTATTGATTCCTCTCCCAAACGCCTGCCATGAATTCGAGTCCGGCATTAAAGATCCAGATTCCAGTGCGTCGTTTCCAGCGCTCACCGAAATCGAGCACGAATTTTCTCTGTTGAACATCCGCGGATGTAAGTTCACAAGCCGACAGCATGACTGGCATGAAGCATTGTTTCTGATAATTGCTGTGCGCCGGGATTGCCTCGGTTGTCCGCAGAACTTCCAAGGCCAAATCATGTGGGTTGAGCGCGGGAGTTGTGGGCGAATTCAATTCCAGAGAGCTGCAAGGCTGTGCGTCGGGACGGGGGAACACGCGCGCAATGTAAAGAAGAAGCGCTGCCCTCCAAGCCCTAGACATCAGAGCCAGCTGTTCATCTTCGTGCATGATGATCTGTGCATTCCAAATCCTACACTCGAGCTCTGAGATTTTTTCTGGTGAGAAGGTCTCGGGGCGCGCAGCCGCAACTGCGAGTTGGTGCATGTCTAGAAACATTTCATCAGGCAGGCCATTAAGGGCTAGAATGCTCCATTCGCTTTCGGATTGCCATAACATCAAGGCTTCCAAGTATGATCGGGGAAAGACGGGCCCACAACGAGAGATCAAAGCAGCAGTGACATCGTACCAGATCAACATGGCGATCTGACTTCTAAGGTGAGGTCGGGATTCGGCGACGCGAATACCACCGTTCGATTCCAGGATGCGGAAAGCGCCTCGCAGATGGATTGTCCAGTTAGAAACCCCGGACTCGGTGTAATCCAGGGCTATTAAAAGGAGAGATGTACTGATCCCAGACTCCAGCGGTATATCCGTAAGATGCGTGGCAAATACGGAGAGAGCCCGAGTTTTGAGTTGCAAGACCGAGAGTCCCTCAGGCCTGCTGCGCAGATGGGCTTGTTGCCTACGCGACAGGGCCACTGCCGCATCACGTACGCAGGGAATGTCATCTTTCATGTGTGCAAGGGCGGCTTGCCATGGATTGACTGGTACGGCGTAGGTGAGCGTGATATAGGAGAAGAAAGAGTCATAGAATGCCAACGCGTATTCAAAGTCGTCAGGATGTCTTCCGATCTGGGGAGGAATAGAAGTACAGAACACCGACCTATTGTAATGGTCCAGCCGTGTGTTGACTGTGACACTTGTCGTTGGCAACAATGACGAGCAGAACGGCGAAGCTGGTGTATTGGGATCGTATGCCCAAGAAGGAGAAGGAGGTGTCGGAATACTCATAGCCGTACTGATGCTTGAAGAGCGGCTCTTAGCATCTGTGGCGGATGGTGTTTTCGGCGATCTGGCAGAGTTCCTCGATGCCCGCTTCACGGCCCGGCTGGCCGGTACATGCTGTTCCACAAACACGAATGAGGATGGTGTAGGTAATCGAGCGCTGCATTGCAGAGGTGCGGTCGCCTCAGTAGCTGATGAGTTTGGCTCGGGTTTCGTATGGGTTCTGGAGTTCTTGGCCCTCGACTTCTTGAGCCGACGGGTGGCCCGCTCCCAGTCCAGCTGTTGCACATACCCGGCGCATATCACTCCGTCGTTCAGACATGCGCTGCACCGCGGCCTTCGTCTATCGCAGTGACGACCTAGGGAAGAACATGTGTGGCAATCGGATTTGGCCCACCCCAGTGAATTGGTTCTTTTCCCGGTTATAGATCTCTTTCGTGAAGAGTTTGTTGTGGTCGGGGACTGGGATGGCTGAATGAGAGCGCTTGATGTGCTCGTACTACTTGTTACCGACATGGTTCAATCTGCCTCAAAGACCATGCCCGATCGTCCTTGGTTGAACCAAACAGCCGTGATGAGGTGGAAGGAAGAGTCGCCAGTCTTCCCCGTGTCCAGAATGGTTGGATTTCTAAGCACGTGATGTAGTATGACCTTCAACCATGAGCGGCTCTCAGTAATGCCCTGCTGTCGAACCCGGGCGGCTGCTGGTGACCTCTACTAGAATGGTCATGCCTTGCAGTACTGTATGATGGAATAAATCTGATGATGGTTACCTACTAATGAGCATGTCGTCTTCCAAATTGAGCGAAAGGCAAACCGCTGAGGTGAAATACACATGCCTGACAAAATCTTTGATCAGAAAACACTAATCAAAATTTGCATCCTACTATGGATGTCTGGTAATCCGGTGTCAGACAGTGATGGCTTCCCGCATGTGACCGAGCGAGGCTACAACATTGTGTGTGAAAACGGAGCCCGTCTACACGAGTCATGATGCATACACGTGACCGTAATTTGATTCAGGTAGACCAGAGTCCCGAATATCGCGGCAACAACGTTTTCGCGTAAGAACAACAAACCAATACGAAGGTCTTGTTGGTGTTATAAGGTAATTTCACAAAATACTCGAAGTCCACTGCATCGGCGCCAACCTCTCTCTTTCTGTCAGCCCAGAACCTCCAAAATGTGGTGAGTACGGCTTCCGTCAATGTGTCAACAAATGGCGGAGTGCTAAAATATGGCCCATCTCATCAGCAAACACATTCTGAATGCTCAAGTATCGATACGGTCACCCTGCTGTAAGTTCATTCGTCGTCAGACAAGAAACTCACATGGCGAAGACGAAGACGGGGGACTGATTCCACGAAAAGGCCGGAAATGGTTCGATTGTGCAGAGTGCCATGCCGAGTCAGAAGACCATCCGCTGTTGCAAAGTTTCGACATGGTAATGGCCCCCCACAACCCCATTTCTCTGTCTTCACGAGGCTGATGGTTGTTAAAAAGACATTCATCTGCAAAAAGTGCAAGAAGGCATTCCGGAAGAACACAAAGGACTGGGATGAGAGGTAAGGGTTTCAACCAGTACCAGTCCTTGTCCTTGTGGCTAATACGAAGCCGGCGATCCAGTGATGAGTACTGCCCGAATTGTGACAATCACTTTGTGATTGACGCGGTCACACCGAAGGCGGCTCTGAAGGTCGAGAGCGACGATACGCGGATGGATGCGAGGTAAACCTAACTCGAGAGAAAACTGTGCTTGCGGATGAACTGACAAGTTCTAGGATGCTCAAAGATGAGCGCGTCAAGCAGGCAGAAAAGTCAATATTTGACATACATGACTGGACGGGGCGGCTAGGCTGAGCCTGGTATCACACACTGCGGGTTCTGCCTCGCCGCCCTACGACCAAATGGATTCTGATTCATTGGGGTCAATGAAATAACGACAGGATGATGGGCTTGGAGTTAGTGATAGACGATATCTAATCATTTACAAAAGTCGGCAAGCTCAAAAGCATGGGAAACCGGTATTGATTCTTCATCGCCAGAACTCCGGTCGCTAATGCAGAAAGCACGAATGTAGAGAAACCTGTAAAGCTCAGATACCAGCACTACCTTCTCCCTCAGCGAGCGGCCGTGTTGGTAATGACGCCGTACCCGAGGCACCAGGTCGACCCGGCTTTTTCTTTGCCTGTTCTTCCTGCTTCTCGGCCTCGATTGTTTTGACATATTGCTCAATTTCCTCAGAAGGAAGCATCTCGATCGTCTTTCCAGGCGCCATGATGGCAATTTCTATGTTCTTGGCTCCAGTCTGGACGACCTCCAAGAGTGACTTCACGGTGAGCGAGATGGTAGCTTCCCGATCCATGTCGTCTTTGTGGTTGCGCTCTAGGAATTCTCGGACTGTCTTGCTAGACCTGCCGATCGCATTTGCTTTCCTGGGCGGTGTTAGTGATAGACTCGTCAACGGCAAGGCAGCTGCTGATCTTACCATGCGGAGTAAATGCCGGAGGGCTCGGTTTGATACAGCTTGGGCTCTGGGTCGCCCTTGTCGAATCCAATGATGAGAGTACTGATCCCGAAAGGCCTCACACCACCACTTTGCGTGTATCGCTGCTGCACACCAGCAACATATTTTGTGATGTATTCAATCGTGACAGGGTCCTCCACGGTGAGACGATGTGACTGCGCCTCCACCCTTGCCTTGTCGACCAATATCCGAGCGTCCGCGTTAAGACCAGCGAAGGCCAAACAAACGTGGCGATCAATCAAGCCGATCTTTGATGGTGTGATTCTCGTATCTTGAAGCTTCATTGCTGATTTCTTTTCGCATCCCAGGACCACAATGTCTTTCCCTTTTACTCCCACTGCGCAAGTTCCTCGTTTGACCGCTTCGAGGGCATACTCGACCTGGAAAACGTGGCCATCGGGACTGTGATGGTTAGCAAGTGCAAATCAGCAGGTCGGACCGCTACTGTAGTACCTAAAGACTGTGTCGGTCAGCTATAGATCAGGACAACTCTCAGAGCGGACACACCAGAAAGTGCACGATCGTAACCTGAGGCCATCTTGGAAGAAACCACGTCTTCCCGACGGCACAAACGATGAAGCTACCCTAGAAGAGTCGCCTTGAGGAGGTGAAGATGCAGGGTGGAGGTGGTGGTGCTGTTGTTGTAGATGTGTTCAAGTTACGAAGATGTTGGAGAGCCTTCCAAGTTCCTACTACCACCACTACGGGCGTTACGCGGTAGCCGCGTGCCTGGTCATTGACGCCAAGCCCCGTAAGTGCGCAAGACGGGGTACAGATCCACCCAACAACGTAACTACGGTGGAGTGTTGAAATGGGCTACAATGTGCCGAGTGCCCACGATACCTGGTGTACAACTAGATCACTACCCGTGAATGCTCGTCCAAATCGTTGCTGCGATTTTCAACGACAGTGGTTTCGGTTTCAGAAGGAACTATTTTTGTGAGTTCTACACCGCCACCCCGGACAAGACAGCACACTGCTCTCAGCAGATATGGATCAGCTGGCCTTGGAGAGGGACATACTATGTAGTTATCACTTTCTAGAAGCGAGTTGCCAGATGCGGGCCAACGCCTATGTGGCCAGGAAGACATGGAAAAGAGAAAAAATTTGGATACTTTTCGTTTGTATGTTCATTTAATGATTGAATTGCTCCTGTATTTACATGCTGCCTACCCCAAGTGCCTGTATTCGACTACCAGCGACGATACAGTTCACGGGCACATGATTCCGTGCGACATTGGGGCCAAAGACTGCCTGGCGTCAAAATGCCACATCATGATATTTTCCAGGCTGTGTTGCCAAATAGATCGTACATCAAGACGTGATTCGTAAAATGCATAAACTGAAATTGTCTAATGCCAGTGACGAGACATGCGGCGGAAGTGACCGTGCGGGTGTCGCTTCGCTTTGCCCGGAGTCATCGCGATGTCCGTTGAAATTCCTGGTTGGCAACGCATACCGGTGTCCATCTCGATGGGCACACTCCAAGTGCCGGAGGCGCAGCGTTGAAAGCTGGAGCCGTCTGAAGAGCAAGCCCATGCTCCCTCGGGTGAACATGCTCCAGATTGAGCGTCGCTAGTATCGCTGCTGTTGCTCGCGCTGGTAGCCGCGGGGGAAGCTTCAGAAGTGGCAGATGCTGCCGCGGAGGAAACGGAAACGGAAACGAACACGCCAGGCGCTCCGCTGACGGCAGCACTTCCAGTCGCAAACACGGGCGAGGCCGCTTGAGCGGTAGTATCTGTACCAACCGTTTGGCTGGCAGAAGGAACTGTAGCGGCAGTCAGAACGCTCGATTCTGTGGCACCTGAGGCAGCCGCGGTAGGTTGAGCAGCAGAAACACTTCCTGCCGAACCACAGCTTAGTTTGGTGAAAGGTCCCTGGCCGGCTGTCTGCACATCGTCACCTGGCTCTGGATAGATGTAGTCATACGACTCTGGAGTTGTACAGTCATTGATCCCAGCCAGGTTAGCGATAAAAAGATTTGGGAAACTCGTCCTTTTCGTAATTTTCCCGGATTCAGCTCGCTTCATTTTCGCTGATTCAACTCGCTTCTCTTGCACTTCCACAGGCGCGCAATTCATGTACATCTCTCTGTTGCCCACTTTGTTGTGCCATGTCCACGCGAGGGTGTATTGACCAGGAGCAATGCCATCAGGGATGGTGTATTGGAAAGTGCTAGCACCAGTACCATTCGGATCTGCGGGGAGATTTCCGGGGACGGAAGCAGGGCAGCCACCTTCGATAGACTTGATGACCATCCATTTAGAGTCTTTCGTGGGCTTTAGATCGGTTGTCAAGCTGACTTGGCATGAACCACCGCCATGGACGGCACTGCCGAGAAAGCTCAAGGTCTGTGGTTCACCGATCGTCATGACATTTTCGGCACCTTCAGCGTCGTAAACGCCAGTACGCTGCTTGCAGGGAAAATCGGAGCCATCAGCAAGGAGCGGCGAGTTGTCGAGAGTGGATTGACCATATGGGACAGGAGATTTGAGTTTCATGTGGCCGTTGACCGAAGCAGTCATGAGGACCATAACGGTCGTAGCCACGGATATGATGGAGGAACGCATGTTGAGTTTGGAAGCTCTGTAGCGGTGTGCTTTGTTTGTGGTTGTAATGAGTGTGTTGGGGAGGGCAATAGCCAGATTGCACTGTATCGGGAGTTAGTTTGTGGTCGGGGATGAGCTTTGAGCATGGACAGATCATGGAGAATGTATGAGATGTATCAACAGAGTACAGGACTATGAAGCCAACCGACAAGAGCTGGGCAGTAAGTTACAAGAAGATGACTGGTAGAAAATGACCGCCACTACCTAATGCCTTTGTCGAAATGAACAAGGCCAATAGGCCAAACAAGCTGTTTGATGAAAGAAGAAAAGAAGACAGGGCAGTCCAAGACAGGCAATGTGATCTGCAAGGGGATGGATGTCCCGTACCTTTCTTCACGGACAAAGAGAGGGTTGGTCTTTGGCTTGGGCCGGTGATTGTGAATCAAGTGAATGAATGTGATTGTCTGCACCAGGCAAGACAAAGAGATGAACAAAGGAATGTCTAGGGCTAGCCTGCCACAGTTGGATATCTGTAGATGAGGTGAGATGAAATGAGAGGAAACGTTTGGAGAATCCAACCTGGCGTTCGTGGCCATTTGTAGACTTCTATATACATTGTAGGCCCAAGGTCCAGGGTCGCTCGGCCGGCTGGCAGGAGGTGAATGACAGATGGACCTCCTGATGGTATCCGTAGGGTGGCGCGCAAGGGGTGTTTGAAACAATGGCATTCTATTGGCATCATCGAAGCCGTCTTCCGCGCATGACAGTTATGCTACTCACAGACCATCGTTCCAGACTGCAGCTTCCGCCTGGAGACACGACCACTTACAAGCTTTGATCACCGCGTTGAAGACCACCTACTTGGGGAGGTTGAAGAAGGGTTGCAGGGTGAGCTTTCTGTATGCATTGACGTGTGGTGGCTGGACTGTGGAGCCAGGACCACACTTGAAGGGATAGGACGTTGAAACATAGCCCGCTGCCTGGTAAGAGCGGCTGTACCCAGTTCTAGTAAAGGGAACTGTAGAGCATATGGCTGATTCGCTGGAGCGAGTCTACCTTGGAGAAGAGCCAGCGAAGCGTAGTCGAAGACCACATCTGGGATGGGTGTACAATGTGTCCAAGCAGAGGTCAGGGCTGCAAGACTGTGGAAAGGCCATGGAGCCCCTTGGAGGAGGCTGAAGCAGTCCATCGCGGAGGTGGAGAAGCATCCATAGAGTTGATCCGATCTAACATTTGTACCTAGGGTAGGGTTTTCAACGCGAACAATGAAAAGGGGAAAAAGTGGCAGACACGAGATCAGGGGCTGTCTGTGTGCGGTTAACGATCTACCAATCACCGGGCGCCGCCTCGGCCTCGCTAATCACTCTCGGCTAGGCCCGGCACTGGAGAAACAGATGTTCCGGCGAGGCCAACATCCACGTTTCTTGACTGGCCCGCGATTGATCCCATTTTCTTTCCAAGGTTCTGATGAAACAGCCATGCTCTGTCCCTGCCCAAGGTTGCTTGTGACCATCTATCGCCACTGAAGACATCACACTTGCAACGCTGTCCCATGGTCGCTGGGTTCTGTCGGTTAGCGAGGTGAAGCTGGCGGATAACGCCAAACGCGCTGGGTGATGCGTGGTTGGGGAGGTCTGTGCAGCTCCTCAACCACGTACCTTCACCGATCGATATGGAGTACGGCTTTATGCGAAGACTTTGACATCATCTTTGAATAATGCTGCTAAAAGAGACAATGCATGGCGTGAGGGCTTCAAAACCCCTGTCAGACCCGGCCTGGCCCAAGCGGGAAGCCAGGTTTGCGAGGCTGGTCCTTGGAGTTTCCGGAAGTCTCTCATCACGGGCCCCTGTCCTTGACTGTCGTTTCAAGGCGAGGACTTCATCTTGCTGTCGTCGATGTCCACCTTTTCTGGGGCCACCGCCCATCAATGGGTGGAAGAGCCCAAGCGTACACACCTCTTTTGCCCACTGGCACCCTCAGCGATGGGACCAGCTACGCGTGACAGCTTCTGAGAGGCTGTCACCCAGCCCCCGGCTTTTCTGGCTTCGCGAACTGACTGACCCGCAGCGCGATCACCTTGATCCTTGCTCAACTACAATCCTCGCCAGTAAACTGCACTGCAACGGTCGCATTATAGAGGGTACCACTGGAACCCTAAGCACAGGTTGGGTCAAGACGCTTTGAAGGCAGAAACAGCCCGCGGACGTCTCTGCGGGACCAGTCCTCCCTGGGCCGTGTGGTAATATCAAGGAACTGATCATCAGGTACCACGGAAAGCCCGGGCTTGTTTCGGTAGTCAGGGCCAGGGCTCATCGATGTGGCCATGCTGAGTTGAAAGCTGAAAGTCTTGCAGAAGTCCGACGGACCGCCACGGGTCGAACGCGAGCTTCAGGAGACGTCAGTCGGCCGATCGAAATCCTCAGCGCGTGTCTTGAGCGGCTCAAGAGGTCCGGTTCAGTGGACACAGGTCCAGCCTATCCTTGCACGCGTCGCAACGCCAACACTGGAGGAAAGAAAATTCCCACTTGTCTATTCACTCGTTACGATTGAGTGGCGGTGGCCAAGTTGGGTCCATGAGTTCAGAAACCCTGATCGGCTCTACTGTTGGGTACTGTCAGGAGCAGCAACACCGCTGATTGTACGTGAAAGCTGCAAGCCTCTCTGCAACTAGCAGACATTACATTCTGCAGACAGCTGAATGGCGACCCTCCGCATCCGAGGTGAGTATTCGTTCTGTTGAACGTGGCTCCTATTCCATTAGCAGTAGCCTATTGCATATATGGTATTGAGGAGCCCTCTTTCAAGGCGAGCCACGACCACTTACGGACATTGTCGCGTGATAGACGTTCGAAATCTACTCCAGAGCAGCATAGACAGCTCCAGCGACTCTATAGCATGTTGCTTGCAGACTGTAATCAAGCCTCGAATATAAGATATTGTTAGACAACTCAGTGGACGGCATACCTAGCCCGTGGGAGATGTCTGATAGCAAGGCCAGGATAGGCCTCTGTTGATAGGAGATGAGAGCGAGTCAGCCTCTAGTACTACGAGGCTTCAGTAGCTCAAGCTCAATAGAAAATGCTTTAGTATTTCTGTTTCAATGACCACCTAATGTCTACGAACCTGAGGTAACCTACCTAGGTACTGATAGTGTGCGCCCATTGTTGTGCAAAGTACTACCAGAACTTGAAGCAGACAACTCACGATGAGTAAGCCGGTGCCTCCGAGTAGATGCGAGGCTGTGGCCTTCTGGTGGGGGCCGTCCCGATTGAGCGTCGCCAGGCTGCCGCGTCGAAAGAAGCAAGGCGAAACGTCGGTTGAAGAATGAATCGAATCATACAACACCGACATTTCTCAACTCGCTCCTGTCTTTGGCATTGTACATTCGTTGCTTGACCCTCTACTAATAGATGTTATAAAAGAACAAGCATCACCCTCGTGGCAGCGCCTGGATCTTGATATACAATATAATACTTCCCTTCAATCCGCTTAATACCGCCGTTTCTAAATACCAGCACAAGTTGGAACGCGACGATATTCCCTCCTTTTCAGAGCCATGCCTTTACTCTCAATGCCGTCGATACACTCTCTCATCTCGTGGCGAACAGTCGCAATAATATTCGCCGTCGTCAACCTCAAAGCCCTACCGCTAGCATGGCATTTCCGACTTTTGTACCGCATGCTTGCCAACTGGTACAGCGAGGCGCGGATCAAACGTACGGCCTCACTGGCAGTAGTCGGAACCTCTCCTACACATCGGCATCCTCTGTTTGAACCGGTTTCTATATTCTCGCATTCGCCGCTGCTCGAAACCGACTACAACCTGCACAAGAGCAACAGCACTTACTTCTCCGACCTGGACGAGAGCAGGACTGCCCTGATGACCAAGGTTCTGATCCCAGGCCTGAAGCAGGGCGCGAAAAACCTAGAAAGGGACGGACACAGGGGCAGATTGGCGGTCATCCTGGGCAGTGTGCACACCTCGTTTCACCGTGAGATTGCGCCCTATGAACGGTACGAGGTCCGCTCGCGCGTGCTGGGCTGGGACCGGAAATGGATCGTCGTGGCCAGCTGGTTCATTCGACCTGCCAAAAGGGGGAAAGAGGAGGTCTTGTTGGCGTCCGCTTTGAGCAAATACGTGGTCAAAAAGGGTCGGTTTACAGTTCCTCCTGAACGATGCTTCGCTACGGCCGGTTGGCTGCCTCCAAAGCCGGCGGATTCAGAGAAACCGCAAGCGGAAGCGGCTAAAGAAGCTGCGTCTGAACCGTCCGCGGATACCACTCCGGAAGGCCTCCAAGCATCGGTTCCTGAACCGGCGCTCGCCGCCACGACGGAATTGGTTGAAAAGCTGGAGACCACAACAGAGAAGGTGTCGCAAAGTGATGTTACAGAGTCCCGGGAACCGTCTACCGCCTCATTTAAAGAGGACGACTGGGATTGGCATCGCATTGAAAAGGAGCGTCTCCGCGGTCTGGCCGTGGCGGCGAACTGGTTGGCATTGGATCAGGAGCTTCTGGAGGAGTTCTCGCGCGGATAGAATCTGCTTCATATCGCGCAGCCCTCGTCGCACGTAGCACTGGCAGTTGGGCCGCTGTCCTCCCAGATGGTGGTTGTGGGGACTCACAATAGAAGCCTCTTGCGTATATAGATTAGATTGCAGTATTGGAACAGCAGGGCGTTCTGGCTACGAGGGATGAGGATTACAATACTTTGTATATACAATTATGGAGGGCATATTAATTTTATACTTTTCATGGAGTCTACCTACGTACAGAATCACAGCGAAAGATAACGATATAGAAGGCCCATTTTTGAGGAAGTCAGAAAAAGGGTTGAGCGCGATCCAAAACGATAGTTGACATTGCCTTCTTAGACTTTGGCTTCAATCTGACTTTCGCAATCATCCAGCACCATCCTGTCGAGGGCCAAAACAGACGGAAACGCTGCGTTTGAGTAAAGGAGAACGCCGAATACGCCGAATTTTCAGCGGCCTGTTACGTCGCTGAGCTAGACAGCCGCAAGGGGGGAACAATATGAATCGCCCTTCGACCGTGAAATGCATTGTGGGCGTGGGCGCGAGCAGTGGGACCACCTTGAATCCACATTGAGAAATGTACAAGAGATCGAAACTGTCAAATGGACACTAAAGCCCAAATCGATTGGCAACGCCGGGGAGGAAGGAGAAGTTGTCAGATATTCCGCGCAAGGACAACGGATGGCGACCCGACTGTAAAGGGAGGTCTCTGACAACGAGTTACTCCTCTGGTCGCTAGAGCCTTTATTTGTCTCCGGAATTCTCGGTCTGCTTCTTGCCGTTGCCGTTGTGTTTCTTGGGGTGCTCGCGCAGATACTCTTGGTGACGAGCCTCACGCTCCTTGATGCGCTCCTCCTCGGCGGCAACCATTTGCTTCCACATATCGTCGCTACCGCCGCCACCGCCTTGGCTGCTGACCTCACGCTCGACCTGCTTCTCGAGGATGCGCTTATGTTCAGGATCCGAAGGGTCGACATAGCGGACTGTCTCAAACCGACCCTGTGAGCTGCGCGAATCCGAGATCTCAAAGGCGGCCGTGACCACGAGCACACCCAGAGTCAGAAACTGGGCGTACACACGAGCCTGGACGATCTTCTGCTGACCAGTCAAGTACGGGTTGCGGTTGACGATGGCGAAGGCGGCAGCAATCGAGGCTAGCCATGAACCGGCCACGATCTTGTAGCGTTCTTTACGACCAAAATCCATGGCCCGCTCGGTGAAGGTCTTGTTCCGTCGCTCAGCTTCGGCTCTTTCCGTCTCCAACTGGCGGTATTCCCTCTGGTAAGGGTTCGTCTCGGCCTCGAATGAGCGGGAGAAGTGGTCGGCCGTGATAATGCCGGCAAACGTGCCGCTGCTGGTGACCAGAAATGCCTTCATTGGCAGCGTCAGGTTGCGGATCAAATGGTAGCGGCGCTGAGCGGCCATCACGCCCACAAAGCCAACGGCGAGGCCGGTGACACCACCGAGGATCCCTCCTTTCAGGGTCGCCCGGTAGTGGGCTGCTTCTTCTTCCTTGGTGAGGATCTTCATGGTGAAAGCGTATGGATGGCGGTATGGGAGGTTGTGTGGTAAGGCTGCGCTATGGCGTGATTATGTGACGTCTGCGAGGATCGGGGAACAGCTCCAAGCTTCAGAGAGCAAACAGATAGATGGCCGAAAGTCAGAACGTCGAAGTCGTGAGAGGCGAGTATGGATTTATTATTGTATGTCGACGTAAAGAATTATGGCGTGCGGCGAGAGGCGAAAAGGACGTCTTCGTATTATTGCTCGTTTGGCCTCGAAAGCAGCAGCAGAAGCAATTTATGGGACACTGCGGGGAGCTGCCAGCCTTCGGCCTTTTAGTCAGTGATTGTTGAATGGCCAGGAGAGGCTCCGTCCGTCAGACAACTCTATGTCGCTGTGGAGAGTTATGTCTGCGCTGACGATATGTCTGGCTCACTGTATATGAGCAGTAGTAGATGAAAGACAAAGTCAACGCTGATATTATTGAAGAATAAATGGTAGAGCTACAACAACTATGTATATGGTCTTGTCAGGGTCGAATGTCGGCGTTCATCACCATGACATCAGACAACATCAACTTTTTACTGGCAGCATTTCCTCGGGCCTCGCCGACCGTGTTCATGTCATGCGCGAAAAAAACATCCTTTTGCCTGCGAGAAATGATGTGCTGTTGCTAATGTTACATATTGCATAACACTGCCGCTTGAACGAATAATCCCTTGCTCAGTTGGCTCTGCCCCGAAATAATAATCACGCATTGGCAAGCCGAGAAATAAGGGCGAAGACCCCGTACCAAAGTGCAAGCGATCCACTGCAGCACCACTCACAACCAATTCAATTGCCCACACCGTGACTGGCAGAGCCTTGCGAGCTTCACTCGCCGCGGGAGTCGGAAGTCGGTGCAGGCAAAACGATCTCTCTTCAGCCTCATGCCGGACGTGCCGCTGCCACCTGATACTTACATTATTGTACTAGGACTGCAGTGGACGGGAATAACCGGGCAGGAACCACCGGGAAATCCTTCTGCCGCAATTATCCACAGCCTCGTACTAGTAATAATAATTCTTACTCTCAAAAGTCTCGGCCTCTATTGCTTCCTTCAGTTAGTGTGACCGAGCTCTGCAATCACGCCACCCAATAATACTGCAGGCATATTCAAGTTGTCCCCGAGGAAAGGGACTGCGGCCTACAGTTGGTTGCGACAAGTCCATCACTCTGATGGCCTGATATCACAGCATTATTACTGCTCTTCACCCAATTCTGTTCTCTGGCTGCAAACGTCTTTTGGACTTCCAACCATCAAGCGTTCAAATCCGTTGATGCTACGCGTCTAGGGCTGTCGCACGTCGGACAAGGGATTTGACTGCCACGTAGACGAGAGGATCCATTTTCCGGACGAGCCTCTCAGCCTTGCGACTCGACATTAACCAATACCAATATGGGCCATCGTATCCCTCCAGACGAGTCAAACTCTCCTCTTCTCGCGCATGGTGACCATCATAAATGCAGGTTAGGATCAACGGGCGTTTGGGCTCGGTAAGAACCAGCATGATGACAAGGAGCAGTTGGAAGAACTATTCCGCGGTCGCCCTGTATTCAAATCGAATCTGTTTCAATCATTCACATTGTGCTCACGGATGCTAACCATCCAGGAAGTAAAAGCCGCCTCGTTTGTACAGGAGGTTGCCGCCAAGGTATCAGTATTGTCGACCCCCCAACGCTCCAACCGCGCAACTCAACCCTCCAGCTCTTGGTGTCCCAGGCCCTCCTGGCGCAAGTACTCATCCACGTCCTCCAGGTCCTCATCATGGACCTGGAGAACCACCGTCTCGGTTGCCCAAAGGTAGACGGTGTACACTCTCTTGCGGCCGACCACCTCGGCCCCGCGCACCAACGCCTCCAACTTGGTGACGTGGTGGTTGGCGACCCCCTTCTTGAGGTAAATGACCGTGTCGCCAGGCTTGAACCGCACTTGGATCAGGCAGTAGGAGAGTGAAACCATTTTTTCTTCCCCGTACCCGTCTCTGGGAATCAACTTGTACAGGAGCCACGCACCGTCATCAGGCGCGGGCTGGCCATTTTCGGAAAACCAGCGCAGTCGTCGCTCAATGATGAAGACGTTGGGCGTGTCCATCTGATGGGGGTTGTAGGTATTGCCGACCGAGTTCGGGTTCTCAAAGGAAAGCATAGACATATGCATATGAGCAGGGTTAATGGTGTCCGAGCAGATGGTGCTATTGCCATGACTGTCGAGTAGGAAGACCTCTTGGCCGATCTGGAATTTCTGGACAAGTCGCGGATTGGGTATTTGTGGGAGGAGTGGCTCAATGTCGGGTACCGGGACTGCTTGGACGATCATTGGGCTCGACATTGCTGACTCTCCAGCTCCGGCCTGGTTGGCTGCTGTTCCTTCATCATTCTCACCCATGACCATTTCTATGTCTGCCATCTTAACGACCACTCGACGTCTCACTGCCTTGACTGGAGTTGGTAGTGGATTGGGAATGATACTGGTATCCTGCTCAGCCTGTCGTGGCGTTGCCAGTCTCGTGGGGAATGAATTGCTTCTGTTCCGGATTGGGAGGATGCTGGCTGGCGTCGCGGACGGTGATATGAGATTCAAGGACGTCTTCTTGTGTTTCTCTGGTGTTGACGGTAAGTGATCTCTAGAAGTCTCGCGTCGAATAGGTTGTGTCGATCTTGGTGTTTTGGTAGGACTGGACAGCCAGCTGTTGTCGATCTGAGCAGCACGAAGCGTCGGCGGACCTGAAGGCGACAACAATGCTGGAGACTCTCGCGATCGGTTCCTTAGAGGAGGAGGCGTCTTCAAAACATACGGCAACACTGTTGTTGTTATGCCATGATTGACTGTTGAAAACTGACTTGGTTCTGGTTGCTGGGTGGTTCGTGTGCGAGGGTGAAGTGGAAGAGAGAGAGGTGCGCGCAGGTTGGGATGAGGTGACTGCGGACGCTGCGCATGCGCATGCGCAGGCCGGTTCGTGTCTGCCATTGTGTGCGCACCCTCACGCTCTGTGAAGGCTATGCGCATATGCATATACACCAGGAGGGCGACAGCGGTGTATCAAGATGTCACGTGCGAGGCTGAGACCGATGTGAGGTTGGGCAAGACGGAGCATTGTAAGTCTGTTCAATGGCAATGACTTTAGGACGGTTGGAGCTATTGGAGTGTGCAGACAGGACATCCAAGGACCACAGCGTTCGCTCTGTTTCTGAGTAGAAAGAAGAGATTCGAAGAGGAAGAAGACAAAGCCCCCGGAATTCCTGTGCCGTGAGACACACCAGGGATATTTAGAAAAGTGTGCAATGCTGAAGGTTTACCAAGCACAGGGTCTCAAAGAATTTGACTTGCACAAAAGGACTCAAAAGAAACGACTGGGATAAGTTAGATGCCTTGCCATCATTGACGGCTTCAAGAGAGTGTTAGATTCTCATCATTGCGTGTAAAGCCCTACTAATACATTGCATTGTGGACCAACCCACGCGGAGAGGGTCGCATCGCCTTGTCCGAAGAACTTGTGCAGACCTTACTGTGGAATAACACTGGCGGCATAGCATGACTTTCCTACCCCCTACCGCCGAACGATAGTCGAGACCTCTGGCACAATAGTGTAGCTGGTAGCCCCAGGCAATAACCTCGCCCTATTGCTCTGTTTCTGGCCAGGTGCAAGGTTGTTCTTGATCTTGGGCACGGCAGTAGGCTGGCTGAGGTCTTCTCTCTTCTTGGTCGGGTCATATGCTGCTCTCGCCCAGTTCTTCTTGGTGTAGTCGTCGCTTCGTTGCAAGATAGGTCTGGACCATTCCTCCATGAGCTTCGTGGCTTGTCGTTTGATTGCCGGTTCGGCTCTTTTGGATCTCCGATAGAACAGAATGACTTTGCCGATGCCAGAAGAAATCAGGGTCTCCTTGTTCATGGGCAGCTTTGCCAAAGCCGCAAACAGCTCACGTTGGATGTTGTATGCAGGAAGACTGCCGTCAGTCAGGGGTTCCAAAAAGAATCGCACCGCCTCCAGCAGATTCGTTTCCGGATCGAGGATAGACTGGACGATATTGTTGCGATTGAGCAAGCTCACAACCTCGGGAAGCATTTTGAGTTTCTGTGATGCCGGAAGCCCTTGTCGCACCAATTCGCCGTCCGTTTCGGCTGCCGCAATCATACGGTTCCGCAAATCCTCAATTTCCTGGTCGGCAGCTTGTTCCAAGTCCTGGAATATGTTAGAAAGCGAAATTTCTTTCCCACATTACATGGCTCAAGAAAGAGAGACTTACAATTTCACCCTTACGGACACGCTTCCCCTGCGTTCTCTTGACGGCTGCATCCATTGCTCTGTCCAGTGCTCGTCTGCGACGTTCCTCTGGTGTCAAATCCTCTTCGTTGATCTCCACTCGAGCCGGTTTCTTTCTCTCGCCGTCGCCATCCTTTGCTTTGCGGACTCGTTTGCCTTCAATCTCCTCGCCGCCGGAGAACCCTTCATCGCTGTCTTGCCTCCGTCTGTTCTTTCGCGCTCTCTCCCGGGTCTTCTCCTTCTTCTTCTTCGGGGCAGCTTCTTCACCATCAGTCCGCTTGCGCTTCTTCACGTGGATGGATCTGTTCAGCGTGTCGAAATCGGGCGCGACCTGCACATTCGTGGGGTCAAAGTCGGCAAACTGCGCCTCGTCGACTTCGGAGAGCAGGGATTCATCATCCGAGTCATCGGCATTATTGGCTTGTTCTTGTGCAGGTTTCGATGGGTCGTTGAACTCGTCGTTGAGATCGTCCAGTTGGTCTTCGTTTTCAGATGGCCGGTCTAGTCCTTCAGCATCGGCTGGCGGTTGTTCCTCGCCGTAGTCACTCATGGTGGAATTTGTTTCGCTATCAACCGTTGTCGGACTTGTTTTCGATAGTCCAAAAAAGGCGACAAAGGTCAGTTGGCCAGTCGTTCGTGCAGCTCTAGAGTCCGGAGGTGAAAACAGATGGCGAAGATGTCAAGATCCAACTGAAGTTGGTTACCTAACCTACTATCCTGCAGTCGGAGACGAGAGAGGTTGATTGATGCCAAGTGGAAATCTATGACTCGTGTAATCACGTGATTGGGGGTTGCCACGACTCGTGAAACTTCACTTTGACTTCAAATTGAAGCCCGAAGTACTAGCACGATCGTGAGGTTTTCGGCCGAACTTTCAGCTCACAATCCTGCAATGCAGCAGTCGCCACTAACTCCACGACGCCATTGAGCTTCATATATCCCGAGCTTCTCTGTTTGGGATTCACTTCAGTGTTGATCCGGAGCAGAAGCCGGCGTGGAACCAGTTATCTGGGATGCAAAGGTCAAGCTCTAATATCCACCTTTCCTCACTATCAATCCTGGGTCATTAATATATTATCCAAAATCGCTGCTCCCCGGTCACAGGACGAAGACAAATATGTCAACATTGTATTGAAGAAACGGGCTGGGACAACGTCACTCTATAATGCAGAACCTTCCCTGTTGAACAGCTTTGCGCTGTAGCAGATGTTACATGATTCACCTGTGGATGTGCCATTTTTAAGCCAGCAATTGGCGCTTAAGGTGCTGTTGCTCTCGGCCAGATTGTTCCTCCAGGTAACCCCCTTGCAAACCGGAATGTTCCCGTTTCCCTGATCTGGATCCCATTGATCCATGAAATGCCAGGTATTTGCACAGGCGTAGATGCAATCCTCCAAGCTGTACGCGAACAAGCCGACAAAATCCGCCACCACCAGAGAAGAGTGGGTTTCGTCTGGGTAGCTGTTGCCAATATCCAGGCCACAGAACAAGGTGAAGGATGTGTTGAAGGGGCCATCGATGGTCTCGTCGTTCTGGGTGCAACTGGGATTTTGCAAGTTGTCCACGTAATATGGCTCGAGAGCGGCGTAGTTCTGTACGGAGGAAGGTTCAGGGAGGACAGATGCGGACGTAGCTGATGCCGTCGTCCCGCTGCCACCTGCTGCTGCTGTGATCGTCGTGGTATATGCGTTGGAGGAGCCACTGCAAACCCGTCAGAGATGGCGGCTTGTCCCATGAATTTGCGAGCATACTAACCTGTGGTAGTCCGGACATACACTTGACACACTGCCAGCTATGCCTCCGCCAACTGCGCCTCCAACCACGACAGCCGTGATTACGGCGATGATGGCGCCGAATGCCACTGGTGATAGCCCCCATGGGTTCTGCCTGCGTGCCGGCGGCGCCAGGCCTTCCACATAAATTTCCTTGGCACTGTCATCTCGTGCCGGCTCATGGTGTTGCGATTGCTGTGATGTTTGTGCTTTTTGGGAATACCCTGGGCTAGGCTGCTGGTATTGAGGCGAAGCGCCCGGTATGAGCCCCGACGAGGCATCAGGAGATCTCTGGTCTTCCGACACCACGGGATACTTGTCGGACCACCCAGAGGAAGAGGCTGCTGGAATCGGACCTACTCTTGGTGCGGACGCGGAATGCGAGTGCGAGTGCGACTGTGACTGCGAGTGGGAGCGGGAGCTGGAATAGGACATCTTGAAGATGCAGGTGTGCGGACTGCGTCACGCCGCCGCAAAATCACACGATAGAGGCCGATGTAACGAAGGACAAATGGGTTGCAGCTTTCCACGTACATCAGAGCACAACTTGGGTGGGAAAGCTGGGCTGCCACCCGGGGGTAATTTACTTACACCATGGAGAGAGAGCCGCTCCTCTGCTGGCTATCGGCGCCTCGGGGAGGACTCTAGCCGTAGAGTCAGAGGATTGTCTGGAGACCATAGCTACTGTGCGATCATTGAAAGTGACCGGCGTTTGACCCGGGCCCATGCTGCGACTTCATCCAACACGCGAGCTCCCAGTCGTTTTTCCGCCCCCTACCGTTAGACTGTCCGCGGTGTCCGCGGTGAGTTTGGCTCAGCCTGTTTGGGTCATGGCTCGTCGGATAGTGTAGTATCACCGCCTCTTTCGCAGGCCGCCCTATGTGATGGACAACAGGGGAAGTTAGCCTTGCTGGACGTCTGGGGTGATGGGGCTGGGACAAGAAATTGGACTATGATTGGTGCATTTGGACAACGCCTTCCAACCGAATGCGAGGGTTGTAGTAGTAGGTGCCTGGTAGGGCTCGCACCCTCTGTACCCTAAAGTACAGTATGCGCCATAAGTGGCTCGTCACCCCTGTTGACCGCTCGACACAAGGCTGGCACTTCCTGGGTGTCGAGGACTCAGTCAGTACTAACTTGAACAGCATTGCGGACACGGGAGACTTGGCCGGTCGCGACTCCGTTATGGGTTCTCATTCCTTAGTTTGGGTTCAAGACCAATTATAATCCACGCTCAGCCTTTGCAGGGCTCATTGGGAGCCAAAACAATGATGATGATCCTGAGAGATGAAACAAGGGTTATCACAGCTACTAGTAGTAGGCAACCACCGTGAAACATAGAATATACTACTAGTTTTGAAGCCATTTATTCGGAAGAACTATGAAGCCTGTACTGGAGATAAGCAAATGTCATGGCATCCTGCAATCCCCAGCCTTGTCCTCTCTACAACGGAGTCGGTTCCGTAGCTGTTTCCTAGACAGTTACTGTACCTGCTAAATAGACTATACAGTACAGGGACAGCGTTGAGCTTTAATAGCCGCATCGACCTCTTGCAGTTAAATGCCCTGGTGTCAGTGCAATTTTGCTTCCCAAACCGATCGACTTGCTGCAGCGTACAGCCCCTTGAAACGACAAGAACCTCTGGCTCTAGGTCACATATCTGAAGCTCCTCCTTGCCGCCTGTCTCTCATCTTCAGGAATACCCTCAATCGCAAACGACGCTTCACTACTCATTGCTTCCTCCACATTGCTGTCAGCATCCAGTTTTTTATTGGCACGCTGAAGGATAACGCGCATTGTGAAGGCGAGTGAAATCGCTCCCAGTGCCGTTGCCGAATTCACGGACATGGCGATTACATAACGAGGGGCGGTTCGACTTGGGTACATGAACGACGTGAGAATCTGCCAGATATTGATCAGTTTCGTGGATGTCTTTTTTGGTTCTGTGCCACCGTGGATAGTGCTTACCTGTGCGAGAGTACCTGTAGCATTGATGAAGGCCAAAGCGCAGGCACGCTTGATCCGCGGCCGGATCATGGTCTTTTGAGCCCAAGCAAGCACGACTGCATTGGCCCCGTGACCGCCAGCGACCATAAGAATCATGGCCACATATCTTGCCCAAGTGCTGAGAGTTGCAGCGCAAATGCTAAACCCAATGATGGCCGCCGCAAGCGGCCATGCCACATGAAAAGATGAGTTGCGGGTGCGGTCAGCCGACCAGTTGTTGTAGATAGCCACCAATATTGCCACCAGATACGGCGGTGCGGTGAGGAGCAAAGTGTCCATCCGGCGGAAGCCCAGAGTCTGCACGACAGACGGAAAGAAGTTGTGTAGTGACGATGCCACCGACAACAGCATGTACATAGCCGCGAAGCCATATACCCTGAGATCCTTCCTCGCTGTATTAACTCCATGCTTCCAATCCGTGGCCTCCTCGTCGACTTGACCGGCGTCGAGAATGAGTATCCATTCTGCGACTGCGCGCTCTTCGCAGGACAACCACCGGGTATTGGAAGGGAAGTCAGGCAGAGAAAAGAATGCTAGAATGGAGATGAGGATTGTTGAACCGCCTCCGATGATGAACATCCATCTCCATGCCTCAAACCCTCCAGCTCCTTCAAGAGCATCTGTAATTCCAGCCGCGATGAGCCCTGAGACTGCATTGCCCAGTAAAGGAGCTGATAGCAGCATCGCGCTTCGGACGCCCAGTTCAGACCGGGTATACCAGGATGAAACCAAGAACAAAGCACCCACTGTGAACGGAGCTTCCACAAAACCGAGCAGGAACCGTACCAGATGGAGGCTCCAAGCACTGTGCACCAGACCAGAGCATGCGGAAATGACACCCCAGATTGCCATACACGATGGAAGATATATAGAAGGCCGTAGCTTGGTCAAAATAAGATTTGACGGCACCTGCATCAAGACATAGCCAACATAAAGAATGCCAACGGCGGTCCCGTACTGTGTTGAATTCATATGCAGTGATTTTTGGATACCAACAACTCTGGCAGCGGCTATGATACACTGTACAAGATCACTACGCGTCAGCCATGCTCTCGTTTGACCTGAATTGGATGGACTCGTACCCGATCAAAATAGTTGAACATCAACATAAGCCATGCCATGCCCAGCAGGCGTATATCAACTTTTCGTCTGACCCGCTTCCCTGCCAGACGGAGATCTGCCTTGCTCATCTGTTGCGCAGAGACGAGTCGTGGATATAGCTGTGAGTGCGCAGGATGTGATAGCAGTTCAACATCTTGAGCACTTACTGCTCCCTCCTTCACCTGGGTTACAGTCGCGGCCTGAGGCTTGAGAGACATTGCGTGCGGTATGCAGAAGGGCATCAACGATGCGGATTAGGTGTGAAGAGAAATCACCAGCGGGAGAAGATCCGTGGGCTTCGACGTGCTCCTCCATAGGACCGGGAGAATGCTCTTCTCTTTGTAACGCCTCCATCCTGGAAGATCTTGGAGCTGAACACTGTGCGCAGGCTGTATCAACCACTCCAGTACTTACATGTTTACCATAATTTGTATGACGCGCAACTCCAAGTCCGGATTCTTATCTGGGGCCGTAGCCTCCGAAAGGGAAGACTGTCGATCATTGGATGTCCCGAACATTTCTTGCCGTACTTGCTTTGCCCTTGTCCTAATATAGGACTTGTTTTCAAACCTACCATGAAGGAAACATTCAAAGCCGTGCTCACAGCCAGAGATCCGGGAACGTGGGCTGTATGAAGCCCTTTTAGGGCGAAGGATGTAGAGCACAGCTCACTGAAGCATGATGCTCTCAATCAATGCACAATGTTGTACTAGTAACAGGATATGGAGGACGGACATCCACATACTACCAGCTACTAGTACTAGGTGACGCGCATTTTGTATGACGGGGTGGATTGTCACTCGCTGTTGCACTCCAACGTGTATGCTTCACCGAAATCGCCTGCGGAGAAAGTTCGCCCACAGGATCTTGCGTCCCGGTCAATTGAGAGCAACACTTTGAACATCGGACGAAGACATCAATTGTGCTCGGCTCTTCTCGACTTGGTCCCATTTTGATCTTATACACATCAATCCTGAATCGCCTCCGTCCCGACGAGCGACACTTCATCTGCAAAAAGACATAGACCTTTCCCACCCTGAAACCTTCCTCAAACCCACAATCACAATGTTTGGTGGCCGTAAGTTGCGTCGCAAGTCCTTTGGCAAACGTTCTTTGACTCTGATGTGCTCTTAATAGCGCAAGAACATCTGTCGGAGAAGGAGATCCAGGAAGGAGAAAAGAAAGCGCTGGTTGAGGTCCAGATCTTTACAGCCGCATGCATTGCGTTATGGTTCTGTACGTGCCAATCGGTCCATTTCACCTACGACGTCTCCCGCTCGCTGCCTTATACGATACAGACTCGCACCTACCGGTTTGGGAGGAATGAAGTGCTAACGATGTCTGCCGTTTAGCCCCCCATGTCGTTGAGTGGGCACGGAAAATCTTCTGAAGATACTACACCCCAACCAAAAAAGTATCTCCCGTGGTGTTATGGCAACCCTATGAATAATCTGGGCGGCCACAGCTGCAAACTACAAAATAACAATGCGCCCCGTTGCACAAAGGGGGGAAAATGATGTGGAAAAATGCGGATTCTTCTTGTGATATCCTGTACACTACTATGGGCACAGCAGGCTGCTAACGCAGATTCAGCAGCTGCGAGTCTTGCTTTACTGCGGTGTGATTAAAACTTTTCTCACAATTCTCAATTCATCATTGGACAATGTCACAATCACTCGGTGCTATGCAAGACCTGCATCCTTCGTCATTGCTTTGAACTCCATCCAAAAACAGCGCTTCCGGATAGTAGGCCCAGTAGCTCACCTACGTCGTGGCGCGTCGTTGTCTCTGTCTCTGTTTATCTTTTCCCAGTCGGCAAACTCCTGTTGTACAAGGTCCAATTCCTTCTGCAAGTGTCGCAATTGTATGTCGTATGCCTCTAGTGTCTGCTCCAGTGGTTAGCATAAGGCTCAGTTGGAGCCTGTCACAGGATTACACACCTTTTTGGCAGCTTTGATCGTTTCTTCATCAAGCGTGGAGTCTTCCTCATTCGCCGAAGGTGCAATTCTGTCCATCTCCATCTTCAACCTTTTGGTTCGCTCTCGAATGCCCAACATGCGGGCCCAGATCTCCTGCTCTCTGGCCTCCAGGCTCGGGTCAAAGACATCTCGTTGCAACTTTTCCAACCTAGACTTCAACTCTTCTTCCGCGTTGTCCATGACATAACCTCTGTTTCGCAGGATTTGGACCTTCACAGCCAATGCAAGAGTTCGCTGAGCTGTTGCAGCCTGTCTGCGTTTGCATTCTTCGAGCCGGGTAGCGACGTTTTGGCGGTGTTTATCGAGCTGAATGTCGAGGGAGGTGTTGATTTCTTGGAGCATCAAGTTGCATCTCTGAATAGCCTCCATTTGTATTTGAGCCTTCCTACCCAATTGGAAGAAGCCTTGCACGAGCAGAGGTACCCAGTCTGGACCCGGTCGTTTCGATAGAGCTTCCTCCCATTTGTCTTCGTCCTCACCCGGGCCAGGTCTGTATTTCAAGGCCTCGGTCTCACTCTCAACGTGTTTATAGAGGTAAGTTCGCAAGGGTGATGACAAGTTCTGAGGATCCCATTTGTTTTTCACGATGTTCATTTGCGCGGGGATCGACCTGAATACGTTCAGGCCCCGCCCTTCCTCCCACAGTTGAGACGTAGGTTGTCCCTGTGCTTGGGATGAACCGAAACGCAGTGTCTGGTCAAGGGGTCTCTGTTGAGGCTGCTGTTGTTGCTGCTGCTGCTGTGACTGCGATAAGCCGAGAGTGCCTTGCTGTTGTTGCGTTGAAGTCCCGAACAAACCCCCTGTCTGCTGAGGCTGCGCAGAACCAAAAAGTCCCCCTGTTTGTTGTTGAGGTTGCGCTGTACCAAATATTCCTCCGCTCTGTTGCGCCTGTGTGGAAGTACCAAATAGACCTCCGGTTTGTGCAGGCTGCGACGCGGGAGCACCGAAGCTGAATTTGGGAACATTGGTTTGCTGCTGCTGCTGTTGTTGTTGCTGGCCTTGCTGCTGCGACTGCCCAAATAAAGACGACTGGCTCGTCGGCTGATTTGCTGAGGCTGTGTTGAAGGAAAACAAGCCGGTGCTTGCAGGTTGCGACTGATTCGCGGTCGTAGACCCGAAGAGACTCATGGTGAGATGGGTAATATGCCGAGGGTGTCGCTTGGATCGAAGAACAGGGTGAGTGCAGGTATGAAGGCACTGCACAGGTTGTGCAGCACCTCAGCTCAGAGTATGAGCGTGATCTCGTAGGTCCCGGTTCAACAATGCATCTAGCAGAATAACGGCTGTCGTGGTAATTTCACTACCTGATTAAGTTGTAGAGGCTAGAATATACCACGTCGAAGAATATTGTTTCTGCCAACTAGGTACTCCAGAGGCCCGACGCGCAGACGCGCAGAGCTACTACGGTGGAGCGGTGGCCGGATCTTCGTAACTCCAGGTCTACAGCCTTGGTACGAGCAAAGGCACCTCAGCTAGGTAGTAATTCACAAGACGGCGAACTTGAAAATGGATCAGTACACTGCATTTAAAGAAGACTTCTGAAGCAGAAACAGGCCAACGATAGTTCGATTGCAGTATCAGCAAAGCAGATCTACGTTGTACAGCGCAGCCACCTTTCAACTTTTGAAAGTGGCCTCCATTGAGCGGGATTTCAGCGTGATCCTGCCATACTTCGACCTACCTGTCTCCTTTGTTCCGGTTGAACAGGGCTGGTCCAACTCCTTGCTGCCATTTCCATCTCTATTGTCAATCGTCGCCTCAGCTTCAACGACTTCTCGGGTAAAGGGTTAAACTGCTGAACAATTCTTCATTGCTCAAGCAGCTACATGCGATAGATGTGCGCAGGGGATCCAGGCGCAGCATTGTCAGGATGAAACAAATGAAGCCCAGCAAGAACCACAAAATCTGCATCATCATTTTTGCCGGCAAAATCGCAGGCGGGCAGAGGGTGGAAGACTTGAACGTGACGTTCATAGAGCATGTTGTCCCCAGTATCTAGAAGGTACGGCGGTTATGACACTTCTTCTCTTGCTGGGATATCATGCGCTGCTTGTTAGCACCGTTGAGCACTCGTAGGCTTGTGCGCACGTTTTGCTGCTTGGATAGCGTCCTGGAGGGGGATGTTTTGTATAGTATAATGACCAGCCACCCTTTTGTATGACACTGTGACCGTATCCGATACTAGTATGAGAAGATACCCGCTCGGGGCTGTTCTCGCCATCTCTCAAGTGATCAGACCATTACGCATAGTATCGTCAAGTTTGTCTGAGGAGAGTGTAGGATGCCACCTTAGTTTCGGATGACAGGAACCTGTCGACTTGTTGCTAGAGGCGGTGAGAGGACTGTAGAAGGCCGGCTGCAGTTTTTGCGACACATAGAAATGTTCTACGAACAGAAGAGCGGTTTCCGGTTCGAGACTGGTTAGCGCGGCACAGTGGCCAAACCTATTCAAAGGGGTCCGAGTTTTGGCGGCGTAGCCTGCCACCTACGCTGCGAGACTGGAATAAGCTGCTGGCAGATCTGCTCAGATGAAACAGTGTACATGCTCATCATCGAGAAACCTCAGCGCACCAACGGCCTGCAATCAAATCCCAACGCGACTGAAGTGAAACTTGCAAATTGCATTTGAGCCGGTCTTGTATCCCCACCGTCGCCTGGCCTTTGGGTGTCAGGGTCGCAGCCTTCTTGCCAAACGACCAATGAAACCGACCGGATTATAATGCGGCTCGAGCTTCGCGCAGGAAGCTCCGGCATATCATGCAGGGTCAATGGCTTCCGACTTCGGCAGGGCGATTTTAGTTGCCGAGCGGGTGGTTCTCCCACATGCCAGTGGTTTTGCCCGGAATAATAAAATAACAAAACATGGACAGTATGTGAAGTCACGATTTCCCAGATGTAGAATAATAAACGTGTGTGAGCTGGGTGCTCATCAACCCGAGTAAAGTTTTTGGCAACTCGTCTTGTCCGATATCGAGTGTCTGTCTGCCACGGCTGGTACTAGCTTTAGTGTGCGCAGAGGGTCAAGATCCAGGTGATTTAGGATACTCTATGTGACCGTTTGTCTGGGACCGATTTCATGCGCCGCGCTATGCACAGGTCTTGTTTGGCGAGATTACACTTTCCGTGGGGTGCAGCTCATTATTATTGGACCTCGGTGTTCACTTCGAGCCATCGTGGAATCAAGAGAGGTGTATTTCATGTTGGGTCATGAAAACTTTTCGTCCCGACACGAGAATGCTATCGGGCAGCGCCGGAAGGGATGGATATAACAGAGTGTAGTATCGATGGCCAGCTTTTGTTATTATTGGAGCGTCTCGCGATAAAGGCCGACATACGGTGACTGCGGACTTCGCTCCAGGCGACGCTGGCGGAGAACAATGGTAGCAAGGAGCTTATGTCAAGCACCAACAAATAACCACCACCAACTCCAGGCTGATCAAACTGTGTAAGCGAAGAGCATCTGAGCGTCTAGACTCTGGTCGCGGTGGAGTATAGTGATGACACACAGTTTCTTCGCCTGCAGGGCCACGGGAAGACCTGCAACGTGGTACAGTATCGTTCTGCTGTCGCCTCTGGAGGCAGACAGCTACAGTAGTAGTAAATGCAAGCTTTTGGTAGGGTAAGGGGTAGTTGAGTAGCGGTTGTGGAGAGAGTTGCGAGCCAGATGAACTCCGCCGGTAGCGGCGAGTTGACTTCTCTGCGGCGATTGTAAATGGTAATCGATCACCAAAGGAAGCCTTGCTATTGGCCACAAACGTCCTTATCAGCACATGCACAAGGATGGAGATGGAGCCGATAGATGCGGGCTTAGAGGCAATCCACAGGCACCAAAAAAATAATAATGGAGCTTCGTATGCACAATGAACGCTCTGCCAACAGGGATCTTGCAGGCATCCCCCACCTTGACACTGCATCTGTGAACATGCCAGTGGTGCGAAGGAAACGGTAGTAGTACTACAAACCACACTGCGTTGTGCACTGCAATGAGGCCGAGTTCTTTGCCGCGGCCGGTATGGCGGCATGCTAGAGTACTAGTAGGCAGCACTCATCTGAGATCACAACGTCTGTCCTGCTTGCCGGTCGTCTGAAGTGGTGACAGGCTGCGGACTCGAACTCCAGTCCCCGGTCGAGTCTGACGAGGATTCACCATCATCGACTGCCAGATGCCGCCTGAATAATCGTCGTAGTGTAATAGTCGTAGTGGTCCATTCTTTCACTGCTGGACGCTAGCCATTGAGCGGCGACCAAAAAGTCCTCGCCAACACTCGAGCCTTCACCCCACACGGCTTGCGACCCAATTTCTTCTTTTTCTACCCTTCTGCCCACACCCTCCCTCCATCCTTCTGTTTACCACTCAGCTCCCATCCAGTCTGTCCTTGCTCTTCGTCAGGCTCGTAGAAACAACGTGTCGGAGCTCAGTCCATAGAGCAGCATCTTCGCTGCTAGTTTGTCCAAGCAATCCCTCCTTGGTCGTCGTCCGCCTCCCGTTCACCCTAGACGACGTCTTGCTGCCCAGATCTCAGCGCCACCTATCTTCCATTCGAACGACCGAAAAGCTGTCGCCCGTCGACCATAGGATGGGCCCGGTAGTGGAGGAAGCATACAATCAAGAGATCGATACATCCGAGGTGCAGGAAGAGTACACTCCATATCAGCCCAACAAGGGCTATGGATGGGGTGAGGCTTTGCCCGAAAAGCAGGGCCTGTACGACCCTAGCCTTGAGAAAGATGCATGCGGTGTAGGCTTTGCAGCGTAAGGGATCATTCTGTGCTAGAAGGAAGGGTTGATGCTGACAGTAACTTAGCCATATTAAGGGCAAAGCAAGCCACAAAATCGTGAGCGATGGTGAGTTTCCTGGCTCCTGCAATGCTAGCGAAGATCAGGCTGAGCCTAACAACTTACAGCTCGAAACCTGCTCTGTAACATGACCCATCGTGGCGCGGTCGGTTCCGATGCACGCGATGGCGATGGTGCTGGTGTCATGACATCCATCCCACACAAATTCTTCGTCAAGAACTTTGCCCGCGAGGTCGGCGTCGAGTTGCCACCTCTAGGTCAATATGCTGCCGGGAACCTTTTCTTCAAGCCAGACACTGAGATGCTGAAACATGCCACCCTCAGCTTCGAAGAGACTGCGGAGTCACTGGGTCTGCGCACGCTTGGCTGGCGCGAGGTCCCAAGAGACTCTACTCTGCTTGGTCCTGCGGCGTTGTCACGCGAGCCGATTATTCTGCAACCGTTCGTTGTTCTTGCTTCCGCATATGGGACTGGTAATAAGCCCGAGACAACCGACCCGGAAAAGTTTGATTTCATCAGTTTCGAACGGAAGCTCTACATCCTCAGAAAGACCGTCTCTCACGATCCCCGATGGAAACCGTGGTTCTATGTCTGCTCCCTTAGCAATCGAAACATTGTCTATAAGGGACAGCTCGCACCGGTGCAGGTGTATCAATACTATCACGACCTGGTGTCCGTCGATTATGAAGGCCATTTTGCTCTTGTTCACTCCCGATTCTCCACCAACACATTTCCCTCATGGGACCGATCGCAGCCGCTACGATGGCTTGCTCATAACGGTGAGATCAACACGCTTCGGGGCAACAAGAACTGGATGAGAGCGCGAGAGGGAGTGCTCAGTTCCGAACTTTTTGGCGAAGACTTGGAGAAACTCTTTCCCATTGTTGAGGACGGCGGTTCTGATTCGGCAGCCTTCGATAATGTCATGGAGTTACTCGTGATGAACCGCGTATTGTCGATGCCAGAAGCCGTCATGATGATGGTTCCAGAGGCGTGGCAAGGCAATACCGCCATGGACCCGGCAAAGGCCGCCTTCTATGAATATGCTGCTTGTTTGATGGAACCTTGGGACGGTCCAGCTCTGTTCACATTTTCGGATGGTCGCTACTGCGGAGCAAATTTGGATCGAAATGGTCTCAGGCCCTGCAGATATTATGTGACTGATGATGACAGAATCGTCTGTGCCTCAGAGGTTGGTACTATTGCCATTGAACCCGAGAGGGTTGTCATCAAGGGCCGTCTGCAGCCGGGCAAAATGCTGCTTGTTGATACCGAGGCTGGTCGCATCATCGATGATGCTGAGTTGAAAGCTACAGTGGCCAACAGGCAACCTTTCCAACAGTGGCTTGACAAGAACCTCATGAAGATGCCTAGCATCTATGAGTCCCTTGCCAAGGAACTCGATTTGGGCTTCAAGCTTTCAGCCGAGAGTGTGCAGGAAGACCCTCGACTTCGCGCCTTCGGTTATTCATACGAACAGGTCAGTTTGCTCCTGGGCCCTATGGCCGCCGACTCGAAGGAAGCGCTCGGTTCCATGGGCAATGATGCGCCATTGGCAGTTCTTGCTCAGCAGCCACGACTGCTCTATGAGTACTTCAGGCAACTGTTTGCACAGGTGACGAACCCTCCCATCGATCCAATCCGGGAAGCCATCGTCATGTCTTTGGAATGCTATGTCGGCCCCCAGGGTAACCTTCTTGAGATGGATGAAAGCCAGTGTGGACGACTTTTGCTTCCTTCTCCCATCCTTGAGATCGAGACTTTCAATGCCCTTAAGAACATGAGCCAATACAACAAGGGTTGGACCGTTCGGACCATCGATATCACTTTCGAGAAGTCTGACGGTATCGATGGGTACATGCAGGCCCTTGATGACATCTGTGATGCGGCGACGACTGCCATTGAGGAAGGTGACAAGATTATCATTCTTTCTGATCGAGCCACTTCTGAGAACAGGGTCCCTGTATCTGCTCTGCTCGCTACTGGCTTGGTCCATCACCATCTTGTTCGGAACAAATGGAGATCCAGGGTTGCCCTCATTGTCGAGACCGCCGAGGCTAGAGAAGTGCACCATATGTGTGTTCTTGTCGGCTACGGTGCGGATGGTATTAACCCGTATCTGGCCATGGAATGTATTCTGAAGATGAATCGGCAAGGCCTCATCAGAAAGAAGCTTAGCGATGAGCAACTCATTGCCAATTACAAAGCATCCTGCGACGGAGGCATTCTGAAGGTCATGAGCAAAATGGGTATCTCCACCTTGCAGTCCTACAAGGGGGCTCAGATTTTCGAGGCCCTTGGAATCGATGACTCTGTCGTTGACCGATGTTTCGCTGGCACAGCCACTCGTGTCCGTGGTATGACTTTCGAGCTCATTGCTGAGGACGCTTTCGCGTTTCACGAGAGAGGGTTCCCTACCCGACACGTTCGCGACATCCCTGGACTGCCCGAGACCGGCGAATATCATTGGCGTGATGGTGGTGAAGCCCACATCAACGACCCTGTTAGTATTGCCAACATCCAAGACGCCGTGCGGACAAAGAACGACAAGTCGTACGAAGCCTACTCTATCTCGGAGTATGAGCAGATCAAGAACTGCACCTTGAGAGGCATGCTTGATTTCGACTTTGAGCAACGTCAGCCTGTACCCATTGACCAAGTGGAACCATGGACAGAGATTGTCCGACGGTTCGTTACCGGTGCTATGTCGTACGGTTCGATTTCAATGGAATCACACTCTACTCTAGCCGTGGCCATGAACCGTCTCGGCGGCAAATCGAACACTGGCGAAGGTGGCGAAGACCCCGAGCGGAGCGTGAAGATGGAAAATGGTGATTCGATGCGTTCTGCTATCAAGCAAATTGCCTCTGGCCGTTTTGGCGTCACGGCCAATTATCTTGCTGATGCCGATGAACTCCAGATCAAAATGGCCCAGGGTGCGAAGCCTGGCGAAGGCGGTGAACTCCCTGGTCATAAGGTTTCCGAGCCAATCGCCCGTACTCGACACTCTACCCCTGGTGTCGGTCTGATCTCACCCCCACCACACCACGATATCTACTCCATCGAAGATTTGAAGCAACTAATCTATGACCTTAAATGCTCGAACCCCCGCGCCCGCGTTTCAGTGAAGCTTGTGTCTGAAGTGGGCGTGGGTATCGTGGCGGCCGGTGTTGCGAAGGCCAAAGCCGACCACATTCTCATTTCCGGTCATGACGGTGGCACTGGAGCTTCCAGATGGACCGGTATCAAGTATGCAGGTCTCCCTTGGGAGCTCGGTCTCGCTGAGACACATCAAACTCTCGTCCTTAACGACCTCCGTGGGCGTGTCATTGTGCAGACGGACGGACAGCTCCGCACTGGTCGTGACGTGGCCATTGCCTGTCTGCTTGGTGCCGAAGAATGGGGATTCGCCACGACCCCCCTTATCGCCATGGGTTGTATCATGATGAGGAAGGTAAGAAGTTCACTGAGGCAAACCTGGATCATTGATCGCATGCTTACTTTATCGTTCTAGTGTCACCTGAACACATGCCCCGTTGGCATTGCTACCCAAGACCCTGTTCTGAGACAGAAGTTCCAGGGCACTCCCGAGCACGTTATCAACTTCTTCTACTACATCGCCAATGAGCTCCGCGCAATCATGGCTCGCCTTGGAATACGAACAGTCAACGAGATGGTCGGTCGTGCTGAGCTCCTCAAAGTGCGCGAAGACCTTCGGACTCCGAAGACGGCAAATGTCGATCTGTCTCTCATCTTGACTCCTGCTCACTCCATCCGCCCCGGCGTGGCGACATACAATGTCCGCAAACAGGACCACAAGTTGCATACACGCCTGGACAACAAGCTCATCTCCGAATCAGAACTGGCATTGGAGAAGGGTCTGCCGTGTCGAATTGAGACCGACATTGTCAACACCGACAGGACCCTGGGCGCGACTTTGTCGTACCAGATCAGCAAGCGCTATGGCGAGGCTGGCTTGCCTCAAGATACTATTCATGCCAATATCAGAGGCTCTGCTGGTCAGTCATTTGGTGCATATCTTGCTCCGGGTGTGACTCTGGAACTTGAAGGCGACGCCAATGACTATGTCGGCAAAGGCCTTTCAGGTGGTCGTCTTATCATTTATCCTCCGCGGGGTGCAGTCTTCAAGGCAGAGGAAAACATTCTTCTCGGCAATGTCTGTCTTTATGGCGCCACCAGCGGCACCTGCTACTTCCGTGGTGTGGCGGCAGAGCGATTTGCCGTTCGAAACTCTGGCGCTAATGCAGTAGTTGAAGGAGTTGGCGACCATGGTTGCGAGTACATGACTGGTGGTCGTATTGTTATTCTCGGCTCGACAGGCCGTAACTTTGCTGCCGGTATGTCTGGTGGTATCGCCTATGTCCTAGACATGAACCAGGACTTCCATTCCAAGATTAACAGGGAGATGGTGGAAGTGTCTGGAGTCGAAGAACCGTCCGAGATTGCTTTCCTCCGTGGCATGATCGAGGATCATCACCATTACACTGGTTCTGAACTTGCAGCTCGGATCCTTCTTGAGTTCAACCGTGCCCTGCCTCGCTTCGTCAAGGTTTTGCCGACGGATTACAAGAGAGTACTGGCTGAACAGAAGAAAAAGGCGGAAGAAGCCAAGAAGGCCGAATACCCCCTGCCCCTGCTCCCTGGAAATCCCGTCCGCAACCTTCACCAGGAACAGCGGGAGATCTCTCATGACAAAGAGGCCAAACAAAAGAAGGCCGATATGCTGGACATTGAGGAAGGCATTAACGGAGATGCAGACAAGGCGAAGCAGAAGGCTGCTCTTGTCCTTGACAAGACTCGAGGGTTCATGAAATACTCTCGTCGAAGCGAGAAGTACCGGAGCGCCAAAACCCGAACCAAGGACTGGGCTGAGCTGTCCTCTCGTCTGAATGAAGACGAGTTGAAGTACCAGTCGGCACGATGCATGGATTGCGGCGTTCCGTTCTGTCAATCCGACACCGGTTGTCCAATCTCCAACATTATTCCCAAATGGAATGAGTTGGTCTTTTCTTCTGAGTGGAAAGACGCTCTCAACCGTCTCTTGATGACAAACAATTTCCCGGAATTCACGGGTCGTGTTTGCCCTGCCCCTTGCGAAGGTGCTTGTGTTCTTGGCATTAATGAAGATCCTGTCGGCATCAAGAGTATTGAGTGTGCAATCATCGATAAAGGCTTCGAGATGGGCTGGATGGTTCCTCAGCCCCCTCCAGAGCGAACTGGCAAGACTGTCGCCATCATTGGTTCAGGACCGGCTGGTCTCGCCGCTGCAGATCAACTCAACCGTGTTGGACACACAGTCACCGTGTACGAGAAATCGGATCGTGCCGGAGGCCTGCTCATGTATGGCATTCCAAACATGAAGTTGGACAAGCGCATTGTACAGCGCCGTGTCGACCTCATGGCTGCCGAAGGGGTCAAGTTCGAGACCGGTGTCATGGTCGGACCAGGGGAGAAAGTCAGCCTCCAATCCCTCCGTGAAAGCCATGATGCCGTTGTCATTTCCACCGGTGCTCAGGTTCCCCGTGACTTGAAGATCAAAAACAGAGAGGCCGAGGGCATCCACTTCGCAATGGAGTTTTTGCACGCGAACACCAAATCTCTGCTTGACTCTGAGCTTGCTGACGGTCAATACATCTCAGCCAAAGACAAGCATGTTATCGTCATCGGAGGCGGTGACACCGGAAATGATTGCATTGGTACCTCGCTTCGACATGGTGCCAAGTCCATCACCAACTTTGAGCTTCTTCCACAGCCGCCTCCAGAGCGCGCCCGTGACAACCCATGGCCACAATGGCCGCGAATCTACCGCGTTGACTATGGTCACACTGAAGTGAAGCAGCACTATGGCAAAGACCCTCGCGAGTACTGCGTTATGACCAAAGACTTTGTGGTTGAAGACGGCAGGGTGGTTGGCATCAACACGACCCGTGTGGAGTGGACCAAAGGAGCAACTGGTGCTTGGGAAATGAAGCCCAAAGAGGGTAGTGAGGAATACTTCCCCGCGGACCTGGTACTGCTCTCCATGGGTTTCTTGGGACCGGACGATCGACTGTTCGAGTCCGAAGTTGAACTCGACCCGCGCAAGAACATCAAGACCCCCAAGAACCAGTATAACACTAATCTGCCAGGGGTCTTCGCTGCTGGAGACTGCCGCCGTGGCCAGTCTCTCATTGTCTGGGGCATCAACGAAGGCCGCCAGTGCGCTCGACAAGTGGATTCCTTCCTGATGGGCGAAAGTTCAGTGCTTCCTGTCACCGGAGGTATTGTCCGCCGGGTTCAACACGATGCAGTCCCCAAGTCAAAGGAGTCCAAGGCTCACAAGCAAGGTGACATGGCTCACGCCGCGGAAGAATACAAACGCGCTACCGACCTCCAAGCCGCTGCATAATGGTGCTGCGTCTTCTGCCAAGCCTGCGACAATTCGAATGTTCAGGACGGATGCCATTCAAAAAGTACACGATTGTTTCATTCACCTGGGTCAGTTGTATTGCTGGGCAATATCATGAACGCAGATCTTTTTATGGTCAACATCACGGACAGGTGTCGGATGTACGATTGAGCAGGGATTGGAACCAGAATTTCATGTGACGCTGGGTCATGATCTTGATTTTTACGGTCGTTTACGACCAGAGCAGGGAGTTCTCCATCATCGGCATTCACGAGGTTGCAGTCGTCGCGTTATGCCGTTTGTCATGGACAATTGGGAGGCTATTGAGATTCGAGTTGTGATTTGGATTGTGATGTTTCTTTCTGTCTTTTTGCTGGAGACCCGAGGATTGGAATCAGTCTGCCAAATGCGGAATGTATCAACATGACCAGCGGGACCGAGATATCTAGATAGCATGAATTTGAATTGGTATAAAAGAGATCTTCCAATATGTCTTCCACCTTGGCTGTTATATCTACCTAAGGTATGTAGGGAATGGTTCGTATCTCCATGCTGCTGTATATAGGATCCTTGTCTTCGTATTTCGAGTTGTTGACATGTCAGAGTAATGTTCTACTGGAGTAATAAGGTTGCCCTTTTATTCGACAGTCTTGGCAGTTCTTTACCAACTTGATTTTCAAGGTTCCTACATTTACAATATACCTTAGGTACCCTACGTCCACTGGCAACCGGAGCTCAGGTCATCACTCGTCTCTTCTGCTTGATAACGTGGTCACGAGGTGGACAGGGCCCTTCTCTTACCGTGGTCTACAGAAACATAGCGACGTATGACACCAGTCGTGTAAATCGATTGACGCGGCTCGCTTGGCCACCCCAAACATTCACGGCCGAGTTCAACGTCTGACTTTCTGCTACGCTCACCGGAGCTCACTGATGCAGTGCTGTGCGATCTGTTTTCTGGACGGCCTATTTCGTGGTGTATCACTAGTCTGGTCATTGGTGGAGGGTGAAAGTTCCTCTCGGTGACGCGTGGCGCATCGTTCACCCCGTTACAGCAACCACAACAATCAGTCATCAATATCAAAAGATACAGAGTTGAGGCTGGGGTCGCCAAATACTTTTCGAGGATTGTTTTGGATTCCCGTTGTTTCGTCGCACTGCGGCGACTGCTCGCCAGCGTATCTAAGGCTGGGCATAGCATACCAGGTATTGTCGCAAGAACAGATTGCCGCGTGGGCGGCTCCACGGCCAAATCTCTGCTTTCAAAGGCACACGCTGTCGATGCGCTGTAAGGGTGTGCGTGGAATATTCTCTCCTGGGAAATCATCGCCAAAATGTCCTTTACCATCTCTCTGCCGCCTCTACCTCCCCCTTCCACATCTCTCCTTCCGCCTGTCACCAACGCGGCATCTGATTTGTCCAATTTGAATCCTCCATCCGCTCCGTATCAAAATGCATCGCGTCGGCAGAAGTCGCATGCCGCCACCGCCAGCCGCAACAGCACGCTGGCGCTTCTCAGCGCGGACGAGAGAACCATTGCGCAGCGCAAAATGGCCATCGCAATGTATGGATACAGCTGGCTGAAGCCGGCAGGATGTGCCAAGACAATGCTGGGCAGACGCGAAGAGGAGCTCGAGAGGGAAGAAGTAGAGAAGCAGCTGAGGGAAGTCGAACTGCAAGAGAGGTTGCAGCAAGAAGCCGAGGAACAGGACCGACTCGCTCAACTCGGCGAGACCGGCGAGCCTGAAGGAGAGCGCGATCTGGACGAAGAAATCCCGGACGCAGACGGAGGCGCGGATGCCGGAGGATTATCTGACGAGTATGAGGACGTTGAAGAGGACGACGGTATGCAGGGAGATTTGGACGATGAGATCCCGGACGCCGATGCCGAAGAAGATGAAGATGAAGACGACGAGGACGACGAAATCATGTCTCCGGATCCAACTACCGTCAATGCAGAATGGGTCTACGACACCCGTCGGGAGCCAGACACTGACGAAGAGGATGTACCTCCTTCTCCTGTGCATGCAAGACGTGTCTGGATGCAGCCGACTGCTAGTGTGGCAGGAGTCTACGTCGGGAGTGATTACGGCCAGGACGAGAGAGACGCGCAGGACCTAGCGAATGCCATGATTGACGAGGACGAAATCTTCGATGAGCGTCGCGACGACCCGAGCAACACCTACAGCGGCGGCGAGCGTGATCTGGATGACGACGTCCCAGAGGCAGAGTCGGATCAGGCTTGGGAGCACACCGATACAGAATTAGAGGAGAGTGAAATCATGGACATTTCCATCCTTCCCCCCAGCGGCGTTGGTTCCAGACAGATCCAGCAGCGTGACAGCCTGGAAAGCACAGAAGCTAGACTCGGCCTCTCTGGCAGACGCATCACAAGCACCGGCGCAGGGTCAACGCGCGTCTCGACTCGAAGAAGTTCCGGGCCCTGGATCGCAGAACCTTCGACTACAGCTACAGCTACGTCTGCTGCACGAGCAGAGACAGACACACATCCGCGGGCCAGAATGTTCTCTGGAAATCAGTCCCACTCCCACTCCCAATCTCAATCTCAGTTGCACTATCCTCAGCATCAACACCAATACTCACATCAACAGCAACATCAATACAGTATAAATCAAACACCAGGCATACTGGATAGTCCGGTCGATGGTGACAACACGGGACTGGGATCAGTCTTCAGCCAAGGACTAGGAGCTGCAGCTGCAGCAGTACAAGGAGGCCTCAATGTCGATCCTGATTTGGGATCCGACCCCTTCGCCTCTAGTGTACCGAGAGTGACCAGGTCCACAAGTACACACTTCACCCGGGGTGCAATGTTTAGACGAGATGTTCATGCTCCAGCAGCACCTCCAGAAGAAGAGCTCCCGTCATCATCACCGGATAGACCAGGACAGAGGACAAATGCCAATCCCACTACCACGACCGAGAACCCCGCCACCCGCGCAACAGCCGCGCGCAACTGGCTCGATGGTGCCGCCGCCGCGGTGGGCGGGAGCGCACGAAGAACCTTGTTCGGCCGCACTGCTGCTCGAAGAGGAGCTGCTGCCACCACAAATTCTGCCAGTGGCGGTCTTTTTACCCCGTCTCCAGCCACGGGACAACAACAGTTTAATCGAGCAGCAGCAGCAGCAGCTACAACAAGAGCTGCACAACAAGAGTGGGAGACGCCTATCAACAATGCTGGCAATGGCCATGCCTTGGACTCTGGTCAAACGTCGTCACAGAATACTACGGATGCCAATCAGAGGGAGACGCGAAGTCGGAGTGGCCGGTTCCTTGGGGGAAGGTCGCGAAGAGAGCGGTAGTTCGTTCGATTTCGGTGACTTTTGGCACTTTTATGCTTTGAACAACGGGCATTGCGGCGACACGGGGTTGGGCCTGGGGTGACGTGCATAATTGCGAGAGACGAAAACAAACTTCGGTAGGAGAACTCGAGATTAAGGGCTTTTGATACCTTTTGGTGGGCACGGTCATTGCTGTCAGCAATAAGCTTCAATTACGATTAAACTATTACATGCAATTTGTCTCGCTCTGTCTTTGCTCCACCTCGCTTTTCTGATAGAGCCTTTCCAGTTTCTGGGCTGAGGATTAAACTACAAGACCTTGATAGGGGTTTCAATTACCCGCCAGAGATCAGAGAACCGCGTACGCCTAGCAGCCAGCCTCATTCCAGAAGTAGTGGTACATTTTGATTCGGAATGCGTAGAAGTTTCTGCGTCAAACTTGCAGCCAGTCGTATACCAGAGCTTTCGATCCTTTCTGAGCCATGGCGCTCCACATTAAGAGACATGGGATCCGGTGTTATTACCGCGACACCGCTGCCTGCGGGCCATTGTTTGGTGTGCCGGTTTGGACAATCTCCCATTCAGACCCTCGCTGATGGACGAACCTGAATGTTGGGGAGCGACGGTGAAGATCGTACAGATATGCGTAATGGTGGAGTGGAGGCTCAAGTGTGCGGATGCGGAGAGGTCCGTTGCCTGTCCCAAGCCTTGACGAGGTCCAGATGTGGTCCTTCGGTTCTTGAGCGGGTAGTAGCTGATCTCTTGTTGCTGCGAGCCCATAGCTGCTTCGAACCTGTTTCCGCCATGGTAGGAGAATCCAATATCTCCTTTTCGGCATCTGAGCCAAAGACATCAAATTATGCCATCAGTCCCATCTCAGCGGCCAGCGCCGAGCCCTGAAATGTTTTGTTTCTTAAACCACAACGGTCAAATCATGACGCCAAACCAGTCCAGCGGGGACTAAAACAGCCACACGTAGGCAAAGATAGCCCAGACGGCAATGAAGAACAACACCCAGGCCTTCCATCCGACACCTGTTCGTTCGGCCATCCTTAACATACGCCTCATTGTACCTCGTAGCCTAACGCCAGTATTCTCGAAGGTATCGTTGATCTGGCTGGCCAATGTACTGGAGTCTCTGATCTCGTCACCGATAGCGATCGTCAAAGATTTCAGCTGCGAGACCTTTTGGGATAGGATAGTTGTCGCTGTAACCTCGTTCTGGGCTTCCAGTTCCTCAAGCACCGAGGTGGAATACTGGCCCTTTGAGTTGGGGGTTGCGGAGCGAAAGCTGGGTGTAGAGTCGTGGACTGCGGTGTCGTTCGTGCTCGAGTATGGGCTTAGATAAGGGGAAGAGGAAGGGCGGCCCCCGTCAAGTTGTGAGGATGGGTAGGCATAGCCGGGCCGGCTGGAGGCAGAGCTCGAGGGCCTTGAGCCGGGATAGTCTTGGAAAAGAGAGGATGAGGGTGCAGTGCGCCGGTTGAGCGACGAATATCGGTTACTATAGCCCGGAAAGGGGGTACAATCAGCCACCAAACGCAAACAGAGAGTTGATACATTCGCAGCGCATTATGCGAGCGCCTTCAAAGGGGTTGACGAACTTTGACATGGTTGTGGTGGTTTGTCTGTCCTATGGAGTGGTGTCCATGAAGTCGACCGTTTGGCGCATGCAATCCGGACCGGTCTCTGCTTGGTCTGGCCAGTGTTTCAACAGTGGTTTCCGCTCTCGATGTCAGCAGGACTTGTTTTCGAGTATGATCTTTCGCCGGCCACCACTATCTTTCTGTGTAAGACTGAAGGTTGTGAAAGTGGAAGTCAACGTTTCTTTTTGTTCCAAGCAACGGGAGACCTGGCATGACGCTCGCAGGGCATGCACGTGGCCGGAGTTCATGATTACGTTCCAACATTGGTTCACTGATGCAGAACTACACCGGCAAGACACAGATACAGTCGTGACCCGCCCTTTGGTTTCTTTCCAGGTGAGTGATGTCTTATGAATGATAGCCTTCATCCAAGCCTCATTCAGGAAGTCCAGCCTCATAGATGATCGCAGACTGTGTGCTCCTGGAAGACATTTTGGTTGCAGTGTCTACAACGGTTTAAGTTGTGGTGTGTTGACTACGTCATACAAGGCTGTCGTTCAGCCTTGTCTGCATTGTTTTCGGTGACGCATTCGGCAAGACGCGCATCCCTCCACAACGCGTCCACTTGCCTGCAATTGAAGGTGCAACGATCGAGTGCGCAGGACAGCGACTGTGCCTTAGATTTCGGGACAGTCCTGACCTAGGTTCGAGGTGTGCATGGGCTTTTCACTTCCCTTCTCTCATGGTCGCGCATTGCACCTTGCCTCGACATGGCTCCACGCCGACAGAACGACAGCTTCGGCTCTATCAGTGAGATCGATCCTGAGATTGTTTCCGAATTGAGGGATCGTCTCACAGAGGCGTCGATCAAATGCTCAGAGCGCTGTTTATATCAGTCGGCGAAATGGGCGGCCGAAATGCTGAATTCTCTCCCTGATTACGATGAGACGAATTATGATTCTCATATGCAAGACACGAATAATGTGCAATCTTCATATCGACTTTTCTCCACGAGCCACGAGGACCCCGAAGAGGCTGCGCTCGAGGCAAAAGAGGCGCCGAAATATCTTTTGGCAAAGACCTTTTTCGACACAAAGGAGTTTGACAGATGTGCTTCAGTGTTTCTGCCGCCTGCCATTCCTGCAGGTGGGTTGGCTATCTTTGACAAGCCCAAGGGCCGTACACCGACATCTACACCGTCTCGGACCAAGGGGAAGTCGAAACAGAAGTCTGCCGACACCATAAGTCCATTTCCACATCTCAGTCAGAAGTCGTTGTTCCTCTCACTATACGCCCGATACATCGCAGGCGAGAAGAGGAAAGATGAAGAGAGCGAAATGGTTCTTGGCCCAGCCGACGGCAGACAGACTACAAATCGCGAACTTCCAGCGCTGGCGAGAGGACTCGATGCATACTTCAAAGCGAGAGACACAGCAGATCCACAATTGACACGATCGCAAGGGTGGTTGGAGTATCTGTATGGCGTTGTGCTAGTCAAGTCACGACAGGAACAACTTGCGCAACAATGGCTTCTCAGATCCGTCCGGCTGAACCCATATCACTGGGGAGCATGGGAAGAACTATCGTCCCTGCTGTCCTCCGTCGACGACCTGACTGCGCAACTGTCGCCGTCCATCCTTCCCCAGAATATCATGGGCATCATATATCAAGCATATGCATCGGTGGACCTGTTTTCCATGAGCGACCAGTCCAATACGGTGGCATACCTCAAGACACTGTTGAACTACTTCCCCACCTCCACGTTTCTCTTGACTCAACTCGCACTATCCTATTACCACGCCAAAGACTACGAGGTGTCGGCCTCGATCTTCCAGGATCTGCTGGTCGCCCATCCTCATCGACTGGACGGCCTGGACCACTATTCCAATATTCTCTACGTCATGACCGACCGGCCGAAGCTGGCCTTCCTCGCACACCTGGCCACCTCGGTGGACAAATTCCGTCCTGAAACGTGCTGTGTCGTGGGGAATTACTACTCGTTATGCTCCCAACACGAGAAAGCAGTCATGTACTTCCGCCGCGCGCTGACCTTGGATCGGAACTTCTTATCGGCCTGGACACTGATGGGCCATGAATACATCGAGTTAAAGAACACCCATGCAGCCATCGAGTCCTACCGTCGTGCCGTCGACGTCAATCGTAAAGATTATCGCGCCTGGTACGGCCTGGGTCAAGCATACGAGGTGCTGGACATGGGTTTCTATGCTCTGTTCTACTACCAACGAGCGGCAGGGTTGAGACCATACGACCCCAAGATGTGGCAGGCCGTGGGTTCGTGCTACACCAAGATGAATCGGCTAGATCAAGCTATCAAAGCTCTGAAACGGGCTCTCGTGGCAGGCACGTACTTTGACGACTCAAACTCTCCACAAACCAGCTTCAACACCTCTACTGCCTCCAACGTCAACGCAAGTGTCACGAGCAGCACAACCAAGGCCAGGTCAAAAGCCAAAGCCGGTTCCGCCCAACAGCAACGCCCGGCTCCCGCTCCCCGCAAACTGCTCGACCCGGAGACGCTGTACCAGATCGCCTTGCTGTACGAGCGTAGCGGACCTGACTGTGAGGCCGAGGCGGCCCGATATATGGAACTCTGCGTGGCCCAGGAGACTGGGGGAACCCAGAAATCCGTGCTTCAGGCGGAAAAGGCCTTGCGGAAACGCCAACGCAAGGAGGCTCGAGCGAGCGCAATTGCTGAGGAGCGCAAGGCTCGCGTCGCGATGCTAAGAGCTGAAACTGGCCCCGAGGCTGCTGCCGCTGCCGCTAATGACGATATCGGAGATGTGGGAGGGGACGACGATACGGAAATCTTGTCGTCGCCCACTTCAGCCGCGTCAGGGCCGAGTGAGGTTCAAGATGAAGGCGATGGCGATGGCGAGAATGACGGATTTGGCACAGGGACAACCGCCACGACGTCTAAAGCACGGCTATGGTTGGCGCGATGGAGCGTCAAGACAGGTGATTTGGACCGAGCTGAGCGGCTGGCCGAGGAGTTGTGCATGGATGGATACGAGGTCGAGGAGGCAAAAGGCCTGGTTCGAGAAGTCAGAGGGCGCAGAGAAGGGTTGCTAGAAAGCGAGTTTTGACTTTGAAAGGCCTTGAAGCGTACCAATGCTGTGGACGCGTGTTGGAATGGGCAAGCTGGCGAACTGAACTCGACAACTACAGCAGTTTATCAACGAACTTCGGTCTACTAGACACAAGGCACAAAACGAGCATGGAGTTGCAGGACATGTTGTGAGAGTAGAGAATTCTTGCACACTCCGATGTCCATTCACCCCGATATGAGCATCCCTAGCCTGACATCTGGCTGTTAAAGAGTGGACGGGGCATCGATGCATCTCTTCCCCATAGCCGCCATCACGAATAACGCAATGCCCGGTTCATACTGCAGCACGCTTCTCCACAACTGTCTGCGCTCAAAGACCTTGTCACCATGTGCACCTCTCTCAGCTTCATCTTCCTGTTCACCTTTTGTTCTAGCTCTGCGGCTAGCTGGGATATCGATACATTGTAACTCGTCAAGGATCGTGAGCTCGACTGTCTGCAGTTATTGTCCAGGCAATACTGACGGGACTGATTTGAAAAGAGAAGTCGAGTGTCCTATGTGGCCGCTTCGCCTGTCTCGGCCCTCCGGTCTAGCAGCAAGATACTGACCCATCATGCTCGGGAGCAGAGTGGTACTGCCGTCGGTGATGTGTACTCACATCTTCCGCACTGCGTTCACCTGACAATCGATTCTGGCGCTTCTCACATCGTTCTCCCAAGCAGGGTACAAGGCCCATGCGGTGATGGCAACTCTCATCCCACCATGGATACTTCTCACCAGTTTTCTGATGTCCTCGTTGCGGTCGTCATGACTCCAACGCACAGTATGGGTTTTGTACGCCTTGCCTGCATGGACATTGATAATGATCTTTCGTGACGCCAGCGGTTTTCTTGGTTCTCTTGCTTGCCCGGGGTGTCCTGAGTCTGCAGGCCAAATTGTCACCTCAAACCAGGTGTGGCTGTTGTAGTAAGTTCCGTGGAAATGATTGTCCCAGCTCCAGCCTTGATCTTTCGAGGTTACGGTGAATGTCAGCGTACGCAGACCTTTTGCCGGGAAGGTTTCTGGCAGATCGACCACCACGTATTCTGAGCCTGCAGCCCCTTCTGTCACCTTGAGAGGGCGAGTTGTTGAGGCCAGGGGAGCATCAATCCAGAAGCCTGCCAGGTCGAGGACGCCTGGTACCAAATCTCTTGGCATACGTTGGGCGAGAAGAAAGGCGGTATGGTAGGTATCGAAAGGCACCGGTCCGAGAGGAATCATGGCCAAGGTGAATGATCGAGGACGTTTGAGTTTGGAGACTGCGGAGGAGACACAGGCGATGGGAGGTGAGATGATCGGTTTGACAAAGCGGATGATGGAAGGAAGGATGTTGATGATGAAATAAAAGACCCCGAGGATGATGAATCCGTTAATGATGGAGAAGGTCAGCATATACAACATGTCCTCGAGGGCTACACGAATTGCTCTGATTGGGTCCATTATGAAGGGTGCTTTGCTACATATCATGGGGCTGGTAGGATGACGGTGCGGCTGGCCAGGGACGAGGAGGATGAAAAGAGGAGAATGAAAGCGAAGAGAGGAAAAAATCATACTATGCTGCGAGGTGGCCCAACACTGGCACTGGCACTGGCACTGGCACGCTCCACCGGCACATGTCACTGGCGGACGACGACGCGACGCCGAGAGGCACGACACCTGCACGGCCAGTGGCAGCCTGGAAGCGATGACTCCCGGAAGCAGCTCAAACAGGGCAGGGGGCATCTACGGTGATGAGAAGGCGCGACGCTACTGCGCGTGCTGCCAGGGTCACGGTCCAGTTCAAGTTGTGCGTGCTCACAAGCTGAACGATACAAACGACGACAGCCAACGACAGCCTGCACCTGCTCTTTGTACAGAGCCTCAAGGTTATGCAGCACCTGATGCCACCACTTATACTGTCTACCCTGACATACTGTCTGCACACGGGTGCTCATGAACCGATGGGAGTGATGCAGTCACCGGGCAGCAATCCAACTTTGAAACACGCCTCAAGGCCCCCTTCACTGGATGGGACAGGTGCCTACCCAATCATGCAGTGATGGAAAACAGGAAGGAAGAGTGTCCGCTGATGCAGGTCCTCATGAAGCTTGGCTGCCGATACGTTGACGGGAGAAACCCAGTTGTTAAAAGTGCGGCAAGCAAGTTGGGTCATGCCCTACCTGGGAATAGGATGAAGCTGTGCCCCTCCGCGTGTTCAGCCTTGCGCCCTCAGCCTTGCTTGAACAGATATTTCTGATATCAACTTGCGCAGCATCTCTCTATCCGACGCTTTCAACTACATTCTCTGCTCTAACCACCCACAACGGGTCCTTCATCCACGTTCCCTCCACCAGCGTTTCGATCTCGATGTTCCTCCATCCACTCCACCACAAATAATCGGCCACCATTTCCAGCCTTTGTTCCTTGTCCACCTTCAACCACCGTCCTACCACTTTCGTTGGAAAGCATCGGTTTGAGATGATCAGATGCACCTTGCCACCTTCCTTTGTTTGCTTTCGGATACCTTGAAGAACATCCACTGGTTTGGTCAGGTAGTCGATGGAAACCACACACGTCGAGGCGTCCAGGTTTCCTCCACTCGGCCCGGGCAATCGTACCTCTGGCTCCTCATTGAGGTCCTGTACAGCCCAATGCTTCAATACTGGATTCTTACTGAGCTCAGGGCCGTTCATGCCGGTTCCAAGCACATCTAGCGAGCCGGTCGCTGCAGCCTCTTGAATACTCCGGGGATAATGGGAGATCCAACTGGAACAAAAGTCTAAGATCCGTCCTTTGCGAGGCAGGACTTGGTCATAATATGCTGACAATCTGTTGATGGCATTGGCATCGATATGCGCCACAAAACGGGGCACGTCGTAGAACATTGAGTCGTGCCCAGGATCCACAGGGGTGAGATCCGTCGACGAGTAAGGGAATGGCCCATTCGGACTTTTGGGCTCATAGCTTCGTATCTGTCGCTGGGAAGGGTCCATTTTCTTGCTGGCAGTCAAAGGGCCAACTAGAAAGGATACTGAACGGATGGTGCTTCTTGTACACCTCATTGTTCACATGAACCATACTACGAACAACATGAGGTCCACCAAAAGTCCGCAGGGTGCTGAATGAGCTGTCGTTTGGCCCAAGTAAGGATTTTAATAATATCAGAGAGGCAGATGACGCCTGGACACAGCAACCTGGTGGTAACTGTATGGCTGTTTCTATTGATTTACTACTGTCTCCATCGGTATAATACAGATGGAAAACCGGTCACCCTAGACTCCGGACAGGCTACAGTGAGGAAGCACAGGGTGGCAAGCAAGCCATTTCGATCATGGCGTCAGCATCCCGTGTTAGCGGAATTATGATCGTTGTTCCTCTATCATCTGACCTGCTCCGAGGATAGTTACTAATGCGAGACAGGGCAATCTGTTTCTAGGCAGTCGGGCTCGGAAAGTATCTCAACCGACTTATAGGTACTGAAAACCCAGCCAAAGCAACATGAAGTTGAACCCCCTCTGGCCTGTCTTTGTAAGACAACCTGCTGATTGGTCGCGGTCCCTGGCTGCTGATCTCATCGTGTACTCGTTCCATGCCAGCCTTGTTCCGCACTGGAATATACCCCTCGCAAGCATCCACACTATATATATAGCCCTGACTGCGTGAGACCAGAATTGTGAGGCGAATGGAGATATGACATCCGGGATAGGCAGGAAATATCTCCATGTTCTCTCGGACACCTGCTGGCGCAAAATCGTTGGCAGCCTCCGTTAAGGCCCATCCTACCAGATCCACAATATTACGCCTCCATTGCCGACAACAAGTTTCATATCGAAGCGGCAGAACAATGGCCACAGCGGCCCATGTCGAGCTGGACCCTGCCAACGCCGGTGTCTATCATGTCCCAGACATTAAAGCCGAATCCTCCAATATTGGCAGTCGCCTTCTGCAGGAGAACCATGACAAGTATCACATGTATTTTAACAGGAGTGGCTTCCATAACCATATTGCACACCACCTGTTGACCATCTATGCACTGGGCGCAACGCCCGACGAGATCCAACAAGCTTTTGACAACAATAAGACCTACCAGAGGCCACAGTATCCGGTTGAGAAACAGAATGTGCAGACAATGTCGGATCCTGAACAGTTCCGCAAGTTCCTGGGTAAGGAGCAATACTTCCACGACTTTGAAATCTTCTTCCGCCAGGAGATTGAACACAAGGGGTGGGAGGCCGTTTTGAATGAGCACGTCTTTGCTAAAACCGAGCATGCTGACCGAATGCTTGGGAGGATGTTCGCAGGTATGCAACAGAAACTATTGAAGATAGTATGATACAGTCTACTTACGCGACCTAGGGTTTCTACACCCACTTATCCACCTGGGATTCGGCGTCGAATTCAGACAGCCAGCGATCATTGTAGAAGCACTCGCTCAGGCTGCCATACATGACGGGTGGACCGGAAATTACCTGCATGCCGCAGAAGACGCCGCCCGACAGTCCAAGTCCTCGAAGAGCTTGGTTCAACTCATTCACGAAAGTACCAAGAACGAAAAACTGCGTACGTCGGCCCATTGGGATGACGGCAACAAGTTGCGAGACGGCGTCTTCGTCCGCGCCTCCGATGAAATGGTAGCGCTTGCAGCTCAATGGACTGTACAGCCTGATCAGCTGGAGAAGAAAACAGCAGAAATGATCAACGCCGCCGTGTACTTTACTGGAGCAGCACAGCGTCCGACGAAGGAGATCAAGTTCGACTTCTTCTTCATGCACTGCGTGAATTGCTCCATCTTCTTCTCGGCATTCATCAAACAGCCATGGTTGAGCATGGGAAACAAATGCAGGCTTCTGGAGTGGAAAGGGCGGCTGGATCTCGCCATGTATGTCTCCAGAGGTTGCCCGAAGCTCCTGATGGACGAGATCAAGAACTACAAACCTAGGAAACCTGATGATGGATGGGCTGAGATTATACGACGGGTCGACAAATTCCCTGACGACGGACATGCCAGTAAGCTGATCCGTGCCCTGGCCAACGGCGAACAGGTTTGTAGGGATTTCAAGGATGAGCCCGATGATGTGTTCCCGATCAAAGGCAACATGTGGCTACAATTGGGCCATATGGCTATCGACTCGGTGGAAGCCAGTGAGCCGAACTGGGTCAGGTCGACCGGCTTTGATGAAGCATGGGAAAAGATACCAGAGAGAGCCAGGCTCTGATGATGCCCAGGGAGTGTGTCTGCCGTTACTTCACTAACTATGTACATTCGCTATCAAGGCAAAATAGGACTTAATATCGTAGTGAGGGCTGGGGACTATTCTTCGTCCGGCGAGCCGCGGAGGATTGTCGTGTCTGTAACCAATCATAACTGTGGTTCCATCCCCGCGTCGAACATGATCGATCAACTCAGGCATCAACCATGATCCGTTCATCGTACGTTGTATATGTTTCATTTCGTGGGATTTCATCACCCATTTGAGACGTTGACTTGCCTAGAATACCCATCTCATCAATAATGCCCGAGAAAGACAGCAAAGGATCGACTGATGCCTCCATTCCGCCTCCCCTCGACCCGTTCCCCACCTATCAGACCCCATATCCGCGCTCCAACAAGGACGACGACAACCCATTCATCCAGTTCCGCCGCTTTGCAGATGAACAACTTTCGTCATTGTTCCAGGGAATCCCGCAGCTCTTCGGCCTGTCTTCCAGCCGAGACCCATGGAAGAAAGAGTTCGAAGAGTTGATGCGGCGAAGCCATGAGTTGGAGGAGGGTTGGAGAAAGCAGTGGGAGCAGGAGATGGAAGAGATGAGACAGGAGATTGAGAAGTCAAAGATGGATGCCTGGAAGGCCATGGAAGCAGCTTGGAAATCTCCCAAAGAGGATACGCTTTGGATGACCCGAGGAGACGCAGCCAAATCTCCAGCAGTAACCGACAAACTCTCCAATGATCCGAAGAAACCGGCCCTGTATGACGAGGGCGGCCTACCGAAAACCGAGCTGGACGCCTACGATCAAACCCAAAGCTCTGACGCAGCTGTCGAAATTCCGGTCATCAAGTCGAGGTCTCGGCACAGCTCGGACAAGTCCACAAACTCATGGTTTTCTTCCCTTGGCTGGGATGGGAAGCAGAGAGTCCAGGAGCACGGAACGGAGAACAGCCTCGCTGGCTCAGCTGAAACTTCGTCAGTGTCGAAGAGACACTCTCGTCCCACACTTTACACTCTATTCAGCGCTCGCCGCATGGATCCATTCAGCAATACAGATCACACCATTCCTTGGCTTCTGCTAAGCCCCTACTCTCCCATTTACCTCTCCAACCCTTCCCAGTCAAGATTGTTCAAAGTCCGCATCGAGGATTCTGAAGATGTGCCTTTCCAGATCTCGCAACCGAGGTTCTTTGAAAAATGGTACACGGACATCGACGAAAAGTTGGCAAGCCGGTTGCCTTGGGCGGACGCCTTCGAAGATCTGCTCAGCTTACAGCAGACTGGGAAAATGGTGGAAAGAAGCTCACCCACTTGGCAAACGCCGAGTGACTGGATTCATGGCCTGGTCCACCGTGGAAGTCTAGGACCTGCCTGGGGTTTCAATAAGGACGGTTTCCTAGTCAAGCGTTTCAGTGATGCACAGTCGGCGGCTCAAAAGGGACACTGCGGATGGCGCAGAGGATGCGGACGATTATGGGGAAAGCAGAGCGAAGATAAAGCTACAGCCAACTACTCAACATCATCGCAAACCGATGAAAAGCAAGATGATGCTTTTGAGGACTTGGTCGATAAGGCAGCCGAGCGGCTAGGACCGTTCCCAATTTTTGGGAGCATCCTCTCCGCAGCTGATTCTATTGTCGCGGCAGTTGACCAGGCGGCAAAAGATCTCGAGGCGATCGCTAACGGAGGTCAACCCGCAAGCGAGGCCGAGGATGAATCGCCCAAGGCCGAAGAATCGGCGAATACCTCGACTTCTTCAACGTTGTCGTCTGCTACATCAGACTCTTCTGAGACGTTGTTCTCGTCTTCAACCCGTGGTGAGAACAGCTCAACTCCATCCGTTGTGTCAACCTTGACCACCACTGTGATGCGGACTCTGCCCGATGGCTCCATCGAGACCAAACGCGTGTTGAAGAAGCGATTTGCAGATGGAACAGAAGAAAGCAACGAGAGTGTCGAAGTGAGGAACCTCCCAAGCACGCAACCACCCAGGAAAGTTGAGCCGCCGCGCGCAAACAAAGAGACCCAGACACTGCCTACGTCAGAGATACCTCCTACATCTCAACGTGAAATACCTGGTTTCGGCTTTGCAGAGGACGGCGTACCTCAACAAAACGATGCCAGCGCAGAGCAAGGTGCCGCGAACAAGGACAATAAACAGGATGGACGCAACTCGAAGAGAGGAGGTTGGTTCTGGACTTGAGTCGATTAATTGTCCAGTTCAACTTCTCACAAAGCCCCAACTTTCCACCAAAACCTCAAAGTCCACTGTACCTTCGGATTTCCACCTCTTCAAAGTCTATCGCCACTCCTCGATTTCGGGACTGCAGATCATCACATCTTACCTTCGCGGGTAAAGCGCTGACGAGTTATGTTCGCCTTTACTCCCGACTCCCGCTACTAAATTGAAATGGGCGCCGCCGCGCCGAAGCTAGCCACCAAAATAGCAGCTGTCAATCCAAGCAAAGGGTCGAGTGCGCCATCGCTTGCAGAAGTGACCGAGTCCCTCGTCACCATAAAGTCACCGTTGCGATCCAATCCACCGATCTTCCAGTTTGGACTGGAGTGACATCAATGTGTATGATATCCCCTCCCCTCAGGATGAACTTTGTGCGAATTGGAGGCGACTCGACTATACAACAAACCCCAGATTGCTACTCCCGCCTTGTGGAGCACTAAAGTCAGTTTCTGGACCCAGGCCCAGGAGATGAGATGAGATATACGCAAATGATGCTCACGATATATATGTTGCCCATGATCCTGGATATTCACGCTTTCGTTCTTTATTGTAGGCTATACCTTAGGTTCTTCAGAGTGCGCTGGGCACTCTCTCTCCTCTCTCTTTCTTTTTCTCCCTTCACTGCAGGAAAGATCTGTTCACCACTCCGCCTCAGAACCTAGCAGCTGCAGTGGTAACCAGGTTACCAGGAACACGAGCAGTATACTGTACTTGTATAGTCGAGGTATAGTTATTAGTTATATACTCCTTCCCTTCCCTTCTCCGATATATATCCTATCTCTCCTTTCGTTTTCAGCAGATGGTGGTTTCATTCTGAGGCTCCCTCCTACCTTTGAATGAACGAACAACTGAGTGAATGAATGACATCCCCTGACATGTTCGCTTCCAAGCTCAGCTGCTGTTTCAGCGATGAAGGCTTCAATACCTACAATTACAACTTTCAATCATGAGGATCATCTGTGATGCACATTGGACAAAATCGCTGACACTTCTTCTGAGATCGATGGGACGACACTAGGGATCGAGGTTCCTTCGCATGATAATAGCAAGGCCGAGGCCTTGTCACAGTATAGTACGTAGGTACAGTACACCGTACCTTTGAGATTCTAATTCAACTTGAAAGCGAAAGGACCAGTGCCAGTGGCAGTACTTGACTTTCTTTTTTCCTTTGAATACTTGATCAAGTGCAAGAAAGAAAGGCTGAGTCTCCAACAGCTTCATGTAATAATCTCATACTTCGTAAGAACGTCATGCAGTGGGAGCCCTGGGTACCAAGTGCTACTAAGTAGCCTCTGCTTCGGTCTTTTCCGTACTGGTATCTCCTCTCTTTTTTTCTCGCTTTTTGGCCTCTCGCGTTGCTATGCAGTGCTGCGCTGTGCATTGTCTGTGTGCCATTTCCACTCCGTCTCAAAATGCATTCCAAGCCCAGCGAAAAAAAAAAAAAATGATGCTCATGCAGAAAAGCATGAAGAACCCAAAAACTCAAAAAGGAAACAAGTGCGCTCGAAAACATGAACAAGAGACACCTGGGCGGATGGGGTCAAGCGAGATGCAAGATCCTCATCCGACCTGCCCCTTCCCCTCCAAAACACGAATTTTCTGCTCGAAAACGCTGAAATCAACAAGAGAAGAAAAGCAAAACAAAGCAGCAGATCAGAATAACGGTGCGCAATCATAGCATGATCCATCGTCGTCGTATGTCGCTTGAAGCCGTAGAAGAAACTTGGTCGCTTTCTCCCTTCTAGCACAGCCATCTCGGATGTCCAGAACCTCCATCGCATCCATCGCGCCTTTGGTGAAGACTCGTTGAGACCGATCTGTTGAACATCTGCCCATGGGCGTAAAACGGAACCGCATGATAACTCGGATCGGACGTAATGTCCATGCTTAATAATGAATCTTTTCCTTTTTTCATCCAAATTCGTGACCTTCGTAGTTTCTCCTGATGCCCATAGCACTTAAAACACATCTTCAGGCCACTCCCATTGCTCTCGCTTGATCCCTTTGACCTGCAATGCGAATTGTTCTTGCATTTTCCGTTTCTCCACATCGCTGGGCTCGAGCCGTCTCACACGTTGAGGAGCAGGACTCTTATTCTCGCCCTCTTCGTCTTCTTCTAGGATGATTGAAACTGGACGCGGAAGGCCCATTGCCGGTGCCGAGGTCAGCAGATTGATTCCCATTCCCTTCAGCGTTTCGGCGTCTTTTGAGACATTAGAATTAGATGTCGAGTTGGCGTTCGAATTGCTATCATTATTAGTGTTATTCTTCCCCTGGGGTTGATTCCTCGCATTGCTCAAATTCTTCAGCACCACACGCTCTGGCATCTGAGGGACCGGCGGTACAGGCGGCACGTCCTGTGGTCGCCGGCTTGGATTGTGTTTCTTGCCTGACGGCTTTCCTGGCGTGACTTCCGGTTGACCTCCGGTGCCGGTCTCGTCATGCTGCTGTGAACGCTTCGGCTCCGACTGTAGCTTGGCATGGTTGGGGTCCAATGTGGCTTCATACTGTTGTTGTCGCAACATCGCACGAAGCTGCTGGTTCTCTTTCTCAAGCTCCCTTCGACTTGGCCGTTTATGGTGGTCTAGGTCGCTGTGTGTGGCAAGCAGATCCGAATCCGTCGGGATCTCTACCGAAGAGGATCGGCGCATACGTCGGGTTCTTGTTGGAGTTTTGCTCCCCCGTCGAGAACCTTGCGGAGCTTCCTTAGCCGATGGTGTTTTCCGTAACTCCTGTTCGTTGCCCTCGGGCTCTTGACCAATATTAGATTTTCGTCGCTTTGGCCCGAACTGCTCAACATATGCTTCCTCCGCTCTCCTCTTCCGATCATTCAGGACCTCCAGAGTCGTGTCCTCGAGCGTGGCCTGGGGAGCTAGATCACTGGTGGAACCACCATGCTTTTTCTTTCCTCCAATACCGTGTATGTTCCACAATGAAATACTTTTTCTGAGACCCTTCTTTTTCTTTTCCTTTTCAGGATGTGGCTCTCTTTCTCCTTGAGTCTTGGTATGTTCGTGGGACTTGAAGGCGCTGCCGATCTTGAAGAAACGTTGTCGCAGAGTGGCCGGGGTTACCGCTGGAGGGGCGAATTCTCCCAAGTCAATGGAGGAGCGTTGGGGTGAGCCTCGCGGAGTAGTATCGTTGTCAGACTCGGCGCCGGAAAGGCTGGAGATAGAACTATGTTCCGGCCATGTAGATGAGACCCCAGCGGATCTGCCGTTCATGCTTCCTTCAGCAAACCTGGAGTTTCGTGGTTGCTGGTCCTGTTCTTCGGTCGCATTATAATTAAGCCCTCGACTCGTCTTTGGTCTCTCATCGTGATCCGCAATTGCTCCCGAAGGAGCAAACGATTTCAGCTGCCTGACGCGTTTGCTTGGTTGTTTTGCTGGACTTTCTTCCTCCGGCGGCTGTAGAACATAGGCATCTTGACGCCGGCCTCTGAGTGCCCGACTCGGAGATGCTCTGTTCCATGCCTCCCGCTCCTCTCGAATGAGAGCTGGCTCAGACTGCAGATCGCCAAATCTGAATACGCCAGAGGGTCTGGTGGCATACTGCGGGGAGGGGCTATCTCGAAGTTGTACTCGTAGGCTTGAAGTGTGCTGCAGATCTGGAGACCGTTGAGGCGACAACAACTGGTGCGAAGTGCTGGAAATGCTGTCATCACTCAAGGTCCGGACATGCGCCTGGAACTTCTGTCTCGGAGAGAGCACGGAAGACGGGTTACACAAGCCGGACGAAGCCATCCCCGGCCGCGAAGGGTAGTGTGTTTGGGCGAGGAGATCCGCTAATTCTTGTCGATTCATGATGGATACTAGTCGTACTTGATAGTCGTGTCTCGGGTCGACATTACATGTGATGCAGCAAGTAGAATCCCGCGTTATGCATATTAGAAGGCAAAGGCATCGAGTGCCTGAACACCAAAAGTAAAGATTGCAATGAGTGTTTGGAAGGAAGAGCGGAAAGCGAGTTGACGGAGCGGACGATTTGTTTACAATCAACTGCGCATTGACGCATTGACGCCGCAGAGGGAACAATCATGGTGGGGCCAAAGAGGCGGCCTCTAAACCTCCGGCGAACTGACGTGCATGATGCCCACAACACGGCTGACTAACCACCCGGAAAGCCTAGAGAGACGCCTTAGCCGCCCCTAACCCCAGGACTTCGACGCCTTAGGAAGCCCGAACTCCAGTCAAGCCACAGCCTAGAAGCCAGCCCCGAACTCACCCACCCACCGCCTCCTAAGCCGTGGCTGATGCCTACGATTCTCTCCAGACGTAAGAGTCAAACACTATTGAGCCCTAAAGTCGACACTAGGCCACAGACGGCGCGGATCATCTACTACTAGCACCTGTTATTAGGGCCTGCTCGGCTGCACGAGCGCTCGCGACCCGCAAGCGCTTTTGTGGTGGAGGCATGTTTTGACGCTAGAGCAACGCCTCCCGTGATGCCGTCTCCTGCCAAACTTTAGTATAACAGCCATAATTAGTCGATATCTATCGAGTGCCCGATATCCCTATAGTATAAGTAATCGACGTAAATCGACGCGCTTAATAGCGCGTTATTGACGAGTTATAGAGACGCCTTTTTGCTAATTATATAAGTTTATATAGTATAGAGACGCTTTTTTATTAAATATATAGGTTATCGGGTCGCTCTCGATAACGCTTATAGCTAAATCGATATCGACGCCGCCAAATTAGTATCGAATCGTACTATTAATACCGTTTTTAGCCCTATTTTAAGTCTCGCCGCTATCGTTAGCTATAGACGAAGACGACGCCGCTATACTATTACTTCTCCTAATACTCCGTAAGCGCGCCTCTCGGTTTAATTATACTCCTCTTTATCTTAACTCTCGGCGCGGTATCGAAAATCTATAGGAGTGGCGTAGGTCGCCACAATTAATATATAAAAACCTAGGGTGTACGGTAGAGACGTTTAATAGCCTTATCGAATAGATTCGTACTTATTTCGAGCTATCCGATAGTCGAGGTATACGCCTAGAAGAGATAGTTACTATATTCCTATATATCTATCGTTTTAACGCTACGTAGTAACAAGTTAGGACTCTATTCGCGAGGTTAGCAGATTCGGTATCGAGAGCGTTTTATACGGTACTAAACGTACTATAACCGCTCTATAAAGAGAACGTATACTAGGTAACCGATAACTCGCCTATATCTCCTAAGATTCGAGGTAATAGTAAGTTCTAGCTATATTTTAAAGACTATATCGGCGCTCTTAACGGTACCTATCTTTAGATGTACTTACGTTATAAATCGCTCGAGGAGGAGGGAGTAGGATCGTAGAGGAATAGGAAAGGAGTATTAACGTAAAACGTACTCGATATCGCTTTATTTAATCTATAATTTATATTAGTCTATCCTAGTTAGGAGAGGTCTACGTACGATTCGACTATTCTAAAGTTAGCGCTCGTAACGGAGGCATTTAAGCTACCTAAAGGCCGTTATTATCTCGCCGACGTAGAATACTATAACGTACCTTTTATACTTACGCCGTACGACGGCGTAAGATATTACTTAAAGAAATAGATAAGAGAAGGAGTCGAGAAGCCTACGAATAAGAAGAAGTTATTTAATCTTAGATACGCGTCGGCGCGAAACGTCGTCGAGAGGCTATTCGGTATCTTTAAACGTAAGTTTAAGATTATAGCGAATAAGTACGAGTACTCTATTAAAAACGTAGTCGATCTAACAGTCGCTCTTACCGGCGTATTCAACTTTATCGCTTAACGAGATAGAAATGACAAGAATTTTAGGATATCTCTTAAGAAGATCGTAAACTTAAATAAGATAGAGGTAAGGGTACCTAGAGCGCCGATCGGATCGATTTAGGCTTCTCGAGCTAACCGAGCAGCTATGAAAACGGTACGAGACGGGATTACGCAAGCGATATAGGATAACTACGTTACGTAGGGTAAAGAAGGTAATACGCGTATTACCGATATAGTATCGATAGGCGTAGGTATACAAACGACGAGTACTTAGTAGTAAAGGTAACGATACGTAGAAGGATAAAAGAAGTAAATTACTAGGTAAGTTTACTATAATCGCTTCTTCTCGATCTCTCTTAGTAGTTACGCTTTCTAGATCTCTAGCCTAGTACTTATAAAAACCTTATAGTCGATACTAATAACGTCGATAGTAACTAATATCTTATCTATTAATAGCGTCGACCTAAACGTCTCTTATAACTTTTAAATTATAATCTATCTAGGCGTTTTTAAGTCTCCTTACTCTCGTTAAAGCTCTCTTTTCTCCTTCGCTATTATTATCTCCGCAAATAGCTCGATAGAGTGATTAAAGTCGAGAGAACCCTATTGCTTTTGCCTCTTTGCCGTCGGCGTATCTATCGCTCTCGACGCTATCGGTTTCGGTACAGTTAACGCTATTGGTTTCGGCGCAGTTAACGCTGTTAGTTTCGGCGCAGTTAACGGCGTAATTATAGGCGTAGTTGGCGGTAGAGGCGACTAAACCTATACTATCTTAGATAGTTCAGGTAATTAAGGTAAGTCACCTTCTATCCTCCGTATTAACGCGTCTTCCGAGGCGTCTTATTACGCTAATATATTAAGAACTTATATATCTATTACCTCCTCCTCCTCCTTCTCCTTCTCCTACTCCTTACGCTAGCGTCGACGTCCTACTAACCTTCCTATTACCGTTAAGTTACTAAATAACTTCTCTAATTTAGTACGATACTATATTAGATTCGTTTTAAAGATATAATAGTCTTTGAGCGGCCCTTACGCTAGTTCTTGCTAGTTTTCCTCCTCCGCCGAGAACTACCCTATCGACTCGTTATATAAATAGCCCGTCTTTAGATAAAGCTTTATAAAGAGATCCTAGCGAATACGCTAATACGTACGTTTCGAGTTTAAACGAGCCGTAGTCGCTCGAGGAAAACGCGGCTTTATTTACTCGACGTAGTCTCGCTAGAAATCCGTCTTAAATCGCTCGCCTTTTCGACCGTATCGCTATCCGTCGATTATTAAGTCTAGATATATACGTTCCTCCGCTACGCTCTATCGATCTCTAGATATTTTGGGCTATTTTTATACTAAAAACGCTATAAGAGAATAGAATATCTATAACTCGGCTATCTCTAAGCTATAAATGTAACTACTTTTTCTATAAATCGGGTTTAGCGTATAAGCGCTGTAAAACCTTCTAACCGACGAGTTGTCGGTCGGGAGGTAGTGGATACGGTCGGGAGATTATGGATACGACGCGAGAGCAAAAAACGCGCTAAATGGGGTTAACTGGCTAGCGTTGAGACGGCGCGAGATAGGGGGCAAAAAGCGCTCGCTATGCCGAGTACGATTACGAGCGCTCGCTAGCGAGCGCTTTTTAGGCCAAAAATCGGTCGGCGAGCGCTTTTTTCGTGCAGCCGAGCAGGCCCTTACTCTCAAAATGAGCTTCGACGACGGTGATATGCTGCTCGAGTGTCGTTCTCTGTGCCTGATCACGCCTGGAAAGTTCCATCCTGACATCCGGGGGCACGGATGATTACGGTCCCATATAGATAGACACAGCAAAAGCAACCTGGAAAATCGTCTCAGTGCTTCCGTGGACATCCTGTCCGATCTGGCGCCCACTTGGCTGGGCATTTGTGTCACATTTATCCACCGATCCCGCTGTCTCGATCATCTTCTTCTCCTCCCGCGCAAGATGTATACTGTTTTGTCTTTGGCCCAGCCGTCCAAGCGGTAACTTCCTGCGCCCGCAGCTGAATCGTTCTCGACTCCCCCTTCTGTCATTGGACGACGGCTATCGGGCCAGGGCTCGGAATGCTTGTTAGCCATGGTTGGCGTTCCGGGGAAAAGCAAGGGTTGCAATACCTGTCGGCGCCGGAAAAAAGGTGTATGTGTCCCACCACTGCATCCAACCGCTTCACATCCACTGATATATGCTCTCTAGTGTGATCAAAAGCGCCCCGTATGCGGCCAGTGTGCCTCCAGTGGCCTCAAATGCGAAGGCTACAACCGTGATACGACCTTCATCATCCACCCTGCCAGCAAGGCCGTCGAAAAGGCAGTCTTTCTACCATATGCAAGACCGGCACCGATTGCACTCCCAGGATCTGTTAATCGCACCGCAGTGGAGTCACAATGTCGGAGTCTCTTTTGGGATTTATACATGCCTCAAGGAGGTGCGGCTTGTCGAGATGCGTTCATCCTCCGATGCGGGAATCCAATGAACTGGGCTGAAGTCATCCAACGTGTCTCCAACCAGGATAGGTCCCTTGAAGGTGCCTTTTCTGCGCTTAGCATCTCAAGAGTCGGCCAAGGAAACAAGGATGTCCGCCTGGTCCACGAGAGTGCCAAGATCTATGGCAAAGCTCTGAAAGAATTGCAAGAGGCTCTCTTTGACCCTAACCGGATGTTCTCCAATCAGATCCTTATGGCTTGCATGCTTCTCCAGTTATATGAGGTCCTGGAGGGGCCTGCCTTCAACTCGCGAAGTTGGATGGCACACGCTCGAGGAGCTGCTCGACTCATTCAACTTCGTGGCCCAGAACGGCACCAAGACTGGGACGCTCACCATCCGTTCCTTGCATCTAGGATCCCGACTGTGTACGCCTCGATCTTGCAACGAAAATCAACTTACTTGGCTACGAAGGAATGGCTCACTGTGCCGTGGGCAAAGCAAGGGCATCGGACCTATTTCGATGTTATGGTAGACCTTGCCACTATTGTTCCCGGAGTTCTGGAAAGATTTGATCATCTTCGCGAACGTGGAGCCGACGGCCATGAGGAGCTCATCCAGCTGCTTCAAGAATGCAAAGACCTCCAGATCCGAATGAACCGGTGGAAAGACGGCACGAAGAAGTCAGCTATACCTCGCTCAATCAAGCACGAACCTGTTGATGAGGACGACAGTTATCCATTTGAGACGGATCTCTGGTTCGAGAATCATTTGTTTGTCCACGCTCGTCTGGTATATTATACCTGTTCCCTCACTTTAGCCGAAGCTGTTGAAGATATTCTGCGCACTCCAGGTCTGCGAGATCACGAGTCCTTCAAACTTGTCGACGTAAACTCTTTGAGAGAGATTTGCGATGCAGGGCGATATGCCGCCAACATATGCCGCTCTGTTTCCTATTGTTTGCAGCCGGAAATGGGAGCTTGGGGTGCAAATATCATTAACTTCCCAGTCAGCCGCGCGTTTGCATTCTATAAGAGAATAGGCGACGCTGCAGCAACCGAATGGCTGATCAAAGCATTCCAGGCCGCAAAGAGGCGCGGTTTTCATGCCGGACATGTTTCGAGCCTGCTGATGTCGGGTCCTAAAGTGAAGGAAGTCCACGGTGATGCTCTCATCAAGAGAGAGTCGAGCTCCGAGTCCAGTCCAGATACGACGCTTACGGAACAATCGCCTTCCTCTAGTCAAAGCTGGGCCAGCAGTACGACAACATTCATCTACGAAGACCCTGCTAAGGATTACCTTGATGCCAGCAAAGATCCCGGCTGAACCAAGTCACGCTCATCTTCATCCTATACTTTTAAGTCTCCTCTCGGAGACCGAATTACTCTCGACGCGCTCTATGCGGAAACAGGAATTCTTCGCCTCAAATAGGAAATGTTGCGCCGAAAGAAGTTGTTTCTATAATGGACAGGGGCGGGGTCCTGCACTGAGGTTCTGTCTCTGTCTTCAGGTGCCCACGACCAACACAGGTAGCACAGGGAGCAACCCGAGATCGCCATCTCAGTCGGACAGCTTCTCAAGCACCTGAGCCATGTAGGTCAACATACAAGGTCTGCACCTCGATATCTGGGGTCCTTTGTGCTGTCACAGCATGCATCCGAGCTCCTACCGGAGTCGCCTGCCATGTCTACGGCCTCTGGTAATTGCCCAAGAGGCCAATTCCGAATACAGTAACAGTACTCTCTGGAAACAGCAGTCGGCACTATCTGACCCAACAATTGGATGAAGGGACTGTTGATGGGCGGGGAAGACCATCAACTTCCATTCTGTTGACCCAAAGGCGCTGTCGTAATTGACAAGCTCGCTTTACGACTCATTCTACACTTGACTAAAATGCCTGATCACATTATGGCCGACCAGCTACCGCTGTTGGATCTCAGCAGTACGTCCGTCAGAGAACATTTTGGCTATAGTTCCTTTTGAGTCGATCCCCAAGGGGGGATATTTTCATATATCAAGCCAGGAATATGAATTATTTATAGTCACGAACACATCTACTAGTAATATACTGCTCAAATCGCGCTTATTGATGACTCAAGTAAATCCGAGTACCACTCTTTGGACGAGATCTGACAACTTTTCATCCCCCCATCTAGCCTTGTACATGCCCATTGCCTTGATAGGAAAATAAAACTTGTAGTTTGGATAAGTAATCATGCAAGAGCAGTTGAAAACGCCCTCGATGGCTTCTTGCAACCACTCACCATTGGGTTGCTGGCGGCCGGTGACCATGGCCAAAGCCCTTGCGATGGGTTTCTTGTCCGGATACTGGGCGTACATGAGGGCAATGACGGCCCAACAGGTCTGGACGACCTGGGAGCGTTCATGGTCGACCCAGACCTTGAGCTCTGAGGCGCGATAGCTCTCGCCCCAGCCGCCGTCGGGCATTTGATGGCCGATCAGAAAGTCGCATGCCTTTTTAACGCGCGGCGAGGTGGCGTACGTCTCGCCCACGGAGGCCAACGACTCGAGGGCAAACATGGCCGCGTAGGTGAAACAGATGCCCCAGCTGCCGTACCAGGAGCCATCGTCACGCTGTGCATGGCGGATGTACTGCAGGGCCGATTCCTTGATGCGCTTGATTTCCTCGGCGCGGTAGTCCGGGTAGAACTTCTGGAACAGCGACAGCACGGTGACGACGGCGGTCGTGCATTCGGGATAGTCGTATTCGACCATGATGCGGCCAAACACCTCGGCGGCGTTCAGCAGCTCCAGCCATTCCGAGCCGCGCTGGATCTCGTAGCTGGCAAATCCGCCCGTGTGTTTGTTCTGCATGGTCAGCAGAACGTCGACGGCATCGCGGATTCGACTTTCTTCCAGCAGTCGTTTGTAGTTATGGCCGTTTTGTAAAAGAAGAACCACGCGGAGAGCCTCGGCCGTGCAGTCGGACACGGTGTAGCCTTGCAGCTTGGTGCTGAAGGGCCACGCACCCTTGCGGGCCTGTCGGTAGCAGATCTCTCGGTCGGGCACTTCTTCGCGTATCTGCTCGGACCCCAGAAACTCCAGAGCTCGTGTGAGCATGGGCTTCCACTTGGGCGAATCCGCCAGACCGGCCTCGACGCACGCTTGGATCGTGAATGCCGTGTCCCAGACTTGTACGCCATTGGTGCCGTTGGCCAGCATGCCTTCTTTGTTGACCCACAGATACTCGTCCAGACGGTATAGATGTCGCTGGAACGAGTAGCTGTCGGGCCCTTCTTTGATGAAACAACATAGCGTATTCATTGGAGCGTTTACCGGAGCCAGGTCGGCATAGTCGGTGTTGTGGTCTTCATACTGCACCAACCGCCAGACCCAGGCCTCGGCTCGGTCGACGATAGATTTTGTTCTCAGTAACGGGATCCAGATCCACACGAGGAGGAAATTGATCAGATTCAACAGCCACGACTTCGGGTGGTAGTTGTCTGCTGGGGATATGGAATTGCGATGTGAGCCAAAGTGGATGGTCTCGTACGGCTGCACAAACAATTCTTGTCGCAGCTCTCGGATAAGTTTGTTCTCCGGCATGGTGAATTTCTTCGACCAGATATATGACATGGGCAGAAAAACCTGCCGCATATGCACCCACCATCGCCAGGGAGCAATTGGCGTCCAGTCAGGCAGAAGCCACAACTCCGGAGGTACGGGATTAACGATCTCCCATTTTGTGACACCTAGGATACTGAGCCAGAACTTGGCCCAATGCGGGCCATTAACTGCACCGCCGAGTTCGTGCAGTTTTCCCCGGGCCTTAACCATGCGCAAATCTTCCTCGCTGGCCCCTAGGATTCTGAGGATGGTGTAGTTCATCGCGGTGCCAAAGACCGAACTGTGGCCTTCCACATGAAGACCCCATCCTCCGTCGATATTTTGCCTGGCAAAAAGATAATTCCTGATCTCGATCTGTCGCTCCGGCGGGATTGGTGTCCCGGTCGCGTACCAACAGATGACAATTCCTGGGAGGAGGAACAGTGGGCCGCCATATTCGCATGCCCAGTTCCCTGGAGGCAGTTGGAGTCGGGAGTAGAATTCGAGGCAGTTTTCGATTGAATCTGAGAGAGTCGAGGGAGGAGGAAGATCAGGGAGATTCTGCCTGCATTGTTAGCTTCGACACTCTTGATCGAATGTTTCTTTTTGCCCAATTGCGCCCTTACTGTCGGTAGACCCAGGAAATACTTGTCGGCGGTGCTTTGTGGCCATGCTTCCACTTCCTTATCGGTCTTCAAGTAGTGCCACGTCTGCCGGCCCGACTCGGCCAGAAGTCTCCATCTGGAACGATCGGTTTTCTCGCTGGAGGGATCCAGGTCGCATCTGTTGGCATTTCCATTGGCGAACCCGTTGGGCGCGCCGTCCGCCGCCTTCTCGGGGGACTGGCGTGTCCGCACCATGGTCAAACAGCAACTTATTCCACCCCGGACTTGTTAAAGGACATTTTGCATTGACACGCGGCGGTTAGGGAGATGGTTGACGCGAAGTCTGCTGGTACTAAATAAGGTTCCTCATAACGTGGCACCCGGGAACTGACAAACTGGCGCCACTCGGAGTCTGGGGAAATAAATTCTACAAACGATCGGAGGCGGTGGAGGACCGGACCAGATCCGTTTAGCTCCCGTCAGTCAGGCCAGGAACGCAGCGTCAGGTACCACAACTACAGCCAGGGACTACAAAGGTATTTGTATACATTTGCCTACAGCTGGGGGTTGGAGGCAGCGGCTGCTATTACTGTTCTGTTCTGCACTGTTTGTACGGTAGATCTCCGGGACCTGCGAGTGACAAGGCACCGGAAGATCCCTGCGCCCTGGGGTGGATAGTAGTGTCATGCTTCCCTTTTCCCACCACCGACTCTGATCGGTCCTGTCACTGTTGTGGATCCGGTAATGCATTGTTCCCAAAGAATTCGTCCAGATGTGTCTTTGAACTCTGCCCAAAAGAATCATTAACACGGCTGCGATGGCAAGCCAAACATCATGGCAGCCCGATTCTAGCAGCCTTTTGGAAGAGCCAGTAACGACTGCTAGTATTTCGCCAGAGAAGCAGAGAGTCTTGAGTTATATTGCAGACACATTTAACAATATTCTACGCGACATCAGAGCACGCCCAAGCGGTAGACCGGTCATAATCCTCAAGCGCATCGTTGCGGTCCAACCCTACTATGACCGTCCGGACTCGATGCGTGTGAAATGCCACATTCAAAGCCGCGAGATGCGTTACCACTTCCCCGGAAAGAATGCAGATGAGGCCTGGCGGTTTGGTACACAGAGACGACTGACGGTGTCTTGACGTATCCTAACCTTTCCCAGCTTGCGTCGGCCGGATCTTGGGAGAGATAAACAGTGCAATCAGAGCGGGGATCACAATCACCAAGAGGTAGGACCAAAGACCACAAGCAGATTGATCTCTCACTGGAGCAGAGACATCTACTATCGTGATCCAATGCTGTTCAAACAACAAGAAACAGTAGATCGGTATGTGGATGACATCGCACATACATGTCAAGTCACCAGAAGAGACCTGAACGTGGTGGGTGCTCTCACCTACATTCGCTCCAGTATCGCTTACCAACCACGGCACCAGTGCGCCAGCCCCAAGGGGCTTGTGGCAGGCCTGGGTGATGGCTCCGGAGGTCAAGTACCTACCCATATCCCGGACCACAGAAACATGTTCTCTGAGGCCTCTCATATCGCCTGGATTCTCGTCATTGAGAAGGAGGTGAGTCGAAACCACACGGCAAGTGATAGTGTGCTGAGAAGGCAGGCAACGTTCAATACCCTTGTGGAAAAGGCTTTTCACCAACATCCGGTGCTTGGGCCGGGACTTCTTGTAACGGTATATCTAGCTCTGCACATCTTGACACCTCCAGTCCTGACCGCAATACCCTGCAGGCTAAGGGATACCCAGACCTAGCAACCCGCCACTTCCTACGCAATCTGGCCGACCATGCTCGGACACCCATCCAGATATTTGGATTGTTCGACTGGGATCCCGATGGAATCCAGATTCTGAAATGCTACCTGTATGGCTCAAAGAGGCTCGCACAAGAGCATTGCTGCATTCTTCCAGAAATGAAATGGATTGGCATCAGAGCTCATGACATTCATAGACTGGACGGCGCTACTCAAGAGTCGCTGCCATTGTCCATGAGGGACAGGGCGCTCGCCAGATCTATGTTGGCTAGCGAGGAGTGGAGGGATGAGCTGGGCGAGATATTGCCCGGATTGCAGGAAGCCACAGTCGAGATCCAAAGACTGCTCATGCTGAATCGGAAAGCCGAGATTCAGATCCTGGATCAGGGGGGCGGCGGGTTTGAACAATGGTTGGTCGGAAAGCTGAGGAACCGCCTGGTAGAGACGGTGTTCTGATAGAACGTCGAGCGAAGGGCGACATAATCTGTGTTCAAAGACCCAGTGACCGCCTCACTCCCTGTCTAACCTTCTTTTCAAACTCTGGACGTCGCTCTCTCCACATTTTTGCGGCTTCTACGTTGGCCGGGCTCTCATCGTTGGGCTCGGCCAACATGGACATGACGGATATAAGTATTTTCTCCACGCTCTGTATAGGTGACCACCGCTCAGACGCACTCTCGTAGTGGTTCGGATCGTCGCCAGGAGGATGCAAAATAGATATACAGACTTCGCCGTTGGTGTATACTGGGAGAAAGTAAATGTTAGTCTTGCCAGATGTAGCGCAACGAGGCTCCGTGGCCATACCGTTAGGATGCCAGATCTCCCCGAGGAACTTCATCTTGGGAGGATTCAGAGGATAGTCCTTGGGGAATCTGAGCTCGGCAGGAAAGATGCCACCGTCGTACGGTGTCCCTTCGGGGCCTTCGATCAGGGCCTCCCATACGAACAGGTCATCTTCAGTTACCGGCCCTGCGGTTATGCCCTGAGGTGGATTCGTCAAGAGAGCTTTGTACTCTTGAAAAAGTCGCTTTGAAGCTACGTTTGAGCCCATACTGAATATCGATTTCGGGGATTGCGAACGAATGACAGGAGGCTACTGCGATGTGGATGAACAGGAAACTGGCGGCAAGGCTGGAGTCACGGTTCCGGTTGTGGCAGAAATGACGCTATTTATCGGCGTTATCGACAATCGCGGCCTCGGACCGCAGCTTATCAGCTCAATTGAATAATGACACCGCCACGACACGGTTGCTGTGCAGCTGTTTGTCAATGCCAGGGCGTGTCCGCTTCCCCGTGTGACAACCCCAGATCTACTGTATGAATTGGTCTGGATCCCTTCTCTCCAGTCGTTCGTTCTCTACAAGCGTGTTGTCCTTCACTAGCCTTCATCATGGTCCGCAAAACGTCGTCCGGCTTCTTCACCTCGATCCATGAAGACCTGCCCCTTCATGTGTCTCGGGGCTACGATCGGATGGTCCAACACAGTGCATACCCTTCGTCGTACCAGTCTCCCAGTCCCCAGCGGAGCGTTGCCTTCTCTCCAGAGAACTATACGAAGCCGTATCTCGAGTTTATGACCAACAACCCTACCGTGTTTCATGCTGTTTCCGCATTTACTACACAGCTGGAAAAGGCAGGATACGAACACTTATCTGAGAGGACGCAATGGAAGATCAAACCTGGCGGGAAATACTACACCAAGCGAAACGGCAGCGCCTTCATCGCGTTCGCCGTGGGGAAAGATTACAAACCAGGAAACGGCGTCGCCATAGTGGCTGGGCATATCGATGCTTTGACGGCAAAGGTGAAGCCCGTCCCCAAGCTGGAGACCAAGGCTGGTTATGTGCAGTTGGGGGTAGCTCCCTACGCGGGTGGCATGAACATGACTTGGTGGGACCGCGACCTCGGGATCGGGGGAAAAGTGCTCGTCAAGACGAAGGATGGGCACATTGAAGAGAAGCTCGTGAAGCTGGACTGGCCCATTGCAAGGATACCAACGCTAGCACCACATTTCGGAGCTGCTGCTCAAGGGCCGTTTAATCTGGAGACGAACATGGTCCCCATCATTGGATTAGACAACTCCGACCTCACCGGAAAGAAACCTGTTTCATTAAATCTGCCTGCAGGCACATTCGTGTCCACTCAGCCAGAAGGTCTGGTACGAGCAATCGCTGGCGAACTGGGGATAGAAGATTATACATCCATTGTCAACTGGGAGCTGGAGCTTTTTGATGTTCAGCCAGCGCAGCTTGGTGGATTGAACAAGGAATTTATCTTTGCCGGCAGAATTGACGACAAGTTGTGCTGCTTTGCCGCCATTGAAGCACTGTTAGCCTCATCTGATGAGGCATCCTCAGGCATTATCAAGATGGTGGGGTGCTTTGATGACGAAGAAATCGGCAGTTACCTCCGGCAGGGTGCTCGAAGCAATTTCATGTCGAGCGTGATCGAGAGAATATGCGAGGCTTCGGCTGACTATTGTGGCCCCAACCTAATCAACCAGACGTTGGCCAACTCGTTCTTGGTGTCATCCGATGTCATCCACGCCGTTAATCCGAACTTCCTAGGAGCCTATTTGGAGAATCACTCTCCAAGACTCAATGTGGGCGTGTCAGTATCAGCCGATCCGAACGGACATATGACAACCACGGCAGTGTCCACGGCACTGCTGTCTCGCATTGCCGAAAAGTGTGGTAGCACGCTGCAAATATTTCAGATACGAAATGACAGCCGTAGCGGTGGCACCATTGGACCGATGACAAGCTCCAAACTAGGCTGTCGTGCGATCGATTGTGGAATCCCCCAGTTGAGTATGCATTCTATCCGAGCCACCACCGGATCACTCGATCCTGGTCTCGGCGTCAAGCTGTACAAGGGATTTTTCGATTATTTCGAGGAGGTCGACAAAGAGTTTGCATGAATCCGGGGAGGGATGAGTAGACGAGGTTGGGTTCGGTATATCCCGTCCAGTTTGCAATACCCCTATAGACTGCATGGACAGAACTAGTCCATCCTCGCAGGTATATACCAAGAGAATGAGCTAATCCAGATCATGCTTGGCTTTGCTACACACGACAAACCCTCAACCTGACATCTATTCTCACTTCTCTTCCTCCATGAGCAGCCGTGCCCTAATCCAATCTCTTCAGGCTATGTCAAGTTGCTTTTGAACACAGAGGCGAAAGGAAAAGGCAGCGGGAAGCGTAAGAGGCGTACAGGTGGACTGGTCCACCTCCAGCGAAGACCCTGACATAATCTCACAGTTGAAGTCGAGCTCGATTGTTCCTCAAGGTGGGAAACACCAACTCCAGCCTGTGCTATCATGTGGCGGGTGTTCCCCTTCATCAGCTAGGCTCAACATCTGAAAAATTCATGGCATGGATAGGTAGGGTGAAGAGGGAAACTCCAAACTCCTGCTTGGGCGCTACGTGTTATTTCCATTTTCACAAGCATCGAGCTGTTTACCCTGCAATGCGAGAGTGCTCAGGAATCGTCGGAAGTCCCGCATGCGGTTCACTGTGAGCGCAGCACTGAAATGTGTAGAATGAGATGAAAATTGATGCCATGACCTTCCATTGTGAGTGTGAATGCCAGCTAACAGGCATCGCCTTGATTTCTATCTCCCTGTGCCCCAACAACTACTGGTTCCCGCACAGGGTACACCGTTGAGCAATGTGTTTCACGGTTGCCGTGTTGAGAACCCTTGAGGTCCTCCCCGGAGTCGATGCCGGAGTGACTACTACCAGAGGCCGACTGACTGAGCATCTGAGGATCTTGTGCCCGGAGGGCGACACAAGCTCAACGATGCCTCACTGACAACATTTAAAATCATGCGCGGCCTTCACGCGACTGACTTCTGCCCCTTTACCTCAACACCGACTGCAGACAAAACAACCGATCTGAGTATTCATCACCAACCTCCTTCGCATCATCAAGACTTCAACATCACCGACTTGATACAATGGTTTGAAACACCCGAGCCTCTTTATCCAAGTGCTAACATCGTCAAAGGGTTCGCTTCTGAGAAAACTCATGCCGGCGCTGGCTGTCGCAGCTGTCCCCAGCTTTGTCGCAGTCTGTGGTGCAACCTACACCGTCAGCCCCGGCGACAATGCTTGTGGAATTGCTGTACGATGCGGCGTCGACCTTCGCGACCTCCTCAATTCGAATCCGAACGTCAGCGCCTGGAACAGCCTGCAGCAGGCGCAGGTCCTCCAGCTTCCTTCAACTGCCTCCTGCGTAAATGCCACCTCCTGCTCCAACTGTGCGGCGGCAGGCCCGACAAGCACCCTGACAAAATCCACCGCTGGCCCTGGACCAAGCATGCCTTATGGAAAGACATACACTGTTGTTGCGGGTGACACTGCGTTCACCATCGCAGAGCGATTTGGCATCTCTTTGGGAGATTTGGAGGCTGCGAATCCTGGCAAGGTCGCAAATTGGGATCTGCTTCAAATCGGCATCGTTCTGAACATTCCTTCCGCAAAGATCGGCACGTCTGTCTCTATGGCGACATCTTATGGAGTCGTTCCATCATCGTCCGCACCATACGTTTCTCCATCAGCATACCCAAGCCAGACTTTGTCCCAGCCAGCATCTTCTACGATCGCTTCCCTGTGGACTGTCGCTTCGGGAGACACGGGATATGGCATCGCATCCAGTGCCAACGTGGCATTCTCCGACATCTCCACTGCCAATCCTACGGTTGTCTGGACCGAACTATCCACCGGACAAGTCTTGACCATTCCGGCTGCGCCAACCGGTCTTGCTGAGGTTGTAGGTGCTGCGGCTGTCCACGCCCTGCATCTGGATGAGGGGGCCACGACTCCAAAGAACAACTACACATTCTACGCCGGAGACGGGTCGCAAGCGCACGGCTGGCCAGCGGTTACCGACTGGCTCTCGTTCGATGCCTTGTTCGACAATCTCAAGCCGTATATCGGTCAGAACTGTGTCGGGAATGTCCCTGGAAACTCCCCTGCTGAGACGGAACAACTACGCGATGCCATCCTCGATGTAGCCAACCAGACCTATGTCGATCCACGGTTCATCATGGCTGTCGTTATGCAAGAGTCCAACGGTTGTGTCAGAGTGGTGACGACTGCCGGAGGCAACAGCAACCCTGGTCTTATGCAGAGTTATAAGGGCAAGGGGACCTGTAACGTCGGCGGCCAGTTGATGTCTCCATGTCCTGGTAATGTCATCCATCAAATGATCGTGGACGGTACAGCAGCCCCAGTTGATGGCATCACCCTTGTCAAGGCTCTCAATCAAGCAACAGGCGGGGCCGTCACCGATGTGGCTCAAGCGTACTATCGTGCCGCCAGACTCTACAACTCGGGTGCGAGCAGTATGCCAGCGAATGGAGACTTGGGAGGTGCGCCTGGGGCGACACTGTGCTATTCAAGTGATATTGCCAATCGACTGATGGGATGGGTGACTGGTCCTACAGCATGCCATCTGAACTCCAAGGCGAAGGCGTGAGATACACCTGTTGTGTCGGGAAAATGACTTTTCTATTGGTGATAAGTCAGGGTACTGAAGATCATTGATAGCTTCTCACCCTAGGTAGCCTCGAGTGGATACTCCAATAGGCAATGTTTTTCAGCAATTCTAGCACCTACTACCTAGGTTGTAACTGGGAGCGGGTAGATGTAGTATCTCAGCAGGATAAGGAGTGGCAGCCTTGCATACAACTCTCTCTGTGGCCGCCAAGACAAAGTCCTGTCGGGCTTCTACCACTACAACTCCAACTTCGGGGATCATGGGCCACCATCGGTTCGTTGTTGCGAGTCGCCGACCTCGAGGGAGGACTGGGTATAAGTATATACCTTAATGTGCCGGCACTTCAAACCCGATATATCATTTGACCGGCTTTGAGGCCCGTTGTGTACAGCCCAGGAAGGCGAAGCATGGCAGCCGGCAGTTCTAACAAAAGCCACAGCCCAGCAGTTCCATACACGCCTTATCACGCGTGTCTCTTCTTACGATGGTTACAGCTGATGTTGCTCCCTTTCGCCCTTGACATGAGTCGGCGTTAACATATTGTCCGGGGCTCTCGGAATTTGGAAACGTTTCTAGCTGCTAACTGTCGCCTGTCAGCGAGTTCAATTTAAGACTAATGGCTTTTATAGGTCATAACCAGATACATAAGGTCGTTTATTAAACGGTATACAAAATCGACCGGAATACGTTAAACTTAATAGAGAATCTCACGATCCATCTCTATTATTTTGATAGAATAGAACTCATGATATTCTCATAGGTAGATATCTAAAACACAGCTCCATACCTGCCGGATGGGAAATCCACTGCGTTGAAGCGCCGAAAGTAGAGTAACGAGTAACCCTGAGTGTCCAGCACACCTGGGAAATCCGGCCAAGTAGCCCAATTAGTAAACAGTCAGAAACTCCAAGTTCATGAGATAGTATAGTTCCTGTCCAAAGATACTTCAAGCTCCCTGCTCAGTTGTACACGCTCCAAACCGTCCATATTACTAGCGCATCGAGCACAATATAACGCGACGATGACCGCTGCCCTTCATCCCAGGTTGCATATGTCGTGCCACGAGGCAGGCTAATACAGTTTCTTGCGCTAGATGAAAGACTCAGGGTTAGATGACGGGCCATAACATTGGGACTAGAGGAGGTTCGATGGCTTACACTCAAGGTCACAGAGAGGGCCAGTCCCCAAGCCGAGACGGCCAGAACGTAAATGAACACGTTCCGGATGGAGTCGGTGACCTGCGAGATGACGGCCTCCTTGAGTTCGGGGCTCAGGCCCCGGAACAGAGAACTGCTGGCACCAGTTGTGAGCTCGACAATATCGCTCAGCGGGCGGGCCGGAAGGACGGCGGCAACCTTGGCAAGAACCAAGTTCTGGAAGATGGCTCCAGTGACACAAAGGGCAGCGAAAATACCCGCGACCTGGGCAATGGTCATGATGCTCACGGCATGGTTGGCTTCGGACCGAGGAGCAATGGATGTGGCGACGGCCACACCGGCAGACTGGTAGCAGCCGATCCCGGCGCCGAGGAGAATGGTGTAACCATAGACATTGGCCGTTGGGGTGTCCCCTTTGATCGTGACTATATGGAAAAGCAGCAGTTAGTATGTCACCCACTTCATCATCGTGGCCCGACTGAGCAATGAGCAATCCAAAAGACTAAAATGGCCGCAAGTCACTTACCCATCAGAGCGGCGCCAATGACCATGAGAGCGTTGCCAAACACGTACCACGGCATGAAGTAGCCAAACTTGGGCATGAGGAACGCGTTGAGAAGGGCGAAGAAGACGAGCAGGCAGATGAGCGGCAGAATACGCACGCCACCCATTAAGGGTCCGTCTGCTTTGGTGAACTGGAATAGAAGAGGAGTGTAGTAGATGGCCGTGAACATGACCCCTGCCACGATGGCACCGAGAATCGGAAGACTGATGAGATCCTTGGAGCGCATGAAGCCGACGGGCAGCAGCTTGTTCTCGGCCGGCACTCCGGGGTGGTAGATGGTCACCAGGATGAAGGCGATGAGGAGGACGGCGGTCATGACAAGCAAGGCGATCTCCGAGCCACTGTTCCATTTGTAAAGGGTGCCGCCAAAGTTGAGGGCCATGCTGAAGCACGTGCAGCCGCCCAGGAACACAACCGTGCCGATCCAGTCCAGCACGCGCAGCTTCTGCACCAGAGGCTTGTCGGGCAGCGGATCGATGCCGGGCAGGGTGAAGAGATAGGCCGGTGCAAAAAGAGCGGCAATGGGCAGGTTGATGTAGAAACCCCAACGCCATGTTGCGCTGCTTTGGGCAAACGCGCCGCCAATCACTGGACCAAGGACACAGCCGATGCCCCAGATGCAATAGATGCCTGCCAGGTAGAGCGGCCGCTCCCGGTTGGTGGTGAGGAGTGCGACATAGTTGAGTCCACCGGCGTAGATTCCACACCCGCCCACACCAGCAATGACACGGCCGACGATCAGGCCGTCCATGTCCGGCGCAGCGCCACAAAGAGCACTGCCAACCTCGAATAGGATGAGACAGATGATAAAGAGCCATTTGATGTCGAAGACGCCGAAGGCTTGGCCGAGGGGAAGAATCGTCGTGTTACCGAGCATGAAGCTGACCCCGATCCATGCCAGATCTTGCTCGGTGCGGAACGTGTTAACGATGGAGGGCTGGAGATTGGCGACCTGCAAAGAGCACTCGTTAGTATCCGTCTTGAACTCCATGGTTGACAGTCATTATAGCTACTCACAATTGTACCGTCCAAGGCGAAGAGAAAAACCGTCGAGAGAATCGCGCCGTAGGCGAAGAACCACTGGAGGAGAATGTTAGGATCAGCTCGCTCACTGCGATATGCAGGCCTGCAGGATGTTCATGATGATGCCAACAAACCTTCAGACCTGTAATCGATCGCTTCTCCTCCGCAGCGGGCGGATCAGCCTCTGTCGATTGAATGGCTCCATCGTTATGGTCGTGAACCTGAGCTTGCGAACCCGTCGGGGTCTGCTCTTCCGAATCGTCACGCGTCTTCTCTGCGTACACGCCACCGTTTGCACCTTCGTCCAGAGCCATCTTTTGACAGTGATATCAATGGAAGATTCGCTGAATTGCTGGTAACAGTAACCAATGTCTGGAGAGTGTCAAGATGGGAAGATCGAGCTGATGGACCACCAGTTTTGTTGCTTGAGGTTTGGCCCATCTTTTAACAGCTGCAGAAAGGACGAAAAGTTCCTCCGACCGATAGCGATCTCATCGCATCCGTCGGTCTGCTTGTATCCCACGGCTTGACCTACTTGCCTCTCAGGGAGTCCAGCGGCCCCAGTCCGGTCCGAAGTGGAGCTCGTCGAATGAAGCCCATCCTCGCAAGGGCCAGTGCCGTTTGCCCAACGATCCATTTGACAAGTGCAATTGATCTTGATTGATTTCAAAGCAGATACAATTAGGACAAGTGTCTAGACCCGGTGTTGAAGAGGCTTCGTTCAGCTGTGCAAGCAAAGCTTCCTTCGCCTAGTCTCCACGGATCGGCGGCGGGAGGGCCCGCTGCGGGAGCTAATGTAGCGTATTACTGGTAGCATTACTAGTGGTACACTCCCGCCGAGCTTCCAAGGGTTGAAGTTACGGTACGGGACTCGGACAGGTCGAAACCCATGGAGGGCAGTCATCTTAATCTCGATATCACAGTCTGCTTTTATGTGCTGCCATAGCTTGAACTATTCGCGGGTGTCATTCGACTCGAAGATGGCTCTTCGCGTCAGGCATTTGCCACAACATTGCATTGCTATTCTGACGATATAGAGCTAACGCTTGGGCGCCAAATTCCGGCTAATCTCAGGACGACAAGCGAATCTAGTTCAAGCCTGCGCGATAAAAGGATGAAACGGTGCAAGACGTCTGGATGGCCGGTGTCATAGAGAGATTGCAAGTATTGCCTCCTTTCCAAGAGAAGTAGGCCTGTGCCGTGGCTGAATGCAAGCAAATGTAGGTTAGAGAGATGTCATGGTGACCAAGCTTGGAGGACGAGGGCACGATGACGATAACAGCATCGAACTAGGTACCCATCGACGCTCTCCGGAGTGTCCAAGCCGAGAGCACGACTTTCAAGGGATTGTCCAATCGGGCGGTCGGACCGAGGTGGACCCAGGGCACCGGCATCTCCGCCCGTCCACTGCCCTGGCAAAACTCATGGCAATGACAAGTTCCTCGGGAACACATATCTTCTACACGTGGCAGACTGATTGCAGAGCGTGCGTTTGGCGAGGAATCACAAACAGCTGGCTGGAGGATACGGTAGAATACCCGAGTCTTCCACATCCAGTCCTCGCGTCGGAAGTCCACTGTCACCAGATTGATTACGGTCCAGGGAGCCAGGGCTTACTGTCCAGTGACAAGCACCTTAGTCAGAACTGACCATCGCTGCAACCGACTACAATGGCAATCTTCCACAGGCACAGGCGGACGTTCTGAAGCGTAGTTCAAAGCACCATGTCATGCATTCGGGGCTATGTCACTAATCTTGAGTGGTAGCTACACCACACCACTCGCCTGCCATGGCCCATTTCCATTCCACTCAGCGACTCGGACCTCAGGAGCGAGAACAATAGATCCGCCAGGGTCTGAGGACAGTAATACACACCTACATCGCCTACTACTATATACAGTTATAGGTATATAGTAATAGCGGTTATAGGTGGTATAGGCGCATAGCTACACCGCAATCCTAAGGCGGGTGGGCAATAATATAGGACATGTTAACCTAGGTACACAATATACAGCACTATAGTACCTAGGTAGGCACCAAATATAAAGGATTAGCGCTACACCAAAATTCGCTCAAATGGGTTTAGTTTTTGTGCGAAATACAGGCTGCCAGTACTAGTACCTACCTAGGTACCTACAACTACTACTAGTACAACGTACAACAACAATAACGATTACTAAGTTACTACAACAACTACAGCTGCAACTGTAAGTACTACAACTACAACTACTATAACTGCAACTAAAGTTGTATAAATCTTACCCTGCTTGCGCACATTTCCAGACGCCGCCCCGCAAGTTGTTTCAGAGACTATTATGGGTGCTGCATTGAGGCACACGGCGTGCAAGCCCTGCCGTGACCGAAAAGTCCGCTGTGGCGGTGAGCAACCAGCGTGCGCAAAGTGTCGGAGGGCGAACGAGGAGTGTGTTTATCTCCCACCCCAGCGGCCGACCAGAGCCGATCTCACCCAGACCGTGGAGGCATTGCAAAAGCGCCTGAGTGAATAGAATCCTCACCTTTTTCGGTGTGTAATTGGGGCGATAAGAATCCTTGGCTGACCTGAGACGTGTTACACATGCACAGACGAGACTGAAGCCCGTATTCAACAGTTGGCCGGCAAGGAACAAGCGAACAATGCTGTTGCTGTCCCTACGACGCGTCCCTCGCCACCCTTCTATGCAGCGCCTTGGCCAACGACTGCCGACTTCCCCGGTCCGGCATTCTTGCAATGTCCGCTGCCTCCATTTGCGCCTGCTCGTGATGGCGACGCGGCGGCTCATGCAAACCAAGCGACTTATGCGAATCTGTCGTTTCAGCAGCATGACCCGTCATCGCCAGCATCTCTGAATAATGACTTTCTGGACTCACTACAGGCAAATGGCAGTCCCCGAGCAGCAACAGAGAGAAATGGCTCCGTCTTCTTCGGCCGAGATGAGGATGCGAGGAATGACTTCACAAATACGGACGTCGACATGACAGCGCCCTTGACTTTTGTGGCATTCGGGACGGAGAGTCATACCCAGCAACAGTACGATCAAGGGCAATCAAATGGGAGCGTCCCGCCAGCGGCGAACGGCAGCTCCACTGGCTCTTCTTCCTCGCCAACCCTTCCCGATGGATCGTCGACAACAGCAGAAGTAGCAGCGGCGACAGCGGCTGTACTAGCCAATGAAGCACCACAAAACGTTGGCGCGTCCATGCCCACTGTTCTCGCCGAGTTCTCATCCTCCGTCTTTCACAGTCAAGCCGAAATCGCAGGCATGTCCTCTGCGGTGGCGGACTACATCGCCTGGATGAGGAAGGTGCCCACGGGCATTGCTCCACCCAACACGACCTTGGTGCATGCGAACATGCTGGAAGCAATCGAGAGCCGACTGCGGGAGATGAAGGACATTGCTCAAACCAAGCCACTGGTCGCTTTCCGCAACATGCTGTCGTCCCTCCAAGCTATCGGACCAATGGGCCCATCTGTGTGCGAAAGTCTTGGCCATCTGGAGAGGGATTTTGAGCGACAGTCAGCCGAGGTGGCCCACTTCTTCCAGACACGATATAACGCCTGCGCTGCCCTCTCTGAGCAAGCTCAAAACGTCCCTCGAGCACCGCGAGAGGCACCATAGCTGAGGCCGGGACCTGCTCGGTCAATCAACCGTAGGTCCTACGTACGGCCTAGTCGCTTTCTGAACCTAATACTCATTAGGCGCCCTCAAGGCCTCGATCGGCGTAATTTAGCCGTATAGACCGCGGAAACGGCTTTATTGGCCAAATAGCAAGCGAATTTGACCCGTGCCAGCACGCCATGGCCGCGCCTTTACTACTTACCGATGCCGCTGTGCGCCCCTTTACTACTTCGAAGCCCTTGTGCGCCCTCCAGGTCATAAAATAATGACGAATCAAGCAAGCTGAGGTCCTTAAACCACTCTTGTGCGTGGAACCTCATGGACGTGCTTTGCGGCATCCTCCATGGCATTCTGCATGCCCCGACCCGCCACGGCAGCCGAGGCTATAAAGATCTCTCCCAAATTCTTTGAATTGTCCCGCGTCTACGCTTCGCGGACATGAATGGTCTTCATAAACAGGCCTTGCTAACTGATCCTGAGTCAAGGCCGGTGTTCACCGGAGAAAGGTGACGAGTCGACATAATTTCTCAGGTGCTGGGACACTTCTGCCCTATCTGACATTGAAACCCCTCCCGAGGTCGACGTAAGCTTTCAGATCTCAGGCCCGATGGCTTTGGGACACAGGCGAGGTTGGCACAAGTAAGTCTGTCTTGAAGCGTGAGTAGCCTCTGGGTATATCCACTGCGTCCCGCATTGTAAGCTTGGGACTGGTTTACGCCCGTCTTTCGAGAAACCCTCTTCCCCAACCTTTCCCCATCCCCCGCAAACAAAAGGACGCTTGTTTCGAGATACACCTCGGAATCTGGCATGATCTGGCGCTTGGCAGGACAGCCGTTACCCGAGTGGCATGGGATCTCAGATTCAAGATCCTTTAAATTCCTCGCAGTTCGCTCCTTGGCTGGGCCATCTGCTGGGGTGTCAAAGGTAATCCGGTCAAACCGAAGCAACTCCCAGTGGTCCAGATATTCTACCATTCAGTAGATCAACCCTCCCTATCTACCGTGGCATTCCACCCTCAGAGCCATTCAAAATGGCGGACGCTGGGAAAGCAGAGGAAATCCAGATTGAAGAACAGCCAAACCTCAACTCCGGGCTGAACTTAGCCGAACTCAGAAAGACCACCACTATCGACACACTTCACAACGACGAAGCACTCAAAGTGCTGGTCAATTACACGGGAGATGAAACATGGACACCGGAGGAAGAGAAGAAGGTCCTGAAGAAGATCGACTGGAAGCTGCTTCCAATGTTGTGTTTGACCTATGGTCTACAGTACTACGACAAGGCTATGCTGTCACAAGCGGTATGCATTCCCAAAATCAGTACAGAAATGGTGTCCTCGTTTTGCCATGGGTTTTGATGCTCAGGAAGCTCACACATTCCACATTGACAGGCGTTATTTGGACTGCGCGACGATCTCCATCTTAGAGTCGGCAACAGATACTCGTTCTCAGCCTCCATCTTCTACTTGGGCTTCATTGTTGGCGCCTATCCGGCTATTATGCTGGCCCAACGGTTCCCCATCGAGCGAGTCGCCTCGGCCATTGTTGCTGTTTGGGGCGTGTGTCTGATGTGTACGGCGGCATGCCAGAACTGGCAAGGGCTGTATGCGCAGCGCTTCTTCCTTGGGTTCCTGGAAGCAGGCATCAGTCCCATGTTCATGCTTATAGTTGGGCAATTTTACAAGAAGAACGAGCAAGCTCTTCGAATGGGGTGAGTGATTGTCTTGGCCGCAATATTGCTCTGACACATTTCCTGTCTGTTCGCGTCGACTCCCAATGGCCCTACCCTTTGTTTCCACCCTGAGCATCAATCAGCCCGCCGCTGCACTGTTCGGTGTCTGATCCATCAACTCTCAACATCTTCACATGACCCGTCTATCGAAAAGCCTTTTCTATCTCTACTTCGTCTCTAACTGACCTTCCCCTTCTAGAGCATGGTACAGTTCCACAGGCTACGTGTCCATCGTATCCCCACTAATCAACTACGGTCTCGGCCACATCCACGGCTCCCTATCACCCTTTCGCTACATGTACATCGTCGCCGGGGCTCTTACAGTAATCTGGTCAGTCGTCATCCTATTCTTCATGCCACCGGACCCAATCCGCGCAAAGGGCTTCAACGAGCGTGAACGGTTCATCGCGGTAGCACGACTACAAATCAACAACACGGGCGTGCGCAACACACATTTCAAGAAAGAACAAGTCTACGAGCTGCTAGTGGACATCAAATTCTGGCTCGTCTTCGCCATGGCCTTTCTCATCCTCATCACCAACGGACCTGTGTCCTCATTCACACCCATCATCATTGCCTCGTTCGGCTTCAACACGCTCAACTCGCTGTTGATCATGATGCCCGCGGGGCTGATCATTGGTACTATCGAACTGGCTGCCCCTTATATCGCCTACAAGTACCGCAACGTCAGAGCCTACATGGTCGTCGTGTGTCAGTTGGGCACGACCCTCGCCGCGCTCCTGCTCTGGTTGCTGCCCCGGAGCTCTACGGGCGGTTTGCTATATGGCATTTATACTCTCGCTTCCTATGGTGGAGGCTATGCCGTCCTCATGTCTATGCAAATTGCAAATACGGCGGGGTACACGAAGCGGTCGGTGGCTTCGTCGGGCATGTTTGTGGGTTATTGTCTAGGTAAGTTATAGATTAAACGTTTGGCATCATGTGCTATGATACCATGAAAAGAAAGAAAGAAGGGCTGGTCCCTCCGTTGTGGAACAAGACTGCTGGTCTGTTCGCTTCGTAAAGGGGAAGACAGTCAAAACTGACCAATGTTTGTGCGAACTTGTAGGAAACTTCCTCGGCCCCCTGGTGTTCAAAGAAGAAGACGCCCCCCGCTACGGCCCGGGCTTCCTGACCGTCGTGGTCAGCGCAGCGGCCGCCGCCGTCCTCGCCCTCGTCTACCGCTTCGTCTGTGTCTGGGAGAACAAGAAGCGCGACCGCGCGGGCACCATGGAAGGCTTTGAACATGCTTACGAGGACGATTTGACTGATATGAAGGTATGCAACTATACTAAATACTCTGAGATCTCGTGGATCTCAGAGATTCGTAGTATGAGCGTTGTGCCGTCACTAACCCGTTTGTGCGGATGATAGAACCCACAATTCAGATATACACTTTGAAAATCCGACAGATCTCTCTCACCCCGGTCATCCTGGATTCTATATCGCTCGGAGTTCGATCCTGCCCGAAGTCCATATCCGCCTTCACCCCGAACACCTTTTTGTCTCTCCCACTCCCAAAAAGAGAAGTGGCTGGCTGGTCTTCTCGCTCAACCGTTACCAGCGCTACATTCCCGGCACCAAAAATCTCGGCGTTGGTCTGCTTACTCATATCACACCGATAAGGTTGTATACAGTCCGACGAAGAGTAATTAACAAAGAAAGCAAAAAAATAAAAATAAAAGGGCTGTTTGCTTTCCAAGCAGTGGCGCCTGACTAGACTACCCAGAAAATCAATTTTCTATACTGTACCTTAAGCTCGACGCAAGGCCTGGAATGACAGAGATGCGTTTCTATGGGTGGTGTGGCATCCTAGGACTTTGGCATCGGGTGTGAAGATCCATGCAGTGATACGGCTCGTGGGGACGGGTTCTGGTACAGCGCAGCGCAGCGCAGCGCAGCATGGGCAACGTACAACAGGATCTTAGAGATATATCTTACAATGTGGTAAAGAAAGACAAGAATGGAAACGAAACGAATGAACCAGATATACAATATGAATATGAAATACAATCAAGACAGAATGAATGACACTGGACGGGACAGAACGACATTTTACGTGCTTCAAGTGTGTTTTTGCAATACAAAGTTTGATGCGGACAGTACAACCTGGCACATCACATCGCATGCATTCTGCTTGACACGGGCATGTTACAGGCTTTTTTGAATTCTTGTCTCACGGTCCTGCTAGTACTAGCAGGGGGAAAAAACGTGGGCAGCCTGATCGTTAAACCATTCCATTGGGATTGGATTGATTTGATTGATTGATGCATCATCCAGGTCACCAAGTCAACAGACAACCAACCAAGACAAGACAAGACTTCCAGGTTTTCTTGCTCTGTCTCACATCCGGGCCTCATTTCCACGATATCCTGTGACCCAACATGCCGAAAAACACCACGCCAGCCGTAACAAAAGGGGTGTCAGGTCAACCAACCCGCCCAGCTAGCTAAATGTCTTCAACGTCATCTTCATCATTGGCACCGTCGGTCTTGAGCTTGGATTTGGAGGACAAGGAGGAACCACCCATACTCTTCATTTCGTATTCCTCGTTTCCGGTCGTCATGGCTACTGCATGGCGGGCCGTAGGGCTTTCCTCCAGGAACTCGCGCAGCCGTTTCTTGCCTTCTTCCAAAGCTTGCTGGGACGCCGCATTGGCCATCTTGTACATCGGACCCCAGAGGTTGAGGGTGTAAGTGACGTAGGCGCCGATGGCGACAAGAATGAGAAAGATAAAGTAGACGGGGTTTCGGAGGACTAGATTGCCCAAAGTTGTTAGTAGGTGGACTTCCCACTTCTCCTTTTGCTTTTTGTCCACAAGAAATTGTCAAACTTACCAGCTACGATCTCATTCCACCCCAGGGCAAGCAACAAGCCGTAAAAGTACAGCGGCACCTGAGTCATGCCGCCAATCGCACTACGTTTGGCCTCGACATAGACCCCGTCGGCGGCCTTTTTGAATCGAACCGTCAAGTCTTGCCGCTTGGCTTCGTTGAGAATCGTGGTTTCTTCCTCCAGGCTCTTTCCCTCATCCTCGTCCACGCCGCCAATAGGCACCAGATCTTCCTCGTCGGCCGACGTCGCGGCGGCCGGAGTGGGTCCAATCCACCGATCGAGCGGTGGTGGTGCGCCGGTTTCTGAAAGGCGGAACCGTGACAATAGAGGGATCAGAGTCAAGGTGCTCTCACGGGCTTTGGTGTAGATGCCCTCGATGTCGTCGGTCGGACGCCATATCCGCGGAACGCCCGCCTCGTCGTATCTGAACTTGTCCTCGAAGTTTTCTCGAAGCTTGAGCAAGAGATTACCTTCCATCATTTCTTCATCGATCTTGGCCCGTAGCACACCCCAAGATTTCCTCCGTAATCGCCAGATGCCAACTTCGACTTCTTCGGCACTAGCGTCGAAAGAGGCTGCTCGGTCGGCGAACCGCTTCTCGGCCTCCTGAACCGTAGAAGTAAACAGAGCCCATATCCGGTCCCAAATCTCCGTTTCCGACGGCTTGTCTCCTGTCTCGGGAGCCCTGCTGCCACTGTGACCCGATCCGAGTGCATTGAACTCCAACCCGATACTGTCGCTGAGTTTGCTTCGAACCCATCGCTCCACCCTTGTGGCTAACCGGCGCATCTCGTCGCGACGTAGCTGTCCAGACACCTTGTCCAGCTCTTTCTGGTATAGTGCCAGATCCTGTTTATAGCTAGACCAGGGCAAGCCTTCAATAACAGCCTCCTTGGCGTGCGCATCGAATTTCTCGAGGGCGATTTCCTTTTGTTCCTTGACAATCTCCGCAAAGTCATAAGACGATCCTTTCTTTTGTCCCGTCTTGACTGCAGAGCTGACAGCATCGGAAAACTGTTGGACGCCGTCCTTGTGCGCCGCTGTAAGTTGACTGGCGAACAGTGCCTTGAGCCGCGAATCGATCTTGCTCTCCAGCTCGGTTCGCTTGCGCTGATACACTCCCTTGTGATATCTGCTCGCTTCCGTTTCAAAGTTTTTGAAGGCTTCCGACCGGGCAGCCTTCATCGCCGCCCCCAGTCCAGGGAGAACTTCGGGCTTGCCCATCTTTGTAGCTTCGGCTTGTTTGGTCTCCAACGGCGTGATGGCCACATCAAAGTCGACCATCACCTCCCTCATGATTTCATCACACCGGAACTGGGCAAGAAGTTCTTGCTGCGTGGGTAAATCGAGATCCTTGTTGTTGACGATCTGATCCCAGATGCCTTGGGCATAGTGAGAAAAGCCATCGGCGGGAATTCTGCGGTGATACTCCGGAAGGAAGATGCCGCCCTCAAACTCGCCTAGAAGGGCGTCCCTCCTCGGATCGCGTCGACCTTCATTAAACCGCGTGGCCATCTTGGCAACTTCGGCCCTGAACTGGTCGGGTTGATACAATTTGTGCGGCAGAGCGGTGAAGGCAAAATCAAAATAGTCGTCAATGCTGCTGTTTTCCAACCCCGGAGGTTTTGACAGGCTTGACCAAATGCGACCCATATCCTGCATCAGAGTATTCCGGAGATTCTGCAAAGGCGTGGTTCCAAGGAAATCTCGAATCACAAAGTATAACAGGCTGCGCGACGTCGACTTCCTATCTTTCAGGAAGAGTTGCAGGTTGACCTCGAACACTGTCTTCAACAACCCCATGTTGGCCCCCTGGTATAATCCAACCTGGTGTTCCCAGATATTGACCATCAACACTTCGCTGGTTGCCAATGCGAACAGAGAACTCTTGCGTTCGAAGTCCTGGTCCTCGCCCCTTTCCCGGCCGTCGGTACCTTCGACATCCATGACCAGGATATTGTCTGCCATCTTCGTGGACGACGATTTGTTCTTCGCCAGCCAGATACCCTTGGTCGTTTGTCGTCTTTCCGACTCGGACATGACGGAGAAATCGGTCTGGAAGAGTGCATTTAAAAGTGTAGACTTGCCGGTGGATTGTGAGCCAAACACGGAAATGAGATGATAGTTGAATCCGGCGTGTGAGACTCCGGTGTAGTTGAGGTACTTCGCAAGGTCGGGGCTGGAACCAGTCAGCAAAACAATGTCCTAGGTTGATATTTACTGTTGCGCTGCGCACTTGAACTCCTTGTTTTCATCGATGACTTGCACCCCATTTTCATAGTTGGCATCTCCATTCTGGCCGACCGAGGCAAAGTGCCCATTGACCGCCATCTTGTCCGGGGCGGTATATGCCCGATTGCCTGGCGCGGGTCGAGGCGCAGGTGCGTTGGAAGATAAAGGAGACTCTAACGAGGAGGAATTCGAATTCGCCATGACGGCGGCCGGATGATGTATAGTGATTGCACCCCTGCCTGAAAAAAGCCAAGTAAGGGTATTGTAATGTGTATGTGCCAATTACATGTGATGTGGCTTCGGAACGATAGAGGGCATCAGCTGGACGCCACGGGCAGGGAACGTGCACAAAGGAGGGTGATGGTCCAGGATGTTTGGGTGGTCGTTTGATGGATGGATGATGGACGGCTGAGCTCAGGAGGCTTGTAGGAGTGACGAGTAGTATGTACTGTAGGAACCTAGGGATGGCTGTCGGCTTGCTTTGTGTCGAAAACAAGTCGAGTCGTAGTTGTCTCTCACAGGCGGTGCCAGCAAACTGGCGGGTTCACCACCCAGTGCCAGTAGTTGTACTGTGTAGTATAACCTGCTTTCGGCGCAATCGGCTGACCTTCTGTGCCTGTGAGAACGAGCTACTACTAGTACAGTTGTAGCAGTGAAGATGGCGGCTACTAGTACACAAAGGACCTTGAACTATTGCTACTAACAAGCCTCAGGCTCCGGGACGCGATCCGGGCCTCTTTCTCCTCCGCTAGAATCTGTGGGGTGGTAATTCCTCTGATAACTTGATGCCTGTTATGGCTTCAGCCTTGTTGTAAGTCTGTTTTGCATTCTCCCATTCATCTGGTGTCAACACCTTATAACGGGCTGATCCCGGCTGATTCTTCCGCGGAGGAGCACTGTTGCTTGGATCATGTCTAGGACACAGGCAGGACAAGCCTTACATATCTTTCTCCCCTTCAAGCGTCCCATCAACCCTTTTTAGACCTGGCAGGGACGCCATGGATACCTGGTAACCACTTCCTCACACTGGCACACAGACGACACTTTTGTAATCACTCTTCATGCTTGCTCCAAGCAGTGTCTTTTTCTTTTCTGCACAGTTGATAAATTCTCCAGCCGCGTATAGGGTCGCCGCCGTTTGAAGTATTGGTAGCATACCAAGGAGGTCTCGTTGGACTGTACACGATGACATCGTGCCCGCGCTGTTTGAAGGGCCAACACTACCTCGAAATCCGTTTACTCCATCATCAAATGTCTCTTTAAACCATCAACAGACCACATCTTTGGACCTTTACAATCAAAACATAGCACTACCACTAGCCAAACCGTCCCAGGGGAAGCAAGCCTGGAGCTGGACTTGAGGACAGGGGAAGACCTGTGGTACTAGACCAACACTTCCAACAGACACTATTCTGGCCCTGCTAGTCATGGGTTCGAGGAGAAAGAAGAAAGCCCCTCAAAAAGACACGAGTACTCCGGCCCCCAAGACAATTGCTTGCGCGAACTGTGGAGACTCCATCATCGTCCCCAAGCAATGCAAACATGGCAAGAAACTCGTCAATTGCCAGGGTACTGGCTGCTCTACGGCCCACATCATGGACCACAACAAACAATGTCAATACCAAGGTACCAAAGTACATGGCAAAAAGGCCTGCAAGCAACCGGACGTCATCAACAAGCAACGCGAGGTATCGAGCTTGCTATTGTTGCAGGAACTCAATAATGTGGAGAAGATCAGAGGCAAAGAGATGAGATACTTCGATGGGATCCCCAAGGCGGAATTTCTGCGCAGCGTCAACACGATGAGCCTTGACCAAGCGATAATGGTCGGTCGACGACTGAAGGAAGTAGCTCAGGGCACACTCGACCCGGTCCGGGCTATGTATGACGATGACGACAGTGATTCGGACGAAGACCCGTGCAAGACACCACCAGAGGAAGATCAAGGCCTGTGAGACATGCGAGGCGAGATGATACCGACCAGTTGGGGAGGAATTGGCATGCTACCAGCGGTGGAGAGTGTTGCAATTGATGCCATACTTGCCAGGACGGACTTCTCGATAGCTAGTGATAGAATGAGCCAGTCTGGAGTATCACGGATTCATGACGCTTTTCCGGATCGCTCAGCGGCATGTCCTAGCAATTACTTCACCACCGAAGCCTCTCTCAGAATATGTACAATTCCTCAAACTCTAGCCATAGCCATCCGTGTGGTCTAGAGCGGAGCCGCAAATGCCGCTGCAAAACAGATATGATGACACCGAGCACTCCAAGGCACTGAGCGAGCTTTGCCAATACGAGCCATTAAACATGTGGTCATGAGGGCTGCTTAGCTCCGTCCTTTCTAATGCCGACGTCTTTCTCCCACGGATAAACAACGGTTCTCGTGTCTGCGTAAAGCTGCCTATCTCTGAGATGGATGGGTGTCTCGCCCTTGGGAGTATCCGGAATGGTCTTTTGCAAGCCCTGTTCAACACAAACAGCAATTAGTCCATCCGCGTCAAGTATCACCGCATTTGGAACTTGTGAATCCATTGGTAACGTACAATCTTGTCAAACACGCATCTGTTCAACACCCTTTCAGGCCGTCGGCATTGCCATAATTGGTGGTTGTTGTTTTCCAGACACGACCAATGCGCCCGGAATTCTTCAAGACAGTTCTTGTTGATGTCCGCCAATCTAGAAGCGCAATCAGTCAGCCATCGATTAGGCCCAGCAGTCTCCCTTGCACTGTAACAGCCCTCCTTTGCCTCCATTCCCGCTGAAATTGTAGGTTTATACTAACACGCTCGCGGCACATCTTGTGACTTTCCTCCCCTCCCTCATGCAGTCCAGCTCTCCTCGTCCATACGACTCGGTCTTGCACTGCATGTAATCGTCGTTATAAGGTCGGCATCGGTCGCCAATGAAGAAGGAGGCGCTCAATAACGGTGCTGAACTGGCTCCAATCTCCTTCACTTTCGGAATGTGCTCCGGCATAGGCGTCGTGTCGACGAAGGCATCGCTCGTAAACCTGCGTGCAAGTGTCAGGCAATGTTGGGCATTCTCCTCTCTTCTCTCGAGGCCAAACCTACCTCGCTTCGCGGTCCGCCATGATGTATAGAGGTTTGGCTGACACCGGATCGAGCAACTGGACCTGAATGCCGCTGGCAGAAGTCGTGTATCGCCAACTACATTCAAGATGTAGTAGTACCGGCTTGCAGTCGACGGCACGGGCAATGGATGCAGCGTTGCCCGCGGAGCTTCAATGCCAAGAACTGAAGACGAAGTTCAAGTTGGGCTTCGATGCGGAAGGACGTCAACGCCGCTTTTAGAATCCGCCAATAAGCTTGTCCGAATAGTCAGCCGTCTGTCGTGGTGTCCCCTAGAGTTGTACAACTACACATTCAACGACCACTTCAAAGAGCTCTGTGTGCCCGTCTTGCATGTCTACATTTCTCATGACGCCCAAAAGAACTACAAGGTCCAAGCAGCAGCTTATCGTCCCAGTAATCTCGAAATTCCACCGTCATGTACTACTATGGGCACAGAAACCGCCCTCCACTTCGAGACGCCGTCCTCATTTCCGCTCTGCGGAGAAACCGGGATTGGAGACGAAAGACCGCATGAGTTCATAAACTCGGTAAGTTGAATAGCACTGTGGGGGGAGGTAGGTTCATGGCGCAGCCTACTACATCCTACTACATCCTGCCATCCGCATGGACAATGTTCGTCCGGCGCCATAGCATCACCGAACTTTCCAGCGCAAGTATACCTACCTAAGTTATAGTCGGGCGTCCAATTGGCGGAGGAAACCATGGGCTCCGAGTCCAGGCTGAAGATGCACAGTGGGCATCTACTGGCCCACGACACAACAAACCCATCTCAAACAACACCAACATCTTACAACAACTTGAACCGACCTGGACAGAACAATACCAGCAACAAGACGCTGCTCCGCGGCACAGCCAGTCTAATCATATGGGGCAGCGTCGACGGGACAGCCGTTGACGAAGAAGCCCTCAACGCATGGTGGACCAACGAACATCTCCCTGAACGCCTCGCCATTCCCGGCTTCCTACGGACGCGTCGATACTACGCACACTCACACTCCGAATCCCAATCATCATCATCTTCATCTCACTATCTCGTATGGTACGAAGTATCATCTCTAGAGACACTCACGTCGTCGGCCTACACGTCGGCTCTCGACGACCCAACCCCGAACACAAAACACTTTATGCCGTTACTGGCATCGATGAACAGGTCGGCTTGTCGACTCGTTTATTCTACGACAAGGCCTGAATTACTCGTCAACACAGGCGCCGGTGGCACACTCGCCCATATCGTCTTCCAACCCCCATTTTCTCTCGTTCAACGACAAGAACTCCGCTCATGGATCATCGACTCAGCTTGGTCAGCCGTTCTGGCGCCGTACCATGCGTGCCTGGCCCTGCATTTCTTCGAGCATGATGAACATGCTACCCGCGCGGGAAGTTCTACAAAGTCGTACCAGGCGGTGCGGTTTCAGGAGGATCAGTCGCAAACACGCGGTGCGTCTGGACGTACTATTACTGAAGACAACACTACTACTTCTACTACTACTCCTCCTCCTCCTCCTAATAGTACCACTACTAGTACTAGTGGTGGTCGGTGGATGCTAATGCTCGAATTCGCCGAACCGCTGGGAGCATCGTTTGGAAAGGCACAAGTGATTACTGATTCGATAGTGCGGCATCTCCAGGCTTTGCATGCAGATAATGTCCATGCGCGGCTGTATGGCCTTATTTGTGCGCTGGCTGTATGAATATGGAATTTGTAAGTGCCAATAAGACCATACAGCCGCTCCGGGTCACCGTACCGTGCTCAACTTCAGGCATGGGCACAGTCAGGAGAGGGTCAAGCGAACGCGTGGTTTTGTTTTTTTCGGCGGCCGTGGAATATCAAGCTTTAGAGGAGAAAAAGGGTCCTTCAGAAGTTTGGCATCTGATAAGTGTGGTGGAATGTAGACGGCCATCATTCCGGAAAGAGAACATAATGAACCATCATTTTCGGGGCTCACTACTATTCGTTGTTTGCTTTTGGTCATGGTCTCTTCATTAACATATCAGACATTGTTACAGGAGGCTCCTCTATCGCTTTTGGATCCTCATCTCGTACCGATCACTTCCAGCGGCAGCTGGACACCATGTCATCCATATGTAGTGTGCTACAATCAGCCCTCGCTCAGCGCACTGGTGTCGATCTTGAAGGTTTCGATCTCGTTCAGATAGTCCGGATCTATGAGGTGATTTTGTTAGTCCCTGCTTGTGCATCGCATCACTGCAAGGGGTGGGGGCAACATGAACCTACCAGTTTTGTTCTCGATAATAAACTTTTGCACCTTGCTGATCATGCCAGTGAACTCGCTCGTCAGTTCATGCAGATACAACCGGACCCTCTCGTTGCGCCGGGCGGCGCCTTTGATCGCCTGTATCGCCACATGATATCTACTGGTTTCATTGACCAGCATCATGTTGAACGGGGTCGTCGTCGATCCTTCTTCCTTGTAACTGGCGATCGTGACGCGGTCCATGTTCGGCCTTCCGAAAAGCAGTCCTTTGAGCTCAGGCGCGTACCCATGGTAGTTGAAATGGATGGGCACGTCTGCTGTGAACAGAGAATCAAATGCTTCGTCCGTCAAGGCGTGGGGGTGGCTCCTAGACGTTCCGAGGATCATCAGATCAGTGACATTGACGACACGGACGCGCAGATTCGGCACTCTCTTCCTCAACAAGTCCGCTGCTGCAATCACTTCGAATGTCAGTTCGGCCCCGATGCCCACAAGCACGACGTCGGGGTTGAGTCCTTCGTCGGTAGAAGCGAACTTCCACACCGACGCACCGGCGCGACAGTGATTCTCGGCTTCATCCGCCGACAAAAACACAGCCGATGGCTGCTTCGAGCCGACCATGAGGTTCACATAGTTCTTGGAATGCAGACAATGGGCCATAGTGGAGAGGAAGGTATTGGCGTCGGGTGGCAGATATACTCTAGCTGCATCAGGCTTGAGGTTCAAAACTGCTCCGATGAAGCTGGGATTTTGATGCGAGAACCCATTGTGTTCCTGTCTGGTCCAAGTCGACGTCTCGAGGTAGTTGATACTCGCAATGTCCTTGCGCCAGGTCAACTCTCGCGCCATTTTGCCGAATTTGGCAAATTGAACCATCATGGTGTGGATGATTCCCAGGAATGCTTCGTAGCTGGGAAATACGGCCGTCCGACCGGTAAGAGTGTAGCCTTGCATCCATCCTTGACACTGGTGTTCCGAGAGGGTTTCGATAAGCCGCCCACCGCGAGCATTAGAATACTGATCGACCTGGAAGTTCCTGGTCGTCGAGTTCAACACAGCATCAAGCTTGTTGGATTCGAACTCGTCGGGCGAGAAAATGCGGAAAGACTTGGGGTTGTCTTTGATCACCTGCTCGAGCAGCTTGCCCACTGTCTTCATGGAACTCTCCGAAGTTCCTTTCTTGACGGCAAACTTGCGCCAATCAATGGCGTTGAGCGGCTGGTAAGCATCATATGCTTCTTTCTTTTGACCTAAAAGTCGTTCGGGTTTCTCAGGGAAGACAGATTTGATCTCATCAATCACATCACCATTCTCCTTGAAGAGCTCCTTGGGTTTGTAGGATTCGAGCCACTCCTGGAGTTGCTTGAGCTCCTCTTTATCCGTCTTCGCAGCAGGGAGGGGGACTTGGTGGGACTTATATGACCCTTCGACAAACTGTCCATGGACCTTTTTCGGCCCCGACCATCCCTTGGGAGTCCGCAATATCAACACAGGCCAACGAGGCTTCATGATAGGCTTTCCGCTTCGTGCGGCTTTTTGGATGCGTCTGATTTCCGACACGGCCCACTCCATCGAGCTGGAGAGGTCTGCATCAATGTCTCCCAAGTCTTCAACCACTCTAGGCTGGTATCCATAACCTGTGAACAAGGCTGCCAGCTCTTTGTCGTCCAAACATCCATAAATGGTTCTCTCGCTGATCTTGAAACCGTTCACATGCACTATCGGCAGCACTGCTCCCGATTCGGCAGGATCGATATACTTGTAACCGTGCCATGCTGTAGCAGTAGGGCCAGTTTCAGCCTCGCCGTCACCGACCACACATGCCACAATCAGATTGGGATTGTCCATGACAGCGCCGAATGACACGGCCAGTGCATACCCAAGCTCACCTCCTTCATGGATGGCGCCAGGAGTCTCGGCGTTGATATGACTTGGGAAACCACCGGTGGTGCTGAAACCACTAATCAATCTGTGGAGTCCCTTCGCATCTTGCGAGTACTGGGGGTAGAACTTGGCCAGGGAGCCCTCGAGCCATAGGTTGGCCAGGATAGCCGGCGCGCCGTGACCCGGGCCTACAACAAATAGCATGTCCAGATCATGTCTCTTGATAAGAAGGTTGAGATGAGAGTAGACCAAGGTCAGCCCAGGGCATGTACCCCAGTGACCCAGTAATCTCGGCTTGATGTCGTCGAATGTGAGATCTCTTTCGAGCAGAACATTGTCCTGTAGGAAAATCATGGCGGCTGCGATGTAGTTGGCCGCACGCCGGTATTTTGCCATAAGATCGTTGGTATTGTCTGCCAACGTCGGCTTGTCCAGCTTGACTAGCAAATCAGAGACATAGTCGGGGATATTGGATGGCGGGGGAGGAGGATTCGGACGGTCCATCACTTCACCAGGCATTTTGAGACGGGTTGATTCAAGGCAACTTCGGAATGGCTCGTTGGAGAGAGCGCTTTAGCGATCTGGATGGTGTTGAGGGGACGGAGGTCGAAATCCCTGCGCGGTCAGCCAGATCGCAAAGACGGGAACAACAGAAGAAATGGCAAGGAAAGAACTACGAGGACGAAGGATGAGTGAGGTTCAAGATGTTTCATTCACTGTTGTTCCCTGTTTGCCATCATCACCATTACCATATCACTGCCACTCCGAATCCAGCGGGAGTGCGCGGGATGCGGGAGGATCATGTTGGTGACATTATGATGTCGAAGGTTTGTGGAACTTGATGAATCTGTGATGCAATACCAGGTACCTAGGTAGTATCGCGGGAGACCCAAGTTGCGCATGCATCCAATGAGGCCCATACAAGTCGTACATTGTACATGCGGATGCTCAGATTCCCGCTGCCATCATCGCAGCGAATCGCTGGCGAGTCCCGCAGCCCGTTCCTGAGGCGGGCGAGGTACGCAGCGACTTTATGCTGTGGATAGTGCTTTGTTCGTCGTCGCGGTGCCTGGTAGTCTGTGTTGTAGTGGTAATTAAGTGTGGTAGAAGCGTGGCCTCTCCCCATACTGCAGCTGTGGTCTGATGTCCTCATTACCACTGTATAGTGGCTGGACTACGAGATAAGACAAATACCAAACCCTCTCCCTCTCGCAAACGACAACTGGCAATCATACAAATACAAAAAAGTAGGGAGCGTGAGACCAGGTTATAAAGACACGCTCTCCCACCATGGGCATCATTATCCTCTCCATCAACGCCGGCAGTTCGTCGCTCAAGACAACCCTGTTCATCGAGGAAGACGACGCTGCCGGCAACAAGACCCTGCGACGGTTGGCCAGCGCCGAGATATCCGCCATCAATCAGCCTCCAGCCAAATACAAGTACAAGCGAGGCTCTTACAAAACCAACGACGAGATCGACCAGATCCATGACCACATCGGCGCCTTTGAGCATGCTCTCAATGCTTTCGTCTCGGACAAGGAGATTCCCGAGGTCACCAAGAAGGAAGATATCCTCTATGCCTGCCACCGGGTTGTACAGGGAGGGCGGTTCCGAGAAGACCAGCTACTCACGAAAGAGACGTTCGACATAATCAACAAGCTGTCGGATCTGGCACCATTGTATGGATTCTTAGACCCCTCCTTTACGGTACAGGACTAACATGTGTGCAGACATAATGCTTCCGCGGTAGCCCTCATGCTCGCCTGCCACCGGCATCTTCCCAAGGTCATCAACGTTGCCTGTTTCGACTCGGGTTTCCACCAGAGCATGCCCGATTATGTGAAGTGCTATGCGATCGACCAACAGATTGCTCAAGAGAAGGGACTTCGCAAATATGGCTTTCACGGCCTCAGTTACCAGTACATGACAAGACGGATAGCCAGGCATCTGGGGAAGCCTGAGTCCGAGCTCAACATGATCGCTCTGCATCTTGGGAGCGGCGCTTCAGCCTGCGCCATCAAGAATGGACAGTCAGTTGATACGACGATGGGCCTGACGCCGGTGTCAGGTCTGCCAGGCGGGACTAGGAGCGGCGACATCGACCCCAGCTTGGTCTTCCACTACACGTCTGAAGCGAGTGCACTCAGCCCGAACAGTACCAAAGACCTCCACATCTCGACGGCCGAAGAAATTTTGAACAAGCAGTCTGGCTGGAAGGCACTGACGGGAACCACTGATTTCTCCAAAATCGCCGATCCGAACGCCCCAGACACACACAAGCTCGCCTTCAACATCTTTGTGGATCGCCTTGTCGGCTATATCGGCAACTACTTCGTCAAATTGGAAGGCAAGGTCGACGCGTTGGTGTTTGCCGGCGGTATCGGCGAGAAAAGTGCTTATTTGCGCGAGGTGGTGACCCAGAAAGTGGCTTGTCTGGGCTTTACGCTCGACAAGGACAAGAACAAAAACGCAGCCGAAGGGGGTGACGTTGTTGAAATTGGGGCCAGCGACAAAGTGCGGACAATTGTCTGCGAGACTGATGAAGACGTGGGTACTTCCAAATCACTTGTCGTCAAAACCCTGCGAGCTGACAGTATCCTTAGTACGAGATGGCCTGGAATACCGCCATGCATCCACAACGAGAGACGACTCCGACGAACTGGTAACGACAACCCCGGATTCCGACGACTCATTGATTATACCAGCTTAGACGTTTGCCATAGATCGGACATATCGGACCAATTAAACCATAATCTTTCTCTACAGTGCCGAGTTGAATGTTGTTTGATCTCACACCCAGCGCCATGAATGCTCACTCTTTCAATTCCAGCCGCTGCTGCATGGGTAACGTTGGCTTGGGCTCACAGGTCAAGGCCAGATTCTCGAGGCACACCACGACTGAGCTCAATTTGTCATGCCAGCCCTGCCAGCCTCGTAAGCAAACAAGTCGCAGAGACTCAGTGCTGACTGAATTCATGCACGGCTGACTGGTGACTAATCAGCTGAATTGTCCTGGATCGTCGTTATCGACCGTCGCCGCCAATAACTCTTGTGATGACCTCCATCTCTGGTACAAGCAAGATCCGCGTCGACCCCGGCTGAGTGGAACGCGATGCTGTCCCCGGTACCTGATCCATCAACATGTGCGTGGCATTCCAAATATGGCCCACAAAGATTTTCGCTCCAGCAACTAGCAGTCCGAGTACTATCGATCCTCGCCCGCCCCGGTTCACCTTTAAGTGCCGCGACAATCTTTTGTCGGTCGCTGTGAATACACTGAATCCTTCTAGTCCACCGCATCACTTTGGCCTCACCAGGTCCTCACCTCAGAGTGACAGCTCTGGAGTGAATAAATATTTAGCGTCCCCTCTGCGACCGACGACTTATTTATAAAAACCCACGTTGGGGCTCCCAGGTTCCTCTCTCTTTGCTAACTTCCAAACCAAAAAGCATCAACATCAACCACTCCCAAATCATGTTGCTCTTCGCTTTCTTTTTGGCTCTGTCGCTGCTTGCGGCAGCGGACGCGGCAGCCATTGCGAGGAATCCGTACAGCTGCACAAGCTTTGTGGTTCGTGTTCCCGTCGACAACGTGACGCTGGTTGTACCACCATTCCCGGACTTCGCAGACCAATATGCGGCGACGGCATTCTCCAACGAAGTGACCAAGGGACTGTCTTTCCCGGCCCCATCATCGGCAAGTGACATGAACTCGACCACTCTAAGCACCACGTTCGACATCAGCGCCGACTACTGCACTCCAAACAGGCCTGGCCCACGATCTTCGACTCTACAGATTCTGACGCACGGCATCGGCTTCAACCGATCCTACTGGGACTTCTATCTGCCCGGAGCACCCGATGACGCATCGTACTCGTACATCAACAGCGTCACGGCCGCCGGATACAGCACTCTGTCATGGAATCGTCTGGGCATCGAGCCATCGACCATCCCCGATCCGTACAGAGAGCTACAAAGTCTGGTCGAGCTTGCAGTTCTCACAGAGCTCACGCGACTCGCACGAGGAGGCAGTGTCCCGCAGGTTCCTCAACCGAGCAAGGTGATTCACGTCGGCCACAGCTGGGGCAGCATTCTGAGCAACGCACTCGCCGCGACCGAACCAGATCTCAGCGACGGATTGGTTCTGACGGCATATTCGCATCTGACCACCTACCAGGGTCTATTCATTGCCGACTCATCGTTCCACATCGCCTCGCAGAACCAGCCCGATCGATTTCCCAGCAACACGTATTCAACAGGATTCCTGACTTGGCCTGACGCAGCTGCTAACCAGTACTCGTTCTTCGCGTACCCTTACTTTGACCCTGCCGTGTTGGTCCAGGCAGAAGCGACAAAGTACCCCTTTTCCGCGGGCGAGTTTTTGACTGCTGCCACTCTTCCTCTGGAAGCACCCAACTTTCGTGGTCCAGTGCTGTATCTGGCAGCAGAAGCAGACTTGATCTTCTGCGCTTCGAACTGCTCGGCTTTCTTTGGTCCAGACAGTGTCGCGGTCCAGGCTTTCAACGGCAGCGCCAGCGTCGAAACTTACATTCACCCTGATGTTGGACACGGGATCAACTTGCATAAGAACGCGACGGGCGCCTACAATGTCATTCTGGATTGGAGTTCGCGACATGGTTTCAGTGCTCGTCATTAGTGGTGAGAGTACGAGGGGCCATTGATGGATGCTTGAGCCTTTGACTGCAGGGCGGGCGGTGGCTGTGGTTGCGGTGGTTGCGGTGGTTGCGGTGGTAGTGGCGATGATGATGGTGTATCTGGCTTTTCTGGGAGCAACTTTGACTCGGAAAATCGAGTCAACTAGAGGCCTCACGCTTCTAAGTTTTCGGTGGATGAGAGCAGCGGCTGCAAGTTTTGCTGGTCTGCCGATGCTACTAGTACTAATGATTTCATGCGTTGTTTTTGGTGGCCTGGGCCAAAGATGGCTCACCACTAGCAGGTTGGTTGAAGCCATTGCACGGTTTTTGCTTTTTTGCCTTTTATTGCTTTGGGGAACTCAACGAGACGAGTTGAATAACAACTTCAATTCTTGGATGTGTACTACAGTACAGCCTCTTGCGATAGACGTACCGTTCTCTTCTCCCGTGCTGCATTTTACCCCTATGGCCGACTTCTACTCAAGCCAAATCTTTTTACCCATCTTGTCAATCTCTGCATGGAGGCATCAAGTCCAACTTCATATCAAACTACCAGAACCGCCGCTCAACGAAACTTACCAAGATCTCGATGGTGGAACAATCTCGGATGCAGTGGTCCCTATGGTAGGGATCCTGAAAGTGCTTTAAACACATCCTCCTTGCTAGCCAGGTGCTGCCCGGTTCCTACCGTCCACGTTGACGGCCAGGAAAACCACTATGTTACAAGGTCGATACTGGGTATGATTCTAAGAAATGGCATTGGCGGTCAATGGGCTCTTCCAAACTGATATCAAACTGAGCTAAAGCAATATAGCCATCAACTGCCGCGCAAAGGCCGCTTTAACAACTCAAGCGTGTGCTTCATCATAAGTAGTCAAGAATTGTCCCTCCGCCTATCTTCAACAGGTCTAGGTCCAGGTTCTCCACCATGTCTCCATCCCTGCAAACTCTAACGTAAACAAAGCACGAATATAATACAGGTGGGCAGGCGCCTCATATCATCAACAAGCCGCGTATCCTGGTAGCATATAGATCGTAAAGCATGCATGACTTCAGAGGTTTGCGCTTCAGGTTGCCGCTGTCAAGGATTCATGAGTCCCAACAATGCTCCTGCTGTGCCTTCCACTCCCTCATCAGGAGCACCTTCATGCTTCGATGAACCTCCGTCATTTAACGACTTTCCTGTTGGTCTAGGAGGACTCATTTGCTGGATCCTCCGTCGTTCACGCCTGCCCGATATGGGAGTTTGGGTTCGGGTTCCGGTGCTGGCTGAGGAGATGCTTCGCGTTTCGAAGAACCTCCATCGTTGACACCGGCCCAGTATGGGAGTTTTGGTTCGGGTTCCGGTCCTGGTTGGGGAGAAGCCTCCCTCTTTGAGCTTCCTCCATCGTTGACACCCGCCCAATATGGGAGTTTGGGTTCGGGGTCGGGTCCCGGCTCAGGAGAAGCTTCGCGCTTCGATGAGCCTCCGTCGTTAACGCCCGCCCAGTATGGCAGTTTGGGTTCGGGGGCGGGCTCGGGGTTAGCCTCCCGCTTCGAGGAACCGCCGTCGTTGACGCCCTTCCAGTACGATAGGCCGGGGTCCCTCTTATCTATGATTTCGATGATAGGGCTGAGCCAGCGCCGTATCTTTGTCTTGCTGCTGCCTCCATCGTTGACGCCCTTCCAGTACGACAGGCCCGGGTTGGGCGTAGGGTTTGGCTCGCGCTTGAAGATATCAAGAGGCCCTAGGGAAACAACGTGTTGTCAGCAACGGCCTATCATTATCCGAGTATGAACCCATTTTGTTTTGATTCCCCCTAGGTTTGTGGTTGGCTTCCTTTGCTTACCTGGAAGTGGCAAGGCCGACGACCCTTGAACAGATGCTAGAGCCAACACGAGGGTAACGGTGGTTGAGCTGATATGCATTGTGTAGATGACTCTCTTTGTACCAATGTCGACCCGTTTATACCTGTGGCCAGCACAGGAAGTGTAGTGTCAAACACAATATGCAAGCTCGAGCGAGGCGGGAAGGGAGATGAAGAAGTCGTCTTGTTCCAGCAAGCTGCTTGAAGAGGATCCGATCAGGCTGTCAGAGAGGAAACAGTAAGCACTGGCTGGATTGAATCTCAGGTGGTTGGGAAGCGTGGGAGTCCGGTCTGACTTTATAGCTTTGCCTTCTTTTCTCAGCTTTGCTATCTCGAATGCCAACCTCTCCACTTGCTCCCTCACCTGGACTCACCTTGGAGGTGCTGGCTGTGACCGTGGTTCGCGCGGTATTTGGACCTATCGTAGGGTTGAATCAACAAAATAGACGCTCTTGCCTCACTCGATCAGGACTTAGCACGTCGAGGGCGGCCGCCGTGACTTGCGATTCCCTCTCCTAGTCGAAGATCCCTTCCATCACACTGCAGGAGACACCCATCACGAGCAAGAAACGGTCACAATACTAGTAGAATAGGGGGTAGTCGATATGCAGGAGGCGGCCGGGAACAACCACAAAGAATGGAAGGAGAAAGGTGACCAGGGAAAGAACGGGATGGACACCTTTCGGTCAGTCCCAGCATCTTTTGACCACCTGGGCACGTCCGACCCGCTGGTACCGAGCTCGACGCGTCTATTCGCCTCCTGCTGCAGGCCGGGGCTGCTTAGTAGCAGCGTTTGGAGGCCGAACAGGCGGTCACCCTGGCATCATTCTTTTCTCACGGAAGGGGCAAGCAGCTCCTTGCGGCAGCTCTGTCAGAAACAATTGGACAGCGTGGATGTGCCTCATGGCCCGGGTTGCAATTGCAAGGATGGGAATCCAGGGTTCAATTTGGGTTGCATGTTTGTATCATGCAGTGAAGTAGTGGCAGTCGATGGGCGCTTGGCCAGGAACATCGTCCCCCATGTTGAGAAACTCTGCCAACTGCTGGCACCCAATCATTGTTGCACTGAGAGCAAATGCTGAGTGGTACTACGATACTTGTAGTATAGCTGCCAGGATTCGGTTAATTGGTGAGATCCGATCAAAACTGCAGCCCTAAAGTCAAACGGGTCCTTCTCTGCGCAGTCTTTTGTTTGCAATTGCTTGACAGCGTCAGGGCTGGAATAATGCATTTTACAGGAGATATTCCTGTGGCCGGTAATTGATAACCTACGGTCACGCTCTGACGAGCGGGCTGGCCTCTCCACAGTATCTTTCATGATAGAGATCTCGTCGTCCCAAGCGATTGAACTTCAGCACTGGATCGCTTGTCTCAGAGTGCAATGTCACCGCCTCAGGGGGCCCATCACGCAGCGACTGAAACTAGGTTGCGTTTCATCAGCCGCTGACCATCGACCGGCCTTGCCAAGTCGACGTGCAACACGATGAAAGAAAAAGTGTGCCTGAATGTTGCTTTGGGTATTGAGGAGATAGTCTCTCATGCTACCAATGTCCATTACCTTCCACCTTTTTGCCGGACTCCAGAATGCCTTGTAACGTAACAGTTGGCCAAGTCTATCCAATCTGGGAATTTCTCATTCACGTACATATGTAAATATAGGTAGTCTATGCCAAATTGTGCGGTATATAAGGACAACAAGGACACCAAACATGATTGACCGAATGCAAGATCCCATGAACACAAACAACGTCCGGAGGACCCCCCGGACCACCACCGACTATCTCATCACAGACATCGATCAACAGGTCCACTGCGCGAGAGACCAGCCCACCTTTTCTTTCCATCACGTATATATTGGCAGGCCCGGGAGGAGGGAAAGGCGGCGGCCTCGCCATTGGAAGAAGCGGTTGCGGCGCCGGTAGTGGTGGACGGAGCATAAGAGATGACTGCTGGAATTGAGGCGAAGGAGCCGTGTACGCCGGGGCAGGGAGATGGACGAGTGCGGTGCTCGATGAGGTCGGCGGGACTGGCGTATAGGATGGAAAGCGAAGGGAAAGTGGGTTTTGTTCTCGTCGTTGTTGTTCGTCGATCTGAGCCTGTAGTATCTTCTTCTCGGCGTCGGCGCTCTGTCCAGCAGCAGCGGCGGCAGCGGCAGGAGTAGCAGACGGAGGAGAGTCTGCTTCGACGAGATCGACGGTCGAGGCGGTCGAAAGCACACTCGGCGATTTGACCATGCGTTTATATCGTTTTTCTTGCCAGTTGCTGCCCCCACCTCTAAGTCGCGGAGCCTCTGTCGGACTAGCAGGTGAAGCTGTAGCACCCGTTGATGTGGATGTCGACGCTGATGTTGCCGTTGTGGCTGTAGTAGTCCTCGAAGGTTGTGGTGGTCGTCGTGGGCGGGCGCCACCAGATCCGGTCACGGACAACTGATCTGGGTCGAGAAGCGACTGGATCTTAACGGCGTCTTCTTCGTCAATGACGATTTTGCCATCGGCTCGTCTCTCGAACTTGACGTTCAGTTTATCCGATGGGGCCGGCGAAAGTGCTTTGGCTTTGCCTTTGGCCTTCACAGTTGCCGTTGCCGTTTCTGCTCGGGCTGATTGGGCAGCCCGATGGGCGTGACCGGCTGTAACTTTGCTGCTGCTGCTGGTGCTGTTATCGGTACTCATAGATAGTGGGCTAGAGTTCAATGATAACCCCGGTACAATGCTCGACTGTGCAGAAGCTCTGTGAAGAGCAGCCAGGAGGCCCCTAGTGGGGGCGTCCGTTGCCTTTCCGCTGACCATGTCGTTGCGGCCCAGATTGGGAGGCTTTGGAGTGCCGGACGGCCCTGTACGAGCTGCAGGAAAGACAGGCTTGGGCGGCACAGGCTCTTCATCGTACGTCGACGGGAGGGTGAAAACGGTCTCGCGAGATTTCCAAGTCGCGCCGGTCTTTATCCATGTGTATCAGTCAGCAATGCTCGACCTTGTTGCAGTATCGTGCCCTCTAAATATATCCCAGGCCGGAAAGGACTCACCAGATCAGGAACAAGCAATCGAGGCGTCGGCTGATCCTTTTTCTCCTCAACCGGCTCGGGGGCACGTCGTAATCTGAAATGAAGGGCTCGCTTCAGTAGAGAGGTTGACGAGGTGCCCTTGGCCTCGGAAGTCGACGAGTTGATCTGGCTGTGTTCAAATGCCCAGGTGCCCTGCCGGAGTTTGTCGTACGACATGTCGTCCAGGGTCTCTAGGGTCTCGGCGGTCTGCTCGCTGCTTTTCGTAGACGAGTCTCCGGACCAGCGATGTGGTCGCGCTGACCGCGTCGAGACAAGTATTCTGTTACACGCAACCCGGTCAGCGCCAACGGGCTTCTCGAAAGAAAGAGGAAAGCGGTTGACCGTGTCAGGGTGCCACCTACTGCTCATTCCTTCGCAACCCTCGAAATCCCAGAAACGTCATGCGATCCTCTTCGTCCACAATAGCCATGTTGGCGATCTCCTCGATTCGTGCGCACAGCAGCGTCCAGCTATCTTCGAACTGTATCCGTGCATTGTCCGACCATTGTGTCTTTTGTGCCGCCTCTTCGGACAGGCTGCGCAGAGTATACAAGACCAAGGTGGCTCTTTGGACTGTCTCCGCCAGTCTCTGTTCGTCTTCTTTGGTGCAGCTGGAGCAGAACGTCTCGAGGGACTGGCACAGTGTGACTTCGAGGGAGTCTTCTTGTAGGGCGCCGATCTGCACTGCGATGACGGCGATCTCGCCAGCCGTTGTCGGCAGCACTTGGAGCGATTCTCGAACTCGATATAGATCGTGGAAAAGTACTTTGGTCGAAATACCGACCGAACCCATCTGGAAGGTCATTCTGGCCTTTTCTGCGCCGTTGCGATACTAGTAACCTGAAATTTGCCTGGATACCAGGTCACAATGGTTCGCATTGCAGCGGAAGACAGACGGATGGGACGATCAGGCTGAACGACATCTCACGGCTTCGTTGAACGCTGCTCAGATTGAGCTTAGCGCAAGCCACACACTGCAGTCAGTTTTGCAAAGGGCGAGGGGGCGCTCAGGAGGCAGAGTCCAGCCTGATCGATGGGTTTCAGAGTGTTCTTCATCTTGCAAGTCTGGCATCGAGAAGACCTTCTTTCTGAACAGTACCTCGACATTTTGTCGCAGTTACTTGTCGTCTTACCCAGAAATTGAGTCCTTAGTGGGGGGCGGGTTGCCTCCAAGCGTCAATCAGTAAGCGAGAAGAGCGCCCGGCATGGCGGGCAACACCGCTACAGGGGATGTCACTGCCAGTGCCAGTGGCAGTGATGGGCAGCTCAAACTGCTAAGCCTGGGTCAGTTGTGCTGCAAGTTGCCCATTTTTTTGATTCCCAAGCCATGGTGCTGACGATGTTTGATCTTCCCAGATGGCGGCGGTGTGCGCGGTCTCTCAAGCCTCCTGATCCTGAAGAAGATCATGCGAGAAGTCGGCGCGGCAATGAATCCTCCTCGGGAACAGCTGAAGCCCTGCGAGTATTTCGACCTCATCGGCGGCACCAGCACGGGCGGGTAGGAGGAACCTCTCCATTGATAATACAGTTAAAACAATTGCCAGCGGGTTGCGCAGGGCTTGGGTTGACGAAGGCCTTTTTACAGGATAATAGCCATCATGCTGGGCCGGCTGCGCATGTCGGTGGATGAATGCATCCATGAATACGAGAGACTGAGCAAGGCTGTCTTTGGCCAGCGGAAAAAGGGCAGCCCTGAGATCTTCAGTGCCACGGCGCTCGAGGAGGCGATCCAGTCGGTGATCCGAAGAAAACTGGGCCATCACGCCGAGCACGACCCGCTCCTGGATCCTTTCCAGTTGCAAAGCCGCAACAACAACAACAACAACAACAACAACAACCATCACGGTGAAAAGGGTAAAGTGTGAGTTCGCTTCTTCTTACAACTTAAAGGAGACCACGGCTTTTCTGGGCCGCCTGCAACTCCTCCCGTCGTCATTGTAAAGTAATAAACAGAGCTCATGTCACCCCAGGATCGTCTTCTCCATCCGGCAAGCCCATGCAAATACAGTTCAAGCTCAAGGTTTCCGCAGCTATCCCGTCACGTTCGACGAGGGCCATCCCTGTACTATATGGCAGGCGGCCCGGGTGACGTCGGCCGCGTCGACCTTTTTCAAGCCCGTCGAAGTAGCTGGCGTCCATTGGTGTGACGCTGCCTTGGGCTTCAACAATCCCACCAAGCTAGTCCTGGCCGAAGCAGCTCGGTTGTGGAGCGACCAGCGCCGGCACTTTGACGAGAACAAGATCGGCGTCCTGCTGAGTATTGGCACGGGAGAATCTAAAATCATCTCCTTGGGCAAACGACATGGCTCGTTGCTCGGGGAAAGCGTTCATGACCTATCTCGCCGACTGGGCGTTGACTTTAGAGTGCTCGAGGCATTGAAGACTATTACCACGGGCACGAACCAGACCGCTTTTGAGATGAAGGGCGACATGAGGCAGAGGAAAGTCCGTAACAACTGGGCCAGTGACCGCTATTTCCGCTTCAATGTCGACCGCGGTCTTGAAGAGGTTGCCCTGTTTGAGTATGAAAAGATCGAAGAGATGAAGGCTAACACCAGTGAATACTTCCTGACCCATGACGAGGAATTCAATACTTGCAGTTCATATCTCGCCAGTCTGGCGGACGGCCGAGGCTTACAACCAGATCGTCAATTGGAACTCTTGCACTCGCCGGCTGCCCCTACCGCTGTCGTCTCCCTGGCAGAATTCGGCTTGTGAGTGCTGATATGATTCCTGCCGCCCTGCCTTTGGCTAAGCCCTCTCGTGGCACAGGACAGCAGACATATATGCCGAGCGTGAGACGATGCTACGAAGGAAAAAAGAACTAGAAGGTAAATCACCGGCCGAAGTGAAACCCCGGCTAAGCCGCAATCTAGATACCCTACGAGACGGCTCTGCATGGCCTACCTTGGTGATTGCCGACATCTTTCATACCGAAAGTCTGGAGAGGTGGGATTCCGCCGAGCGAGCGTTCCGCGACGAGCAGGGAAAAACGCCTTTACCGGACCTCCTCCATCGGCTGGTGCAACAGAGAATCAAGAGTTTCGAAGCCTTGGTGCGTGCCAAAGATTTCTACGAACTCGTGCTGGCCAGGCAAGAGAGGGTGTTGCCACCAGGAAGCCTGGGTCAAGCATGGGTGGCTCATCGGCTCGGTCGAGCTTATCGCGAACTTGGCCGGCCCGCCATCGCCTGGAAATATCATAAAGACGCCCTGGCTTCTTTCAAGTACCACTTGGGGCCTACGAATCACAAGACGGAAACTTGTGCATTTGCCGTCACACAGCTAGAACAGCTTTTGTGTGAGGAACCAGCAGCTAAGGTGGCCGAGTCGCCGGATGGGCTGACTGGCCGCTTCAGACGCCTGTGGGCAGCCTAAGCGATAAGGAGGAACGGAATTTGTTACGATGCGAAGGAGGACAATCATAGATCGACGGAAATAAGGTCCTGGATACTAGTAAGGGCCATTGGAGGCCTTCCTCGTAAGCAATGAAGATGAAGTCAGCACATATGGCAGTACAGCTGTCCTCCCTGTTTTCAAAGTTACCTAGTATCCCCACGAACATTATCGCACGACCTCTTTCTTTCTCGACTATTCTTTTCTTGCGGAGTCTAGACTCTAGAGTCTAAGACGGCGGACTGGTACGGCTAAGGCCAAGGCAGGCAGCCATGCCGTAGAAGACGTCAATGTTGCCGTAGACGCCCCCGAATGTTTCCTGGCAGGGACCTTGGGTGAAGACGGGCACGTCGGTGAGAGAGTGCACACCTTGGTCGGCCTAGATGCAAACGGTTAGTGACGAAAAATGGACCAAAGGGGGCAACGCTAGGAGCGATCGAAGATGGTCAGACAGAGGAGAAGGGAGAAAACTTACCGAAACCGGTAGAGTGCCATTGATCAAGAACCCAGTGACGGCATCGACATAATTGACATAGTAATCATTGTTGGAGAAGCCAGTGATGTTCAAGGCTGGCAGACGAGGACCATCTTTGTGGACCTGGTAGTTTTCACGGTGGTCCGGGTTGGCCGTGACACCCTGGAACAAAGTATAGCGAGGATCCCAGTTGGCTGGGAAATTGACGCCCTCGCTGTAAACGAGGTTCTGGTCGCTGCCGATGGGCGCGGAGCGGTTGGCAACCACGTACTGAGACAAGCCGGATTCCTGGTATGTGCCGATGGCGCCGCGCTTCTTGCGGTCTGAATCCTGGGCATTGAGGAATTTGGTGTCGACGCTGCCGGTGACATCGAAGCCGTGGCCATGGTCAGCCGTGACGAGGACCAGAGTGTCGTTCAGCTCGCCGATCGACTCGAGGTATTTCAGCGTGGCTTTGACGGTGTCGTCGAGCTCGAGCAGGTCGCCCAGAGCGCGGTCATAGTCCAGAGTGTGCATTTGCTTGTCGATGCTGGCGGCCTCGGACATGAGGAAGAAGCCGTCCTCTTGGTGGCGAGTGTGCAGAATCTCAAGGGCCTTGAGAGTCATGTCCTTCAGACCCGGCTGGTCCGTGGCACTCGAGTTGGAGCCGTCGGGCGCCGTCTTGGGCTTGTTCAGGTTCTTCTTGTATACGTTGCGGTCGAGCCAGACCGCCATGTTGCTCACAGAGAAGATCCCCAGTGTCTTGGACGAATTGGATGTCGCTTGCAATGCCGTGTTATTCAACACCACGTTGTACCCCTTCTTGGCAAATTCCTCGTAGTAATCCTTGCCCTGGAACGAGCCTTTGCCAGGGTAGAACTGCTCGGCACCGCCGCCGAATAGCACATCCGGCCCGGTCCAGTTGGTCCACGTGTAGTTGGTGATGCCGTTCAGGAACGAGTCAATCACCGCTCCGTATTGGGCTCGTTCACGCGTGTGTGCGGTCAAAGCAGCCGGAGTGGCATCGGCAATGAATGCGGTCGACACAATACCGACACCGCCGCCATAGAGACGATGGAAGAGCTCGGCGATAGTCTCAACCTTGGGGTCGTCGAATGGCGTCTTGGAGCTGTCGACGTACACGCCCAATGCGTTGACGGTCGATTTGTGGCCAGTGTAGAGAGCCGTGGCAGAGTTGGCACTGTCGGTTATGAATGAATCCAGCGAGTGTGTCATTTGGTGTCCCAGAACCGGGAACTGGTCCAGCGCCAACTTGGTTTGGTACTTGCCGTTGATCGACTGATGAGCAAGTAGTCGGCCAGCGGTGATCATGTTGGTCGTCATGCCATCTCCAATGAACATAACCACATTCTTGGCCCGTCGGCGGGGCTCAATGTCCCGAACGGTCCAATTGGCATATGTGGTCGAAGTGTTCCGATAGTGCAATGTAGCAATGTACTGGCCCGGCTCGTAGAGAGCAACCCGCCTGTACGCCTTTGCGGCCACACTGACCTGAGACGGGGTGTGTGCCGCCTTGGCAAACAAGTCCTCGTACCAGGTAAAGTTCCATGTCTCGAGCTTTGGTTCAGGGATGTTGAAAAAGTCTGCAGCTGGCTTAGCGCCCTTGCCCTCCTTCTCAATGGTCAGGCTGAAGTTGGCGTCCGGGGTAGTGTAGCCTGGGATCGCTTCACTCCCGTTGAGCGGGGCATGCACTTCAACACGGATGTCAAAGTACTGTCCTGGGAGGAAGTCGGCCTGGTCAGGTGGTAGGATACAGCCCAAGCTCGGGCAGCCTCCCAAACGTTGGTAGGTCTGGGCAGCACAGTGGGCGCAGAAGGCACCGACCGCTAGAGCAGCCTTCAAGGCCAGCTGTGTTCTCATCCTGGCTCTGGTTTCTGAACGGTTGCCGCGTTCAGATCAGGTTGAAGACCGCCACGGTGCCAACAGCGCAGACCCTCCATTTTTGTACCTGGCGAGAGGGCTCGCCGAGCTCCATCGACCTTGCGTCAACGGCAAGGGAAGCATTCCGGAAGGTTGCACTTCAGTCTACACGTGGTCAATAGTAGAGTCTTGTTAGCTTTTGAGAAGGGTCCCGCATGGCCACTAGGTAGGCCCCAGTTGAAGCTCCAGTGGTCGGGCTCAACTTGAATGCTGGGTAGGTACCTAGGTAGGTGACGAGCACGGCGGCGGGCGGGCTAATACCAAGAACCGGAGGACGCCTGCCAAGCCCGGTGGGAGAGAACAGACAGGCCCATCCAATCGAATGGTCACGTTTCCGGAGAGAAAATGTCTTGGCTCGCCGCTCTTAAAGGCTTGGTTACGCCATCTCCATGGCTTAATGCCTTTGAAATAGTGCACAGCTCGACTATTCTGTATGTGCGTGCTAGAAGACGCCTTTGCGATTGGCGAGCTCCCTTCAAGAGCTAGCAGCGCAGTCGGGCCATGATAAACCCGCGGAAAGCAACCGCCGACCACAAGTGGTGCCAATAGATCAAGAAATGATGTTGAGGCGGCAGCTGTGAGTGCACTCGCGAGGATCCAGATCCGATTCTCTCGGAACTTTGCGTAGTACTAGTTGAGAAAGATCGAAACAATGTCTTGGTATTTGGGACGATACCTACCAGGTGCCTTGTTGAGTACGTTTGTCGGCTGTGAATGGCGAGGCTAGGCCTCGCTGTGGATGCGCACGCTGGCCGTTCCGAGCAGCATGAGACGCAGGCGTGCCTGTTTCAATGGCCAGGGTACTTGCTTCAATGCCGAGCTTATCCAGCCCGCTTCGGGGCACGGCCCTCATGAACCTGTCCGAGCTGCGGCGGTCACCGAGAGTTGAGCGAGCTTGCATCATTCCCACTTCGTCGAGTTCCATCAGGAAAGAATAATAAGCGTGACAACATTCTCGCGCAGCACTGTTAAGGACGCCGAAAGGATACGAAGGACTTACTAGCAATGGATACGCTTCGTGAACTGTCCACGGCTGAGGCGGACCACGACTTGGCTGGTGTCAATGGCCACGACTCACCTCGCCTTACCTAGGTAGCAAGGTAGCGGTAGCACAAGAACGCGCCAAGTTCATGATGCTACCAATAGGAAACCCCCGACTCAGGGACAGGCAACTAGCGAAGGAAATGTTGTTTGGCCTGAGACCAGCAATGTCCATTGGAGCTAGCAGAAGAACCTGTAGTAGAAAATCTGTGGCCGTTGTACACCTATTCATCGTCTTCACCTCCCAATGTCCTAAGAGCATGCCGACGACGCGTGCAACAACACCTTGGATGAGGTATATGATCTTCCTCCATGAGTCATGGCACCACCATCAAATGCCAATCTTTATACATGCAGCTCTTGGCCAGGACTATCATCATGCTCAATGGTAGCTGAAATGAGGCCGTAGGGGTTCGAAGGGTGCCAGTGTAGGGTCGTCGTTGGAATTGAAGAGACTGAACTGGGAAGCGTAAGCACTCAATGCCGAACTGTTCCCAGCTCCCTAGGGTATCTGTATCACTAGGGATGGACATTGTACAGGCTTGCATGAAACATGCATTGATTCCACAACAGTGAGTGCTATGAGCTGCGGTCTGCACTGGGGAATGTGTCGCATGCGCAGACACGCGTGAGCAGCATCGTGTGCCACTGGCAGTGCAGCCGCACAAAGTACGCGCAGCTGCCAGTGGTCAGAGTTAAAGTGCCGCGTGTGCAGGGGGGATAAAAAGTACAATATTATTAAATGTCGAACCACTCCACTCTGAGAATAATGCAGCCTGGATCGGAAAACCGACATTAAATCCGGCGTGGTCATTGGCTGGCTGCGCATCCGGATCGGCCAGAAAGACAGATTTCCCCTGACGAGGATGACGTCGGGGGTTTCCGTCATCTTTGCCCGCTGCTGCCGTGTCACTGCATTCTGCGTCCATTAATTATTAGCAGGATGTCAGATCCGGCTTCAAGTTCCTTCCACTTCAAGTCGCTCGAGACGACGATGGCTTCAAGTTTTGTATTATTCGCCGGATCAATCTCTGCACGAAAAATGCGGCATCACGATTTGATTTCATTCCTACTGTGTGCTATTCTCACTATATAACCCTGGGGTCTCTTCCAGAGCTTCAGGAGCCATGCATGTGTTCTCTGTATAGCTTTTTATATCGCTACCTGTGGAAAAAGTCACTTCGCCCAACATTCTCCTTCAGTTCATAAATTCATCCTCAACCGTTAGCATCGACACGAATGGCACACAATGACCCTCTTCATCTGGCCGGAATGGGGTCACACCCCCGTTCGCTCGACACACACTACTCAAATGTCCCTTCTCGAGAAGCGACTTACACTCTTGCTGGACCACGATCGACGGCAGTGGATCTGCCCTACATCCGAAGCCGAGAGCCGACTTCGCCGATGCTAGAGGCGTCGCATACCAGAAGCAGAGATCAAGGAACCTTTGTTAGTCAGGAATATCAGGACTACAACCCAAAGTATGCGGAACCCAGCAACAAGCCCATATGGGGACTTGCCGCTCCTCTCCCACGCGTCAAGCGCCCTGTTATCCGGCCTCGTCATGGCACGCGAAAGAGCAAGGAGCAGACCAAACGGCCGGATTCTGAGCGTCAACCAACCAATCAATCAGTGCAGCCTCCAGCCCCAGCAGGAACTGAAGCTGCTCCACAAATCGAAAACACGCCCTCTAGGAACGAAAGCGAGCATGAACAGTTGCACGAACACCCGAGCAGGCATGCTCACAGACCTGCTCGTGAGCAGGACCTTTTGAGACGAGCCACAACCGCTCGTGCCTCCACTTACCAGCCTGAAGATGTACCTCCCCGTGAACCTTTTCAGCCTGAAGGTGCTGTCAGCACTGGACCTTCCCGCCAAGGCCAGGAACTTGAAGCCCAGCACATCAGTGCACGCGACCAGGACAAGGCCCATCTCGCGTCGAGTCACGATCGAACACAAGATGAGCGCGCAACTGGTGGTGCGGTCTTGCAACGGCAAACAACAGGCTCAACCGTGCAGGATTTTGGGCAAGAACACGAGCCGCCGGTGGGCCAGGTGACCAGTGAGGTCGAGATTGATTCGGCCAGAAGACGCATGCAAGCCATAGCAGATACCGCAGATAATGTGAGCGATCTACGATATGGCACCCCGAACATTGACTGGGAGGAGTATCAAAAGGACGAGCTCGAACCTCAACATTCTCAGAACGAAGAGCCAAAGGATCCGGACTACTTCAATTGGTGGGGACCGATACGGCAGAGATTCCGGCAACCATTGGCAGAATATCTGGGTACGTTGGTGCTTATGATTATCGGTCTGTGTGGTAGCATCGTACACATGACCTCTGAGGACGACTATGGAAACTTGCTGAGCGCATATTTGTCTTGGGGTTTTGGAGTCATGATTGGAATCTACATCGCGGGTGGGATTTCTGGTGCCCATCTCAACCCGGCCTTGTCAATACTGCTGTCTATCTTCCGTGGCTTCCCGTGGTCTTTGTGCTGGCAATATATCGTCGCACAAATGATGGGCGCTATTACAGCCTCGGGGATTGTGTACGGATTATACAAAGACGCCATCGAAGACTACGCGGCTGCAGACAAAAGCCGTGCCGGGCCGGCCTTCTGGACAAAGCCTCGTGATGGGCTGAGCAATGCCTCTGCCTTTTTCACTGAGTTTGCAGCCACAGGAATCCTGGCGGGTTCTGTTCTCGCCCTGGGAGACGATAGTAACGCCCCACCAGGGGCCGGTATGCACGCATTCATTATAGGACTTCTGATAACAGCCCTGTGCATGGCCTTCTCCTACAACACCGGAACCTGTCTCAATCCAGCACGAGATTTTGGCCCCAGACTCATAACATGGGCAGCTGGGTTTGGGACCGAAGTCTTCACCTTGCATAATTGGTGGTGGATCTGGGGACCTTGGCTAGGCACCTTGAGCGGAGGTATCACGGGAGCCTTGATCTACGACGTTTTCATATTCAACGGCGGAGAGTCACCCATCAACTATCCCTCGGGCGAGTTGAGGGAGCGCATCCATTCATGGAACGAGATAAGAATGAAGTCAAAGATGGGCAGGGGTAAAGACGCCATCAACGCCATGAACAAGGAGATCGAGCAGATTGCCTGACGTCCCCATGAATACTGGATATTGTTGTGTCAAGAATCGATTCATTATGCTGGAACACTGCTAATGACTACTTACTAACGCCATATCCCACCAGCGGTGTTGATCCGGTCTTCCCATATCCTGCATGAAAGATGCCAGTACTAGTCTTAGTTCCGGCCTCCAGGACCAATGAACCAGTGACATGCATTGCACGCTTGGCTGGAGAACTTTTGTAGGAATATTCCAGCTGGCCGCATTGGCGACTCTGGAGGTGCCAGCAGCGCAACAACTTGATTGATCTCGGGAGTACGGCAGTTCGTGGTTCCTAAGCCTGGGCCATTTTCGCGAGCGAGGAATGGACTCGCTTCCCGCCTCGATTTCCACGGTTGCCTCGATCAGGACGCTTCCTTTTGGTTAAACACAAAAGGTAAACCGTGTAAGACCATGGATCGCTGACACGTGCCTCTTAGTACAATCCCTGCTGAGCAGAGCCGCCGATGCGTTGGCCGTGGATGAGGTCGGTAGGTTTCCATGGGAAGCTGTTTTCCAGCTACCGCCATGTAAAGATCGGTTACTCTTTGTTACGCTTGCGCGATTCTCCCGCCCACACATGGCAGACTTTCTTTCTCTTCTCTCACTGGTCACGGGCTTCGGGCTGTATATTCATTCGCGGCACGAACGCTAAGATCCTTTTCCTGTCGATCTTGCCGAGAACAGAAACGTATGTCTTACGGTGCATGTGCTCCGAGGCCCGGATACGGTCGGGTCGCGAATAATCATGTGGAAATCGGCCTCAAAAAAAAGCAACCACTGACTACCGCCTCCACAATGTTGTGCCACTAGAAATGTTCGAGCGTCTGTACCTACAAGGATGTGCTCCATCACCGAATTGTGGTTGCAGCTCCTTTCAAGGCTTCGGTAATTTCCTGTTCGAACAACCACCGGCCAATCGACTCCGGCCACATGTTTGAGACTGTCCAGGATGAAGCATCAGCAACTCACGCGATCGGACAAAGGACAGCAACAGAAGCGCGCTTCAAAGTCCCTTTCTTGGCGAATGCTTTGCTGCTACTCATCTCTCAAGAGCGGCCATGATGCATGAAGACTGAGCTATTGAGGATTTTCAGCCTCACGCGGCTCTCAGTATGAGGGGCTCCGGCCCCCTTCTGTCCCCTTACAAGACAATGGGACCTCCCTCTGGACCCCAACGTCCTGCTAACATAAACCGACCAACTGAGCTAACCCACAGTTGAGTACTCCAGCACTATTTGGAGAGTGCTGTTGAGTGAGATCATGTCTTTTTCGTCAACAGTACCGACATCTCCGGACGCCCCTAGCAGCGGCGGCCCAGTCTCGCCAAGCTCAAGCACTGGGACTTCGGCACTGCGTCAGGAGAGCAATGACCAGGAAACTACCAGGTTTTCGATGCACACTCTTCTGACACACATCAGCGCGGCACACGACTATGCCTCTCAATTTGTGGACATCGACAAAGTCATTCAGGAGCGTGACGAGGCTGTGCGGAAGAATGAGATAAGGAAGGTTCAGCTTGCGGAAAAGGAAGACGAGATCAAAACCCTCCTGGCTCGCAATAAAACCTACTTGAGTGATTTTGAGACCAGGCATGAGGAATGGCTCAAAGAATTCGCACAACTGAAAGAGTCGATGATCAATCAACACATTCTCGAGGTAAACGAGCTACAAGCTGAGATAACTGAGTCCAGACGGCAGGGAGACCTAGTCAAGAAGCAACTGTCCGATGCTGACCACGACATTCGACTCACGAGGAGCAGACTTGACGTGGCCACCGCCGAGTTGGCACAATGGAAGCAATACAGCTCCCATATGACGCCGCTTGACCAGCTTGGACTGTAAGCATTCCCATCTTCTTGATCCCCTTCCGAGATAAATCCAATACGTGGTTGCTTGAGCTGAAGGTCCATCCAACAGGGTCTCGAGGATAGAGAATCTCTTCAAGGATCTCTGGAAGACTGTCTGTCCTAGCTTGCTTGAAGACCTGACTCCAGATTTGCTCAAGGTATGTTCGCTTGCAGTGCTAACCCCCACGAGCACATTATTCTAATTAGACCGATAACCCAGCAGGATCGCGACGCTTGGAGCAGTCGGATCAAGCAGATTGTACCAATCAAGCTGCAACGCCAATTTTTCCCGTTCGAGATTCTTCTTAGCAACACAAGACCAGCTAAGCTTGTCCGTGTGGCGCTGGCGATGCACATCATTTCAAGCGAGTTGACCAAGCAGGTCTTCAAACCTTGTTACTTACCCGACTCGATCGAATCATGTGCGGCGCTGCAGTATATCCTAGGCGACCATCTCGACGCAGATCCGAAAAAGGTGGTATTAATGCGTTCACTTCTGTTGTCGAACAAGACACGGGACGAGTATACTGCAATCATTGAGCAGCGAAGCTTGAGCGCACTTGATGTGGTTGTCCCCAGGTTGTTGTTGCTGTGCAGTAATGACACCACGGCCGCTGGTGACAAGGGGTTTTCGCTTCGAAAGAAACTTGAAGCCTTCTTCATTGCGGCGGCAAAGCTGTGGCAGGAGATACAATACTCCGACGCTGAGGTACGGGTGGTCACTTGCCACGAGGATGGCGAGGTGGAACAGGCAGATCTGGATTGGCCATGGGGCCATCTGGATGAATACGGACCGCCTCGTCCAGCTCCGCACGACAACAAACTCTTGCTGTTCCCGGGCTTCTACCTTCTCAACGGCCGGTTTGTGCTACATGAGGGAATTGTCCTCACCAAGAACCAGAAGGTCGTCCTCGATGCTGAAGCAGAGTATCAGCAAGCGGCGGCGGTGGGAACGGCAACGCCGGCGAAATCGCCACGATCCAACTGGAACTGGCACAGAATTACTCCCACCACAAGACGTCTATCGCTTCATACTGGTACTGCTGGAAATGGCGCGAGTCCACCACCACTTACGTCTGCAACAGCGGCCACTGGTGTCCTAGGCGGTAAAAAGGGATCTACTGCTGTCAACTGATGCCGACGGGCCCAAAGCAGACGAGGACAAAAAATCAGAAATTCCTCGGCTGACTTCGGTCCTCTAGGATGGAGTGGCTCTATCTCCTTTACGAACATGACCCGGCCCGCACGCTGCTGCTGCACATGATACACCAACCAGTGGTTGAGTTCCCTCAATCAGGGCGGCAGTACCCTATATTCTGAACCTCAAAACTCGATTCCGCGGGTCACCGTGCCGTTTTGTTTTTGTCTTTAGTAATATGGATTCTCTTGATTTTCCCCCTTCTACTTGAATTTTGGCCAGCTACAGTATATCTCCAGCTGGCCGGCAGGCTGTGTTACTAGGTATCCCTTGCTACCCTACTATATCAAGGGTCAAGGGTCTCATTAATGAATGAATGATATTGGAATAATGTACCTAATGTTTAGGGGGTGTTACCATTGGTCCAGTGTCTTTGTGCCGGTCTTTCGGTCTGGTGATTCGGTTGCACGACTTTTTGTCTTGGATCCAACAAAATCATGTCATAATAAATCCATATCTGCAACTGCAACTGTGACTGTGACTGTAACTATGACTTACAAGTCTACCACAACAACAAGAATAATAACGATGACCGTAGGAGTAAAGGTAGGTGTTGAAGACGATTATTATATACATATATCTCTAGATATTCAGGTATATGTGACTAGGCAGCACAGTGCCAAATGTAAATATCAAGTTCAACTCCAAACCCAGCCAATTCAAGTTCCTTGGTTGATGTTTGTTTTCTTCCAAGGACAGTAAGTGGTGTGTAGGCGGCCCCGCATTCTTGCTTTTGATTTCTTTTGTCCAGATTCCCTATGTACTTCTTTGCTTTTTTGCGGCAACTTTATCGCCTATTGAAATTCAAATACCTGGATCCCAAAAACAAGAGAATCAAATTACTCCCAATGAAGGCGGCGAAGATGCCTAGGTCGCGCCAGTGATGGGAGAAGCTCAACTCGAGGGGCTTGTAGAACTGGTCGCCGACCTTGTAAGCGCAGTAGCGACAGATATCAGTGGCATTGTCGGCGATATACCCTGCGCCGCCATTACTGAAGAATTCAGCCATATAATCACCACAGTTCTGGCCGGCAGGGGCAGGGAACGAATTGAGTTCGCGCGGCTTGCAATGGACAGGCAAACCATGGAGTTCGGTGACGACCATTCCCGAAACAAGCCTTGTGAATGGGTCGAGTTCGTACAGCCAGGCGCGCCAGAAGCGCGGCATCTGGGGTTTGGGAATGGTGACACCACAGAACAAGGATAACACGACGACCAAGAACGGATTGATTAGACTGGCGATGAAGCTCGATGGAGTCAGGGCGGCGATCATTTGGCCCAAGGTCACCGAGAAGAGTTCGGTGATCAAGACCATGAGGAACTGGTATCCGGCGCGCGAAGACGAGCTGTTGAATCCGGGTAGGTAGTAAAGTGGTAAGAAGAACCCGACTGCACAGAGAATGTTGTACGGCATTTCGCCCAACACCATGGCTAATGCAAAGGGAAATTGTCGATACGCTTTGGCCGCGGACTCGCGGTAGAAGATGAGCCTGGAGAAATCGTACATGGGCTCCACTTGCGCCAGGATCAATGCGGGGACCACGGTGACTTGGAAAATCACAAAGACGCGGTACTGCAGACTCGAGCGGCTGTCGTCGAGTTGTAAGAAGGCCAGACCGGACAAGATTGCAAGTGCGACGTGGTTGAAGAACCGCGTGAAGCCATAGTTCGGAGATCGCCAGAACGCCAGATGTGTTCGCCACGAGACCACTTTGATCTGATGCCATAGTGGAGATGCGTATTCGCGGTCATTCAGGGGTGGCTCGTTGGCCACTTCGCGTTGGCGTGTCGTCTTCATCTCGATGATTTCGGCCTTGACCGCTGCTAATTCTTCGCTCTCCCGCCAGATATCGCCCCAGTCGCGGTCGCCCATGCGAGGCGCAATGCCTGCCCCGATGGCGTCCAGCATCCATTCTGCGGGATTGGCGTCCGAAGGACAGTCGGCCCCGTGCTTGTGGAAGTAGCTGAGCAGCACGGATGCGTCCTTGCCGATCTCGCCGAAGTAGACGGTCTCGCCGCCCTTTTGGAGCAAGAGCAGTCGGTCGAAGTTCTCGAATAGTGCGCTGTTGGGTTGATGGATCGTGCAGAGAATCGCTTGGCCGGCCGCCGCCAGTTTGCGCAGGAAGCGCACAATGTTGAATGCCGATTGCGAGTCCAAACCGGACGTGGGCTCGTCGAGAAATAAGAGCAGTTCAGGCTTCGCGGCCAATTCCACTCCAATCGTCACTCGCTTCCGTTCTTCCACCGACAGTCCCGTCTCGGGCGTGCCGATAATGGCGTCGGCTAGGTTTTCCAGTTCGAGTAGACACAAAATCTCTTCGACGTACGAATACTTTTGCTCGCGGGGTACTTCGTAAGGTTGACGAAGGTCGGCGCTGAATCGTAGTGCCTCTCGCACTGTCTGTGTGGATTCATGCACATCGAGTTGTTCGGCATACGACGTGCCTCGTTGGAACCCCCGGCCTGGCTTTTTGCCGTCAACCAAGATGTCACCGCCAACCACGCCGATGTTCTTTCGTGCTGCCAGCACGTCGAGAAGCGTCGTCTTTCCAGCTCCACTGGCGCCCATCAGCGCTGTCAACTGTCCCGGCTTGACGTAGCCAAAGACGTCCTTGAGAAGTCGAAGTTGGCCGGCTGGCGTGGGCACGTCGTAGGTCAGATTCTCCCATGTCAAGATGGCCTTGGACGTGATGTTGAGTTCCGAGCTGTCTTCGGCATCCTGCTTCAATTGTCTCCGTTGTCTCCGTTCCTGGAGCTTTTCGTTCAGGGCTTTTCGTTCTTTGTTCTCCTTGGCGAAATAGGTCACGGTACGACCACCCGCTCCATACTTGACCGCCTCACCCAGAACCACATTGGTGATCAGGAAGAAGACGATCAAGACGATGATTAGTCCAAAGTTGCGCCACAGGTCGGACGGGTTGTACGAGAATCCCAGTTTGACGTAGGCGCTGCCAGACACTTGGGAAGATCCAGCCTCGGAACCCGGCAAAGTGCACACTTGATGCTGGATGTTATTGTAGCCCGGCCCCGATGGGATAAGCGATTCGGCTGTGCAACGCATGGTCAACCGCTTGAACTCATTCATCATCATGGCCGCAAACCCCAATCCCAGAGCATTGATGTAGAAGATCCATCGTAACCACACCTGCTGGCTCTGGTACTGGATAATGTATCCCGAGGTAATGACGAACAGGGTGATGATGACGGCGGCAAATTTGATCGCATAGTCGAAGTCAGGACACAAGCACCCAATCGTCCGGAAGAACAAAGTCATTGACAAATAGCCTGTGATGATGATAAGCACAAACGTGAAGAAGGCCCCCGGCGTTCGAACCAGTCCCGTCATGAAGTAGACAATAACACTGAAAACGAAGATCTGGGCCGAAGCGAAAGCGACATCCACCAAGATCTGTGCTAACCACAACGCTCCGGGTCGATGAAATGTGTATGCGCGATGCTTGTTCACGATTGGACGACCCATCATTGTAGATGCCAATTCCGAAAAGGCCTGGAATGCGTTGAACAGCAAAGACAAGAACAGCACACCGCCACGGGTGAATGCACCAGCAGATGTCTTGGGCTGGTTCAACCACACGGTACCGATAACGATGCCAATTACGATCGAGGTAATCCATGATACAACCAGAGAGAATTTATCTTGCCATTTGATCAGATATTGCCGCTTCATCAGAGCCCAGACCTGCAAGTAGAACGGAACAGAGTAGACCGAGTTCTTGGGCGTGTGCTTCCGCTTGGCCTGTTGATGGGCCGCGACAAAGTCATCGTAGATCTGTTTTTCTTCTCGTATGGTTTCCCTGTATGCGTTCATCTCCTCCGCGAGCTTTTGCGAGTAGACGGAATTGTTGAACGCTTCCACAAATGAATCCGGCGTCGAGGGAGCATTTTCCGGTCCCCGGCCCGGCTTGTACTCTCGCTCGAATTCATCAGTGCATCCGGTCAGATAATCGGGCGTCGTCTGACGAGGCTTCTCCAGAAAACCCAACCCTTCAAAGTACGCTCTGGCTTCCTTTGCAGGGCCGAAGAAGACTTGTCTGCCGTGGTCGATCACCATCACCTTGTCAAACTGCTTGTAAATATTCTCGGATGCCTGATACAATGAGACGAACGTGGTTGTCTGGTAGATGTTGGTCATGATGCGGAGCGATTTTGCATAGTCGAGCGCCGTCGATGCGTCGAGCCCACGCGTGCTGTTGTCCCAAGCGCACACTGTGGCTCTGGTGATCATCATTTCGGCGATCGAAACTCTTTTCCGTTCTCCGCCGGAGACACCTCGCACGAATGGATTGCCAACAATGGTGTTTCTCGTGTGTTCGATATTGAACATTTTCAGCAACAGGTCAATCACTCTGTCCTTGAATTCGCCCTTGCTCATACCAGCCGGACGGTGTCCAGGTGTCTTGGTGTCCAGTGCAAACCCCAGCGTCTGACCCACGGTGAGGGTGGGGTGGTGGACGTCGTCTTCCTGGTTGTACACAGCTTCACCCCGGTACCGCTTCGCGAATGTTGCAGCATCAAAGGGCCCGTATAGTACCTCTCCGTCTACGCCGGTATAACCGTATCGCTGGTTGGCCATGACTTTGAGAAACGTCGTGCAGCCGCTCCCGGGCCGTCCAAGAACCAGGACCATTTCACCGGGTTTCGCAACACCACGGAAATTCTGCAGGATGTTGAACTCGGCTCCCTTTTTGCGAAGTCCAAAAATGCTCATGATCGTCCCCGGCACATTGAAGAAATCGACAAAGGCGTCTGGGAACACCTTGACTATGTTCTTGACACCGCCGATGCCACGAACGGTAAGATTTTCCCAAATGACGCCAATGTACTTCGACTTGATACCAGCAGCGGCATCGGCTTCCCTGTTGCCGCGCAGAGTGGCTTCCAAATTGAAGGTTTCGTCGGAGTCGTCGGAGGCACTGATCGCCTTCTCGATATCTCGGGTCTTAGTAGTCGAACCTCTCGACTGTGTCCGTGACATGCGACGACTGATAGAACTCAGTTCCCGACTTAGCTCCGCAAAGTCCCTCTCCGCCCGTTCGACGTCCACACCGGACACTGTGCGATCAAGCCCATGCGACTCCGTCGACGTATGAATTCGTTCATAGCGCTTTTCAGGCCCCGGAGCCTCCGTTTCTGTCACAACATCATGTTGAGCGCCCCCGGTAGAGGGCTGAGGCTCTGCCGTGACCAGATCGTGGAATAGAGTACCAGGTTGTTGCTGGCCCGACCCTGTGCCCTGAGAGCCAGCCTCGGCCATTGTTTTAAGCTCCGAGCCCCAAAGGTTGCCGACCCTTTGTCGGCTAAACTCCGCAATGCAGCGGCCCTCCGCGCCGGCAAACTATTCCCTCGTGCAAGGCCAGGAACCTTGTCCAGCACTGAAGCTTTGGTAGGAAGCAGAGGAAAGCGCCTGTATATAGCGGCAGTCGAACACATGAAACCAGAATTCGAAAAGAGAAAGACGCAGATTTTGTTGTTTTATTAGCCGATGCCAGTGGTGGGTTTCGGGAATGGGCCAGAAGCCCACTCGGTGGATGCGCATCGCCTGTTCCTCGTAATAATAACAACAGCCGATTGATGTATGGGCTTCTTGCTCACACTGGTACAAGATAGTTCCGCGACATCTGGCGCCAAGTGAGTCAGAGCCGTAGCCGTCTTATGGGGCATCCGCTTTCTGTGGCCCACTGACACCCATTGTACAATGGACGAGCTCCACCATGAATACTCGTTTCTGCCCATAACTCCTTCAAGGATCTCAGCGGTCGTGTTCGCGGCTGCTATCGACGAACGTGCATACTGACACACGGACCCCCTGTTCATAAAAGAAAGATGACTCCCAGAGATCGACGATGGTGTACGGTTTTCTGGGCCTATCTCTTCGCTTGAGCCGCGTGCTTCTCTACTGTACATTGTACATTGGCCCGAGATTTGGTGCGAGAAAGGAGGTTTGCCGGTTGCCGCTTAGGGCATGAATACGCCGTCCCCGTGGAGTCGGTGCCACGCACCATCCACCACGAGAGGCCAGTGACAGGCGCTTGTCTTCGGCGGACTCTTGAGTGACCCGCATTGAATTAATAATTTCAGGTTGGCGCTATTCTCAGCAACGGACTTGCGCCCTGTCCTTGTGGTATCTCCGATGGTCTCCAGGAAGCCGTGGAGCCCACCTTACACTACACCCGCACCACTGGCAGTGCTGACCAATATGACTCCGTATGACTCCTTGGCTCGTACGGGGAAGGGCTTGATGAAAGCATATATGTTCCACATACTTTGTCCAGATACCACTGTTTGCTTGTATGTTGCGCTCGCACTCTACTATCTTCCATACGACAGGCATGCGTCAATATTTCATGCCGCCCGCTTGTGCAAGCCAATGCGACTGAATATGCCTTTGTTGCTGGATCTGGACCGTGGTGGTGACGGCGCTGCAGCTCCTTCCTCTTCGACGTGGTGCTTGCCGACGATGTTGAGGAAAACTTGGTCCAAAGTCGCCCGACTGACGCTGTAGTACTGAATACCGAGTTCGCTCTTGTCCCTTTCCAGAGCTTGGAACAGGGTGGATATGCTCGACCCCTGGCTGCCCGTTTCTTTACTCGCGCTCTGTCCCGTTGATGGGACCGAGAAGCGCATCTGACCTGCGTACGCTTTGCCCTCGATCCGTGTGGCGGGAAAGTTGGTGAGAATCCATTCGCGGATACGTGCCATGTCTTCCTCTGTCGCATGTGGTGCTTGCCGATGCACGAGGTGGACATAATACGCATCGCCATGCTTCCGCCGCAGGTATTCGGTGGTACCCAAGGCCAACATCCTTCCTGCCATGATACCGGCTCGCGTTGCCAGTGCATCCGCTTCCTCCATGGAATGAGTCGTGAGCACAAGCGACCGACCTGGAACAACGGATTCCAAGGTGCGCCACATGACTCGCTTGCTCGCGACGTCCATGGCTGAAGACGGCTCATCCAGAAGAAGCACGCTGGGATTGCCCATCAATGCAATACCCAGGGACAGCTTCCGCTTGTTGCCCCCCGACAATCTCGAGGCCATCCGGCCGGCATACTCTTCCAGACCAACTGCGCGCATGACCGCGTCCACATTGTGGCGGGGATCGCTGACTCCACGGATCTTTGCATAAAAGAGAAGATGCTCCGCCACAGTCATGGTGTCGATGGCGTCGAATTGGGGACAAACCCCGAGGCGAGCCCTGGCCTGTGCCCGATGCTGTATCACAGAAATATTCTCCACCAGAATATCGCCATCTCGACGGCTGGGTTTGATGTCGCCGCGGATCATCGAAATCGTGACGGACTTTCCGGCACCGTTGGGGCCTAGAAGTGCGAAAACCTCACCGTGAGGTACGCCAAAGGTAACATTGTCCACTGCTACATTCTTGCCGAATTGCTTCGTCACATGAAGAACTCGAAGTCCATCCCGGGATGATGTTACCCTTGTGAGCTCGTTCGAGAGCTCAGGTTCAACAGTGGCATGGTCTTCCACCTGTGCCTCCTGCTGCTTGCGTTTGAGCCAGCGCAGAGACGAACCCGAGTCCCACCAAAGAAGCAACCCAAACAAAAAGAAGGACTGCACGATTAGGTAAAGGATTGGACCCCCAAAGAGCGTAAGTGATCCTGCATAAGATGCAAATTCTCGATCTCTGCACGTGATCGAGAAAATATTCAGTGTGACAAATAGAGCGCGGGTCAAATTTGCGACCGGGGAGATGGTGGCGATTGCAAAATGACAAATGTTGACATAGCTGTCGATCTTGTCGACTGGCGAGTACGTCAAAACGCTCATGTATGCGATGAAGTACAGCAAGAACATGACTGCCTGGCCGCCAGCTGCAATTGCGAAGGCTGCAAGCTGGGACCTCGAGAATAGGGAAATGACATAAGACAACAGGGTCGAAGCCAAGCCGTACAGAAAGAACACCACGAAGAGGTATTCGATGTGGTACCATACATCTGAGACGGCGCGGAAAATGATGACAGCGACCGCACTAGTAACCAAGACGATGATGAAATCGAACGCCGTATAGGCGAGCCACAGTGGTGCCGAGCGGACACCGTTGCTGTAATGGAGGCCTCGGACATTACGGAGGCGTTCGACGGTTGGATACAGGGCAAAAAATGACGGATACACCGCCATTGCGAGACCAAAGTAGGTGATCAGTTGTAACGCCTTGCCAGCATCCGGAGCCCAAGGGATGTCAAAGGCCTGGTACTGGTTGGAGATGGACACGTTGCTCAGGATCGTGTCCAATGCGTTTTGTATGATCACTGAAAACGCTATGTTGCCGTTTCCTCGCCAGGCAAAGGTGGGCGGGAACCGGTCATCGCCCAGGAAGAAGCCGCCAGGAGTCACAAGGAAATAATTAGAATTGATATATTCGTTGAACTGGTCGAGTGTATCCACAAGGTGTAGCGATTCAAGCAGTTGTGAGGTGTTGGCTTCCACTCCACCATTGCTGGTACTCCCAGAAAGCGAGGCGGCAAATAGGCGGATTGCATCCTGTCCGAGGCGATCCCGCGGCCCTGCAACAAGTTTATAGTCGACCTCGCTTGACAAAGAAACAATATCAGACACGTCCACAGTGGAAAGGGCATCACAACCAGCCTTTCGGAAGCCATGGAGGAAAAGCGTGACGAGGCCAGCTGCAATGATGGGGATCAGCAATGCTGCCAGGTAGGGAAGGGTATTTCGATGCAGAATGACCCATCTCTTGGAGAATAGTACCGCCACTTGGCGTGAGAAACCGATAGGGTGTCCCTCGAGAAGTTGGGGGGTATTTCGGGACGTATCGCCATGAACCGTCTTGACAGTCTTCTCGGGGACACCATCATTGCTCTTGATACTGCCGCTGCTCTGTAATGACCTTGTTTGGTCGATACTAGTGACAGTCTCTGGCGGTGCTTTCATTTCCTCGGCCAGTTTTAGAAAGACGTCCTCAACCGTCGGCCCGTTGACTTGGTATTCCCGGATGCCATCATGCTCGATGCGTGCTAGGAACTCCGCCGTCTTGGCAGAACTGTCCAGTAGGTAAGTGGTACGGTGGTTATGCCGGATATGATCAACGTCGTTGTAAACCGCCGATATATTGGCTCCAGGAATGTGATAGATATGTACCCTGTAGCCGGAACCCAGCTTGTGCTTCAACTCAACTGCTGTGCCGGAAGCCTTCAACACGCCCCGGGAGAGGATAGCGATGTGGTCTGCAAGGAGCTCAGCCTCGTCGAGGAAGTGTGTTGTAAAAATCATTGACCTTGCCCCACGCTCGGCGAGGAGGATGTCCCAGATCTTCCGTCGTGATAGCGGGTCGAGACCAGTGGAAACCTCGTCTACACAGCAAACTCGCGAGCCTCCGGTGAACATCATGGCTAGCTGCAACTTCCGCTTCTGACCTCCTGACAGCGTCTTGGATTGCGCTTTCGCCTTGGAAATGATATCACATGATGTGAGCAACTGCGTATTTTCGTCCGAATTAGCTGGCTGTTTGCTCTTGACTCTATCAAATATCCGGACATGTTCCTCCACTGTAAGGTCGTCCCAGAGAACGTTCTTTTGGGGACAGACGCCCAAACCAGTGTTGGTGTCTGGATAGTTGATGGTGATTTCGCCCGACGTTATCGAATTGAGTCCAGCAATTGCATCTAATGTGGCTGACTTGCCACTGCCGTTTGCTCCGAGCAGGACCAGAATTTCGCCCCTGATAGTATCCAGGCTGAGATCATTCACAGCAAGAACAGCACTCGGTTGTTTTCTGGTGAAGAAACCACGACATTTTGCAAGAAATGAAGGTCGGAACTCCTTGGTAAATCTGACCAGAGAGATTGCAGTCATTGAGTCCGAGGTAGTAATGTTGCGGTTCTTCGAGCCGGTGCCATACAGCTTTCGCTCTATATATGCACCAAGAATTGGAAAGACAACTATTTGGACGATGGAGAAGATCCACAAGGCGATGCCTGGCAAGGACGATGTGTTTTCTGGGGCCTTTTCCACAAGGTTTGTACCACGATTCTGCCTCTCCCAGCGAGCCATGAAGATGGTAAAATAGACGTAGTTCATGGGTGGGAATAGAATAGATAGTATGGCCACAGACGCCGTCCCAGCCTTGCTCGCGACTTGGGCGATGATGGCAAGGAGCAAACTCACAACAACTGAGGTGATGCCGGAGAGTTGGGCCTTTTTGAAGAAAGCTGCCCCAAGAATCGAGAATGAGGACATTGCCAGACCGGACAGGATATTGAAGATGATTACTATCGCGGCGGAAGTCTTGCTGAATACTCCCACGGAGAGGATGATGCCCATCACAATCCAGCTGGGCCCGTAAAGGATATCAAAAGCAAGGTGGTTGGCCACCACCCTTGCCATTTGAGGCTGCCATCTCTTTGGATTGGGCATCATGCAGTCAAGTAGCTGTGCCATACCCTGTTCCCTCTCAGCAGCGACCAGGCCTGTGAGCTGGTAGGTGACCTCAGATACTCCGATGAAGAACGCAACAGCCAGAATGTCAATGATACCACCCATGTATCTCGTTCGAATGCGAGTCAGTCGTTCCTCTTTTGTCTCGGAGGTGTAGGAGTATTCTTCCACGCGCGCTGGGATAGTATTGGCAGAGCTATTGGCAGCTTCGATATCCGAGATGGCGCGATCAATGGCATGTTGAAATGGGAGAATGTAGATTTCGACATCGTTCTTGGTAGAATCAACCACAATCTTGCTCTGCAGGCCGCCGTCGGCTCGAATAGAATAATTCCAACGCCCGCCTTCTCCTTCGGTCGGGGATGCATAGAAAACGGCGGCAGCAATGCATGTAGACGTTCCTCTGATGGAATTTCTACACACATCCAACAGGTCCTGCTCCTCGTTCAAGATTTCGATGTGCCCACCGAAAGAGCCCGTCTCATTAGCAACTCGGTTAATGACCGATTCTATCGCGCCCCCAGAGAATCCGTTATTGACAAAGACCAGCTTGTCCCTGCCTCCGGATACAAGGCCAAGGGCATCGGGAAGACTTCGGACGGGAGTGGCCTTCCCTAGACCGTACACTGACGGCGGAATGAACAGAAACCGCGCGTAAGACCTATAGTCGTCAGAAGCCCTGGGGTCGATATAAGTCGAGGTAAACGTACAGAAAGCCAACGAATACAACAGGTAAAACAAACGCTCGGATGGTGGTGGAAAGCGGGTGACGGACAAAGACGACCAGTAGATTCTTGAGGATCAAGGTCAAGATCTGGCGCGCGAAGAGCGCCATCCTGCCGGAAACCGCTATGGAAGGACGGCAGGACAGTACTTGTTGGGCTGCCACAGTCTGGATTTCATAGACAATAGACCCAGTGCTCGAAGTCAACGACAGGCTTTCGTTGTACAACGGACAGGACCGTCGCGAGTGAGGTGAGGATCATGGTCAATATATGTACACAAGGACCGAAGGAAATATGGGAGAAGCCAGCATCATCCTCCGCCTCCCTGAGGATGGTGACTTGAGAGCCAGCGATAAAGAGAGAAACGGTGATGCCTGAAAGAGAAACATTGATGCCTGGAAGAGCTAGCCCGGCTGGTTTTGGGATCTACGGTCCTTGCTTGTCTGAGAGGTCATGACGGCGTGATGAGAATGATTGCTACCTGGGGACAGGCCGGGGTTGTTGGCGACTACTAGATGTACCTTAGTGTGGCAGTGCTACTACACTGGCATAGTACAGTGGTACAACGTACAGTAGCACTGTAGCGACTTGCCTCAACTGCCCAGTGCGCGGGGGTGCAATTGGATTACGGCGATTTCGTGGGTACCTAGTACGCTGCAATGTGCATAGTAGGTACATAGTACATCTCCTGTAGTACCTCAGGCTAGCGACTACTACAACATTGTACACACTAAACTGCAAGAAGCACTAGCAAATTTACTACCCAACTCGTACTAACGGTAATTAGTATCGGCACGTGCAGTGAGTAAAGCGGCGTGCGGCTGCTATTCATATTCTGTTAGCTTCTGACCGTCGATACAATGAAGTCATTGCTGCTTTTCTTTACATTGTCACGATCGACGATCAACGAACTGGTTGCCATTCATTGTTGATAGCCCTGTGGGAATAACCGACGCTCATACCGTGGCCTACTATTGATGAGTATGCGATTGTTGTCGCCGTCATAAACGGGATCCTCTCCTGCGTCTTCCATCTCGACACAACTACTCTAGGTAATTTTGCAGACCTTCCGTCCTCGCTCTATTGCAGGGCGTTTGCCCTTGGGCCAGAACTATCCTCCGCGACTCCCCATGCACAAATGCATACATGGCGCGCTCCGGCCACTCTGTGCCGTACTAATTCCTAGACCCAACCCCGGCCTATTACCGACAAGATGCTCCCGGACGATCAAGACCACCGCCCGCCGGTTAGCCATTGCTCCAGGACCGAACAAAGACCAGAATGCAGGCTCTAGTCCCCCGAGCGGAGACTCTCCCCCGAAGCCACCGTCAATGGAAGATGTTCTTGCCGGCATGGACCCGAAGGACAACCCGCTCCTTGCCCCCGTTCATATCCCCGACGATGCGAACGCCGTCTTAAAGCCGGAGCATCCGGCGGCTGATATCCTATCGCAGTCGGGCATAGTGGTGCAAAGACAAATAGAGCTGGCGAACTTGTTGGTAGGATTTGAACAAGCCAACCGCTATGTGATACTCGATCCGCATGGCAACCATCTGGGGTTCATGGCAGAACACGACGGGGGAATCGGAAAAGCCATGTCGAGACAATGGTTCAAGACGCATCGGGCCTTCACAACACACGTCTTCGACATGTATGGTAAGGAGGTGTTGAGGTTTCACCGGCCTTTCTCATGGATCAAGACCCGTATACGGGTGTATGACCCGCTGGTCCCCGTGGGTGCGGAGGTGAACCCCCAAACATCCGCGGTTGTGACGCGCGAGCCCGATCTCACAGCCATGCAACAACTTTCCGACCTCCCTATGGAGCGAATGCGCGTGATAGGTGAAGCCCACTCCGAATGGGCACCGCTTCGTCGGAAGTACAACTTGTTCCTCTCACATTACCCCGTCTTAGACGAGCTTGGGCCGGGAGCGATGGGATCTACAAGTGTCACTGATTTATCCAACATGCAACGATACCAGTCCGCGCAGTTACACGGAGTTACTGGGGCGGTGGAGTTCACACAATTCGCAGCTATCGACGAGCCATTTTTGTCATGGGATTTCAACTTGTTGGATGAAAACGGGCGTCTGATCGGCTCTATCAATCGTGGCTTTCGCGGCTTTGCTCGAGAAATATTCACCGACACAGGCAGTTACATGCTAAGGATGGACGCAGCCGGTGCGGACGAAGATCCACAGAAACACACGCCCACCGGCCCTGCATACACAGAAGTATTGGGGGGCCGAGGCGGAAGCTATGGCTTAACGTTAGATCAGAGGGCGGTGATGCTGGCGACGGCGGTCAACATCGACTACGACTACTTCTCCCGTCATAGTGGCCATGGTGGGTTTATCTTCCCTGTATGGCTGGGTGGCGGCGGAGGAGAAGCGGCCGGAGCAGGCGCTGGAGCAGCTGGGGCAGCTGGTGCCGGTGAAGCCGCTGGTGCCGCTGTGGGAGCCGGTGATGCCGTTGGCGGCGCTGTAGTCGGTGGTGCTGGTCGTGCCGTTGGATCAGCCGCAGGAGGCATGGGAGCAGGCGAGGGTGCGATTGCGGGTGCAGGAACCATGGCGGGATATGAAGCGATGCAAAGAGGTGTTGGACGAGGGCCACGAGCCCCAGAACCTGAACCAGCACCAGAAGTCAGCCCTCACGAACAACCCTATGATGAGCCTTACGACCCTTACAATCCCCGGGCGCCACCACCAGAAGCCAATCCTCAAGAGCCACCGTACGGTGAACCTCACGACCCCCAGTCTCCGCAGAGTGGATTTGATGGACCAAATGAAGGCGGTGATGTCTGGGGTTCTAACGACGCAGACCCCTGGAGTGGCGGCAGTGGTGCGGGCGAATCGGGCGGTGGTGAAGGCGGAGGAGCACTACAGAAACTTTGGGATGCATTCTTCGGCGATTGATCGGTGGAGAAACAGGGTAGTCTGGCCTTCGGCAAAAGTGGTACATTTCACGCATGAGTTCGGATTCAGCTGTACCTCAAGCTATGTGGGAGGCATAATGTCAGGCGGCCCCCGGTTTTTGCCGGCCGCGCTGCCCTTAATATGAAAAAGTACGCGACTCCACGAACTTTAGCAGCAGCTCGCTGGCTGATTTCATAATGTTTACCTGCAATAGCAACAACCAGCGGCGGGCACAGTGCTGTACAATACTCATTGTACAGTGGTAGTATACCTAGATACCTGTAGCGAGGATATTCAACATCATGTGATCAACGGGACAGTAGCCTGATATCACGTGAAAGAAGCAATCTTACATAATGGGTCTCACGTGACAATAAAGCACATGACCGCAAGGCTGTGCGCTTAGCGTCGGCGTAAACCTGGAAGCCGCGCAATTTCGAGCAGATCGAGGACGTTTCTTCCAGCTGTCAACTGTGGACTCCTTCGATTCTGTTACACAGAATAACACCATACTGCGGGAAACAGACTTCCACCTGGCTTCTCAACAAAATGGTGCCCACGGCATATGTGCTTCTTTCTGAGCTCCCTGAAGCCGGTGCGCACACAGGTAGGACCTCACGCCTACTTTACTGCGTACAGCAGCGGAAGAAGGAAGCCGCCCCAATCGGCGATCACATTCTGCTTAGGTCTGACCACCGCTAGTGGGCGTCAGCCTTCCACGGTATGCTACAACAGTATCACAGCACTGGCAGTCTCAGGATCAACAGTAAATGGTTAATAATAATGCTTTGATTGGAGCCATATCAGCCCCCCATATGCAGACTGGAGATCAGCCTCTTGTCCCCCACTGTCGCTGGAGGGCGTTCGACAGAAGCTGCGAGATGGCGGCCAGCTTGTTGTCAATTCTACAAGATTCCGTGGCGGTGATTTGCTCCGCTGGCCTTGGCGGCCTCTTGGTATCCGCCTTGGACCGGTCTTGGGTTACTTTGACCAGTTTGGCTCCGTCGCCTAGAACCATCGCCTCGATCCACCGACTGTCTGTCGCCTTGTTGAAGTTGTTGTCTGCTACGATATGGCAAAATCTAACTTGGAAATTCCTCGGGGCTCCACAATGTGCGCCGGGGATATTGGCACAAATGCTTGTGACACTGCTCCCGCCCTCTAGATTGCGCCACAGGCGTAAGCCAACAAGATCGACTCTGATCATCTTGTGATACTGGGTGGTGATAGCCGGACAAACGACCGCCATGAATCGTCGCGGTGGCTCGACTTTCACAGCGCTGGCCGCAAAAGCAATGCACTAATGTTGAATAGTAACACAGTCAAAGATGCCGATCAGCCTTGCGTCTGACGGCCTCTTGACCATTCCCTTATGTGTCATGTCATGCGTGGGCGGAGTAGTATCGTCGCTCACAGGGTCTTGAAGAGAGAGACACAGACCCTGGCCACCGCACATGGCCTTAGCTGTACCGCTTCCCCCGGCTTTCCCTCCACTGGAGGATTAGTAGAAACTGGCCCTCTTGTCACTTGCCCTTCTTTTTCCTCCTCCTCTTTCCTACATTTCTTACCACGCACTGATCGAACGGGTTGGTCGACGACCATCAGGCAATCACGATGACCGCCGTTCACCACAGCCCCAGTCTTTCCGCATCCGCAGACGATCCGGAAAAACTCGAATACACATCGACTGGACCTCACACTGTGCCCGTCACTACCGGTCACATCCATGGCGTCGAGTATCAAGATGGTACGAGGCTGCATCGAGGCCTCAAGGCCCGGCACATCACCATGATAGCTATCGGAGGTGCCATCGGTAAGTGCTCAAATCAATTATCAAGTCAAAGGGCAAAAGCTGACTTTTTGTCTTAGGTACTGGATTGATCATTGGGACTGGGCAGGCTCTGGCACGAGCAGGACCAGGGTCCATCTTCATCTCGTACACCGTCGTCGGGTTCCTCGTGTATCTGGTGATGTGCGCCTTGGGAGAAATGGCCGCCTGGCTGCCTCTGTCTTCCGGGTTTACAGGTTATGCGGTGCGATTCTGCGACCCAGCGCTTGGATTTGCCCTCGGATGGACGTGAGTATACCCAACAGTTTTTGCATTGCTTTTGCATCTCCATATCTGCCCATTCCTACTTCCAGCCCAAACTATTCTGTTGCCCCATGTGCATTATATTCCGGCAGTACCAGCGTCAGCGTCAGCACCAGCATCAGCATCAGTATAGGCCACCTCATCACCTTCATCTCATCTTGAATCTTGCTGCGTCCAATATACCTACTTGTCCACTGACACTTTTATTCCTCCCACAGATACTGGTTCAAATACATCATCGTAACACCCAACCAACTAACAGCCGGCGCACTGATCATCCAATACTGGGTCGACCGCGAAAAGGTGAACCCGGGAGTATGGATCGCCGTGTTCTGGGTAGCAATCGTCTTCATCAACTACTTCGGGATTCGATTCTTCGGCGAACTTGAATTCTGGCTGTCCACACTCAAAGTAATCGTCATCGTCGGGATCATAATACTATCTCTCGTGCTCGCACTCGGCGGCGGACCAGACCACGACCGCAAAGGGTTCCGATACTGGAGCGAACCGGGCGCATTCGCCGAATACATCGACGATGGGGCGACGGGCAAATTTCTCGCATTTTGGTCGACAATGGTGACAGCGACATTCGCCTATCTGGGAACAGAACTCGTAGGCGTGACAGTCGGCGAAGCCCAGAACCCACGCAAAACAATCCCACGCGCAATCAAGCTGACCTTCTACCGAATCCTGTTCTTCTACTGTCTCAGCGTGCTACTTTTGGGAATGCTGGTCCCCTACAACTCCGAACAACTTGCCTTCGCAACCAAGGCGTCCAACTCGGCATCCGCATCCCCATTTGTGGTCGCGATCAAACTTGCAGGCATTAATGCTTTACCCGGAATCATCAACGGCTGTATATTGTTGTTCGTGTTTTCAGCCTCCAACTCCGACCTCTACATCGCCAGCCGGACGATTTACGGCCTTGCATCCGAGGGAAAAGCGCCCAAACTGTTCCGCCGTACCGATTCGCGCGGCGTGCCTGTGTACGCGCTCGCCATCTCCGCCGCATTCGCATTGCTTGCATTCATGAATGTCAGCGACGACTCAAAGACCGTGTTCGGATACTTTGTCAACCTGGTCACGATTTTCGGTCTGTTGACTTGGATTTCCATTCTCGTGGCACACATCTATTTTGTGCGCGCAAGGCGTGCGCAGAACGTGCCTGACTCAGCACTGGCGTTTACTGCCCCCTTGGGCGCCGCGGGATCGTATGGAGCGCTCGCGCTGTGCATTTTGATCGCGCTGACGAAGAACTTCCCTGTGTTTACGCACTCGAAATCCTGGGGCGACTTTGATTACAAGAACTTCATCACCGGGTATCTTGGGATTCCGCTTTATATCATTATGATCTTCGGGTACAAGTTCATCATGAAGACGAAGACGGTTTCGCCTGAGACGGCTGATCTGTGGTCGGGGAAGGATATTATTGATCGTGAGGAGGAGGAGTTTGTGGCTGCACAGCGGGCAAAGGAGGCCGAGCGCACCAAGAACGGTGGCAAACCGAGGGGTTGGTTCTATCGCACTTTTGTGTCATGGTTGTTCTAGAGAAAGAGTTCGAATGTCTGGCTCTTTTCTTTTTTTCTGCATGCCTCCTCCACAATACAGTATGACAGTGCATGCTTCATGTGATGCGTTTGTTTCACCTCAGCCAGAAGAACGAGGGTTAGTAAAAATTGATATTAGCTATGAATGATCATCTTGATGACTCGGACTGACTACAAATGGCAAATGACCATAACGGTCTACTAGTGTATTGTCTGCAGTATGGGTAGTGTAGTGCTGTGTGTCTTATTTGGTCTGTTTACCTAATTATTTAAATGGGGGGTATGGTATAGTATATCTTTGGTCTTCGTGATTTCTTCCAACTCGGCGTCACGGTCATCGGGGCCCTGAGGCATTACCTGAGACTTTGCCTTCTGCAGGACGTTGCGGCGAGGTAGGAGAGACGTTCGGAAGCTCCCCGAGCGGGTGTCTGCCTGTAGTCATATGTCTGCTTCTGCTGGATGCTAGTGAAATGGGAGCAGCCGAAGATCGGGCAGTAGCGCTTTTGCTTTTGCCTTTGTTTTTCCTCTTCCTTGGAGAACGGAAAACGGCCGGTGGGCTGAATGGCGAAATGGCCGACATTGGGCCCTTGAGCGCACGGTAGAGGGGTATCAAAGTTCTCCTTACGCTTCCGGTTCCGACTGAAGCAGTGGAGCGTGACCTGTGTTTGGATATTGTGGCGGCGGCAACACCACTGTCTGTTCTGCGCTTCTTTCTCGCTTCTTCTGAGGGTGATATATGAATCGACAGGGTGTGCTTGCGTACAGATGTGTTCTGTCCGTCAACAGGTGAACTGAATCTGACCATACCGGTATCGCCTGGACGTCTAGCATGAGCCACCGTGTCCAAGCCTTGTCTCTCAAGCTTGTGGTCTGTGAGGTCTGCAAACTTGACTCCTCCACCTGGAGAACTCTTCGCCGGACTTGTACTTTGAGAATTGCCTTCTGCATTGTACCCTTTCCCATCGGCCTGGATGAGACGTTGCAGCCATTCAGCTTCGTCGTGGTCAAACGCTTCAGACACCGGCGTCATGCTCTTGCAAGCCATCTCCTGCAGCTCTTCAAAAGTGTTTGTTTCGACCAGAGATCTGTCCAGATGCAGCTTGATGTTGAGAGCGCGAGGGAACCGCAGCACGAAGTATGGAGTGTTAGACGGCTTCTCAAACCCTGCTCCCATGACCTCGACAACAAAAGGCTCTTTGAAGAGAGCTGTAGGCGGTCGTATCCCCCTCTGATCGATCCGTACGTCGAGATACTGCGTGCATCTGGAATACGGAATCTCCAAGAGCCGAACTCTCTCGTTCAGAAACAAGATATTGTCCTTTGATATGTTGTGATATGACAGAACGTCCAGGAGCCGGAATGCAGGCTTAGCATTGAATCTCCGGACTTCATCCCTGTTCTCGAGGCAGGCAAGGTGAAACGATGTCCAAGATAGTTGGCCAATTTTCAGCTCGTCAACCACACTTTGCTCGCGTCGGCCGCCAACAATGCACAGGTCAACAGTATCGCCCAGCCCGGCAATGTAATCCTTCTTCAGTTTAATGACGCTGCTGCTCTCTTCCCACGAAAAGTAAGGATCCTTGCAGCCTTTCAGCACAAGACCTTCCCATCTCTCGTTAATGGCATGGACGAACAATTCGCGCAGTCCGTCTTTGCAGTCCCTTTTCGAGAAGTCGATGACATTGCGATATCCGATTTCGGATTGACCCTCGACTGGTCTGACAACTGCCCTCAATAGCTCTCGTCGCTCGGCGTGGGGTTTATTAGTCAATACTTTGTCGTCAAGTAGCAATATATCATAAAACATAATCATTAACTGCTCATCCGGCTTTCTTGGAGAATCAGCCTCGGCGCCTAAGAAGCGCAAGCCGTGCATGACATGTTTGCGAATGACATGAAACGGCTGGACGGCTCTCTTCGACCGACTCCACACGAGAAGCTCACCCTCCACGATACAATTCCGTTGTATTGGACAGTCTGCATTGTCAAGCTGTAGACCTACGGCAATTGCCCCGTGTAAGCGGACTCGATCCTCGGTCGAGTTCTTGCCGCTTTTGGAAAAGATCTGAATGCAACCTCTGCCGTGCTTTGATCTGTCGATATGTATCTGGCAATACTCGCCGTCATACTTTCGCTCCACACTCATTGACCTCTGATTTGCCATCTGACAGCAGTGCCGGATACTCCTGGCTTTGTAGTACGGCTGACGGCAGATCATGACCCCTAGTTTCGGTACCAGGTATCTTGCACATACTTTGCGATAGATGTGCCTTAGCTCTTTTGGAGGGTTTGGCGGCAGAGATCTGAGATCTTCTTGAGATAACACTTCCACTGCCGCTTCGAGACTGTTCTGTATGGCTAAGACATCGGGAAGGAGGAAATGAAACGACTGCATAAACTGATGTTCTGGTATCTGGATAGGACTATAAGACTTCAATATCATGCGCACGAGCCACTTCGCTTCCCAGCTTTGTAGGCGCCGTACGATGGGCAGTAGAATTTCGTGGGGATAGGCGTTATTGGCCGACCATCGAATCTCTACTGACGAGAAAGGTGAGTTCGCGGCGATCTGAAAAAGGGCTTCGTCGATTTCCTCGAGAGTGACTTGGTTGCTGGCGTCTGGAAGAGGCATCTCGGCCTCAGACATGATCTGTTCTAGACATGTTGAGAAATCAAGCTTTGAGTCTTGCCAGCGCCGTAGTCTGTCGGCTCGACCTGTCCCGAGATGAAGTATACGACCAAAGGTCGTGGCTAGTCTGGCTTCTTGCATCGCGTACGTCCGATGCGACAGACGCTCTGGAAACATGCAAGCCAGAAAAGAAGCAGCGGAGGGTCCATGTCGAGGTATCTGGTGGCCATGTGCCTTGAACCATTGATCCACTACTTGGTGCTCCGGCTTCATCGCACGGGACACTGTAAGGGGTTTCTGCCATTTTGCGGCGTCAAGGCCATCCAAGAGTTCCACTAGCCAGTTGAATTTGAAGCCCATTGACCGGAGATGTCGGAGTGTCCGTCGGGGAGGTTGAAGACAGTGGTGGGAAGCGAAGTCAAACAGGAAGCGTCATAACAAGTCATTGTGCCTTGGTCTGAAGCTCGTGTCTCATATATAGCACACTGAACGTGCTCTTTCATATATTGCTGTTCGGAATTGCGGCTGATGGAATGTCTTTGTTCTGTGAAGTGCAATTAAAGAAAAGACGCGTCGTTCGTGGGCGCGCCAACCACGCGCTTTCACGTGACTGCCCATTTTCTATTACTATTGCCAATTTCGAGTTGGTTGATAGGTGAACGAAGTTCGGTATTGTGCTCAGCTGATGGGCGGCGTGAAATGGCTGCACATAGACCGGAGGATATATTTATATGATCCTTTGCGAAGACAAAGAGATCCTCTACTGGCAATCGTGGCATGGCAACTGGAGATTGGAAACTAGGTGCTGGTTGGTACAGGGCAAACAATCAAAAGGCAAATCTTGCCTGACAAGGCTATCCATCTACTCTAGGTAGTCTTGTGTCCTCCTCATAAGACGTAAGCAAACGTTCCTCCCACAGCATCCCAGCTGTTGCTTGTTTCGCTTCTTTCTCCAATACTAGTATCAGTACGCAGCCACTCACCCGGGCTCGTCTCACAACTTGCCAGCAACCGCAAGGGGTAGAATATCAATTCATAAATTAACAACGCCATTGCGAGTTCCAAAACCCAGAAGTTCGAACCAGATGGTATCGTATGGTTAGTTGCACGGAAAAATATCATGTAATTGGGGTATCAATATCATGTTCGGCATCAGCATCAATCCGAACATCCTGTCCGTTCCCTGGCTGGCGATCTAGGCCGCATAGCTTCCCACTCATCTTCGGTCGAAGAACCGTCCTGGCCATATTCTGATCGCTTCAGGCTAGACCCGATCCGGCCTCAGCTTCAAGATGACTCGGGGTAGCTGGGCGCGCCAGCATCCCAGCGATCCTTTTCTTATGGCTGTGGGGGCCTTGTCTGATGGGGTCATTGGGGCAAAACTTGGGCTCCATGACTTTGTACTCATCATGACCACGCCTGTCATAGCCGTTGTACAACAGAAGCTCTAGATCTTGTAGTACTGCGGCGAAGAGATCTCCCATTCAAGGTCTGAGAGTTGATCTGTGAGATGGGTAGACTTGCTGGACTTCCTGTCGTCGCTGTCTGCGTGGAACCAGCCACTAGCAATACGATTGCCTTTGATCAGGCAACCTTCTCATGCTGGGTGGACACGCGGTTCAACGACACAACTAGGGTAACAGATTAGTGAAGATCTCCACAGGAATCTGAACATAAACTTACGAAAATCCTCCATGTCCCTCTTCTTCAGTACCTTATTACTTCTTGATCTTCTTCCATGCACAATATCATCAAACGTCACGCTGTCTTGGAGCAGGTAATAAACTCCAGCCATGACACAAAAGACCCCGAATGAGTACAGCCAGATCCGCACCACGGCAACGATGCTGGTTTGATGGCCGCCCACGAACCATCCAAAGAGACAGAAGAATGTGGCGAGGATGTCAACAAGCAGGATTGCTCCGGTAAGTTGCCAAGAAGGAATACTGGACCAGAACGGTCCATTTGCACGGGTAATGAAGATCAGCCAATTCTCCGATAGGGAGATTTGAAGAAACAATACAGCGTCAGTATGGCCGAAATTTTGCACAATACCGCCATTTTCGCCCCCAACAATCATGGTCGTCAATGCGACCCAGGTCCCTGCAGCCAGCACCAACCCCAGAAGAATGGACATGCCCCAAAGTTTGGGTAGATTCCACTTGACGGGCGTCTTCGAATAGGGAGCGTTGTCGTACGCAATTGCGAGTGTTGCAATATCGGCAAAAATCGCGATAAATACCACCAACTTGAGGTTCAGCGACCTGTTTAGGATGGCGATCCACAAACCCAGGAAGATCTCCAAGTGCAGAGACAGTGCAATGCGGTAAACAACGTAGGCATACATCCGGTGGAATATCTGTCGGGATGTCTTCAATGCGTCGATGATTGCTGAAAGGCCGGGAGCGAGGAAGACTATGTCAGCGGCGGATCGGGCTGCGTCAGAAGCCCCTTCCACAGCGATCCCAGTGTCTGCCTTCTTGAGAGACGGAGCATCATTGACACCGTCCCCTGTCATAGCCACAAGGTAGCCTCGCTGCTGCAGAATCTCTACCACGTTGTATTTGTGTTGCGGGAAAACTTCAGCAAACCCATCAGCGGCTTCGACGAAATCATATACTTCGGAACCAGGCATTGTTCCGCCTCCGGCGAGCCCGAGACGTTCAGCGTTGAAAACGTTCGTGCCGAGTCCTAGTTGTCGTGAAGTCTCCCGCGCAATGCCGACAGCATCGCCCGTTAGCATTTTGATCGAGAGACCCAGCGACTTCGCCTCGTTGATCGTCTTTGCGGTATCATGTCGAGGCGGGTCCGCACACGGCATGATCCCCAGGATCTCCCAGGAGTTGTCGCCTCGCTTCCGTGCAACACCCAAAGATCGGAAACCTCTAGTTGCGAACTCTGCGACCTTGTTTTTGTATGCAACCTCAATGTCTTCGGGGATTTGGTTGTCCTCTTCAACCGTCCGGAGGACGAAAAGAGGAGCACCCTTGACGCAGATTATGCGTTCACCCTGAGGTGATTCGACAACAGCGCTGACCTTCTTTGACACGGGATCAAAAGGATAGAACTGGAGGACTTTGTACTTGGACAAGGCCTGCTTTGCCCGTGGATAGTACCGAAGTGCCTTGAAAAAAGCCTTATCGATGGCATCCATGCCCTTCCTCTTTCTCGAAGCAGCCAAACATGCCGTCAGCATGAGATCCTCCGGGTCAACGCCTTGAACGGTGTACGGTTCATGCAGGGAAAGCTTGTTCTTCGTCAAAGTACCGGTCTTGTCTGTGCAGAGGATCTCCACGCCTGCCAGCGACTCAATAGCAGACAGCTTTTGGACTATCGCCTTCTTCTTTGCGAGATAGGCCGCACCAACAGCCATAGTGGTGGTGACGACGGCAGGGAGACCGACGGGCACGCCAATGATTGTAACAGCTAAAGTAAATCGGAGTATGGTGACAATACCGTTGGATCGATAGAAAGAGGAAATCCAGACAACCAAGAGTGTGAAGACGACTAGGGCAAGGAGGACAGTGCCGATTCCGTTCAAGACTTCGGTGAAATGACCTGAGCCGCCCGATGCCTCATTGACCAAGGCTGCCGCTCGGCCAACAAAGGTGTTGTCTCCAGTCGCCGTAACGATCATGAAGCAGGATCCTCGCTTGACCGCGGAAGAAGCGTAGCAAGTGTCCCCAAGGGTCTTGTCGACGGCAAGAGACTCGCCGGTGATGGAAGATTGATCGACTTGTAGATAGGCATCTTCGGTCACGATGCGGCCATCGGCGGGAATGATTGTGCCTTCTTCGAGCTGCAGAATATCCCCAGGGACCACCATTGGAGCCTCAATCTCAACGAGACGTCCTTCTCTCAGGACGACAGCCTTTAGAGCGAGGGTCTTTTTGAGCTCCTCCACAATTGACCCTGCTTGAAACTCTTGCACGAAGCCAACAGTGGCATTGAGGAGGAGAAGCGCGCAAATCACTCCGAAGTCAACCCAGTCTTCCAAACCAGCGGCGAGGATTGCAGCAGCCTGTATCACAAGACATCAGTCTCCACACTTGGGGCAGGTGCAGGGCATTATTCTCACCTCCATGACGAATTGAATCGGACCAACGAAATACCCGAGGAATTTCAAGAGCAGGTTCTCTTTTTCCTCTTTCATCTGGTTGAGGCCGTATTTTTTCCGCCTGGCAACCACCTCTGGTTCTATTAAGCCCACACGCGGGTCGGTTTGAAGTAATTCTTCCGGGACAGTCCTTGGCCCTCCCACCGTTTCAATCTCGTCTTCCATTTCGGCCTCAGGATCCAGGGACTCCAGTTCTTCGATTAGGGCGTCAACATCATCCTCCTCCTCTTCGTCATCATCCTTCTCCGTCCTCGAGACCCCTCGTTCCCTGAACGAGTTGCCATTGTGATGGCCCGGCTTTTCGGAGGTGAGGTTGGGAGCAGTAGGATTCACGTGTACTCGAGGCGGGCGCTTGCTGGAAACGGACCCTGCCGAACTCACGTCGGAAGGTATGTCTACCATATTGGGTAAGATAGGGGACGTGTAGATAGGATGAAGTTATGTGAGCTCCATGAGGGAAAGCTGAGGAGAGGTTGTGTTTGACTGAGGAGCGATGTGTGTAGGTTGGGAAGGACCGCAAGATGCGGCTGCCACGACAGCAGGCAACACGGTCGGAGTCAACCGCAGTCTTTCTGCACCTGTTGTATGGGCTGCGTGGACCGGTTCATAAAGTAGAAATATATAATGTATGGTTGTAAAATGCGAGGGAGAACGAACAACGATCATTCTTTAGCCCTTTGGGGTTGATGCTAAAATGATGGAGTGATTCCGCATTCATCCCCGCAACTGAAGATGGTGGATCAAATCACTGCCAGTGCACGACACGCGTGACAGTGGTAGTTCTGTAGAACTATTTCTTGGTACCCTTAATTTTAGTAGAAGTAGTAGACATAGCCGATCCCTCCTGAAAACCAATACCAACACCAGCTATAGTCCACCACTCTACGACAGCGCCGGGCCCGTACATTTTGTGCCTCGGGTTCAAACGACTGTAAGAATCATGGAATACTTGAAGTATTTCATATTACGTATAATAGTTGGATCCTAGTGGGAGAACCAGAGAGGAATAATGGCAATTTTTTTCTGGCCTGGACTGTGCAACATCTAAAAGGGAATACTGGCGGTGCTACTCTGTTATCGATGCTTCTCGCAAGGGCATGTGGCTGCCCTCAATCCCGGCGAAGAAGATGCAGCCGAGACCTATGCTGTGGTCTCTCCCGCGAGAAGACCTCATTCAAACTTCCAAGGGCCTGCCAGGAAAGAGTTCCTCAAGTTGACTACGACCAGTTACCAGGACACGATCACAGATTCTGTTCTTGGTCATCATCAAGGAAAACATCGAGATTCTAGTCCATTTGCTCAACGACAATTTTATTTGACTCGAACACTTCTGTGCAGGAGAAAGAAGTAGCCCACATTACCAGATTGCAATGATCAACCATGACAAACTCGAAGTAGGCTCCTATTGCGCAATTCCCTGGTGATGCGCCAGCAAAGACCTGAGGCGTGAACAAACCGCCCTCCTATTTCCCAAACGCCAATATGTAGTAATCAAACATGTACAAGGGTATCATCCTAGACCGCAACCCACGAAGGAACCCAGGTCACCATCCCGCCAAAAGCCGCAGTCATTATGTCCAATTGCTTTCGGGGCGAGCAAGTCTAATCCTGCTTGCTTTGTTGGGGCGGAGTGAATTGGAAGCCACTTTGAAAGGCAGGCATGCCATTCGACACATTTCCGAAATTCATGGGAAACGGCATCACGGGCATGTTGCCGGAGCCGGATGTTCTGTCATTTCGATCCATTCGGCGATCGTCATCACGATGTCTATCATCGCGGCCGCCAGGATGGCGCGAGGATTGTGGGCCGCGTCTGCCTCCTGTATCGGTAGCAATGCGCCGGCTCATGGCTATTGAACGTTAGCAAGGGTCTGAAGTATCCGAAAAGATGTCCCTCACCTTTGGATGAAACACCAGCACCAATCTCAATATCGGGTTCCTCAACGACCATGAATTGCTCGATTGGAAGACCACCTGTCCCTCCATATTCGGCGGTGACCAACCACTTACGGTCAGCATCGGTCAAACGTTCGATGGGAATGACACTAATGCCAGTTGCATAGTCGCTGCAGTCACGTGGTCCAAAGCCAACTCCCCATTTGGTCTATATAGCCATGTCAGTAACTTTGCTGCCATAAATCGCTGTGTTGAGGTACTTACACGAAGTTGTGTGTCTCCCGTTTTGTACTCTTCCAGGCCGTTGCGAGCAGCCTCAGCATCCCGACGGTTGATCATCTTCACAAAAGCGTGACGTTTGTCCACATTGACGATGCAGGTCTGAACCACGCCAAACTTGCTGAAAATGGATCGCAAATGTGCTTCACTGGAAGTAACCCCGCCCACAAAGAGCGTCCGACTGTACACTTTGATGTGGCCCTTGGGCAGAGACGTATCCCAGGTCACGTTCTTGGGGCCTGGTGGCGGTAGTTTGTAATCGACGGGAGGCGGTGTCGAAGGACGACGGCGCCGACCAGCCGGGCTGCGTTGGCGGTAATCATTGCCGCGTCTGCCGTCACGGTCATTACGGTAATGATCGGGGCCAGGGCTATCCCGACGACGTCTTGGAGATAGATCTCGGCGTCTATCATACCCTGGAGAGCGAGACCGACGTCGATACTGACCCGGGGGAGAGCGGGTGTGGGCGTCACGTGACTGACCCGCTGGCTGACCAGCCCAGTTGTTTGCTGGGATTGGGGGTGCAAAGGGAAGCCCGGGAACACCACCAGTATTGGCGTTGGCACTTTGCATGTTCAACAATTGGAGAGCGGTAGCCCATTGATCTGGCGGGACGCCTTGAGCAGCCAGCAACTGCAAAACTTGAAGCTGAGCTTGAGGATCTTGGCCTAAGGGAGCAGCGGGAGCAGGAGCAGGAGCGGGATTCTGCGGCACCGCTGGAGCAGGAGCTTGTGGCTGAGGAAGAAACGCAGCAAGCGAATTCTGAGGTACATTTGCGGGACTCTGACTTTGTGCACCATTACTCAGTCCAGCGAATAGAGCTCCAAGGGGGTTTACAGCCTGCCCATTGGAGGCAACAGCAGCGGGAGCAGGGCCTGGGTTTACGGTACTGGTCGGCTGAGGGGTCCCATTCTGCGTGCCTAACAGATTATTCAAACTAGATGGCGCGGGTGTTGGCGTTGCGGCGATTGCGGCGGGTGGTGCTGAAGCGTTCTGCTTGGCCATGTTCTTGAGGGCCTCGAGGATGGCGGAGGTATCTTGCTGAGGAGGCGCTGAGGCGGTAGTATTGGTAGGGGCAGCTGGTTGCCCTAGAGGAACAAATCCAGGTGCTGGGGACTTCTCTGGCGTCGTCGAGACTAGCAAAGCATTAGATTGGCCTCGCCAGGCGGATATCACCTGCAGAGCGGTCTTACCTCTTGGTGCATCAAGCTTCTCTTTCAAGGAAGCGAGCAACGGAGCAGGAAAGGTGTTTGAGCGCTCCCAGATTTCAATGAGCTTCTTGATTTTGATCTGTCAAAGACAATGATTGTGAGCACAGGTTTGCGGCGTCGCCGAGACAATATCAGATTGGGATAGCGGATTGTTATGGAGGAGCGACCGCTGTTTTGATGTGCGAGACATAGCTCGGCGTGATAATGATGCACAGATTGAACGTCTAGTCATACCTTTTGATCTTCTGGAGCTGTAGCAATGATATCGTTCATGAGTACGGGCAGCAATTCAGTCACTCGAGTCACACCAGCGGCGAAGGTTCCGTCAGGGGCTCCGCTACCAAGCTGTTGACCAGCCTTTCTGGCTTGATCTACCCATTGTCGTGTTACCGAGTCTACAACATAGAGTACTCCCAGTTTGTGTGTGCCCGGCGTCTTTTTGAAATGTGTGTAGATCTTCTGGATCAGGACTGACTCAGACTATACGGATCATTAGTTATAGTAACATTTTCGAACAGAACCAACCACGTACTTGGACATTGGCAGTGCACAGTGAGGTGATGGCGGTGATCTTGGAACCAGAAACTCCGGGTGGCTTCAGATTAAGCATGGACTGCAGGATCGCGTCCAGCTCTGCTACTGCAGAAGACATTGTGAACAACGAAGTCTTGCTACAACCCCGATGCCAAAGAGTATTCCTGTGATAGATCTGCTGGACTAGGCTGCTGCAGACAGTTCAAATTTGGTGAACGCAGCAGGTCGAAAGCCAGCGGACGCGTCAAGGCTATCCGCAAGATGTCTTACAGCCTTCAAAGTACAGGGGTGTAGCTAGCAGAAGGTAGCGCGAGACGTATTGCTGTGCCTTTCTCTTTGTTCTGTAACAGCCTTGGGTACGATGAGGCAGACTTCTCTACAGTCTGAGCAGAAGCACCTGCCTGATTGTACAGGGTCGGTAGGAATGACGATACTAGCGGCCAGATGTAGCGAGCAAGGCAAGGATGTCCAGGGGAAGATGGAGATTACGACAATCTGATGGCGCTACGTGCGCGATCGGTAGTGGATGAGATGAGGATGAAGTTGAGTTGATGGGGGAGAGGAGAGGATGAGGTAGGAAAGAGGTTGGAAGAGAAGAAGCAAGAAGCGGAGATTTGAAGAGGCCTTTTGCAAGAGGACGGCGGGCGCGACAAACGGCGGCGCAGAGGCAAGCGCAGGTGCAAAGGCCGGGCGCAGGCAATTATTATTTTCGACTCCAGACGCGGCGTTGAGGTTGCGGTTAGCACTTGTCTTGCACTCCAGGGGCTGCGGGTGGTCGCAGTGGGGACGCTGTGCGGCTTGCTGCACGTGACTGGGATTTTCTCGGGCTTGCGACATTTCCTGTCTGTGCCTGGAGCAACCTGCCAGCGGCCAGCGGGCACCTGGCGTTGAAGGGGCCCACTACTACAACAACTTGAATGCATGTATAACCATCATTACAATCGAATAAATACAATCTGTATCATGATAGCATCCTTTGCTATGTGGCTACGCCAGCCTACTTTATCCGGAGCTTCGGTTGTACGTGGGAGAGTTTATTATGGCACATATAATGCTGTCGGAGGACTGAAAAGTAGCAGTTTGTCGGTCTGAGGCTGTTTGTTGACAGCTGCAACGTGGGCATGGCGTCCGGCTTCCCGGACTCCCTAGCACGACTTGAACTTCAACTGGCCGCCCCATCCGAGTCGTTGGTGAACCCTGAGCATTCTCAGTCAGTACTAGCCAGTAGCAGGATGGGCCCGTAGTAAGAATAGTAGTGGTAGATTCATGGTTCTGGATGGTTACATAAGTAGCATTCGGCGATGTCAAGGGAGAGCGATCTCTGCGGGCAGTGACATCGAAGGGAAGCTCATCCGAGTCCCGGAAGCCAGTTAAATCTTTTTGTTCATCTGCTCAAGGTAAATAGCTTCTCCCTATCATCGTCACTGCCCACCATCCTTCCTCTCTCCATCTCCTCCTGCGGTCTGTTGCTTTCTTCACTTGGCCAGTTGCTGTACCTTTTACTCTTACAATGGCTTCTTCCCTTCGCATTGGGAGCTCGCTGCTCCGCACATCGAGACCTCTCGTCCAGAAATCCGCCTTCAATGGTGTCCGCTGCGCGAGCACTAAAGTAAGCATGCACCCAAGGCTCCATAGCTGCTGTACTGACCGTCTTGTTGCAGACTCTGAAAGAGGTCTTCGCTGCTAAGCTCCCGGGAGAGATCGAGAAGATCAAGAAGCTGAAAAAGGACTATGGCTCCAAGGTCGTTGGCGAGGTTACCCTTGACCAAGTTTACGGCGGAGCTCGAGGCATCAAGGCCTTGGTTTGGGAAGGATCCGTTCTTGACGCAGAGGAGGGTATTAGATTCCGTGGCAGAACCATTCCCGAATGCCAGGAGGTCCTTCCCAAAGCTCCGGGCGGCGAAGAGCCTTTGCCTGAAGGTCTTTTCTGGCTCCTCCTGACCGGCGAGGTGCCCAGCGAGCAACAGGTCCGCGACCTGTCTGCAGATTGGGCCGCCCGATCGGACCTCCCCAAATATGTCGAGGAGCTGATCGACCGTTGCCCGAACGACATGCACCCGATGGCCCAATTCTCGATCGCGGTCGCTGCTCTCGAACATACCTCCGAATTCGCCAAAGCTTACGCTAAGGGAATCAACAAGAAAGACTACTGGACTTACACCTTTGAGGATTCAATGAACTTGATCGCCAAGCTGCCTACGATCGCAGCCAAAATCTACCGGAACGCATACAAGGATGGCAAGGTTGCTCCGATCCAGAAGGACAAGGACTATGCTTTCAACCTCGCAAATCAGCTTGGATATGGCGACAACAAAGACTTTGTCGAACTGATGCGCTTGTACCTCACGATCCACTCCGACCACGAGGGTGGTAACGTGAGCGCGCACACCACTCACCTGGTCGGCAGTGCCCTGAGCTCGCCTATGCTGTCCTTTGCCGCTGGTCTCAATGGTTTGGCCGGTCCTCTTCACGGACTCGCCAACCAGGAAGTCCTGAACTGGCTCACCAAGATGAAGCAGACTATTGGTGACGATTTGAGCGACAAGGCCATCACCGATTATCTCTGGGCTACACTCAACGCCGGTCGTGTTGTCCCGGGCTACGGACATGCAGTTCTGCGAAAGACCGACCCTCGTTACGTTTCGCAACGTGAATTTGCCCTCCGCAAGCTCCCCAATGACCCGATGTTCAAGCTTGTCAGCCAGGTGTACAAGATTGCCCCAGGCGTCTTGACCGAGCACGGCAAGACCAAGAACCCATACCCCAACGTTGATGCTGTAAGTTGAGCCCTCGCCCAAAGAAAAGTGCACATGTACTGACGCTGTTTTAGCATTCCGGTGTCCTTCTTCAATACTACGGATTGACTGAAGCGAACTACTACACTGTCCTCTTTGGTGTCTCGCGTGCCCTCGGTGTCCTGCCTCAGCTCATCATCGACAGAGCCGTTGGTGCCCCAATCGAGCGACCGAAGTCCTTCAGCACGGACGCGTACGCCAAGCTGGTGGGAGCCACACTGTAAAGGATTTGGTCTGGAAGTTCAATATGCTGGCAAGCTAGCAAAGAAGCAGGCAAGCGATGTACAATTGTGAGACAATCTTGTAGGTTTACAATGGGTACTAGGGCGATGGATGGCTGGAGCTCGGCTGTGGTCGGTTGCGAATTGAACCATTCGATATGCCAACTTGGTGTCGACGAGCATTTTGGATCATCTACTATTTTTTTTCGTGTCCCGTCTGAATTGGCCTCGTAAGAACTTTATTACCTTAGCGGAGGGCACCCGGAATTCTCGACGGTTATGTAACGGTTAGTAGGTTTTTACAGTATACTGACGGTAAATTTTCAAATTACCGTAAATTCTTCTTAACGTAAACTCCGATTAACCTCGGTATAAGGAATTATAATCTTCCGTCCCGTAGTATTATCTAAGCTAGCTTATATAAGGTTTAGGGGCGGAAATCTACTAAGGTTAAGAAATACGCATCGGTATTAATAGAATACTATTTTAAGGGCTTTATAATATATCTACTCTCGGAACGCTACCTAGTTATATCGAATAGTAATAGGATCTATAATTATAATCTTAATTACTAGGTACGGAAGTATCTTTATATCTATAGATACTAATATATACTGATTTATATCTATAAATATAATAAGATAGTTCTACTAATCTTAACTATTATACGAGTCTTTATAAACTATACCGTCGGATATTAATTAACCACTACGAGTACCGCTACTACGACGGGTAAGCGAAGAACTAGGATAACTACCACGAGGACTTCTAGTACTACTTATACTACTACTACGACCGCGACGAGCGAGAAGACTACTACTAGTATATAAAGAAGAATCGGATAGATCTTTAAACGGCGATATATCTAAATCTATAGTAGAAGAACTACTAGCCGGAGAACTACCACTAGGAGAATTATTAGTAGAATACCTAGCGCTTAAAGAAGGTAGACTAAGACTTCTATATCGATTAGCTAGGATACGGTTATCTACCTCGCGCTAACGTTACTAACGATCTCTACGCGCACGGTCGGTAATCTTCTTAAAGTCTATTACACTTATATTATTAAAGTTTCTATAACTTACGATTTTATCGTAAAAAACGAGGATAGTTTGGCGAAGCTAAGCGCGCTCGAGAGTGTTTTTCTTTTCGATATAGAGCTTAATCTAGGTATAGAGATTTATATATAATACTAGATATATATATTAGCAGATGTCGTATCTAAGTTTTTTTAGGACTTACCTTAATAATAGTACTTACCGAGTAGCTTACTATTATCTATATCGATATAGTCGCGTATATATTTCTAGTAAGTATAGAAGTTTATAGTATTAAAGATAGACTTAAAATAAGCACGTAATATATCCTGATCTTTATAAGACGTAATCTAGTAATAGTCTTTATTATATATCTATTTAGAAACGTGTTTCTAGGCTGCGCAGTGGCGCGGGTCAACCCGACCCTACCCGCGTTAGGGCTACCCTAAGGGTTAGGCCGGGTAGGCACTCCGTAACCTAACGGGTGCCGCGGGCGGATTCCTGAAATTTAAGCCCTACCCGTAGTACCTATTTGGGCCGGGTAGCCTATTCGGGTAGGTAGTTTAATAGAAAAATACCGATAATATTATAGCTTAATATATATAGAAAAGTAATAGCTTATACGCTAACTAGAAAACGTACTAGTATAAGAGAAATCTATTCTATAGATAGGATTAATATAGTAATTATTATTATACTCTAGTTACTACCTTCTCGAAATAGTACGAAAATACAAATATAAGCTATTATAGAGAAATACGGTTAAAGATATAATCGTAAGAGTACTATTTAGTACTTATTAATCTTATAAAGTACTCCTAAATACTTTATAAATACTATAGATAGATAATTAAGGAGCGTATAATAGCTTAACCTTCTATTTATATAGGAGTAGATAGCTACTTAGCCTTAGACTCTTACGGTTCTACGTACGTTATATAATTAGATAAGAATAGATAAGTTATATACCCGTACTTTCGGTATATCTAGATTCTAGAAGATATCGAGTCAATATAGTATAATTATAGATCTTCTCGGTAGTTATACTTCTCTTAGAATAGCGTATACTATACTTATACTTAGACTTCTTATCGTAATTATCCGCGATATAATAGTTATTATAGTAATCTATTCTTCGAAGACTCGAAGAGATACGAGAGATTTAAAAGTATATAAAGATCGATTAAGAAACGAATAGAGACGGGACTTTAATTAAGAATAACTAGAGAGAGACTAAGAAGAGTAATAATAAATAGCGTATTCTATCGACTTTATAGCTCGTTAGATATATACTTATAATAAATACTATCGCCTTAGTATAAAATATATAAAGTCCGTCTTAAATATAAAATCTAAGCTTATAATATTACTCTTCTATCTTCTCTTAGTTTTCTTTAAACTACTAGAACGCTTAACTATAAGTATAGTATACTATAAAGATCGGCGAAGTTTAAAGATCGGCTAAGTATAGTAGTATAGAAGATAAAAGAGATAAATAGCTAGAATAAAGAGCGTAACGGTATATTCTAAGAATAGTAATAGAGTACGACTCGCGTAGTATATATAGAGATAAAGGTAAATTTAGACGTAGAAGTAGTCGAGATTCGAGAATATCGATATTTAGTATACCTAGAGCGCTTCGCGTAAAAGTAAGTCCGTCCGCCTTCGTATAGTCGAGTCGAAGAAGAAGACTACTCTTCGGATTATAAACTAAAGAGATTAGTTAATAAACGTAAATAGATCTCTCGCCTTATAGATATCGCTATATAATTAAGTATTAAGTAAATCCGCTTTAGTACTAACGATAGTAGAGGACTATTAATCGCTATTATAAGAATTAGCGAGCTAGAAGATATTATCGAGAATATACTATAGTAACTAGTCGTATCTCGATTCTCGATAGAAGAGAATAAAGTTCCTAATTAGGACCGACTAAACTTAAATTAAAGTCGACTTCTAGCTAAAGTACTAGAAAACTAAGTAGATAGTAGCCCGCGAGACGCGAGTATAATATATTAATAATAGTATTACTAAGATTACTACTAATTTTAGAAGATCCTCGAAGTAGAGAATATACTAGTATTATTAAAACTATTCTAGAGAATAGTATAAGAGGTAAATTACTAGAAACTAGATAATAGTACTAATATAGATTACTATAAATAGTCTAGACTAAACTCTCTACTAAATCTTCTTAGATATATTTTCTCGTAATAGAGGTAGTTAATTATAAGATCTTATAGTCTATAACTTATTTTAGATAGACGAAATATAGTATAGATTAGCTCGAGGAATAATTCCTTTTTACTAGTAGTAGACGAACTAATCTTACTTATAGTCTATATACGCCTTTTATACTTTCTCTAACGTTCTCGTAAACTAACTTAATTCTAGTAATTAAAATTAAACTACTAAATCCCTACTATAGGTACTTTAGCTTCGGGGAAGATAAGTATACGCTACTCGTAGTATATAATATCCTATATCTATATAAGTAACTTAGGCTAGACTCCTTAGGCGCGTCGAACCTATTAGCTATAGCGAATAGTATATCTCCGACTATAGTCTCTTTCTTTATAATTATCTCCGTACTATATAACGGTTTACTTAACTATCTAGAAAAATCCCTAATAAAGAAGTAGTCTACTATACCGACTAGAATATCGACTAACTAGATTCTAACTAGGGTAGAAATATAGCTACTAATAATCGGTCGTATAGCGAGAGTTAAGACGGCGAGTAAGTTATATATCTTTACTCTAGATAGTAATACGCTTCGCGTAGATAGTATATAGATTAGTATCTATATCTTACGTTAGTTATACTAATTAATAGAAGTTCTAATTCGTACTAATCTTTAAATAATAATACTAAGAAAGCCTTAATAGATATCTAAAGGGCCTTTATTATAGTTACTTCGATACGGGTAATATTATTAGAGAAGTCCCCTATAATCTCTCTTACTAGACGAATAAAGAGGACTACCGAAATAATAGAATTAATAGTACGTTAGTAATATATAATTTCGCGTAGTAAAAATACTACTATCTCGTTAGCTCTATTATAGTAATTAATATAAGAAAATATACGAATCGCTTCTATCTATCGTATATCTACTTTAGAATCTCTAGATAATCTCGTATTACTCGCTCGACTAGAGATTAGGTTTCTTATTATAACTTCCTCTTCGGTAGATAATATATAAAGAGCGAGAGTAAATATATCTTCGCTATTCGGTTTACTCTTTAGTCGTAGAGCTATAATAAGTTTCTTTCTACGAGCTTTATAAAGTTAGTATTAGCGTCTCTTAAGTAGTACGCGGTTCGTACTATAGTCGTATCTATCGGTTTTCCGACCGCCTTAGATTTCGAGATTATAGATAGAGTCTTTCCGCTTTTCGGGATTATAGATAGAGTCTTTCCGCTTTTCGAAGTTATAGATAGAGTCTTTCCGCTTCTCTTATCGATTTTCGAGCTAGATAGAGTCTTCGAGCTAGTTATCTTATCGCCTTTCGAGTTAGGTCGTGAAGGCCGTGGAGTCTTCGAGCTAGTTATCTAGCGCGATCTTAGATTATATATAGACGATATAGAACTAGATAGTAGTTTCTTTATATTAGTAAGCGAAGTTACTTTACGTACTATACTTATCTCTATATTTACTCTTTACTAGTATTTCTTTAAGATTCTACGCGCTACGTATTACTCTAACTAGAAGATATTAACTCTTCGTACTAGACTTCGTAGAACTAACTTTTCTAAATTAGCTCTCTACTTCTTCTTATCTATTAATATATAGCTTAGGTCTTATTATATAATATTAATAAGCGATATATATAGCGTTAGTACTATATTAGTTACGCCGAGAATCTATTATTTAACGACTATTCGAAATCCGTATATATTAGTAGCTATTATTAGTTAGTATATAGCGAATATTATATAGAATTATAGAGTAGTTACTTACTACTATTAGAGTAATTAGACGTTATCTATATCTATAGGAACGCCGATTTCGAGGGCGTAATATATCGTTACTCTTTAACTATAGAACTATTAGAAAGATTACTATAAAAGGAGAGAGTAAGCCTTATCTAAGATTAGCTAATAGAACTCCCTTATCCTCGGCTATAGAATATCTTATATAGTATTACCGCCGATAGTAGCGGCTATAGAGATCGAGCTCGATATCGGTTCTTAGAAAATCGAGACTAGTTCTTCTATATCGAGAATAGATTAGAAGTCTAACTATTTCTACTTAGCTTATATTACTACGTAGAAGAATATATAGAATTTTCCGAGCGTATTACGTAAGTCTTTTTCATTACGTAACTATATCGCGA